AGGGGAAAGAGGTCGCGCACACAGGTCGAAGGAGTTGCCGTTCATGCGGACATGCTGGGAACCAGAGTTTGCGGTTGTTCCCAGAAACCTGCCCAATAACACCCATTATGCGGGCCTCAAGACACTCGAACCACACAACCTGCCAAGGCGTTCGCTCCTGTCTACCTCGTTCCCGTCGCCTTTTTTTGTTGGTGTAGATTTTTCGCAAGGACCTGCCTTGTAAACGAGCCTCGTCCCTGTCTAGCGTGGTCATCTTTTGCGTCAAATTCGAAAACTAAATCACAACACTATTGTGTTGGAAATTGTATTGAAGTTGCCCGCTTTTGTGTCTCGAGACGCGGTACAAGATTCACACACAAATGACACCCGGCTAGGTCATTCGCTGCAAAGCAACATCACCCAGAGACGCTGAACCGGGCTGCTTCACACCCGGCAAAGTCGGAGGAGAGTGCCGTCAATTTACTGGCAGAACAACATTTGTGTCTGGCAACGGCGACTGATCATCATGTCTCGTAAGTACGTCTACAGTCTCATGGGAGACGCCTTGTGCATCGGTGCACCGATTGGGGAGGCCTGGCCTGGCTTTCTTTGTGTAACTCCTCAGCAGTGCAGGGGAGGTGGAAGAGGTTCAAGTTGCCTCATCACACCCACCTCCTGCTGAGCCCTGGATGTGACACGACAGGGACGAAGAGGGAGTGGACCTTCACCGGGGTGCATTTTGACGGGATGTGGGCATGAAAAAGACGTCACTAACGCATCCTTCGAAAAGTCACCAATCAGACTGACTGATGTTCTCGCTGGCTGGTTGTTGGAAGTCCCGCTTGCGCTTTGAAGAAATACAAGGGCGCATAAAGAAGGAAAAATTACCTGTTCAAATTGCGATTGACAGTCGCCAGACGATGAGGCGCTTCCGCATATTAACAGTTGAGGCGACTCCTGGACATGGGTTTTCGCTTTCTATGGCTTTACCCATGCCCCTGGGGACTTTCAGATCTCGGGCTTCGGTAAACCACAAAGTCCGGAAGCCCAAGGACCCTTGCTCTCATGCTTCTTGGGTGGCTTTTTCTGGGGCGATCAGTAACTTTCGGGGAAGCCAATGACGGGGGCGGTGTCTTGGTCCTTGATGATACATCTGAGAACCAATTTCGACCCTGGCAAGGTATCAATCACCTCGTTCAAGCGCCTAGGGTGTTATACAATTCGACTCAGGATATTGTTGGTGATGAATACCTGTCGTCGGTCACAAATTCTTTGGCCCTTTCGCAGCTACGGTGCAGATTACGGAGTACTGAGTATGCTCCTATATGTCTCATATTGACAAGGGGATCACGGATCAACAAGCCTCATGGCCATGACACCCAGGTTCGGTGACATCGACACAGCATTCTAGGCGGAGTCGCTCAAGATGGCAACTTTCCTCGTTACCGGTAGTTGGCAAAATTAACTGGAGGCAGCCACCCTTCCCTGGTGCCCGTCCATCGCGCGTAGGCCGCCGTCTCCTATTGATTTGGCGCGTATCAGATTATCCAGTCCAGGGGAGGAGGGATCTGGATCGTGGCGGTGACCGAAAAGTGCGAGATTGCCAAAGGCCGGACTCCTCGCTCACCTCAGCCTCGCCCCCGTCCCGTTGACGCCTCAACGACCAGTCGGGTCGCGATGGATTATTCTTTTCCTATCAATAATAAAACGGCCGCATGAATGAGGTAACCTGGCGCCGCCACGCATATTCGATGCCCTTTTATTGAATGGATATGCAAGCCCAAAAGAGGAAACAAAGATCAAAACCCATAGATGCAGGCAGCCCTCGGACACTGTCCGTTGTGCTGAGAGCTGGACCATCTCATCGTGTGCCTGCATATGTAGTTGGCCTCACGATATTGGACGTGTTTTTTTGGCCCCTTTGCAAATTTCTAGAACAAAATGCCATCGCAAGGCTGAGCTGAGCCCTGCCCGACGGGTTCGCCTCATCGTCGTCGAGTTCCCGTTTCCGACGGTTGAGTGAGAAGTTGGCAGCAGCAAGCCGTCCGGTCACTTGGCGTATTACTTGCATGCTGCCGCCGCAACTTGCCGCCCGGGTCAAGTTTTCCTTTTTTTTTTTTCTGTCATCTTTTTGATCTTCATTCGAAAAGGAAATCTCGGGATTTCCTTTGGACGCTCGTTCCTGGCCACAACTCGACCACCCCCCCCCCCTCTTTCTCCCCTTCGCTTCATGGACGGACGCTTGGGCCCTGCGGCATGGGGGCCGGTGGCGGCGGTGTCGTTGTCCCAGGCGGGAAAAGCGTGCAAGGCGAAAAGGAGCCCTGCACAGACGATACGTCAGATTAGTGCTACTGGGCTATTATTATAGACTTGCCAATTGGTGGTCAGAGAGTTTTCGATGCCATGGGTGGGCTCAACTCTTTTCTGTCTTGGCGATGTAATCGCGGCTGGATAATGACTAGGGAGCAGAATATATTCCGTGTCATGGGGTACTTGGGGGCCGTGGCAGAGTAATATGTCAGCTGCTATTATATACCTGCTGCACCGGGGTATTTGTCTGGTTTGTCTCTTGCAGGTAAAGATGGCTGGCTCGGCTCGTGGGATCATGCTCCATTGAGTCTAGATGCCGGGCCCCCCAAGTTAAAATTTACCAGGGGGCTGGGAAGCTCGAGAAAACCGTGTCATGGGTAGAATTTGGTGGCGCCAGCGGCTTCTGGTAAAATCGCTTAACGGGCGGAAACAGTTCCGCTCAGCATGGGGGGCGTGTGCGTGCATTTTCGCTTGTTGTTGTGATGAGGGACGAGGCGGGCGGGCGATGGGGCGAGGTTGACTCCAGGCACATTTATTTTCACGCATGCTGGCTGGTACACTGATTACCGAGTTCGGAATATGGGGAAGAAAAGGCAAATAACAACTCAAAAATTACCCACAAGTTAAGCAGCACGTTCAGGGTCTTACCCAGTGTTATGGCGTTATGGATACAGCGTTGCCTTTCGTGGTGGGTATTCCCAGGCAGTTGCCCATTCGAGTGCCTCGTGAATCTGCGATCCCGAGTGAGGATAATTGACAGCCATTGCGAGGTCACGTACACACTGTTCTGACTCATTCTGGTTAGTTGTATTAGTCTTTGCCGCTTGGCGGTTCCCATCTACCCGAGAATGTGCGGTTTCGCGATACCGGTCAGGCGTTGTTGGCTTCACCAACTTCCCCTTTCTTTATGACTGGCGCAAATTAAGCAGGCAGAATAACGGTTAGCCTTGTAATCTGTACAAGGTAACCGAGTTCCCAGATGAGCCTGGGCTATTCTTGGCTTGCTCCTGTCGGTTCGCTGCCGAACGAGGAGGTCTCTTCGCATTCATCGTATATGCTCGTGCGACAGGGGTGCAGCCCTGCATCGCCTGCATTGCAGATAAGTACTTGGAGATGCCTCATAGGATCTTCCTACATCTCATAATGAAAAGGAATATCACTAAAACGAAGACTCCTAGCAAGGACCAAGCCACTTCCCAGGCAGCTAGCAAGGTTGAACTCAGCTACCATCTGTTAACGGGTGAATAGAAGGCCATATTGAAAGTGCTCTGAAGTGCTCTTGGCAATGGTGAAACTACGATCCAATGTATTCAAAGTGGAGCAGACTGCCACGGCTGTAACAGTTTGAGCGTTGTCGTCTAATCTCAAGAACAGAGAGGTTCGTGATCTGGTCCGTGTCAACGCGGGGTGGTTTCAAAGTTACGTTCCCCATGCCACTTGGCTTGGACTTCTGTTTTACCTCATAGGAAACAACAATTGAAGTAGAACTGGGACTGAAGTTACCAATTGCGCAGGTCTATCCAAGTGACATGTTGCGTATCTCTAATGCTCATGCTTTGTCTACGACAACACGAAATGTTGAAGGACTGAGAAGCCACATGTTCGCAGCATAGAAAAGGGTACAAATCAAACCTCTGACTAGATCTATAAGCGCATGAGATTCGTATGAGTTGAAGTCAACATTCTCCCATGATGTTTCTCTAGACGGGTCCGGCGTGCCTCTACTTCAGTATTGTGGAAGGCATTCATTTCCGTCTATTCAATCCAGCTGTCGCATCAATCTACGTCTACATTGCATCGGTTAAAACTGGGGTTACCTTACTTGTTGGTGTGCAGCAGTAAAATATGACCGAACGTTTGTCCTCGGCGGTTGTTTTGGGCTCATTGTGCCGTTCAGCTGCTTCCTCGGCAACTCAGCCTATCTCCTCCAGCTTGGCCCTTTTACTGTTATAGCTGAAAGGAGGTTTTCTGTCGCAATATTCCTATCGCGATAATCAGTTTTTGACAAACATATCGGCTCATTCACAAGCAGGGCTAATTATTACTATCGCAATCATACGACTGGCTGAGTACCTCGGCATCCCTCATCATGCTATCCAGTATTGCATTCAGCCCCAGGGCAAGGACAGCACTCAGAATTGCTGAAAATAGCAATCCACGGATATAATTCATCGCACAAGGAGCGCTATCTCCTAGTGGTGCTGATTTTGCGGAGTAACACTGGCGTCGGATATATCCTGCGCCGCATGGTTCGTAGCTCCGATGCCGATGTCTCATGCTATTAGGAAATCCACCTCCGATTGCTAAGAATAACCCGAATTCACGCCGAAAGAGCAATATAATGATATGGATTTATGGCACTGGAATTAAATTCAACGTCCCTGCTTTCTTGGACTTACTGATGATGTACTGCTGCGTTGGCGCGATTAACAATAGGGTAGGAGCTAAAGGTGCGTTGACCTTGGAATAGCGTGAGATTGGTGATGAGATTTTTAGTGATGCAATCATCATGCTCTTCGCGAGACCGTTATGTCCGCGCCACCTCAAATCACGCTAGCTCCTGGATCCCAATCCTTGAGATATATAATAGGGCTACGTCGCCGCGACTAAAATCATCAAGTTTGCTTGATTCATGAAGTATCAATCGCACCACTGCCCCCCCTACCACTACAACCCAACGACTCTTATCATACTCCGCACCTATCAGGAAAATGTCACTCGCTGGAAGGGTTATCATCATAACTGGAGGCTCCAATGGTATTGGAAAGGCCTGCGTGGAGCGGTTGGCTCGTGACGGCGCCAGTGTTGTCATCAACTATTACAGCGATCAGTCTGGCGCGAATGCACTCGTTTCCTCTATTGGTGCAGAGCGTGCGCTGGCCGTACAGGCTGATGCCAGTACAATGGCCGGGATAACAAAACTGGTCGACGAAACGGTGAAAAAGTTTGGTCATATTGATGTCGTCATGGCCAATGCTGCCTCGATGATGATGCGCAATGTCGAGAACACAACTGAAGAGGATTTTGACAAAATGTTCAACATGAACGTCAAGGGGCCATACTTTCTTGCGCAGGTAGCCATTTCCTCGTAGATAAATGCCCCTCTTTTCCTGGAGAAGACGTACTAACAAAGCAACAGAAAGCTGCGCTGCACATCCGTGATGGTGGAAGCATCATTTTTGTTTCGACTGGCATTTGCCATCACTCGGTGGTCTTGCCGGATTACCTTCTTTACGCCTCAACGAAGGGCGCGATTGAGCAGATGACGCGCGTCATGTCCAAGGGTCTGGCCTCAAAGGGCATCACCGTAAATGCTGTTGGCCCGGGTCCCACTGCCACGGAACTGTTCTTCAAGGGCAAGAGCGAAGCTCAGCTCGATGCCCTCAAAAAGATGAACCCATTTGGCCGGTTTGGCGAGCCGGCTGAGATTGCCAACGTGGTTGCATTCCTAGCTGGCCCTGATAGTCGATGGGTATCTGGACAAACGTACTTGGTGAATGGAGGCACAATGGTTTGATTGTTGGATCGCGGAGACGGCGATAAAAAAGTAAGGGAGCTTGTTAATTAGAGAATCTTTGTGCTCAGCAATTTCGGTGCTGCTAGGAAGATAAAGCAGTCATTCTGATGACTCACTGGAAAAAACAATATTCAAATGTGCTGAGATATTTTGGAGGGCAAACAAAAAAAATAGATAAAAGCCTGCAGGTATATCTAACAAAAACATGCAATGAATGTAAAAAAGAACCATCCTCAAGCTGTGTTCATGTCATCAAACTCCGGGCCCCACCATAGCTCGCATCATCACGTGCCGGGCGTGACTAAGTGCGTCATTGCGTTGGAGAACGCGACCCCAGACAGCCAACCACTAACGTGGCTTTTAGACGATTGCCGTGTCCTCACTTGCCACGAACCGCCACCATCCTGTCTTGCTTCGCTTTTCCCGGACGTCCAAAAATGGGGATATAGCAGAATCGCACAGCCTAGTTATTGGATATTGACATTGACAGTCTTGCGCCAATGCCTAAGATGCGTCTGGGATGGTATGCCGGGGTAAGCTATTCCATGGTTCGCAGTTCGCGCCTAGGGGGTGCCATCAAACGTCGTCGAGACTAACGTATCGATCATCTTCAGGCGTCAACGGCCCTCGCGGGCGCCGTTGTCTTCTCGGCTTTTCAACAAAGGGCCAACTTTTACTCGGCCATGGTCTATCTGTCACAGAGCAATTTCTGCTTGCTGGTGAGCAAAGCTAGGCCAAACCGTGTCTCGCTAATCGATCGTCTAACATGACCCTCGTGCTAGGTGTTGATCAACTTTACCTTACTTATTTACGGAACATTTATATATGCACTTTCTCAACTGTGCTGGGGAACCCTACGAAGCGCCGAAGTCGAGCAACTCACAGAACGAGCCTGGTTCGCCATTACAGAAACATGCTTAGCCATGACTATCTTTCGCGAGGAGCTTGGGGCTTGGTTTCTTGTCATGTTCACGGCTCTCGTGACAGGCAAGGTATGGGGATGGATCGGAGACGGCCGAGTCGAGTTTCTGGAACAGCAACCGCCCGCGAATCCCCGCCTCTTCCATACCCGCCTGACTGTCTCGCTTCTCATGAGCTTCGTTTACGACGTCTGGATCCTTCGATACTGCATCAATACCGTTATTCAAGAAGCTAGAGCCGATATGATGGTTATGTTCCTCTTCGAATTTGCCGTTCTTGCAACCACCTCCGGACGGTCTGGGGTCCGATACATACTCTCCATCATTGAGCAGAAGATGATCCAGACGCAGACGCAAGCACGACTTCTGGAGCGCAAACAAGAGCTTCGGGAGCAGAGAGATGCAATTATACGGCAGCGACAAGAGGCGGCTGCTAGTGGCCATCCAGCCGATGCCGAAGAACCGCTGCCTAATCCAGACGACGTTGACGAGATGGACATTGAGGTGCCTGGCTGGGCGACAAAGGGCGAATGGGTGCTATGGCTGGATCTCTTAACAGGCAAGTTGCCAAACGCATCCTCCGAAGCTTGCCACTAACTGTTATAACACAGACACGCTGAAGCTTATACTTTATGTTACCTTCTTTGTTCTGTTAACAGTATTCTATATGTTCCCGGTCCACATCCTGCGAGACTTGCTTATAACGGCCAGAGATTTCTTGAAGCGCCTCAACTCAGTCTTGCGGTACCGCCGTGCCATCCAGGAGATGAACCGATACCCGGATGCCACGCAAGCCGAACTGGACCAGGAAAATACCTGCATTATTTGCCGAGAAGATATGCGGGTTTGGGATCTCAACGCGAACCCCGGGGCCCTCGATCGTATTCGGCCCAAAAAGCTACCATGTGGACACATACTTCACCTTGGCTGCCTCAAAAGCTGGCTCGAGAGGCAGCAAGTCTGCCCAACATGCAGACGCCCGGTTACTCCGGATCGAGTGCCACCTGCAGCGAACGGAAATGCGAACCCTGTCCCTGCGGCCCCGCAACTCCCTAACAACGGACTGCAAGCCGCTCAGGTCGGATTTCAGGAACCTGACTTGGGTAGATTTGTATTGGGACAGCCACGACCTGACCCACCAGCTCAAGCTGGCTTGAATGTGGACGCACCGCGTGAGCCGGTTTATGCTGCTCCCCAAGCTCCTCAGGACCCTAACGTGGCATATGTACGGCCGATGGACCTCCGTGACTTCATCAGAGATGAGGAGCGTCGTCGGCAAGAAGCAGACGATCAATTGCGACGACGCTGGCTTCGTACTTTTCCACAGAGTGCCGCGGGAACGCAACCACAGGACAATGCGTCGCTGTCACAATCAGCTCAACAGCCTTCCCAGCAGAGTGCCAGCACTCCACTTGCTGCAGGTCAACCACTACATCCACAAACCCAGTCTTTGATTGCCCGACATCAACAACTAGTCTCCTCAATGCAAACCCGCCATCAATCAGATGTGAACTCAAGCGCTATACGCCAAACTTTGTTGAGCCAGACAGCCGACTTGAGATCGCACAGGCTTCGAGCACTCTCAAATATGTATAGCCAAGCTGCTGTATTGGTCCGCCAGGAAACTGAGGCTCTTCGTATCTCGAGTGAACAGCTGCAAGTTCTTGGGCAGCTTGTTACTGAGCTTGAGCGGCTGGAGGCACTGCATCATGAAAATGCTGACGGGCCTTTACCTGGGCCCGAAGCTCAGACGCAGGACCAGATCCCTGGTCAGAGCTCATCACGGCTACGAAGTAGCAGAAGCGTACCACCGCATACGCAAAGCCCTATTATGACGAGACATGTAGCTACTTCATACTCTACATCAATTCCAGCTGGCAGCCCCGACTTGCCGGACGGTGTTGCCATCCCTCCGGGATGGACACTGATGCCGCTACAGCGGCTGGATAATCAACATCGCATCCAGCCTACTAGCACACAACGCTCGTCGCGGGCTTCGTCTGCCGGCCCTGCCACATCGTCGCTGGGTGAGGAGCGCACACCTCACACTCCCACATCGCACCCAGCTCCTACATCACAGCCAACCCAACGAAGCAATGTCCCCGTTCTGGAGAGAATTCCTGGGACCAATAACTTTCGTCTTGCTGGGTCCAACAACGGCGGAGCAGCGCCGCGGCCTGAACCGACAGCCGTGCCTGGTGATGCGCCGGCTGTCGTTTCAGCGGCTGGCAGCACCCGGTCTTCGGAGGGAAGCGACAGTCGTGGTAGCGCCGCGTTAGAAGATGAAGACGAAGGCCCTAGTGAAGATGAGGCGGAGTTTGGCGAAAGCAGTAAAGCTGCAGGCAAGGCTGTCACCATGGAGGACGTTTCTGAAGAAGAATGAGTGATGTGAAATAATTCAGCGCACTTTATAGGAACATAGCGTGTGGCATGCCAGTGTTGGCGGCCCAAATGATTAAGTCTTTTTTCTCGCTTCAAAAACACGCATCAAGGCAGTAGTACAGCTCTGTTTTGTTTTTATTCTTCTCCAGCAGAGAGCCATTACTGCATGTAGCAGCTCTTATTAGACAGGCAATACATTCACATCAGCAGCCAGGAACCAGTGGGATATAAGACGTATCGCGTGATAAGTTTACTATGGAATCAAATGGTGCGTAATTGTACAGGTTAATAACGCCTGTCTGCCTTTGGCTGAAGCAAAGAGCAGGACGAGGACGAGGGTGGAATACAAGAGAAGCGAAGGCAGCAAGTGAACCAAGCTGTCCCCATCATTCATGATTGTCAAAAGTTTCCAAAAGGTGGCAAAACAGCGCCTCGGGAGTACAAGTCATATCCTGGAAGCATAAAAAAAGAAACAGAACATGCGACAGATCAAGTCTGGCAAACACAGACAAAACATGTAAAACAATGACAAAACACACGGCGCTCAAAAGGAAACGTGACCATCATAACGTAACCAGGTCCATCAACTTCAAGTAAGTTGCATCAGTCGGTTTGGCTGCCGATGCTGCCGCTTGGGAGATGCTGGAGGGCCCTGGGCGTAGTCTCGGTCGGCTTCATAGGCGTCGGGCTAAGAACCGGGGGACTACTCGTCGGCGAGGGTGAGGCGACCGTCGCTGGAGGAGAGGACGACGCCGGCAGTGGCGGGGATGGGTTGAACATGCCGAGAGACTCGCTGTCCGCGCCGGAGAGCCGCCGCAGGAGCTCCTCGGAGTGCTGGGCAGCGAGCTTTTGCAATTGCTCCGACGGGTCCTGTGGTCGATCAGGGGTCAGTTTCCGCTAATCCTAAGTGGCTGCAGATGAAATAAAAAAAGGAATGGGAAGGGGAAAGGGAGAAGAGATGACAGCTGGTTAGCTTACCCAATCATATTGCGCAGGGACCCCTTCCGCAGTCGGCACCGTCATGGCTGCACCATCCTTGCTCCCGGCGGCACCCTCCTTGTCGTCACCCCAGAACGACGGCCGGCGGACAGGCGCGGGCGTGACGGGAAGGCTTGGGCGCTCGACCTCTGTGGGGAAGTCTGTGAGTCTGAGGCTGCGGAAGCTGGCCCCGGTGTCGGCGGGTTGCTTCTGTTGAGGAGTCGTCGGTTCGGGCACGTCGAAACCGCTGCGCTTGGAGGCTGCCGGTGGCACGCTGGCCGGCGAGCTCTTGCCGCGACGGTGCCGGCGGGTGGTGCGCTCGACGTACCGGTTGATCTCGGGCACGTCGTCCCACGCGTTGACCAGGGTGAAGGAGCTCCATATGCTCGTGGACGGCGCAGATGTGGTCGCGGCGGAGGGCTTGGTCGGGACCGAGTCGACTTGGGCGGTAGTACCCTGCGGCGCTTGCGTCTCGACTGGACGATCCTTGGGGGCCGGGGGCTCGTCGGGTATGGCGGGGAACGCGCGGGATGCCTGCGGCTGTTGGCTCTCCCAGGGGAATATCACTCTGGGAGGCTGCGTAGATGGCGCGGGGCGTTGTTTGGGAACCTCATACCACATGTCCTTGGGTGGGCTCGGGTACCTTGCGGGGGGTACGAAAGGCTTCACGTCTTGGGACATGGTGTAATGGGTATTTGGGAAGTTCTCGGCCTCTGGCTTCGAATCTATGGGAGGGGGTTGCCTGAAAATGCTTAGGAAACGGTGGACTTTTGACTCATGGGGTGTATCTTACCTCTGAGCGTCCCAGCTCTGATCGCGCGAATGGGCCTTCTTCTTAACCGCCTCTTGGGCGTTGGCATTGGCATGAGAGACTTGAGACACAGGCGACGACGCTGGCGGTTGAGGAGGTTGAGCCGCTGTTGATTGTCCATTATGATACGTCTGTCTCTGTGTATCTGTCTGAGGCAACGGCATTGTGCTGTGTTGGTGCGGTGATGGCTGCGGCTCTTGTTGCGGAGAAGCGTATGTGATTTGGATTTGGGGTGGCGCCGTTCCACCATGACCAATCGAGTTACCGGATTCATGCTTTTGAATGAGAGTTAGCTAGTTAAGCCGAAGTACTCGGGTAGCAAGAGGCGTACCTGTGTACGGTAGTGGCGATCATAGACTGACCACCACCGACCGACCATTTCACCATATGGCGAATCGCCGTGCAAAGCATGGCGGCCCTCAAACCAAGGCTTATTTGGGCCTATGAAATGAACCATATTAATGCTAGACTGGAAATGGCGATATGCAGGCAGATATTGATAATGCGCTGAAGGCGTGACGTTGTAGGTAAAGGACAGGCGATGGACGGTGTTTTTGAAGTACATGTTCAGCAGGCCCTGGTCTGCGCCGTCAAACGAGATGCCGCGCTCCGCCATGGCGAGGAGGGCGTAGTAGTCGCCCATGTTGGGCGTCAGCACCATGACGCCGGTGTTGAAGAGGTCCGGCCAGCCAATGTCGGGCGCGGCGGCGAAGGTGGCGCCCGACGGCAAGGCAAACAGCTCGTCCGGCGCGCGGTAGGCGACGACGTCGGCGTCAACGTAGACGATCCTGGAGAACTGCGTCTGCTTCCAGAGGTTGATCTTGGTGAAGGCTGAGTCGAGGTCCGGGCGGTTCATCAGGTAGAGGTTCGCGGGGGACTGCTCGTTGCGAATGCGCGGGACGGGCACGACATGGTCGAAGACGGCGCGGAGCTGCGTGATGGAGTCGGCGGAGACGCTGTCGAGGGTGAAGAAGGCGACGAGTTTCCGTGACGTGCCGGCATCGCGAAGCGAGTGCGCAAGGACGAGCGTGCCTACAACGGAGCGTTGGAAGATTAGTCGAGGGTCTGAGGTTGGCCGAGTGTTGGTCGACTGGGCTATGCGGCAATGTGACAATGACATCTGCGACTGACTTACCTGGGAGGTACGAATCCGTCAACAGGAGCTGCCGGGGGGGCAAAGAGTTAGCTTCCGGGACCAATTGGTTCATAAGAGGTGCAGAAACGGGATGTAGAGTCTCTTACTGTCGCGTACACTTGCTCTCCGTCTGCGAGGGCCGCCATGGTGGTTCGGCGAGGTCGGAGGAGAAGTCGATGGAGCAAAACCAAGCTCTCCAGGTACCACCTTTGTGGGGGTGACGTAGGGCGATTCTGCAGCTTCACGGATCCCAGGTCACGGAGACGCGGATGCAATCGCCAGGTTCGTGAACAAGACGAGTCTCCAACCCGGTCCTCAGCCCCAACGAAGTCCTGCACTTCGTAAAAAAGAAAGAAAAAAAAAAAGACTGCGGAGAGAGGACAAAGGCGAGGAGGGCAGGTGAGGCGATGAGGTGGTGCGCTGGACGAACTGGATGTGGAGGTGGGATCCGAGCAGAGTGGAGAGCTTTAGTTAGTTCGAGGTAGCTCCCAGTGCTTGGCTACTTATGGTAAGAGCGAAACTCGCAGCTAACTAACCCTGGCCAAGTTGGTCATACCTAGAAGCGTGTTATTATTCTCACCTACTCTAGTTTACTGGGTTTGCTAACAACTGTTGCAGAAGCCCGTTTCGGTGGCTGCATGGCGGCGCTGTCGAACCATGGCTCGTATGTTGTAGTGCATCTTGTCGCCACAATGCCTGTACGAGGTAATTCCAGGCTGCAGTGAGTGAATGAGATGATTTAGGGATCGCTTGGAATTGGTTGAGGCCCGCTACTGAAACAAGCCTCGTTGTTGTCGCTTGGCCGTTGCAATAATAATGAATAATGTCCACCTATGTACATACCGAGCGTTGTCAGTGCACTCCCTCAACAGACAGGCTAACTGCGTCTTTCAAGTTACCGGACGCAAGAAATAACTATTCACTTATGAAATTTCAGCATCGAAATACTCTCCTGTTATACTATAGCGCCCGAGTCTTATTATGCTGTGCTGCAGCCTCGGCAGCGCCACGCATTTCACGCCAGCAGATAGATAATGCAGGCAGCAGCAGCATGCTGCGTTGGCATGCAATCCTAGTGTATAATTCATATCGCTTATTAAATCACATATCAAAAATTGGCTATCATTTGCGCATTACGCAGAGCATTCTATCTTTATTAGACTTTCCCTCCCTCGCCCAACAAAACACGTGGCGCTCGACCTTGGCTTTGCCCGAGACAATGACCTAGAGCTGGTCCAACTCAGGTGACGGCAACCTCTCCTGACAGAATCACCCTTTCTTTCACAAGTCCGACAATGCCATCACCACTCACCTTTCCTCGACTCCAAACTAAAAGACTGGTGTCAGCGTCTCGAAGCTCGACAGCTATGCACAGGAATCAACTCACTAGTCGAGGAACAGCTTCCACAAGATGGAGAACAAAAGTCCTTGCAGGCCGTTGCATAGGATGCGCGTCGGCAGTCCGCGGCCCAAAAGACCCGACACGCCATCGCCCTGGATCACCAGCTGCGCTGCTTTGGCTACGTTTGGCGCGTTAGAAGAAAAGTGCCTTGCCGACGAAAGCGCTTCAGGGCCGGTCGTTGCTTACTGTAGGATACCTGCGTCTCGTTGACTTGGCGGTACGTCTTGACTACCCGGAGCGAGTTGGACACGCAGTCAGACACCAGCGAGGCGGCGAAGCCGATGAACGCGAGGCGGAGAAGCCAGAGGATAATCTGCTCCTTGGGCGGCTCCCTGATGGCCTCGCTCAATATGTTGTACTGCCCAAAGACAACAACCATCTCGTCAGCCACCTGGGGATTCTTCCTTCCGAAGAGAGCAACAACGTACCGTCGCGAACCACGGGTAATGTCCCACGAACGTGGCGCCCGCCGTGGCAAAGGCTCCCCACCAGAGTGTTCCGAGGCCGTGCTTGCTAATACGCGTGCGGAGGAGCGCGGTGCCGCCGGCTCCTTGGACTTGGAGGGTCGTCTTCAAGGTGTCGACCGGGGTGAGGATCATTCGAAAGGCGGCCGCGCTAATATCCCCGTCAGCTTGTCATGAAGGCGCCGAAGAGATGAAAAAGGTTTACCAAAGAGAGGCGAATACCGTCTTGACGAGTACGGGCAGGTCTTTAAGGTACGAGTTGGACTGGAGAAGCGCGAGGATGCCGGCGTTGGCAGCAGTGTCGCCAAATCTCGAAACGGGGCCTGTTCATTTATGTGATAAGTACGTTATCTTCCTGTCTTCCCTTTCGTCTCTCCTTCATTTTTTTTTACTGCTACATCTCATTCGATGGTTTATCTCGTACCTTGGATCAAGGCTGCTCCGATGCCGTCGTAGTACCGCCCCAGGCCACCGCTGGTATACAAGGTCGCGGTGGCCGTCGAGAATGAAGTCCCATAACGGTACTGGTAGTTCATAATGGTTCGCAGTGGCTGAAAGACATTTGTTTTAATACTTTTTCCGACCTAGCGAGTACCGGGGCAAGACGACGTACCATGAGGAGGAGAACCTGGAGCACCATGGCTGCAGCACCACTTAGACCGCCGCCCAGCGCCTTCTTGAGCGCCTTCTTGAAGTCAAACTGTGAGAAAAAGATGGAATGTTATTTTCTCTTCGTCCCGACTTAATACAGGGAAAATCCGACATCATGACTTACGTCGACGTCGCTGCCGGCATCGATCCAGCCTTTGACGAAGAGCACGGCGATGCCTACTCCGATAAGACCGAGGGCCGCTTTCAAGGCATACAACAGGTATCGCCGGGGTTGCGCAGGCACATTTCCCACCTGCTTTTGCACTCTGTCATGGTGTTCCTGTTCCTGGTTTATCAGTAGCGGCGTCTCTTCCGTGTGCGCCTGTCGCTGGTTCTCGATATCACCGTCAGCAGCCATTTCTCTCTCGTCGTTTCACGCGGCGGGCAAATCCACAACTATCGCGTATGTATGTATGTAAATGTCCAACAAAGAATGACATGGGCAGCAGTAGCTGTCAGCTCCAAAGGTTTTGGACTTGGCTTCCGATGCCGAACCCACAGAGGCGAGCTGACAAATGTTAGACCCCCATCGATGAGATGGTGCAATTGATGCTGCACGGGCAATCCCCAATGCCCCTCTATCGGCAAGGGAAGGGAACCTGCTGGAGGGGGGGTGATGCAATGCGGGTGCAGATGACGAGCCTGTCACGGCTGAGCTAAAACTGGCCCGGGGTCCCCACTGCCGATGCGTCGTCCACCCGGAGCTCGGGAAGATAACAGCCAATTGTCGAGTAAGCATTCATTCAGCTGGTTAACGGATATGGTTCATTGTTGCGTCGAAATGCGGCAGGCTTATCTAAACGGCTGGGGGCTCGCGCGGGTGGCAGTCCATCCCGTCATGGCGGGACATTGTCTCTTACACACATCACCAACTTTCTAGCGGCCTTATTATACGGGATGACCTCGTCTCAGGGTAGAATAAAATCGGTCGCCATTATTGGCGCTGGCCCGTCTGGTATGGCCATAGACTCGAGCCAGACTGTCTAAGCAACCTGGCTAATCGTCCACTTACAGGCGCGATAGCGGCGGCCGCTCTCAAAGCAGAAAACTACTTTGAGCGCATCCGGGTATTCGAACGTCGTGAAACTGCCGGCGGTACATGGTATGTGACGACAAGCTTGATCCTGTGCTCTAACGGCCGACTCTAATCATAAAATAGGATTCACGATCCGGACCCCGGGCCTGTCACCCCCATCGAGCCGGGGAAGCTACCCTCCGAGATCGACCCCCAACTAGCCATACCGCCCAACCTGCCAGCGACAACTTTGCCGGACAGAACGAACCGATGGGCAACCACGCCTGTTTACGACTCCCTCAGGTGAGACAACTCCGATTGAAAACGAAAAGAGAGGTTCCAGGAATCACAACTGACATCATGTCTTGTCGGGTGCGCGCGCAGTACAAATGTTCCTAACATCATCATGACCTTTTCGGATGCCCTCCTTCCGTACGGCCCCTTTGCACCGCACTACATCGCCCGGCAGTACGTCGAAAACTACTTTGCCCTACACCAGACGGACACGCTGCTCCGGACGGGCACGGCCGTCGAGGACCTCACGAGGTCACCCGACTCCAAGCACAACGGACAGGGCGAGTGGAAGCTGACGCTAAAGAAGTACGACCCCATCCGCCAGGTCGACGAGTGGTGGGAGGAGTTTTTTGACGCCGTGGTGCTGGCCAATGGCCATTATGCCGTTCCATATGTACGTCCCCCAATGAACGCGAACCATGCGTCTTTTTGCAGAGCAGAGCCATCCGTGTTGACCGAAAGCGCAGGTTCCCAAGGTGAATGGCCTTGAGGAGTACATGGAGAGGTTTCCGGGCCGGGTGTCCCACTCGAAGCGGTATCGCAACCCAAAGCTCTACACCGGCCGGCGCGTCGTCATCGTCGGCAACTCCGTTTCCGGCCGGGAGCTCAGTGAGGAGCTCGTTGGCGTCGCCCGGGGCCCCGTCTACCTGTCCCGCCGGTCCCCCGCCATGTGGGAGGGCGACGAGCCGCCGCCCGGCCTCGCGTGGAAGCCCGTCATCTCCGAGTACCGGGCGGCCGACGGCGCCATTCTCTTCGCCGACGGCACGAGCCTTACGGGCGTCGACGCCGTCATCTACTGCACCGGCTACAAGCCGTCCTTTCCCTTCTGGAACGAGGCGGCCGGCGGCAACGGCGGCCCGCTGTTCGAATACCGCGCCAACCGCCTCGTCGGCTGCTACCAGCACGTCTTCTTCCCAGACCGGCCGACGCTCGGCGTCGTCGGGTTTCCCAGGACCATCACGTTCCGCAGCTTCGAGTACCAGGCGATCGCGCTCGCGCGCCTGTGGTCCGGCCGCAACGCCCGGCCGCTGCCGTCCGTGGAGGAGCAGCGCGCGTGGGAGGTTGAGCGCGCGGAGCGCACGCGCGCAGAGGGGAAGCAGTTCCACGATGTGCCCTGGGGCGCCGAGACCAACGAGTACCTGCGCGAGCTGTTCAACTTTGCGGGGCTGTCCACGCTGGCGGGTGACGGCTTGCTGCCGCCGCCGCTCACGAAGGAGATGGTGTGGGCGTACGAGAACGTGCTCAAGTGGAAGATACCAAAGGGGAAAGGGCCGCGGGGCGGCGACGATAGCCTCCACGAAGACACTGTGATGCAGCAGTTAGGTGCTGCCTGGCCGGAGCAAACGCCCAGGCTGCAAGAAACTCGCATTGGGGCGAGCAAAGACTGGGTCGTCGTCGATAAAGCTGAGGCCAAGTTGGGAGTTGACTAAACCGCTATTTTTTCATTTTCACAGATGTCATTATTAAGAGCCGAACCAACTTTGAAGTATTAGGTGTTGGCTAACTGGATACGAATTGCGTATCAAACTCCATAAAAGAACTAACCGGAGGCTTCTGTCTTAGAGATCCTTTTTGTAGAAATGTTCAGGCTTGTGCGTGGTCTCGTAGTCAATGTGAACATATGACCGCTCAATATCGGGCAGGCTCTCTAGTTTGATCTGAAGCTCTTCTGCGATGTCGTGCGACTCTCTCAGCGAGCAATCGGGGTCCATGACAATGTCAACCTCAGCGATCAGGCGCGGCCCCGAGTGGTACACGCGCACAGTATCGATCCCTTGGACGGCGTCCGAGTGCGTCAGGCAGACATAGGTGATGAGCTGCTGAATCTCTACAGAAGCTGAGACGCCAACCAAGAGCAAGAATTCGGCAAAGGCAGTGCGCATCCACACGCTGGAGATGAGTAGGGAGAGCAGGATAGCACCGGCGGGATCCAACCACCAGACAATCTTCGAACCACCAACACTAGTTAGAATGGCGACGGCATTGACAGCCAAGTCGTTGCGATGATCTTGCCAGAGAATATTGACTTGGCTGTACTTGTCCTTGAGACCCCAGCAGTAGAGAAAGAGTAAGAACTTTGTCGCAAAAGCAACGCAGACAGAGATGACGGAAGGAATGTGAAACTTCTTGTCCTCATCCTTGGAAATCAGCTGTTGGACGGCGAACGCAATGATTATGAACGAAACAGATGTCATGAGCATGCAGAATAGGATGTTTCCAACGGTTTCGAGGCGAGCTTTGCCCGCGGGGAACCGCCTCGGGTCGACTCTCTTGATGGCGCGGTTGGACAGAATGAGAGTCAATGTGCTCAATGGGTCAAAAACGGCATCAGCCATACTGGTAATCAGGGACAGCGAGCCGGAGGAAATAGCAGCATACAGTTGCAGAATCGCCAGTACAACATTAGCGGCAAGTGAGCCCCAGATGGCAATTGTGAACTTGAGCTGGTCATCGCCCTGCTCCTGGCGGGCTTCGGCGCGATGCTCCTCGACAGACTTGAGCATGCGCTCAATGGCAGCATTCTGATTCTGGTAGAATCCGCGGACTTTGCGGGCATCCAGCTTGGAAGTTGGGTTGAGCTTGCCAACGCCCCTCTTGCGCGACGAGTTGGCCTTGATCTGCTCAAGGTCTGAGTCGGTCTTGTATGACGAGGAGAGATCGAAAGGGTCACTCTCGGCGGCAACACGAGGAAGTCGTGAGGTTCTGCCAACGGTGACTTGACTCTCAACATCGGTAGCATGAGGATGGCGCTCAACGGCGTCATCGCCACCAGTTGGCGGCGCAGTGTCGATTGCGGTACTAGACGCATGGCGGACAGCAGGGGACCTAGAGTTGCTGCGGCTAGAAGGCAGGTGCTGCAGGTGGTAGACCGAAGGGTGGTGGGTTATGGTGTTGCTCCCGTTGGGAATCATTTCGTCTATGGCGATGGCGGCAAAGCTGTGCTGAACAGCGATTGTAGGACGATCCAACTTGGTGTACTGTGCTTCTGCGCAAGGATATTCTGCAAAGGCAAACCAGCAGGCGCAGACAGCGGGCAAAAAGGGGGAAGACAAACTTAAATCTACCTAATGACAAAGAGTCGACTGGAACGCACCACACACCATGGAAGGGAAGGTGATCTGCGGCGACTGTAGAAATGTTTATTAGTGTCAGCTTGCTTGCCAGACCGTCTGAAGTTGGTGGCAAGCAAGTAGTTAAGGACCAGAAGCTCCAGCCGACACGACATTAGCTTGCTCTAGCGTCGAAACACGGCCAGCAGTTGGGACCGACCGAGTGCGCTGGATCAAGTGGCTTGTCAGGAAGCTGGCTTGGACCTTGTAATCCCATCTCGCTTGTGCTGGTTGGTCTCTTTCTTGTCTGCCAGCTTGCTAGACCACACCTGTCAATGGTGCAATTGCGGGTACTGACCGCCAGGCCAGGGCCGGGGACTGTGAGCTGGTGCACAGTCTCGGTAGAGCTCCCGTCGAAGCTGGAGACGAACAGCGCGTCAAACAGTATCATCGTCGCTTGTTCTGACAAGCTGGCCGCTCATATTTGTGCGGCCTTTGACCGAGCGCCCCAAAGCCTGCCAAGACAGGGCCATCCAGATTGCCGGCAGAGGTGTCGCATAGGACAATAAAGCTGTACTCGCTGCAGCCATGGCAGCGCCAGTCAATGCTCGATACTCGACGCCATCCAAGCAAGCCAGGTTCCTGTCAAACCGGGTATGAACTACCGGGCGGCCTCCAAGTGCGGGGATCCATGCTGTTGTTGAGCGGGAAGATGGAAGGTAAAAAGGGCTGGCAAAAAATTGTCGAGCAATCAAAGGTACGGCAGGCTAGTAGTGTCTGTCTTAGCTAGCGGTGGATGTTGTTGTGCGGTCTGGCAGTTGGCGGGCTTCTGATTTGCGGAGATGATGGGTGGCTAAATGAAACTGTATTTGAGTGCCGTTATGCTGTTGATGGTGTTGATACACATCTTGCAGGTTGCAACGTACAAAGTCAACAGCGACAAGATATGCTTGGGGTGGTCTGTTCGTTTTCTATTTCTAGCAGCGCCAGGAGAGACGCACGCACAGCCCCTCAGACCCATGCGGATGCGAGCTTGTTCGGGAGCTCCCGGAAACTTGCGACGATGCAACTCACATCTAACAAGCATCAGCTTGGCACTGCATGCACACCCGTACAGAATTGTAACACCTTGATGGCCATCAGCTGGTTCGTCGCATGAAACCATGTGGTAGGCAGCTTCCGAGACCTCTGCAGTAAAGCATCTGCACCACGTTGCCAAGACTGCAACCCACCCAACACTCGTACGACTACAACACAGTCACCTAGGTGTGTGTTGTAGACATGCATCAAGAACAGCATGCCAACTTATAACATGATGCTAACGACCATCCTTTCAATCGTAATCTCTAGTTGGACATGCTCAGTTATAGTATCATAGTATCATACAATACGGGAAAGATTAGCATATCCAAAGTCAGATATCCAAATTGGAGGTCAAATATCCAAAGTCAGAAAGCTACACAGGCATCAACGCGAGACAGACTGCCAACGCCAAATCCGCCGACCGATCACAGCTTCGACTCTGCCGGCACACTCTCCCTATTGTCGCAGCGCGCAGCGATCCAGGCGATAATATCCCTGGCAAAGTCGTCCTTGCAGAGATCCGCGTGGATCTGGTGGTATGCGCCCTCGTACGGCTTGTGCGTCTTGTCGGGCGTCGGCTGCGCCTCAAAGAAGCGGCTCGACGCGTCGTAGCTGCACGTCTTGTCAGCCGTGCCGTGCGCCAGGAAGAGGCTCTTGACGTCGGCGCCGAGCGCGACCGCGCCCGACGACAGCGCGCCCGTGCGGTCCAGCAGCGACGCCATGCCCTCGAGCGTGCCCGTGTTGTGGCACAGCGGGTCGTCGCGCACCGCGGCCACCACCGCCGGGTCCCGGCTCAGGTGCTCCGCGGGGATCTCGTGCTTGAGCTGCTGCCGCGGGAGCAGGCGGCCGACGAGCCGCCCGACGAAGACCTTGGCGCTGCTGGGCGCGTCCTCGGGCGCGAAGCCGATGAAGGGCGCGTCGAGCAGCCACCCGCGCACCTGCCGCACCAGCGAGCCGTAAGCGGGGTCCGCGGCCAGCGTGAGCACCTCACCGCCGCCCATCGAGTGGCCCATGACGAAGACGGGCACTGCGGACGGCAGCTTGTCCTCTATGAAGGCCGCGACGTCGGCGATGACGACCGAGGTCGGCCCGGTGAGCCCGCGCTCCGCCTTCTTGGTGGTCGACCGCCCCCAGCCGCGCTGGTCGAAGCCGAACACCTGGATGCCCGCCTCGCTCAGCTTCGGGAAGAAGTCATTGTAGCGGTTGATGTGCTCGCTGAACCCGTGCACGAAGATGAGCTTCGCGGTGACGGGGCCGGCCGGCTGTTGAGGCGCAGTTAGCAGCAAGCTCAGCCAGCAAGTCCCTGTGAAAAGGCCCGCGTCCAGGTTGCGATGTCAGAGGCGAGCACGTACGTACAGTCCACGCCTTGGTATAGAGGTTGACGTCGCCCCTTTTGAATACTCCTTCTTCGGTAGCCATTTTGCTTGTGAATCGAGTTGTCAAATGATGCACGAAGGAAGTAGCGCCCGTGCTGCGACAGGGAGCGGCGTTTATAAGTGTCTTTTCGGCGTGCGCTAGAATCAATGTCGGAGTTTATCCAAGCACCAATAAGAACTCAAATGGCTGAGGCCAGATCTGACTACTCCTCTCTCAGAATATATGAATACTTGCAGATGTCTCTTTCATTATTCGACGGACGGGGCCAACTTCCCATCTCCAGGGGGCATACAGCCCAGCATGTGACAGTGCCTCAATGGCGTCCCCGCGCCGTAGATCGGAGTCAGAAGGACGGATGGAGCTACAGCGGCTGGCAACATTTGCAAAATTGTAAAGTATGTATGCATTGATTGTATCCACCCTGAATTGTAGAGCTTCCCGTTACACCAAAAAAAAGCATGCCTCGACCTTCTCCTCTATGTCCCTCTAAGCTGTGATTTGCTCAAGCGAAGTCATCTAGCCACGGCTAGATAGTCGCCCAGATCCGCGCAAAGCTGGCATTTATCCCAATCTCGTCAAAACAAGTAAAGAAAAAATTAGCCGGAAGAATAATTTACAAAACATTGAGAAGGGAGGTTGATGCGCATTACGCACCAGCACCAACGCTGCGCCAATTCCAACCTGGCCTTGAATCATCGTTGTTTCTGTTCCGTAGTTTCGCTCTTTGCCTCGTCCTCTTTCTGCTCCTCCTCTTCAATGAGCTCCTCCTCGTCCGTTTGTCTCTCTTGCTCCATGTATTCTGCCTCAGTGATGTGTGCCGCAGCGGAAGACGCGCGCTTCTCTGGAATCTCACCGCCACTCATTTGCCACTCCATTAGCTTGCTGAAGGCACTGTCCTTGTTAGCAGCGAGCTGTGTGTAGCTGCCAATTTCTGCGACCTTGCCCTCGTTGTTGAGCACGATGATTTGATCGGAGCGCTTGATGGTCGAAAGGCGATGAGCAATCGAGATGGTAGTGTTGTGTCCGCGAAGCAGGCCAGCAAGAGCTTCGTTGACCAGTGTTTCGGATTCAGCATCCAAGGCCGAGGTGGCTTCGTCGAGGATCAAAATATCAGGGTCCTTGAGAAGAGCTCTGGCGATAGCAATACGCTGCTTTTGCCCTCCAGAGAGTTGCGATCCTCTCGCGCCAACTTGGGTCTCCAGTCCGTCTGGGAGATCGCTGATGAAGTTGCAGTTGGCGCGCCTGGCTGCTGCAATAATTTCCGTTCGCGATGCATGCGGTTTTCCGTATGCGATATTCTCGGCGATTGTTCCAGAAAATAGAACTGGCTCTTGAGACACCATGCCGATGCGACGTCTCAAAGACTTGACATTCATTCCGGAAATGTCAACCCCATTGATAGAGATGCTCCCCTCTGTCGGGTTATAGAACCGCAATAGAAGCGAGGCAACCGTGGACTTGCCGCCTCCAGAAGGACCAACGACACATACATTACTTCCGGAAGGAATCTCAAAGTCGAGACCATTGAAGATCTTGACAGCAGGGCGCGTTGGGTATGCAAAAGAAACATTGCTGAATCTGATGGGACCTTGGGCAGATTTCACAGGCTTTCCTACAGTTTGGTGAATGCCAGGGCGGCGGTCTTGGAGTTCGAATAGACGACTCGCGGCACCGACACCTTTCATCAACTCAGAGTAAAAGCCAGACAATCCGAATAAGCTTGATCCTGCAAACGCGGTGTACATCATGAAAGATGTGAGGTCTCCGAGTGACATGGTGCCGCCGCGAACAAAGCTTCCACCAACAACAAGCATCGCTAGGATGGTCATGTTGCCAGCCCAGCCCGTAGAAGCGAAAAAGGTGGCCGCGACAAGTGACTCTTTCTTGCCCAGGGCGAAAATACGTCGAATTTGTCTGTTGTAGCGCCCAACTTCCTGAACTTCTCCGACAAAAGCTTGGCTGGTCTTGATGTTGCCGAGTCGCTCCTCAGCAATCTTGGTGAGTGTGCCGAGATTCTTTTGGATAGATCGGCTGATGTTTCGGATTGCTCGGCCGTAAAAGAATGCACCAATCGCAATTGGGGGAAACATCAAGAGCAAAAGACCTGTGAGCTTGGGACTCGTCCAGACCATGATGGCAAATCCGGCACCGCCGCTGAATAGAGCCCTTAAACCGTCACTGAGATTTTGTGTGACTGACTTGCCAACAATGACGGTGTCGGAGCTGAGTCTTGATATCAGGTCACCAACTCGGTTTGCGTCGAAAAACTCAGCATCTTGCACATAAGTGCGGCGGTAAAGCTGCGATCGAAGTCTCGCAACTACTCTCTCGCCAACAATGCGCAGTAGAATGACTCGCCCAAAGTTAGCCATGGCGCCCAGAGTGAGAATGCCCGCGAGGCCAATGAAGAATTGGTTCAAGGTAAGTCCAAAAAGGCGTATGTCCTCGACTTCGCCCTTTGTTGCGAGATCCAGTATTCTGCCGACTGAGAACGGGATAGACATGGTAACACTCGACGAAATCACCAGGAAGATGAACGCAATGCCGAGCCAGCGAAGCTCAGGGCGAGCTACCTTGATTAGTCGCCATATTTCCTTCAGCCCTGCCTTTGCTGGTTGCTTGCTGTCTTTAGAAAGCTTCGCAGCGAGGTTCACTTGCGCGGCTTGGGTGGCGCGGTCGCTCTTTTTAAATTCGAAGTCGGCTTCGTCGTCATTAGGGTCTTTCTTCGAGGAAGACTGTGGTTTCTGTTCTGTGTTCGTTTGTTGTTTTTGCTGCTGTTCCTGTAGGCTCGTTCTTGTCGAAAACTGTCGCATCAATCCAATTGCAGTCCCCTTGTGTGCAGAAGCAGCCCGGCGCTCCGCGACGCATCGCAAAAGCGAAGGTTGCGCGGCGAGCGTGGTGTCGCGCAGGGCTTGCCTCACAACGCCAAGGCGGTACCCTGACGCAGTATGAAGAAGGCTTGCAGGGTTGCCAAAACCGATAAGCTTCGCAGATGAGTTTAATAGTACATTGTGCGCTGTGAGGGCAGCTCCGTGTGAATGCGCCTCTGAGAGGGTACTCAGTCGAGGGGCAATAGCCCGGCGCAGAACTCCAGAAACCATCCTGACCAAGTTCGGCTATTCCGGTCCACGGAGTCCCATTGTCAGACTGCGCAAACAGCACTGGTGTATTTCGAGGTCGAGATATGATGCGGCAGAGCTAGTTCGGTCTTTCGAGATTTTTTTTCCGGTTGTCGAAAGTGTTGCTTTCTCGAAACGTTGGAGCGGCATTTCCAGCTGACGAAATCAAGGTCGACTGAAAATTGGGGTGGAGCTACCTTAGCTTCTGATGTACCAAAAGTCGGCCTCGGTCGGAGCAAGTTTGTCATTCCGACCTGCCTAACCAACTTCAACACTTGACCATGGCAGTGGCCCGCATACGGCTAACCGGCCGAATGGCGCTGCAGTCGTAGTCACACCAACATCCTCCTTCGACTGTACCAACGCATATAAATCGATACTATTGGGAGCTGCTCCTGGCACTAATAAGCGCGTTGTGGTATGAAAGATATTGGGCAGCGCGGTGTGCCTTTTGATCTGGCAATATAGAAACTTAGAGCTGACAAATGAAAAGAATAGTTCTGTACAAGTCTTTAAATTCATACATAGATAATACACTCCATCCGAGGTAGCGATGCCACTATGACGCTTCGCCTTTGAGCATCTCAGCAACGTCCGGGTCAATACCATCATCTGCTCCCATATCTGGAAATTCGCCATCGTCATCAACCCTCCGTCTCTTATTTGAGCCATTGGATGATATAGGAATTGAGTGACAGGGAGTGGCACTTGGGGGTTCCTCCATTTCAGTGTTGACTTCGGTCTCGTCGATCGGGCTCAGAGGCTCCGTGTCCGGCGGCGGCGGTGTGAACTCTTCCATTGCCGGTGGCGTGAGAGCCTCCATTTCCGGCCGACCTGGCTCCTGCACAGAGACGCCTTCCTCTCCATTAGGATGTGACTCATTTCCATCAGCCGGTCCAAGTGCTCGCATGATAGCTAGTTCTACTTGTTGTTTCTTTTCTTCGATTTCTACCTTCCTGGCTGATAGCTGCGATAGCGCCTCATGAGCTATCTCAAGCTCGGACCGGTGTTCCTGGAGCATCTTCTCTAGATCAGCAATCAAGCTCTCGCGAGCTGCTACGCTTTCGCGAGTAGTAGTCTCCGCGTTCGACAAGGTTTTCAGGAGGCCATTCAGGCGTGCGGCAAAAACTGGTGCTGAGGGCACGGCAACACTTGGACCAGTCTGTTTTTCGTATTCTTGGTTCGCGGACTCAAGCGTAGACTTGAGCGGTGCGCTCAGTTTTTGGACTTTTTGTAGTCCCGAAATGAGCGGCGCGAATTCGGGCGGCGGTGCGGCTGCAGTGTTGGAGGTGAATGGTGAGCTCCCAAATCCCGGTCGAGATGTTCCTTTGGCCTTATCCAGCTCTAGTTGGTATTAGAATCTGTTTTTTTCGATTGATTCATATATGTGGTAAGTTACCGTCTAGCCGTGCCTCGATGGCATTTTGTATGGGGGCTTCAAATATGTTTCGGTCTTTCCACACGTCTATCACGCGTCGCAGCTTTCCGTGTATCTCGGCCGGGGCTCCTTTGTACGCAAGTGCTGTAGCTTCGGCAATTATAGGCGAAAAGGCAATTATAAAATCTTCTTTCCGTCGAATTCGTGATTGCTGTGCGACTTCTGTATGTTGCGACGCTTCGTTAGTTCCAGAAGTTGCTTTCCGCTTCGACGGGCACTGTACCATTTGCAAGGTAGATGAGACTAAGTCTTCTTGTTGCGGATGAGTCCTTCAGGCGCTGCATCCAGAGCGCGACCGTGCGATCAGCATGCCGCCTATAACCGAATAATTTAGTACCGCGTTGCCAGGTAGCCTGCCGTGTATTGCATACTTGTGAAACATTATCCATTGCGCAGCTGTCGCAATACTATCGTGGCTTTCATTGAGGGCAGACAACCGCGCAAGCACGGCGTCATCGTTGTATGCCATCGCGTCGAGCTCTTGCGTCTGGTCTTGCCGTGGAATGCTCGCTGGAGCCTGTCGCGCGAGCAGAGGCTTCACTTTGAGCTGGCGACTGATCTCTTTGAACTTCGCTGTTTTGCTTGGTATTGATGCCGAACGTATTTACACAGATGTAGAAAGCGCCAAATCCATCAGACTCGAGTGAATTGGCGTGGTTATATTTGGTCTCGCGTAGGTCTTGTGAGCACGACTTCACTTGTTAATGCGTTGCGAAGGTGGACATAAACAGAGCTCTCCCCAGGTGTAGGTGTGCCTATGCAATTAGGCGAGTTGGTATGACCACCCGCGCTCCACACACGCTAGCCGCGAATTCCGTCAACTAAACCTTCAAAAGTTGCCAGCCGCCACATGCAACGATCCTAAGTTATGGCCTTTCAGCTTACAGCTTCTGTCCCTTACGATGCTCTGGGTCTCGGTGAGACCAGTGCTTTGAAAAATACAGGTGAGATAGCTGTCCGCTTCAAACTCGCGGTCAGCCAATGCTACTTCATAAATAATACAACGGAGACATTCACCTTAGATTCAACACACTTCTCACCATTGACATAGAATTAGTGGCATCGTTTGCAGTCGATGCCGGGAAACACCACATATACAAGTAGCAGGATACGGAGATAAGAAGAAAGACGCTGGCTACAGTGAACTATGGTCTTCATTTTCACCCTTTGAACGCAGTATTTACCTACCTACGAACGTACCTACCCTGGATATAGCACTTAGCAAAGCTCCACACTGTGGGCACGTGACGTATGCAGTTGGCAAGTGCACCTCGCGCCAGTTCAAGTTGTTAGGTGTCGCAACAGTGTGGCGTTTATGGATACTTGCTCGCCGTGACTGCATCCCACCTCCTATTTACCCCAACTCAATCTCAATTTCAACAACCACATCATCCAAAATGGCGGACCGATTCCCATCGCTGGATGATTTCGACTCCGGAGGTAAACACAGTGAACTGGACAACATGGCTAGAGGTCACTAACGACTTGAATAGCGCAGACGGAGGTAAAGGACGCCACGGGCTCCGGCGAACAGGACTTTCTCGCGCGCGAGAAAGCGCTTCTGGGCGATGATGCCGAGCAATTTGCTTCAAGTGGAGATGCTACAACACTGGCAGAAACCAGTGGAGATCTTCTCGGCGGAGGAAATGCGCCCTCTACATTCGAATCGCAGTTCCCAGACCTCGCTGACCCCTCATCTGTACGCGGGCATCCAATAGACAGCAGAATGACGAACAAAGCTAACTCGAGGGGCAACAGGGAATTGCAGGCGCGCCTGGATCTTCGACGATCACAGGCCCCTCTGTCAGTTACAACTCGGGATACCAAGCGACTGCGACCGACGAGGAAGAACCCGAGGTGATCAAGCAGTGGAGAGAGAAGCGCGATGTGCAGATCGCAAAGAGAGCAGAGCAACTGGCAGCACAAAAAGAAGAGACGATAAAAGAGGCACAGCAGAACATCGACGACTTTTACGAGAACTACAACACGAAGAAGGAGAAGGGTATTTCCCAGACTCGCAAGGATGCTGAGCAGTTCCTTGCAAACCGAGATGATACTGTGTCAGGCGGTACTAGCTGGGATAGAATTGCTAAACTGGTTGATGTAAGTGGCAAGGGAAGCAAAGGTGGTGCCTCTGGTAGTGGCAAGGAACGGTTTCGCGAGATGTTGGTGAACCTTCGTAAGGATGAGAAGGCACCCGGGGCTACTGGATATTGAGAAAGCCAGGACATCGTAAGCGAAGAATGTGGCAGTGAATTTACGGACCTCATTCTATTACCGCCCAAAGACGGAGGCGCCTTAATGTAATATAGACAACGGCAGTTTGTTGCAGGTGAAATGAAGTCACGGATTTTTGTAAAACGTTCATGTGGGCGACATGGGATTTTGTAGATGCTGAACACAACGATTCTATTGAATCTAAAGACGCCGGGATTCTAATCATACACGGCAATTGGTTATGAAGCAATCCCCCCTCCGCGTTATGCCATCGAAATCGAAATTAATCCTTGCCGAACCAAGTGTTGTGACCGGTGACCTTGCGACCGGCTGCGTACAGGGTCGCTGACCGAGTGTTAGCAACGTCAATGGATCTCAGATACGTCGTAAATTGACAAACCTCCAAAGGTGCCCCAGAGAACAATGAGGTAAGGAGTCATGTACCAGCGGCTTCGGCTGTTCTGCTGGCTGTTAGTACCATTGTGTAGCGCTCGTAGTATAGGCGCCTCTTACAATCATCCAAAGACGAGTATGAGCCTTGTAAGCTTGCTGGTAGAAGCGCTGGTGCTGAGGCACGTTGTTCTTAGCGTTGACCAAGCTGTCACCTCGTTAGCCTTGTCGTGATTGTACGGAATCGAAGGTTTAGCCGAGGTTGGCTTTTTGCCACTGGGGCACACCGGTAGCAATGGACGCCAATGTTTTCGCTCTCGGGTCATCCAAGGGTCACTTCTTACCCCATTTTGTAGATTGTTCGAATCGAGTTCGTGGCCGGGATATTCGGAGCTGTTGCGTTGAAAAGGCTGCGTCAGTAATCAGTCTATGTGAGGCCACTTGATGTGGAGCCCCAGGTGCAGAAATGAGGCCATAACGTGATTGGCCAATCAGCGTTGATGACTCAGCCTCTCTAAGGTACGGATTCTAACTTCTCAGTTGGTCGTTGAACCGCGGACAACGAAGACCCATTAAAAATGATAGCAGTGCCAAAATGCGACAACCTGAGGAGGCTGGTTTGAAGCTATCTCGTGTCTCGTTTGTCTTTTTTGAACGGCCTGCTTTGTTCTGCTAGATGCACTCATACCGTATGCGACTCGCATAAATGCATCGACCCCCGAGGGTATTGCGACAATGCACGTACAGCACTTCGCAGCGCCTGCGCTATACGGACCAACGAAACATCGACATTAGAGCTCGACTTTTATCCGTCGCAGACCACATCCCCTCCACCTTACTTGTGTACGAAAATGCGCGAATACTCCGGAAATACTATTCGCACTGGGGACGGACACATAGACCCCCTTCGCTACCCCCCAGCCGCTTGAGCTTGAGCCAGGGACTAAGACGATTCTCGACATGCGCCGCAAGTACACACCATGATGCGACGACGCAAAAACATACACCATCTTGGATAATACAAGACCTCAACCAGGCCGAGATCAACTTCGCGAATGGAAATGCAATTGACTGGAGCCAACTTGTTTTATTTCTGGAAAGAACCCATGGCGCACATGGAGTCTGTGCAGCTCTGGACAGGCTCAGGGAGCGCGAATGCCTTGATGTTGTCATGCGGTCGGATAGCATAAGGAATACTCTCCTATATGCCGGAATTCAATCGCCACCAGACCGACAAACTATTTTTGCCTGCGCTGACGATCTGTTGCAACGATTCGACTACCGATGGCCAAATCTCTATACAAAATGCATGCACAGCCTTTTAGAGAAGGGCGCTTTTGAGGAAGCTGTAGAGACACATCTGCATTTGTCCGACAAATTCCTTCCTGACCATCACATCCTGGGCATGTTTTTCGAAAACTTTGTTCGAAACCCGGATAAAAGACTTCAAAAGGCACTGACCAAGGTATACCTCTCACTGCCGCAACACAATCTTTATGACAGTATTATCCCTGCCCTGTTTGAATCAGGGCAATCGGGACTGGCGAAATGTTGGCGCCGAACGCTCTTGCTCAAAAATGATCTGCCGTCCTCCTCGTCCTCCGGGCCCTTTCTTGCATTCCTTGCCAGCTATTATACGAACACAAATTTCGTACCAGCAGAACGTCGCATCATAGATCTCATCCTGGACAAAGTTAGGCCAAAGAGAAGCAAGAAGGGATCGACAATTCGATGTATTTCTGCTACCTCAAAGACACACAGGAGTACTCGGGCGGACACTATGGCTTCATTTAATCGGAGGAGGCCTGGCACTGCTGAGAATTCACCTCAATCACAATCCTCCACCAATAGCTTGGTAGATGGTATCGTTGAGAAATTCTTCGCCAGCAGCTGGACTCCTGTCAATTTTGCCATGCAATTGGCGAAAAACGCTGGGATTCAATCTATTGGATCGCGAGCATTCCAAGCTCTCGCACTTCGAGCAAGCAATGCGGCCGAGGCCAAAGAGTTGATTGAAACACTGCAGAAGCTCAATATTTCCACTCCTACAGGTGCATATTGTACTGCAGTATCAGAATTTGCGAGGCAAGGCCATGATAACTTGCTGAACAGCCTCCTGCAATCCGACATACACCCGGAGGAATTTGATGATGAAGAGACGAGGCAAATGATTCTAGATAACTCCATCCGAAGACACGACACGGAACAGGAAAGGCTCATGCGTGGTGTGATGAGCGTGATCGATGCGCAGACACCACCGTCGCAACAGTCTGCACCGTTTCAGATTGCCGACGTTGAGCCTGCATTTGGCCTAGAGAAGCTCCTCTTTGATGAGCCTTGGCGAATGAAACTCGCTCTGGAGCGCTTGGCTTCTCTGGATTTTCGAATTGGTTCAATCGAAGCCTCTGCCATTTTGCGCAAAGCATTCGCAGCCTTTCCAGCCGATAGCTCTGGCGTTGTATGGAATTCGAGCGAGTGTATCCGCATCCTGGACGAAGTTATCGGAGTGGCTCGCTGCATCGCAGCTCATGATGTTGCCATTCGTTCAGAATATTGGAAAATGCTGCTGCTCGGTTTGGGACAACAAGGAAGGCTCGATATGTTGGAGCAACTCAGCCTCGAGATTGTGGATATGTATGACCAGAGTCTTGGAGGCTGGTTTGCAGTACATAAGGCAGATCTGCCAAAAATATCGAAACTTGCTACAGAGTTTCTACGGCGCACCGATAACGCAGGCTATATCCCTGCTGACCTTTCCTATTACCACCATCATCATCCCCTATTCAAGATTTTCGATGGCAAATTCCAACGGAGTACAGTGAAATCAGGATTTGACGGGGCCCTCAACATTCTGGAGGGCACGACATTGAAATCGGCGGTGCATAATGCATTAGTGACGAGATTCAATGTTGGATCTGGTGTACATATCCTCGCAAAATTGCGCGATCGGGGTATTTTCATCGACCTAGATTTGGTCGAGTCGGCCGCCCGCAACGGCATCTACTCAAGCCATAAGTTGAAACAGCGTGACGGGGATCCGAGGGTTAAAAACTGGCTCTCGTCTATGCAGATGAAGGAAGCCATTGATCGTGCCTGGGGATCAACGCTCATGCCAGCTGGGTACATCATCGGTCTTGACAAGAAGGACTTGAGAGCACTGCCGGCGTCTAAAAGATGATACAGTTCACTTGACAAGAACAAGCGAAAACGAGAACCATAATTATTTTATATTATTCTAAGCATATACCCATAGTCCCCAGCCTAAGCTACAGCGAAGCGAAGCGTTTAATACTATATTGTACAGTCCTATCACAACAAGAGAGCCCAGATATTGCTTGTATATGCAGTGCACTTTGTCTGACGCTGGCGTCAGGACTTGAGGCTGGCGCCCAACAAGAACAATCCCTCAACCGTTCCTCTTTGGCTTTACTAGAAGGACAATGAATAGGCCAGCAATAAGGATTATGAGCAGCAGGATAATTTTGCGTTTTGTCGTTTTCCGCTGGTAGCCAGACGCAACCTTGAGTTCAACCTCGGCACCCTTAACGTCTGTATGCATACGTTCAACATTGTAATCAATACGGTCGAGCATAGTGCCTTGATCGATGACCATGTTTTGAAGGTCGCGAAACAGGTCAGAGAGTTCAATGATACCCTGAGCAATATCTTCAATCTCGCGTTCTCGTTGGGCTATGGCCGCGTCGTTTGATGTGAGCAGCCGCTGTTGAGCCACTTGCAGCGTGGACTGCGAGAAAGATCTGTCGGCATCGGACTCCTGTACTGAAGGGTCGGTGTATGCCCCGGGCGCTGGTGAGGATGATCGAGCGTCCGGCGTCGGTTGTCCCAGCCCGGCCATGCCCCGAAGCTCTGGAGTAATCTTGGTTAGTATTTGGGAGTGACATAGCTGTAGAAGGCTTTATACTCTTGAGGTATGCGCTCTGCTTTTTGCGGAAGTTTGCGCTGGCATCCTGCACCCTTGCGGCTAGGGATATTTGTATATTTTTGGCCATGGTCTCTTCAGCGCGGCTAAGGGTCCCTGATTGCTTGGACTCGCGGACCATCTGCTCCACACGCTGGATACATCGGTGACAGTCATGGAAGCCCTTTGTGATTTCTTGGGTGAGCTTTTCGATTTGCGCTTCCTCGGTTTTCTTTGCTTCGTCGTCATTGAATGCTGGCAGGACGTGTTTTTGGTGTAGCTTCTCCAATCGCTGCCCTTTTGTCGCAATGGTGGCCAGGAGCTCAGTGATCTCATCTGATATGTCGGCCCATCGAGGAGGCAACAGGTCCATCTCGATTACAGCGTCGCCATCGTCTTCGAATGCAGCGCCCGAGAGCAGGCCACGCCGATCCTCGCTGGCATAGTTGCTTGACGAGTACGCATCTGAGAACGCACCGGAGCCAGCAGCACTATATTTGTTTCGTTGTATAGGATGGTGCGTATACGACTGCCGGTACGAAATATATCTGTACATACACATGTTAGCAATTAGGGGCGCATTTGGGAGCTTGCGCGGGTGGGCTCCGGACAGATTGGTGCGGTCTCGCCACATGGCGGACGCTGTTGCGACTCAAAACTTCCGTCCTGTGCTGCCTGAAGAAAGCTATGCGACTCTTGAATAATGTCGAATCCGACAATGCTGGGAGCAGGGATGGCAGTCAAGGGGCGTAGTGGTGGACAGCAGGCTTAGTAGCAGTATGGGTGGCCTCTTTTTAGCATTTGGGGATGACGCCGCTGCCCAGCCCAGCGAGCCGCTGGTGGGAGACTGACTGACAGCAGTGGATCCGGGTGCGGCGTTGCGGCATGTCAAACTCCACCAGTTTGGCCGACCTACCTTATGATGCTATGTACCCGTGGTATAGAGCAAGACATTCTGCTACAAAGAAATTTACATGAACATTTTCAGAGGCTTGGTGTTCATTTTTTATGCCGTTGGCAACTTGATCGTCGCAGATAGTGTAGAACTTGCACGGCTCAGAAGCTTGGCTGTTGCTCAAGCTCTCCAATGACATAAGCAGGGCCAAGCTTGCGGTAAGGTTGCCCGAGCATGGAATTGCCAACAAGCCGCCGTGCTGCAGGCATCTTGCAAGATAATACTCTTTAGGGATGTCGACCGTAAAAGAATTCCGATGGTGATTGGATACAGCCAGGCGTCCAGATACTGTCACGTGTCAGTACAGTGGTGCCTTATTCTTCAGAGCGTTCTCTGTACCTGTCGTGTACGACCGACCGCATGATAACGTTGCTGGTGGAGCCCCAAGGCGGCGTGCGTCTCAGTGCTGCGCTCACAGAGGGGGCGGCGTCAGCTCTTTGGGCGTTTCCTCGCTGTGGGCTCCGACACAGTGCTACACACAATTGTTGCCTCTATTTCTGCCTTGTTTCCCCCCTTTGCCTCTCCCCACGTCTGCCGTCGCAACTAAACAAAAGCCGTACGGATCTTGAACACCTACGCTGCTGTCACCCTAACCTCCTGATTTCTACTCTCGTTCATATTCTTCGCTCCTCATACTATCCACCATGGTTCGTCTGCCACTGAGTGCTGTCCTCGCCTGGCCGCTACTTACTTGCGGTGACCCCGCGATGTGACGGGCTGGACAGAAAGCTGCCGCAGCCACCACACGTTCGCTAACGCAGCTACCTCGCGCAGGCTGATTCCCTTACTGAAGACCAGGTCGCCGAGTTCAAGGAGGCTTTCTCTCTCTTTGTAAGTAGATCACTAGCCTTATCTACCGCCTCGCGCGTCACTTCCCGAACACGGACCCTAACTACCTTTTGCACAGGACAAGGATGGTGATGGTGAGTGCCTTCAAACCCATGCACGACTCAACCCACATCGATCGTGCGCATCAATATTCGACGAAGCGACTTATCGACGACTTGTGCCCGACGCCCAAGTGCATGCCCTCCGCGCCGGAAGACCACCGAGCTAACGTCAACACTGCAGGCCAAATCACGACCAAGGAGCTCGGCACTGTCATGCGCTCCCTTGGCCAGAACCCTTCCGAGTCGGAGCTTCAGGATATGATCAACGAGGTCGATGCCGACAACAACGGCACCATCGATTTCCCTGGTAGGTGGAGTGGCTAGGCTGGTACTCTGCGGCGCAAAAGCTTACTGGATGAAAAGAATTTCTTACTATGATGGCCCGCAAGATGAAGGATACCGATTCTGAGGAGGAAATCATGGAAGCCTTCAAGGTTCGTGTTAAGGGTTGGGTATGCCTGCCGTCGAATCCAGCCGACTTACCATCTACAGGTTTTCGACCGCGACAACAACGGCTTCATTTCCGCTGCTGAGCTGCGACATGTCATGACTTCTATCGGCGAGAAGCTTACCGATGATGAAGTTGACGAGATGATCCGCGAGGCTGATCAGGACGGTGATGGCCGCATTGACTGTAAGCCCCACGCACTCGAGGCGCCCAACATGGAACTAACGTCTGTTCAGATAACGAGTTTGTCCAGCTCATGATGCAAAAATAAATTGGAGTTCGGTCGGCGAGCTTTCCAACGAGCGACATTTTGGCGGCACATCTGTCTCGCGGCCGATCTATATCAGCAGGCGTTGCAGTGTAGGCAAGTTTGGGATGTTTCGCGAGTTTGGACCATACCTACATCTTTGCTATGTGACAAGATTGGCGAGCGAATCAGAATATTTTTTTTTTGAAAAATAACCGAGGGACTATTCGTCCACGACTTATGGAATGAAGTGCTTGTCAACCGTGCTCTGAACTTTCACAGCAAGTTGATGGCGTAGGGTTAGCAATCTCTTACCGGGAAATAAAAATATCTCTTTGAATGGTCGCATACTTGCAATTCGCCGTCTCAAAGTTCATTGATGGTGCTTTCTGCTCTCCAGAGTACAGACAGTCGTGCACTTTGCCTGAACTTGACTCGCCAAGATATGTCTATGCGGTTGGTGAAGGCAATTACTGTCCTTGGCGTTATATACGACTACTGTGATATTTGTATACATCATAAGAGATATGTGATTATTCGTATTCTGAGTTTTATTAAAAAGTACGGAATAGGCATGGGATGCGCTGATAAAAATCCTGCGAATGCGAATCTCAATTGAATGCTTCGTGGGAGCGCGGGCCGCATTTTTCCCGAGTAAGATGGAGGAGGTGCTGGCAGCGGCGACGGTCTTGGGTGGTGGCCTCTTTGCTGCCCCACGTTAGACGATGGACAATGCCGACCGCACACACTCCCCAGACACGTTGTTGCGGATACCTCTTGTCACTGCTTGTTCGAGGAACAGTTGGGGCCAAGAAATCTCAAATTACCAGATCCTTATCTTGTGCGCCCTTTGCACTTGATACTACCCTATTTCTGGAACCTGACCAGCTCGGCGACCCATTCTCGGGGTCGTCCCCCTTCTCAAGATGAGCTCCCGTACGATGACGCCGCATCAAGCCTCCTCTGTCCCAAATGCCGATATATGCTAACAAACTCGGTGCGATAGTTAAACAGTTTATTCGCAATGTGCGTGCCGCCAAGACAATCGCCGACGAACGAGCCGTTATCCAGAAAGAAAGCGCCGCTATTCGAGCAAGCTTTCGCGAAGAGAGCGCTGACCATGGCATTCGGTATGCGATAGAACTCGATACTTGCGCTCCTGGGCACATTCGATTACTCACACTTTGAATCAGACGAAACAATGTCGCGAAACTGCTCTACCTCTTCACGCTCGGCGAGCGAACACACTTTGGTCAAATCGAGTGCATCAAGTTGCTAGCATCACCCCGCTTTGCTGATAAAAGACTTGGCCATCTTGCGACTAGTTTACTACTGGATGAGAATCAAGAGGTCTTGACTCTGGTTACAAATTCTTTGAAAAAGTGAGCCTTTCACCTCTGATAGCAGCGACCGATGCTAACAGCACCCAGCGACCTTGGCCATTCGAACCAATACATCGTTGGTCTGGCGCTTTGCACGCTCGGAAACATTGCGTCGATTGAAATGTCAAGAGACTTATTCCCGGAAATCGAGAACCTGTTATCAACTTCGAACCCATACATCCGTCGCAAGGCAGCACTCTGTGCCATGAGAATATGTCGAAAGGTGCCAGATCTCCAGGAGCACTTCCTTGAAAAGGCTACCCAGCTGCTCTCAGATAGAAACCATGGCGTTCTCCTCTGCGGCTTGACACTGGTGACCAGCCTTTGTGAAGCGGACGAGGAAGAGGGCGGCGAGGAGGGTATCGTAGAGAAATTCCGCTCTTTTGTTCCTGGTCTCGTCAAGATCCTGAAAAGCCTATCCACTTCAGGTTATGCGCCGGAACATGATGTCACAGGTATCACAGACCCCTTCTTGCAAGTCAAGATTCTTCGCCTCCTGAGAATACTTGCTATGGGTGATCCTGAAACGAGCGAGCATATCAATGATATACTTGCGCAAGTGGCTACTAACACGGATTCCTCTAAGAACGTGGGAAATTCCATCCTCTACGAAGCAGTTCGAACTATTCTCGATATCGAGGCCGACTCAGGATTGCGTGTTTTAGGTGTCAATATTCTAGGAAAGTTTTTGACCAACCGCGATAACAATATCCGTTACGTTGCTCTCAACACCTTGATTAAAGTTGTTGCGATTGAACCAAATGCTGTTCAGAGACATAGAAACACGATTCTGGAATGCTTGAGAGACCCTGACATCAGTATCAGGCGGAGAGCATTGGAGCTGAGCTTCACTCTGATCAACGAGAGCAACGTTCGCGTCTTGATTCGCGAGCTCCTGGCTTTCCTAGAAGTCGCTGATAACGAGTTTAAGCCCACCATGACGAGTCAAATTGGTATCGCGGCAGATAAATTCGCCCCGAACAAGAGATGGCACTTCGATACCATGCTGCGTGTTCTCTGCCTTGCTGGAAACTTTGTCAAGGAACAGATCCTCTCTTCATACGTCCGCCTCATTGCAACGACCCCTGAGCTCCAGACATATGCCGTGCAAAAGTTGTACGTCAACCTGAAGAAGGATATCACACAAGAGAGCCTGACTCAAGCTGGCGCTTGGTGCATCGGAGAGTATGCCGACGCGCTACTTAAGGGTGGCCAGTACGAAGAGGAAGAGCTCGTGCAAGAAGTCAAGGAGTCCGAGGTCATCGATCTTTTTGCTCTCATTCTGAACAGCAGTTACGCCAATCAAGTTTCAACGGAATACATTGTCACAGCACTTATGAAGCTTACTACGCGCTTCTCAGATGCGTCTTCGGTTGAGAGGGTGAGGCGCATACTCCAGAATCACCAAACGAGCTTGGATGTCGAAGTACAGCAGCGGGCTGTCGAGTACAGCAATTTATTCGGCTTCGATCAAATTCGCAGGGGCGTGCTAGAAAAGATGCCGCCGCCGCAAATCAAGGAGGAGTCCCGTGTCCTCGGGCCCGCCCCGACCAAGAAATCTAGGGCCGCTGCTAACCGCAGATCCAAGATCATCAAACCAACAGAGCAAGATCTCCTTGATATTATGGATACTCCGGCTACGACATTGCCCCCCTCCAATGGTGGGCAAAACTCGAACTCCGATCTGCTGGCAGATATACTGGGCGGTGGTCTCGGCTCCGATTCTACCCCAGCCGCGCCCCTGCAGTCCAACACTTCGTCCATACTGGATCTGTTTGGCAGCGGAGCTGGATCCTCGGCACAATCTGCCAGCCCATCATCATCTGGTTTGGATATGCTCTCTCAACCTAGTGCTCCTGCTCCTCAGCAAGCTCCGCAAGGTAGCCAGGGCATTGCGTGTTATCATTCAAATGACCTCAATGTCACCTTCCAAGTTCAACGCAACGCCGAAGGCATGATACAGGCGACTGCCAAGTTCCAGAATACGTCTACCTCCGCTACCCTGTCAAACGTCGGCCTCCAAGCTGCCGTCCCCAAATCTCAAAAGCTCCAGCTTCTCAGTGTATCTTCTACAACTCTGTCACCTGGTGCCGATGCCACTCAAATGATGAGAGTTTCAGGATGCAAAGGCGTAAGTATACACATCCCATAGCGGCAAAACACGTTCGGCTGTACTAACGCTTTCTCTGCAGCCGCTCCGCCTTCGTCTCCGAATCGGATACACACATCCAACTGCAGGTCAAGTCATGGAGCAGGTCAATTGGACAGAATCTTGAGATGTGTTGGATTAGTGCAATTGCCGCGATCGATCGGTAAACAAGGAGAAAAGCGTGTTGAGGCAGTTGTGCCTTTCAGTATTCTGCGGTGGGTTAAAACGCGCAAGTGGTAAGATAGAAATCACACGTTAAATAAAATGATACTTTTCAATAATGTATGAGAATATGGCGCATTTTGCGATGCAATGACCTGTGCATGCTGTATTGGGTCTTGTAAACCGGCTCGGGTCCATGAGCGGGAGGAGTGGAGGCATAAACTTGCCAGAAACAACAGCGGAAACCTGTTGGCAGCCAGTCATTCATTACTCATGCCTCATTTGCGGACACTCTGCGACAGATCATCCAGTGTCTATTCCAAGCTGCCACTTAGGCTGTCGACTCATTACTACTCTACAAGAACAGGCCACGGTTATATGGCAAGACCAGCCACCAAATTGGGGCATCTGGAGCGCACTTCCGCAGAGCCTCGCGAGAAGGTGACTAAGCCAATGAACAATAATATATACGAACGCGAAGCCAAAAAAGAAGGAGCCAAACAAAAAGACGACTGACTGAATTGCAGAATCTCCTGCCGGTGACAATTGTCGGCGTCGAACGTGCCAATGAGAAGATTCGCCTCTTGAGGCTCGGCCTACAAGACGGCCCATCGAACGTGAGTCTTGTATCATTCGACATCTCCATCGCATGCCTACATCTTAGCTTATGCACAGCCCCTCATAGTTTCTTGCTGGACAATGGCTGGATACGTTTGTCCCTGGTAACCCGAAGCCGGGCGGCTTTACCATTGCCTCGCCGCCGTCAGCCGCCCGGCAGGCAGCGGAGCCGTATTTCGAACTGGCCGTCCAGGAAGCACCCGAGAATCCGGCAGCGGCGTGGCTATGGAAGCCGGAGAGCGAAGTACTGGGCGAGAATCTGGAAGTGCGTGTCGGCGGAAGCTTCGTCTGCCCGCCACCCGAGGGCCTCGGCGGCATTCGGCGCATCGTATTCGTTGCTGGCGGGGTGGGCATCAACCCCCTCATGAGCATCCTGGGCTACATTTCGGACGAGAAGGAGAGGCTTGACATGCACGTCTCTGTAATGTACGGTACAAAGGTTCCAGAAGATGGGGACCTGGGCAAGGTGCTGTTTTTGGATAGAATCGCGGACCTGTTTCGGCAGGATCGCGTGAGGGGCTCAGTGAAGCTTTTTATTACGGGATCGGCGTCTCACAGTGGAGAGGTGAAGGGTGATAGAGCTGACGAAGTCGGCATCAGATTTAGGAGAATGGAACAGAGTGACGTCCTCTCGGAAATCCGTGCTGGCGAGAGCAAAGATAGCACGCTGGTGTATGTATGCGGCCCGCCGGCCATGACAGACTCGTTCGTCGACTTGTTGACAGCGCCGGATATGGCGAGCGTCATTGATGCTGGGCACGTAAAATCAGAGAAGTGGTGGTGATAGATGAGGATGTTTAGTTAAGATCAAAGGAGAGAGCAAGTGGTATATATTTAGGATAGTTCAAAACGCCAAACCTCACATTTTGCTGGTGCTGATTTGCCCAAAGCACCCTCGACTGCTTGAAAATAAAAGCCAAAAGCCCATCCTTATGCTCATTTCTGCATTTTTAATGCAACGTAGGTTTTCATCAACCAAATAGATCTTGAGCCTTTTGTCTCGGTTTTGTCCTGCCCCCTTCAAACAACTCCTTGCCCGCGTTACTGCCGCCCAGCTTGCCTGGGAACAACTCGCGGGCATTTGCGGTGCCCTTGATGCTGAACCCCGTGTCCCCTTCGCCAGTCTGGCTTGCCGCACCCTTGATGTTGAAGCTTCCGCCCCGCGAGCCCACAGGCACTGTGACGACTTTGGGCATGTCCTCCTCCCGAAGATGAGCGGACCCGATGGCGTCCTCAAGTCTATCGAGTTGGCCGCTGGCGGAACCGAACTTGGAGGGGAACAGCTCCTTGGCACCGTTTTCGGTGCGGAGCCGCTCCTTCACGGCACGGGCCGAGTCTCTGTTGCGGGACGATGAATCGTGCGTACTGCCCATAGAGGCATCGCCGTCGTTGTCGCGGAGAGGCGACGCAGAACGGTTGCGGCGCGACGCTCTGTCTGCAAAGAGCTCCTTGCCGCGATTCTCTCGCGCGTACGAGTCCCGTCTGTCGCCAGAGTCGGATCGTCTTCTTGTCGGTGGACGGGGCGCGTCGTCGTACATGCTGGCCTCGAACGTTTCCACCTCCTCATCCGAGCCATCGCGCCGGCGACGGTCGCCTCCTCTGCGGTAGCCACTGTTGTCCCTATCCCTGTAGCGCGAGCGGGATTCCTGCTGTCGCCGGCGGCGCTCTTCGGGGTCGTGTTCTGGGTGGAGGAGATAGTAGCGGCTGCGAAGGGCCGCGCCGACTTGCTTCCGGTCGCTGGCCACCGCGAATCTGACGTGCAGAGTGACCTCCGGCTTTCCCTCGACGGGCTTTGCGGGAAGCGTTTCCCCGGCGGGGAGAGCGGTGGCATCTGCAATCTCAATGGAGCTGAGCGCGATCATTGCGTCGCGGGCGCTCGAGTCGGAGCCAAAGACCAAGTTGGCGGAGGTATCATCGACCCATTCCACTCTATCGACGGGGGCGAAGTGGGATTTGACATATGCTTTGATGTCATCTGTGTGTAGAGAGTCGACGCCTCGTATGTTAATCTTGTTGGATACGATCGTAGTGGCGTCCTCGTCAAGCTTTGGGTCGTCGTCCGCAATCTCGCCGGGCTCGTCGACCTCGTCGGGTTGCTTGGAAGGCGTTAGTCACGAGGAGAAGTCCTCGATTGATCTGAGTCTATCATACCAGAATATCGTCTGCGTCAGGGAGAGGCGCCAGAACCGCATCGTGGTGGCCATCGGCGGCATCGCCCATCTCAATATCCAGATCCATCGCAGCGGGAAGTGAGTGATCAGCAGGGCTGGTATACAGAAATCGGATGTATCATAAAAACGTGGCATGCACACTCGAACGATGAAACAAATGAAATGAGATCAATAAAATGTCCAGAAGTCGCCGAGCACCGAGGGTGGGTTGGGGGGTGGTGGTGCAGGTATGTAAAACTGCCAAATCGTGTGAGAGCAACATTTGAATGCGCTGTCCCAAGGTCGGCCCGCTCAACTGTTAGTGGTAACTACGCGGTAGACAAGCGGAGGATAAGACAGATAGATGGCTTGACTATTTAGCGCCTGGCGAGCGCGCATCTAAATATATGTACATTGTTGCTATTGAATGGACCTTTGATCTGGAAAAGAGAACCCTTGGGAGCATTTTATCACGCAAATTTACGTATCATTTTTTCCCCTCCTTGGTGCATGTTGTAGAGGTGAACCTACATGACAGCCCGACACCTGCGCTCTGTAGCCGCCGGATCGACGCCCAGGTACCTCATCGTTCCCCGTCACTGCTGTGCCCTTTCAGAACCGCTAATTGCCATTTCTCACAATGGGAGATTTTTGGCTAATAAGCGGCCACACTTCTGCTGGAAACCTACGGGTCGCTAGCCCGCAAATTACGTCGAGCTGAGTGAGGCCAATCCAAGACAAGTCTTCAGTCGGCCCCCCGCAAGCTCCATCAACTCCGCACCAACAGAAGTGTTTACTCGGCTCAGCTCTCCCAGTGGAACAGCTTCCCGGGCTGGTGGCAGTATGTACATAGTTGCACAACCCCTGATTTATACGATCCCCGTCGCGTTGCTGCTAACGACTTGTCCAGGTAAATCCACTCCGGAAGTAGGACAGGAAGCTAAAGACTATGCAGCATCAAAACAGGTTAAAATGCTCCAAGGATGAGCCGTCATCGCATGCATCGCTATTGTCTCTGTCAATTATCCAAGAAAGAGGCTATGACGACCATGTCCAGTCTCTCAGCAAAGTTAACAACAGTTAGCACCAGAAGTCAGGTATGACAAGAAGATATCTCTAGGCGGAGCCTTTCTCATACTAGATGTGGTACGGGGGTGAAATGGAGGTATAGGGTAATTTGCGCCCTAATAACGGCCCCGCTAGGCACGCTCATAGAGGCAGGCTGTGCGATAGCAACCCCGCGATCCAAAAAAACCACTGTGCCTGGCGCAATTGGCCATCTTGGAAGACCCTGCGCGACGCCTGCTTTTGGGGACACACAACGCCCCGAAGACACTACCACCCCTCAACAAGCGTCTCGCCGTTCTGTGTGCAGGGCATAGACCTTGAATCGCCGACAACGGCCGAATCTCTCCTCTCCGGACCTCCAACGCCAGAGACGCTCAGCGTCAAGCGATGAATTGAGTGCAACAACCATGCCCCAAGATCCAGCTGCCGCCCTCAGCTCCCTGCTGCGTGGTGCATCAATTGACGACCACGAAGAGGTTCTAAAAGCCGCCAACCTTGCGATCAAGGCCGATAAGAGCGACATTCTCGCCAGGCACACCAAGCTAGTGGCCCTGCTCAAGCTTGACCGGTTCAATGATGCCGCACGATTCCTCGCCGAGAGCGGCTCCGCGCTCGAATCGAACTGCATCTTAGAAAAAGCCTATGCTCTTTACAAATCTGGAGAGCTTGAGGAAGCGACAGCGACCCTCAAAAAGGCCGGCTTGCGCGGACGTAGCCTGCAGCACATCGCCGCTCAGGTTGCCTACAGGGCCGAACGATTTAGCGAAGCCGGGCAAATCTACGAGGAGCTGCTAGATGGTAATGTGGGCGATGAAGAAAACGACTTGACCATAAACCTCAAAGCCGTGCACGCGCAAGCAGAGTGGAGTGGCCTGTCTGCGCCATCCGAGTCACTTCGCAGCATGCCTGATTCTTTCGAACTGTGTTACAACATTGCGTGCGCCAGAATTGCCAGAGGCGAGCTTGATGAAGCTACCAAGCTTCTTCAACGGGCAGCCACTCTTTGCAAGGCTTCTGACGACCTAGGGGAAGAGGACAAGGAGGCGGAGCTTCGACCGATTTGGCTCCAGCAAGCCTACGTCTATGCCAGAGAGGGCAAGCTTAAGGAAGCACTTGACCTGTACAATTCAATAGGGTCACTAAGGTATGTTGAGTGACCATCTTACCCCTTCTTTCGTCTACCTACTCACTCTGCATCCAGCAACGACGACGAAGATTTCATCATTGTCGCCCGACAGAACCGGCTCTCACTTGAAGCGAAGCCCGCGAACCCGTACCTTCTACAGAGACAAATGACTTCAGGAGGTGGAAAGCCAGAAAACGCCAAGCTCTTCAGCTACCAATCAAGCCGCGAGCGCCATAATTCATATTTGCTCGACCTGGACGTGCATAAGTCAAGCGGCGTCCAGGAAAAGACACACAAGTTCCTTCAGCAGTCGGAACAGCCGACGAACAGCGCCAGTGTCAATTCCATGGCAGTCGTGAACGCCGCCGCTGTAGTTGAGGGACTAGATGACAGAGCTGCTGTTCGGAAGCTGCAGGCTCTTGTGATCAAGCGACCTTTGGATGTTGGCCTTCTTCTAACCATCATTCAGCTCCAGCTCCGTCTCAGTCGGAAGGGCGCGGCCCTTTCCCTTCTCCAGACGTTCTTTAAGCGACTAGAGAAGGAAGATACTGATGCCGCAAGAGATGTTCGCTTCAGCCCCGGCCTGGTTGCGCTGGCGGTATCTTTGATGCGCGCGCAGGGACACGAGAACTCTGCGAAGGCCGAATTCGTCACTGCTGCCAACCACTGGACGAAGCGTCCCAACGCCTCGTCGGACTCCCTCCTGCGCGAATCTGGCATCGAGCTCATGCGGTCGTCTAACCCCGAAGACTTGAAGCTGGCAGGCTCGGCATTCGAGAAGCTCTTCGCAGAGCACAAGGGCTCTCCCATTGCCTCTGCCGGCCTCGTCGCCTCGCTTGCCGCCGTGGATACAGACAAGACGAGCCAGCACATGTCCGAGCTCCCGCCCGTCGAGTCCCTCATCAAGGGCATCAACGTCAAGGCCCTCATCCAGGCGGGCGTCGCGACCGCCCCGAGCCGACCGAACAACAGCAAGAAGCGCGCGGCCACCGATGATGCTGCCGCCACCGAAAGGGCGTCCGCGAAGAGCCGCCGCCGCCGTCGCCTACCCAAGGACTTCGAGGAGGGCAAGACGCCAGCGCCCGACCCGGAGCGCTGGTTGTCGCTGCGGGACCGCTCGTCGTATCGCCCCAAGAACAAGAAGGGCAAGAAGAAGGCGGCCGACTCGACGCAAGGCGGCGTCGTCAAGGAAGAGGAAACGCTAGGTCTTGTTGGCGGCGGCGGCGTCAGGGTTGAGAAGGCTGGTAGTGGTGGCGGTGGTGCCGCTGGCGGTGGCGGGGCCAAGAAGAAGAAGAAGGGCAAGAAATAAATAGAAGCGTGATTCTGCTAGGACGTGGTCTTACTGCCAGGTGGACTAGGGGCAGGTGTGGAATTTGGGTGTAATCTGGGCGATCCGCGTTCAATATACAGATACTGAAGTAGTAAACGTGATGGCCTCGCTTGTCCTTATAGAGCTCACACAAAGAGTGCCATGAATAAAATAGTACAAGTAGTATTTTTGAATGTTGCTGTAACGACACGCTTCTACGACACGCTTCTGGGCTGAATATGTTCTGTCTCTTCATCCTTCCCTTTTTCCTCTCCCCACAATCGCTAAATAACACAAACGTAAATCGCAAAGTACTTCTCTTGTTCTTCTGCCGCTGCGCTTAGTATGAGTAGTTCGTTCTGATGTAATGGCCAGGCCGTCCGGTGTTCGCTTGTGCTGTCTCTATGTATCTGCAACTCGCAATGCGCGACTGGCAAGCTTGGCAAGGTGTTGGTTCGAACCGACCCCCTCCCCTACTTCATCTTCTTCGCTGTCATTGTTGCTATCAGAGCTATTTCCAGCTCGCAGATCGAGAGCAGTTTCTGTCGCAGACTTCCCATTTGTGTCTGATTTAACATCTTCCTCATCTGACTCCGTTTCAATAGGTGGTAACGAGGACCTCCGTCCATCGGAAAAACTCAAGGCAGCTTCACTCTCAGCATCGGACGGAATTGCAAGACGTCCGCCAGCGGAAACAGTCCTAGCAGCTTGTGCTGACGAATATTTCCGGTGAAGCTCTCTGAAACTCAATGCAGTAGCCGTATTTGCGCTTGCGGCAGATTCACGTCGGTTGCGCGACTCGGCACCTTCCAAAGAGGCTTCAATAGCAGAATGAAAATCCTCATCGCCGCCGTAACTTAGGCTAGGGGACGGAGGTTGATCACCCTGATGCTGAAGTTTCAATGCAATGATTTTATCATCATTGGACATGCTTTGGATTTCAGTGCCCAAGTTAATAACCGAAGCCTTCTTGCCGTGGACAACAAAGCTACCCGTGCCGCGTGATAGCATGTGATCTCTTCCAGTTTCCTCGGATCGCGTGAAATCAGTTTCTTTTCCTCTCCTACTCCTGTGATGAGACAGGTGACCCGCACTCTCCCTAAGAGTACGCTGAAGACTGCGGCGGACTTTCGTTCTCTCCAGCTTGTCACGTTCAGCTGCTGTGTCCGTAGCGTCGGCGGTGGCGAGAGGTGTATTCGGCTTGTCAGCAGTGTCTTTCCTGGTTGTGTCTCTTAGAAGCCCTGCCTGCCTCAGTAGATCTCGCTCTTCGGCATCCATATCGTCCAAGTCACTGGATTTGCGTGGCTGTGTATTCTCAGGTTCACTTTGACGCCTTGCCCTCTTCGAGACAGGATTAGATATCGGAGTCGGTGATGCCGCACTTGTGCAAGACGCCGAATCGGGCTCGCTTTCTTTGAGTGCCTCGTTGCCGTTGGGCGCATTTGCTACACTGGGAAGTTGGAAAGCGGATGGCTCTACAGGGGTGACGGAGCCGTTTTCGCTTGTGCTGTGCTTGGTCGCTTTGGATTCTGTCCTCACAACAGCAGACTTCGGGGTTGGCGAACCAGCCGGCTCCAAATTTTGTTTTTTGCTTGGCGTTGACAAAGCTGGGGATGCTGGAAGCTCTTCGTTCAAGTCTTGGAGTAAGATGTCTCGGTGGCAAGTCTCCTTCCAAATCTGCATGCGAGTCCACTTGAGCTGCGCACTCATACGAGCAGCAGCAGATAGAAGGCTTTCCCGTGTCCGCGGTTGTATCGGTGCTAGTATTTGAAGATGGCGAGCATTTCGTAGCTGCTCTTCGAGTTGCTTGTGGGCCTCCTCTACTTTGTGATTTGACTCTGCGATCCGCGCTTTCATGTATCCGCGCCGTGCAATCTGAATGTCCTCGGCCATCTTGAAGTCAATCTTTCCACGCGCAATCGTAACAGGTCCAGTAGGCGTTTGGACAAGTTGAATGCCATCGGAGCTATCGAGGCGTCTCATACCTCTCCTGCCTTGACCATCGTAGTTCCCGCCAACAATGCCGCGCATTTTCACGCCTGACGTCCGAAAGGCAGCAGCATAATTCAGCTTAGCTAGCCAGTCATTCAGCTCGTCTTCATTGTCCGCAAGGAGAACTTCGTCAAGTCCTTCTTGTCGTACATAGACGAATGCATTTTTATGCTTTTTATATGTTGTGTCCAGCAAGGCCACCGCCCCGTGCGTCGACATCAATGCATCTGGCTTGAACTCATGAAGGGGAGGGTTGAAAGTAATAGGGACGCCATCGTGCCCAGCTTTGATGTGGTTTTCGTATTGGTGCACGAGACTCTTTACCCAGCTTGTGTTGCGGAAGAAGTACAGCTGTGCGCCAGTGAGGATAGCTCCCCATTCCTGCCAAGGTGATCTAGTTTTCCTCTTTTTGGCGTCCTTGCGCCACAGCAAGCCGACCTTTGTGATTTTAATATCGACAATTCCCTGCGGAGCCTCATCGGGGTTGGTAGCGGTCTTTTCAGACATGAAAGCATCGGGTCGGGATCTCGGTGATACAATTTGCAGGACGCCTGTACGAAAGAAGGTCTTCTGCAGATCGTTCATATTGAGGGAAGTTGCTGTACCCAGATAATTGAAGTGATCTTCCAAATACATAGTGTCTTTCCAATTCGGTCGTAATGGTTCAAGGGTTCCCTCAAAAATGAGTGTGTATGGATCAATGGGCTCCTTTGCCGCACGAGCAGCAGTATCGCCACCTGGAGCGGGGATAAGAGGTTTCCTCTTCGAATTATGAGTTGCATTTCGGTCGGCCGCCAGGTCTATCTCATCCTCAACGTGGATAAAGGGAGTGTATGATATGTTATCGTAGAAACACTCTAGTATATCGTCGAAGATGCCTTCTCCACGCGTGTTTTTGACATAATCTGACTTTTGCATCTTATGTTTGTTATTCTTGTTGAACACATCAGTGTGAAGAATGAGCAGCGAGAAAGCGATAAAGTATGCCTGATCGGGAGAAGAGTAGATGCCTGGGTTGCATTCATGGTACCGGTTTGCAAAGGCTTGCAAAAACCTGTCGATTTGCTGTGTTTCTTTGGGTAGCTCAGCCTGCATGAGAAGTTTTCTCAAAGCCATATCCATGGGATCGCCAAAGAAGCCAAAGCGCCTCATGTAGCTTCGCAAGACTGTGCCGAAGAATTGATCCGGAGTCTTGGCTAAGCTCGCTGCGATGATGCCGCGTGGAACATCCGCTTCCAGCCGTTCCAGATACTTAGTTGCGGACTCGTCGTTTTGTCTTTCTGGTAAAGTTATAGTATCGCGGCTCAACTGGAAAGAATTATGGTTGGAGGGAACAGAACCCGGCGTCAATGGAGTGAGAGTTCCTTGGCGTGCAAGATCTGAATTTTGACGAAGGCGGCTTATACCTAACAAGTCTCCGAAGCTCTTTCTTCCAGTTGAGATTGAAGTACGGGCTTGTGGGAGCACGAGGTGATCGTCGGTCGAGTCACGCCCTAGTGAGCTCATAGTCGAGGAACGGCCACGCAACACACTGACCCTGGTGGGTGATGACTGCCCAGACCGGCTATCTGCTCTCTGTAGGGCAGCAATTGTGGAGTATTGCGAGCCTTGCCTGCTCTCTATGCCATCAATATTTGGTCTTGGGGTCGTGGCACTTTGCGCCGAGGCTGGACGGGGCGTGGTGGCCACGCTCAATGCGGATGCCGACTGCCCGGTGGCTCCGACTCTGCTCTTTTGTGGCAAGTGTGCTAAGGGGAACATGGGTTCTGGCGTCTTTTTCATTCTTCTTAAGCGGAAGATAGAAGATGTTGGAGTCTTCTTAGGCGTGGTATTGGGGCTTGATAGCAAGGCGTTGTCGGTGGAACTAGCATCAGACCTCGAGGATTCGGAGGGGCGATACGCCGGAGTCGTCAGAGATGTTCCGTTTGATGTAGTAGAGGTTCGTGATTCTAACGGTGGGGACTGAGGCTCGTCTAATGTTGCGGTGGTAGGCCGCCCTCTGGCATCGTTGAATGACTTCCTGGCCTGTCTTTGGCTCTTGGGTCGGCTTTGCTGGTCGCTGTCGCGAGGGATGTCATTGGAGCGGCGAAATTTAGCGGCAGCCAGGCTCATTCGTGATTTCACTCTGCGGGGGCCATTGATATCGTTGGTCGGTGCAGTGGTAATGATGGCGGGAGCTGACTTCAGGTTAGCCAGGCTGGAAGGAATAATGTGGCTTGGGAATATGCAGTACTTGGAGGCAAGGGGGGTAATTGCTCTGCATGTTGTTTTGCTTTTAAAGAGAGCTGCGAATCTGACGCGTTTCTGAACCTCAGAATAGAGAAACGTTTCTGTCTACTGAGGTCGTCATGGTTGTGTGACGTATCAGGCCGGCTGGTAATCGAGTCGCGGGGTGTGTGTGTTGTGGTGATGGTGTGGTCGAGATCTGTTGCCCGCGCATCGTTACCAACGGCGGGGATGGCCTTTTTGGCATCTTTATCGCTTTTCGATGAAGTATTCTCGTGCCGTATATCCGATTCATTGGCAGGTAGGTTGCCACGTCGGCGTAGAAAGGGCATTGTGAGGATCGCCATGCATGGTAGGTAGAGCGCGCTATGGTCCTTGGTGGCCGGCTGGCTGGGCGACGCGCGGACTCGAGCAGCTTAAGCGGTAAGCATGTCAGGCAGCGCGGGAGGTTGTATGGCAAGTGCTGAAGGCGCAGTAGTGTGTGCAAGAAGGAGGTGAAGGTATAGTTAGCGAGGGTTGGAATGGCCAAGTTGCTGGGCTTGAATGCGAGATGGTCTCGATCAGGACAATTGGGCAAAGCCACTGGAGTGGCAGTATTCAAGTCAAGTGGAGTTTTTCGGTGCTTCGCAAGCCAGGGGCTGGAGCCGAGAGGTACTAGTACAGTACCTATACATACATAGGTCCAGCCAGCCAATGCGTAGTGGCATGGGCTACAGCTGCTATAGGGCGAGGTACTTGCATGGAAGGTCGCTTTCAAAAGTCGTGTCTCGTGCTGGATTTTTCTGATCTTTTTCTATTTTTCCTGTCTTTCTTATCTTAGTCATCTTACTCGTCTTTCTTGTCTTTCTTGTCTTTCTTCTATTCTTTATCTATACACTTATATCCTCTATCTCTGCCCTACATCTGTTCCTATGCCTAACTACTAACTATGTAGTATGTAGAATCGTCTACACCACCATGTAAGTACCCGTTTGTTTGTACAAGCCTTGTCCAGCGCACCACGCCACTGGTTGCGTCTGGAATAGGTACCTTGGGTAAACTTAGTAGGTACCTACTCAGGTAAGTAACTGGGCGCATAGGTAGTGCTGCACTTGTGTGGTACTGACTTCACCCGTTCGCTCGACAATAATCTCGCTACCTACCGCGTAGGATGTAACATTTATTGTAGATCAAACCGACATACCTTCCTTGGCTCGGTACCTTCGGTAGGTGCCTTCGTCGTGGGTTTCAGGCTTGCGCGGCCAATGGACAGAGGCGCAGTCTGTGCCCCGCTTTTCCGCGCAACGGCTGGTGATATTCGATACCGTATCCGGCGGAGCAACGTCGCACCGCCAGCCAAAATAATGCCGATAGCTTCTTTTCCCGACGCTTGCTTTGTCAACTTTGCAGTCGATAACTCCATGTACAGCTTCGAAGTATAGCTGCCCGTTTTCTCTGCCGCTATCACCGACTCCATACCTCGCAGCTCCTACCTAGCGAGCCTACCCCTTCGATCCATGCTCGACTCGCGATGAAGACAATCAGGTTTGCGACCGCGCTGCTAGCGGTCGTCTCCGCCCACCGGCTCGGAAGCAATGGCCCCTATAGTCGCGATGGAGAGAGCCGTGAAGCACATACATGCACCATCGATGGAGGCGCACCTCTCTTTCCGTTCCTGACCAAGCTGAGGGACAGCGCGGTTGAATTGCTCTTCGGCCGACACCCCACCAAAGACGCTGCCCGATCGACTACCAGCATCGACAGTCTGCGCAACAAATATGCCAACGAAATTGTCATGCGATTTAATGTCACAAATATGGAAGAGGAGAAAGCGCTCGCTGAAGCATCCAATCGCCTATTCCTCGACGTCTGGGGCGTCAGCCGTGATTACGTCGATATCCGCATGCCTACAAATCAGGTCTCGCCGCTCCTTGGCCTACTTCCCGAGAAACTACAGTCTTCGCACTTTACATTGATATCCGACCTTTCGCGAGCAGTATACGATTCTCTCCCCAAAGACTTGGCGTCACATCCTTTGGGGGCCAAAGGGACATTTGGCCGGTCCCCTAGCCGCCTTACTGTGGATGATAGCCTGTTCTTCCTACGATATCACCCCTTGAAGACAATCATGCAGTGGATGCAGCTTTTGGAGTCCATTTTTCCGGAGCACGTCAAATATATGTCCATTGGGCAATCCTCCGAAGGCCGTGATATCCCCGCCCTTCGGGTCGGCCGCCCTGGCACTGACGCCGGTGACGGCCCGAGAAAGACTATGGTAATAACGGCTGGTCTGCATGCGCGTGAATGGATCTCGACCACAACTGCCAATTATGTGGCATGGGCACTGATTACGGAGTTTAACAAAGATCCGGTCATTACCAAGTTTTTGCATCACTTCGATGTTGTTATTATTCCAGTGTTGAATCCTGATGGCATGGAATACTCCTGGCAAAGTGACAGACTTTGGCGAAAATCGAGGCAGGAAACCAGTCTCAGGATGTGCAAAGGGTACGACCTCGACCGATCATTTGGTTTTGGCGATTCTTCCGAGCACAGGCAAAGCGACCCTTGCTCCGAAGACTATGGCGGCGAGGAACCTTTCGATGCCGCCGAAGCCTTGGCATTCTCGAGATGGGCCCACGAAGAGACGGAAAAGAATAACGTGAAGTTTGTGGGAATGATCGATTATCACTCCTACTCACAGCAAATTCTCTTCCCATATGCATATTCGTGTTCGGTTGAGCCTCCGAATCTGGAGAATTTGGAGGAACTGGCAGCTGGTATCGCCAAGACAATCCGCGTGTCTAGTGGGGAGTCATATAGCGTTTCGCCGGCGTGCGATGCCGCGTTGATGACAGAGAGGGCGAAGCCTAATATTCCGCGCAGCAGGATCAACGAAGGTGCTGGCTCTGTGATGGACTGGTTCTATCACGACATGAACGCCCACTTTAGCTATCAAATCAAGCTGCGTGACCATGGCCTTTATGGCTTCCTACTGCCAGACGAGGAGATTATCCCGACAGGTCGGGAGATGTTTTATGTTATGAAGTATGTGGCCGACTACTTGCTGGGCAATAATGGGATTGAGATGGTGGACGAGACGCCCGAAAACGATAATATGATGAACCAGGAGCTTCGCCGTCGCTATATGCGCCGTTAAGGAAGAAATTGTATATATAATAAACAAGGATAACAGAGACTGTTTTGAGCTGAAATTTAACACTTTCATCTTCTAGTAATGGTTCGTCCAAAGCGTCAAGCTTTTTACTAATAGGTCAGTTCAGGTTAACAACCTCAGCCCTTCAACTTGGCACAGGCTACTAAACCCCTCTGCTCGCCATCCTCGCTGTCCTCACTATCCTCACTATCCTCACTATCCTCACTATCCTCACTATCCTCACTATCCTCACTATCCTCACTATCTCACTATCCTCACTATCCTTTCTATCCTTAGTACTTAACGTCATAGGTAATTGAACCTCTCTACGCCAAGCACTATATTCAGCCGCCAAGGCCCCGATCCTGAGTTCTCTACTCGCTCTGACTCGTCTTTTTGCCTCAGCCGCCCCCGATGCCAGGCGGCCTAGCACAGCAACTTTAGACGAGCCCCAGTCCCCACCGATAGAATTCAGACTCAATGAAACATGCAGCGGTCGTGGGATATGCTGACAGTGGACATAAGGTAAATTTAACTGTTAGCGCAACGTATATCTCGTGCTTTCACCCAAACTATTACTAAATGAATATACACTGTACTTTAAAAATTGGTTGTCACTGGGTCAGCATTTACTGTGCCCCGCCGCGGGGGGCTTGTTGTCTCCTCTAGGAAGGTGGCCGATTTTGGGGTCTATTATTTATTGAGTAGACGTGGCTCACGATGCTCAGTCAAAGTTCCCTTTGCTTGTGCTATTTTCTTTTTCTTCTTGGCCCCTGTCTTCACTCGAAGTTACACAACAAACATACGAGGATAGATCAAAGATGTGCCGAGCCGCTGAATCCCTAGCCACTGCGGCGAGAAACGTCCCGGAGCGTGATCTTCTCCCCGCTAACGTCATTCCACGCCACTACCAATTGGAACTTGAGCCTGACTTTGACAAGTTTACTTTCAACGGTAAAGTTGTGATTGATCTCGACGTTGCTGAGGAGTCCAATTATATTACCCTCCATAGCTTGGAAATTAGCATTCTTGGCGCAAAAGTTACCTCTGAGGACAAAGAGTTTGGGTACGTTGAGTCTCTGCTGACAGCGACGGGATGTCGCTGTCGCATCGCCATTTCGCCGTCTGATTGATGGCGGGAGCTTCGGAAGTCCCCTACAGCTGTCCATGCTCGAATCTAGTACTGACTTATACTGCGCAGCGAAGACATCAAAGTGACTCAAGATGAAGCTCGTCAGACGACCACCGTTTCCTTTGCTGAGAAGCTCAGCGAGGGTAGCAAGGCGCAGCTCGAGTTGACTTTCCTCGGCCAGCTCAACAACAAGATGGTCGGATTTTACCGTTCCGGCTATGCTAAGACCGATGGCACCAAGGGTTTTATCGCGACAACGCAAATGGAACCCACTGGTGCCAGACAGGCATTCCCCTGCTTTGATGAGCCGGCACTCAAGGCAGCATTTGACATCACTCTCGTTGCAGAAAAGCATCTGACCTGTCTGAGCAATATGCCGGTCAAATCTGAGGCCGAAGTGTACAGTAGCATCTCGAATGGTACTCGAAAGGCTGTAAAATTCGACACTTCCCCTACCATGTCAACGTATCTCACCGCATTCATCATTGGTGAGCTTAACTATGTCGAATCCAACCTCTTCCGCATTCCGGTCCGCACCTATGTTACGATTGACCAGAATGTCGAGTACGGCCGCCATGCTGCTGATCTCGGAGCGCGCACTCTTGAGCTTTTCGAGAAGGAATTTGGAGTCGAGTTTCCTTTGCCCAAGATGGATCAAATCGCTGTCCTTGATTTCGCAGAGGGTGCCATGGAGAACTGGGGACTAATCACGTATCGGGCTGTTGATTTGCTTGTCGAAGACAATGCCGGCGCTGGTCGCAAACGCCGCGTTACCGACATTGTTCTTCACGAACTTGCTCACCAGTGGTTTGGAAACTTGGTTACCATGGAGTGGTGGGAAGGCCTTTGGCTTAAGGAAGGATTCGCCACGTGGGCTTCGCTGTACGGTGCCAACGTATTCTATCCTGAGTGGAATATCTGGGCCGATTTCGTCATTAGCTCACTTCAAGATGCCCTGCACCTGGATTCCCTCAGGAGCAGTCACCCCATTGAGGTTCCGGTCAAGAGCGCCAACGAGATCAACCAGATTTTTGACGCCATCTCATATGAGAAGGGATGCTCTGTTCTCCGCATGATTTCGGTACACATTGGAGAAGATGTGTTTCTGAAGGGTATCAGAGACTATTTGAAGAAATTTGCTTACAAAAATACCACAACCGATGATCTGTGGAACTGCTTGAGCGAAGCGAGCGGCAAGCCAGTGACCGAAGTCATCGCCCCGTGGACGCGAGAAATAGGGTATCCTGTCTTGTCCGTCTCGGAGGACTCTGCCACCAAGAAGATTACAGTCCAGCAGAACCGTTTTCTTCGGACTGGCGATGTCACCGCCGAAGATGACAAAATTCTTTATCCTGTCATTCTCGGCCTCCGCACGGAAGCCGGTGTTGACCGCACTACGGTGATGACAGGGCGGGAGACTACTCTGAGTGTTTCTGCTGGCAGCTTCTTCAAGCTCAATGCCGATCATCCTTCAGTCTACAGAACATTGTACTCGCCCGAAATTCTAGCTCGCCTTGCCGAGGCGGCACGCGCCGGAACTCTGAGCATCGCAGACAGAACCGGTTTAGTCGCGGACGCCGCGGCCTTGACTGCGGCTGGCTACATGAAGACGTCTACTTTCCTCACGCTAGCGCAGAGCCTCAAGGATGAGACCTCTTTCTTTGTGTGGAAGGAACTCCTTGTGGGCCTCGGTGCGATGTCAACGGCGTGGATGTTCCAGGATGAAGCAGTCACGGAGGGCCTCAAAGCCTTTAGAAAGGAGCTTGTTACCCCCATTGTTCGTAAGCTTGGGTACGAAATACACGAGGCAGATGGTCATGTTGATCAGCAGCTGAAGGACATGATAATGAGATCCGCTGCCATGTGTGGCGACGAGGAGACAATCAAGGCCGCACAGAATGCTTTCGAGAAGAGCCTGAAAGGAGAGCTGTCTGCACTCCACCCAACCCTGAGAACAACGGTGTACGCAATTACGTCTCGATATGGTGGTGAGGTTGAGGTATGTAGATGAGGGTCGGGAAAGCGGTTTGTTACACGGAAAATGACTAACCTGTCTCCTGTTGCGAACAGATGAACCAACTTCTAGACCGTTACCGAACATCAAGTGTTTCCGATGAGCGCATCTCCGCACTCAGGGGATGCGGCTTTTCCAACGATCCTCAGGTCATCAAACAGGTGCTCGCCGCCATGGATAACAGCGAAGCTATTAAGGATCAGGATGTGTATATCCCGATCGGGGGTATCCGTAGCAGCCGCACAGGCGCGGACGCGGCATGGAAGCACTTTCTCGCTAACTGGGATACGTTCTATGAGCGCTTCCCGCCCGGGCTTTCCATGCTCAAGAACCTCGTCAAGTTCTTTTGCGAAGGCATGGGAACGCCGGAGCAACTGTCCCAGTTTAAGGCCTTCTTCGAGGGCAAGGACATCCGCGGTGTGGACAACTCTGTCCGCCAAGTGATTGACTCGGTGCAGGCGAAGTTGTCTTGGGTCGAGAGGGACTCTGACGATGTCGTGGCTTGGCTTAAGGGCAATGGCTACATGCAGTGAGAAGGATGGTGTGTTCTTGAGAACTATGGGGCTCGTCTAGTGTTGTCGTGGTAGGCCGCGCTCTGGCATCGCCCTCAGAGGCAACTTTTGCGCCAAGAATGCTAGTTATAGATTTCAACAAAGCAGGCGGTGCTGCTCCAAGTAGCGCCGGGGCCGCCAGCAGGGGCATCCGAACAGACACGACGGTATGTCACGAGAAGAATCTAGAAGATATCTATTAAAAGAAAATGAAGGCCACAGAAAATACGTGTCGTGATCAGAAGAACCCCGTAAAGGTCGGCGGCTTTTCTAGCGCTGGTACCAATAATGGTGGCGTCGCGAATAATAAAAAGAAAATATTCATACATGAAGTTTTGGCGGAGTTTGGGGTTTGCGGCGGAGGTTGTCTCTAATCCCCCCTACTTACATACATACACACAGTACATACATACAAATCTAACTAGCAGGGTAGTACCTGTACCTAATCGGGCAGCCAGCCAGGTGAGCCGCTACCGTGAGTGGAACGTTTCTGGTTTGATGTCCAGTGTCAGCGCATCGCCCAACAAGGCTGCGAGGAGCGACGTGGTAAGTTGACGCAAATTTGTAAGCCTGTGCTGCCTGGTAAAAGAAGTCGTCAATATTGCGCGTAGGATGACGGGGGGTTTTCCTTTATGTCCGAGCTGGCGCACAATTGCAGTGGTGGCCGCGGTTATCTGGGAGTTTGTGCTCGTGTAATTAGAATTTTAGCTCCAGGGAGATCCAGCGGCAGCAACCACTTTGCCGATGATCCGTCACAGAAAACGGAACACAGAGTACCTACGTACAGATGACAGCAATAGCAAGTAAGAAAGAAAATTCCCCCATGCGATCAATGTTCGTGTAATCCGCTCATGAATCCAGGGCAAAGCGCGTCCACTAGTTTCTCCGCAGCGCCTTTTGGGCCGCATCCGCCGGTTCTCTAACTGGCTCCAAGTTGGAAGTCGGTTAGGCAGAAGGCGCCGTTGTCAGCTCACCGAAGCAGGGGACCTTACCAATAATAATTCAATTAAGCAATTTCCATCTCCCCGCCCCGATGCCACGCTCAGCCGCCCGCAAGTCTCACCAGCTACCTGGCATCTCGTCGGAGTCTGTGTGTTAACTTAGCACCAGTAATTAACTAGCTGTAGCGCTGCCCACGTTCGTTGTTAGTGCACCTCGGGGGCGAAAAAACACATTTAAGTGGCCGACGTCCCGTGTCCGATCTGTCCAAAACACAAGTCGACATCATTAACCGTTTACACGATTCTATCATTTGAACCGTCTCCAACTCATTACACCAGTCACATCTAAGAACGAGCCTCCAAAAAAGTAGCCAATATGCCTGTTGCACTCGAGATCCCCGATCAGTATAGGTGAGGATTCCCCGTCAACAACACGCGGTACAACCACGGTGCTAACAAACGCTCTACCTCAGCTACGTGCTCGCCGTAGCCACCACCACGTTCTTTCTCAACACCGTCCACATGTTGCGCACTTCCAAGTTCAGAAAGCTCGCCAGGGTCCCCTACCCCGCTCCCTACGCCTCGGACGAGGAGGTTGCAAAGAACCCGAGCGCCTCCAAGTTCAACTGTGGTACGTGGGCGCTTCCATCTCGCGAGCGCTCTCCGTCTCTCTTGCTCGTTTGAGCAGAGTTAGTTAGCCTCCAGAGTGCTAACCATGACCGTCATTGACAGCCCAGCGTGCTCACGCCAACTTCACGGAGAACCTGACTCCCTTCCTCGGCTCACTCCTCGTCGCCGGCGTTCAGCATCCCGTCGCCGCCGCCACCCTCGGCGGTGCCTGGTCTTTCTCCCGCCTCATCTACCTCCTGGGCTACACCAGCGACGCCGGCCCCAAGGGCCGTGTTGTGTATGTGATTTTCAACCTTGGCATTGCTGACCCATCGCTGACAGCTAGGTTGCAGCGGTTTCGGCCTCAGTGCCCTCTGCGACATTATTCTCAAGGGTTACGCTGCCTACACCTGTTACCAGCTGATATTCTAAGAACTCAATGTTCGGGTGCGGGAGATTCATAACAAGGCCGCGTAAGATGGCCTGAAAAGAGTAGAAATTGAAGCTATTCTCAATCCAGAATCTCGCGTCATGCATTATACTCACGTTTCTGCCCCGGTTTTGCCACTACCGTTGATGATAGTTTCCTTAGCCCGTGCATCGCTCGCATGGAGGCCGCCAAGGAATGTCCAGTCCCTCAAATACTCGTCTCTCGGCTTCTTCCATGCTACTAGCGCTCGCATCGCTGCGCTCCAGGTCAATCCAGCGACCGTCTTCCCGGCTGCGAATGCCGCTACTATCAAACTTGAGCCCCTTTTCTTTCTTACAGTATCTTCGAAGGTCTCGTTGAAATGTCGTCTCACCGCTCCAGCCCAAAATGGCGCATCCTATCGTCTTCCAGGGGCTGACAATAATGTCGACGCGTCGGTGCACCGCTTTTGCCTCCTTTGGGTCAAGCCATACAACCAATGCCTTGTCAAGTGTGTCAAAGCCTGTGCTCCAGGAGCTACCTTCGCCTTTCCACGGAAGTGGTGCCTGTCCTCGTTCACTGTTCCTGGTCGACAGGCTGAGCGTGTGTGTTATGTACTTGTCTTTCTCAAGGCTCAAAACAAGCTTTTCGACAAGCTTGATAGTCTTGGACTCCTCTCTATGTGTTAGTATGACGTCGACATCGCCGCTTTCCTCCCGACCTCTCCTATAACCACCCACAATCGCCATATCATATCCTTGATCAAGCAGGCGGGCGTGGTCCAGGATAATATCCGCAATTCTAGCAACTTCTTCGCGACCAATCTTCTGCTGAAACTCGTCGTAATATTTGACTCCAATTTGCTGAACACGGCTAAGCGCTTGCCAACCATATTCCACAATGTCGTCCAGATCTCGCCATCCTGAAGAGGCATGTCAGTACTCCTCCGTCTTAAATGGCACAGTGCTCGTAGCATATGCATGCCTTTTTGGTAGAACTCTCTTGCATTTGTATCTCCCACCCCCCAAATGTTGTAAAATGTGCTCAACACGCCGGTTTTCGGGTCTGCTTGGGATTTTCGGGTCTCCTGGGTTTGCCCCGTTGTATGCCACTCCTGATACAGCTCGGCAATCTTATTACCGCAGCCTGGCAAGCGAGATACTTCTGTAAGGGTTGCAGTATTTAGCATGCTATGTAGCACTCAAGTTTGCGGCAGGGGCAGTACCTTGAGGGGTTTGTATCTTGTAAGGATACGCCGCTATTGCGGATATTGATGTAGAGTAGGCCCGTACTCCTATTTTATCACCTTGTAGGAGACGGAGGGTTCGAATGCTCTTAAGCGCGGCAATAAAAGCCGCGTTAGGTGGATTTATTGGAGTCGGTCGCTGGCATGAATAAGTTGTGTGAAGATAGTTTGGAATAGGGGGCATCGGCAAATCGTGCTCTGACGTGGATTGACGGATCAGGCCCGGCCTCGCAAAAGGCTCCGCTGAAGGATAATTGGACGTGTTTGGGTTTTCCTTCTGTTTTCTTTTAAAACGCGGAGTCGACTCGGTGCTTGATTCTTCTTTGTCGCCTTCGGCGCGGCCCAGGATGCTGCCAACCTTCGCTCTGCCATAGCCGGTTCGACTGTTCGCATTTGATTTGCTGCGGGCTCGCTTTTTTCCTTCATAGACTATATATTTTGACATTGGCACAATTGCCCCTCTCTGTATAGAGTCTGTTAGCCATGACAAATTCACGACTTTCACGACAGAGCTATCTGATTCCGAGGTCGATGCTAGAGCCTCCGCGTTTTGGCGCTTTGACTGCCGCCCATCGAAGCCTGCATCTTGACCGGGCTCATCGCTTGTAGCGTCTGTTTCGACAGGCTCTGTCTCGAGTTTCAAGCGGCGCAATTCAAACTGGGCACGCTGCTTCCGGGATACTCTGCCAAGCACCACTTCTGCTTCATTGACGTCATAAGTCAGAGTTGGGATATCCTCCTCCAGTTTGTGCAACTCTGCAGGCGTCAAATGTGTCTGTAGGAGGAAAATGACTGGCAGGGGAAGCGTCATCCTTCGAGTTCTTCAGTGTACAAGCAAGTGCGTTGCTGGTGGTGCTAATCTCCGGAGTAATTTGGGTACGGCATCGAGTCACTTGGCCCATGCCCGTGCCATATTCGCCGAGGCCAAGTTGCTTGCTTGTAGCAAAACAAGAGTTTGTAGAGTTATGGATGGAACGGCGAGATTGAGTTCAGCTCGCAAAAGCGCACTGGTATGTACCTAACCTAGTACTAATGCCCTACTTTCGAAGTTTTCTATAACCCCTCTTCTAAAAAGTACTTTTATTATACTGACTAAATAGCTTAAGATTAATGCCTTTACTATACTAGTGACATGTAAAGGCTTTCCCCTAAGTTGATAGATTTATACCCTCATAGAGGTACCTCGTCATCATTTTCGCCCAGAATTTGTGCACGTGACTTGGCGCCAATGACGCGGTCCCGCGATCGAGACGCAAATGCGCTTTGCGGTTGTCCCAGTTTCTGCGTTTATGTGCAGCCGAATCACTCCATCTTTTGCGCCATTGGAATATCACTTACAGCCATTATACATCTTCAAACTCCATTTCATCCTCATCATCATCTTCCCCGCTGCCGTTGCCCGCACTTTCTGCCTTAATTTCGGGTTCAATCTTCGCCCTCTTTCTGCTATGCTCTTCTAACTCAGTATCACCTTTTGATAGCTCCTCGGAAGCATCTCGCTTCATCGACGGGCCGAGAGATAATGTGTCCAGACCGGAGTTACCGCCAGCAGCTGGGACATCTTCAAAGTCGTCTTCGTCCTCTTCAGAGCCGTCTTCCTCGTCAGAGCCATCTTGCTGCCTCTGTGCAGCTTCAGCTTTGAGTGTTTCGAAGATATCATCGATCTGAGCAATAGCCTTGCTGTCTACCTGCTTCTGCTTTGACTCATCGTTCGGCGCGGCTTCGCTCTTGATAACAGAAGGTCCTGTCCCAGTAGCACCCGCAAAGGATTCACCAGTAACAGTGCTGTTTGACATCCAAGACGGCAAAGCATTCTGGGCCGCCAACTTTTCCCGGCGCGCGATCTCCGCCTCCTTCTCTGCTTCTGATGCGCCCTCAACAGTCGAAATGTTGACAGAGATGGATTGGGGCCCTGTGTTCATCAGTCCCTTTACTGCCATTGGTCTGTTTAAGCCCGAATCCATGGGCGTAGTTGCCGCAATCTGGTGCGTCGCGTCGCGAACCACTGGTCTAGCCTTTGCGAGAGCGCGATCAAAATCACATTCTGGTATGTGTACATTGTCGATTTTTTGCAGAAGTTCACTTATGAACTTGAATTGGTCGTTCAGCCGAGTGGACTGTTCGTGACCGCCAGCATTGCGATCTGCTTCAAAGGTCAGGACATGGCCGCATCGATGGCACAGGAAACCGTTCGGGCCATGGCTGTCCAATACCTCCAAAGGCGACCATTCAGCCTTGCAGAACGAACAGACGTACTCCTTCTTCTCCGTTGTTCTCTCCGTTGTTCCTTGAACATCTTTGTCAATTGTGTAGACACGCCACTTTATGGCATCGATGGTGTGGCGGTAGTTGATGTAGTACCAAGTGCGATTACTCGGTCGTGGGTTTCCTTCTCGGAACTCTGGCCTCGTGTGTCTATTTCGACCGCGACTATTAGCCACCTCGCATTCGAACGTGGACCGAGTGCAAAACTTACACTGTCAAGAATCTATCCTCCCTGAGTTTCCCGCAGATTTTATGAAGGTCCTTCGGGTTCGTGGCCATCAAATAGGCCAGGTCGTCATCACGGAGACTGTTGAGCCTATTAGTTACAGGCCCCGTGTTTCAGTGGTGCGGGAAAGTCATACGCTTCATGAAGAATGAGCGCGTCTATTACTAGAACATCTCTGGTTGGATAGAAAGCTCGCATCACCGATTTGACAAGTGTCACCGCGAGATCCATGACGGCGATATCTGCAGCTCGTACAGCCTCTGTCTTTGTGAATGCTTGCTCCTAATACTGCTTCAACATAATCGTTGTTGTTGTTTCTTGGCTTGCAGAATGCGCAGGTGCTTTGTCATGCGCTGGATCGCGCTGCCACCCAAAGGTTCGATCGATCGAAAGTCGCTCGGTCGCCACGCTTCGTATTGGTTAAGTAAGGCGCGCAGGCAATTCTTTTAATTCTGTCTACAAGAAGAGCGTATACGCGCACGGTGGTCGACTTTGAGATGGACAATGTTCTGGCGGCTGTTGCAGTTGGAGAAACGCGAGTTGCGAAGCAGCTGGTCTCCTGCGGCCTAAGAGTAGCTAAAGTGGGTACACCAAACATTCATATCACATGAGTTCCTGCTCGGGTATGGCAAACTTTCAATGTTTGCGCGCAATCATTAATAATACTTCGTATCAGCCATCTTGGAGTCTCATTGAGAGCAATAGGTCTGTCTGCCTTACGATGCGCACTGGTATCTATAGCCATTGGGCATCAGCTGCGTACAAAGCGTTACACGCAGGTACTTTCGGTAGCATCAAAACAAAACGCCAAAATTGTCCAGCAACTATTATACACCCACAACTCGAATTGAGATCACCCGCTTTACGCATACTTCCTCAGCTGTAGAGTTGGTCATTAGTAGTGTGTTCCTGCCATATGAAGATTGCCAAACTCACATCCAATGTCAATGTTCTCGAACTGTTGACTTCTTGGTCTCGATAGACTCCGACCAAACTCTCACTATCCTGGAACAGTCCTGTCTTCAAACTGATGACAATAAACTGCATGCCGGGGCCAGCATGCTCGCGGATGTATTTTTTGATCTTGTCCACATTCGCATTATCCAATGCTGCATCGACCTCATCAAGAACGAAGAACGGGCTGGGCTGGTAGCTATGGATAGCGAAGAGAAGCGCGAGAGCTGCCATGGTCTTCTCGCCACCAGAAAGGTGTTCCATGTCGCGGAATCTTTTCAAGGGAGGCATTGCATGGTACTTGATGCCAGACAAGTACGGCATGTCTGTGTCTTCTTCAATATCTAGATAGGCCTGGCCACCGAGGGGGTAGGCATCCGAGCGGGTCAGATCTTTGTAGACGTGCGAGATCTGCTCCTGGATGTGTGTAAATGCGTTGTTGAAGATTTCGTATCGTTTCTGCTTAATATTGCCAAAAGCTTCCTTCGCCTCTTGAGCAGCCGTTTTGGAGTCCTCGTATTCTTGATCGGTTTGCTTTAGGCGAGACTCAACACTCTCAAGTCGTTCCATAGCACGCATGTTCGGGTTCAACTTTTCCAACTCAGATGTCAGAGTTGCGATGCGTTCTGTAAGAGAATCGTCCACGGTAGGGTCATCGGACTGTACATCTCGGTTAGCTCTCGGCACACTACCAAGCTGACTCTCCCAACAGTGCTACTTACTTCCTTCAGATCATCGTCCAATCCGTCAAAATTGATTTCGATGCCATGGTCATCCAGCGCTAGATCAACCATTTCTTCGCCCTCAGCATCGACATCCATGGCATCTGGGTCTTGACGCAGCAGGTCATCTTCACTGGGCAAATTGTCTAGCGCACCCTCGGCTAGGGGGATCTGGATTTGCTCTAGGCGGCACCTGCGAAGCAGCCCAGACTTTCCAGCACTATTCTTCTGCAACGTTGTTTCCAAAGCGTTGATGCTCTTGTTCAAGGCCTCGATGTCCTTGCCACGTTGCTGTACTTCAGCCTTGGCCTCATTGACGCGCTCGCTCTTCTCTGCAAGGTCGGCTTGATGTTCCTCCAAGGTCTCCCTGAGAGCCTCAAGCTCGTCTTGTTCCTCGCGCAGTTCCGTTTCAATATCCGCCTTCTCTTTGGTGTAGCCCTTGATATCTTGCTTCAAGCGCTTGATCTGCTCCTGCATTCTCCTAATACGAGCCTCGGTATCACCGTGTCGGGCTACCTCCCACTTCAGGCGGCTTTCAAGACGCTGTTTCTGGACTTCATATTGATTTCTCTTCTCAGAAACTTCTTGCTCAAGTTTTCCTTGAGATGCATCGAATGCACGAATGTCGCTATATCCGAGTCGCTTACAGAAGCCAGAGAAGATTTCGTCTTCGACCTTGCCGATGGCATTCTGGAACTGCTGTACAGTAGACGTCGTGCTTTCGAATTGTTTCGCTTGTTCCTTGTATTTTGGCTGTATCTCCCGGAGCTGTTTCTTCTGATTCTCTAGCTCTCGCTTCTTGCTAGAGAAATTTTCTTGGAAGACAATAAGTTCATCCTTGGTAGCTTTAACACGGCGCTCCAGGCCACCAAGCTCAATTTGCAGTGTTTCCTCTTTGCTGCCGCGTCGATCGGCTCTCGGAAGGCGATCAATCTCTTCTTTTAGCTTTGCAGCCATTCTTTGAAGGTTTTGAACATCTGCCTCTTCAAATTTTCGCTTAGCCCCCTTGGGTTCCGGCCCACGACCACCAGTCATAAGACCAGCTTTGTGAATAACATAGCCCTCTAGGGTGACCGCCTTGACGGGGATTTTTTTCTCGTAGCAAATGTGTTTCGCGATGTCGAGGGTCTCGCACACCACGGAACTTCCGCATGCGTACGACAACGCACGTTCGACGGAAGAGTCGAAATTGATAGTGTCGATGGTAAGTCTGGCTCCAGTAATGCCCTTGACAGATGTGTTGACAGCGTTGACCTTGATATTGTCCAAGGGAATGAACGTCATTGGCGCGAACCGTTGTTCCTTCAAGTACTGAACACAGTCAACGCCAGTCTTTTCTGTGTCAACTACCACCGAGTCAAAGTCCCTTCCCAGGGCCACGATAATGGCTTCATCGTATTTCTTTTGCTTCGGAGTGCACAAATCGCCAATTCTGCCTCGCACTCCCGGGAAGATGCGTCTCAAAGATGCAACCATGTCTTTCAAACGCGCCTCACGATCATTCTGGCGACGGCCATCGTCAGCCTCTCGCAGCTTTTTGGCGACATCCTCCAGCTTTTCTTCGAGCTCCGTCCTTTTTTGATTGGTGCGAACACGCTCAGACTGCAGCTGGTTGAATTCTTTCTTCTTGGCGGCAATTTCATTAGAGAGGTCCTTGGCTACAGACTCAACGGCATCTTTCCTTTCCCCTACGCTGCTGAGCTCAGATTCTGTTTTAGAAATGGCTGCCATGATGCTGTCAACCTTGCCTTTCAGATTGCTGACCGTCACTTCGTCGGCCTTGCGTTGCCTCTCTAGGTTTTCCAGCTTGGTGTGATCTGCACCTGAGCGAGCGATAACTTCGCTGCGAAGCGTGTTGTACTCTTTGCGATCAGAGTCACTGATTGCCACGCCTTGCTTTTGCATCTGTTCTTGGATGTCTTTCTCGAAAATGGATTGAGCTTTGTTGACACTCTCAATGTCATCCTGCACCTTTTGTACGATATCCGCTTGCTCATCTCGCTCTTTCGCAACTTTCTGGCTTTGTGACTGCAGCCGATCAACTTGCTGCGACGACTCATTGATTTTCTCCTCGAAGGGCACCAGCGCATTTTCACCATCTTCGATCGACCGCTCTTTTTGTCGGATTTCTCGGTCCACTCGGCCAACGCGTCGCGAGACTGATATTTGTTCTCGGCGCGCAGCTTCGAGTTGTCCTTCGTAGGATTCGACATTACGTCGCAATTCTTTCAGATCCTCGTGGTGACTATGGATGGCAGCACTCGATTCATCCATAGCTTTCTGGAAATGAAACAGCTTCCAGAGACATTGCGTTACAATGGCAGCATCTTTCTCGTCCATCTTCTTTTGGAAGTTGTCGGCCTCTTTCTTTTGTTCACGGTATTGCTTGATTTCGGAATTTATACCTCGTCGTCTGTGGAGTTGGAAGTTCTGATTCTCCACGGCCTGCTCAGCAGCGGCTTGGAGAGTTTCGTATTCTTGCTTGTATTCCAGACTGCCAGAGATGTGCTCAATCAAGCGTGTAAGATCCTGGGGGGATTGAGACGCAATTGCCTCCACATCTCCTTGGAAAACAAGAAAATTCCTTGCTTTAATGAGAATGTTTTCGCTTTCCAGGGCCGCATTGTACTGCTGTGCAGTAACGCTTCTGTCATTGATGCGATATTCACTAGCGCCTTGATTTGTGATGGAGCGTTTCCATCTGTGTTCTTCGCCACTATCATCTTCATACACAGCCATGACCCATGCAGTTTTGGGGTCGCCGCGTGAGGCTTTGTCATCGCCTGCTTGCGCTGCTCCATTCGTTGCGACAGAACCGTCGTCGTTGATCTTGGATGTCTTTAGTACTCGTCCTCGGTAGACCAAGTCTTTGAGGTGTGCAGAACGAAGGTGGGACGACTTTATGCCGAGAACGAACGAGATGGCATCCATGCTGTGAGCAGGTCAGTAAACGAAGAGGCTAAGATACCGTGGGATAGGCGTACGAATTAGATTTTCCAGAGCCATTGGGTCCGATGATCGAAGTGAAATACGAATCGCCAAACAGAAGGGTGTGGTGCCCTTTGTAAGACTTGAAATCTGCGCACAATGTTAGATTTCTGGTCGCGTCTGCGCCAGCAGCAGGGTGATAAGTACGTACTGAAAAGTTCGAGTCGATTTAGCTTCCCCATTGTTTCGATTATCAAGTCTAGTGCGGCAATTACGAGGTTTTGGCGGTGCGCGACAGATTCGATGTGGCTTCGTCCTGCACAAGCAGTCTTGATAAGTGGTATTCGAAGCAGATGCGCGGCGCGTGATATGTGCACCAAGTGTAGAAGAATTCTCGCGTGATTATCGGTATAATTTGTTTGTCTCGTGAAGTTTCTCGATATCACTGTACGTCATACTAGCGAAGAGCGGCGTGGGAAGGCCTTGCACGATGCGACGCAGGTTTGATGCGAAAGACTGGTTGCGGAACGCGTCGCGCAACCGGCGGCGCCTGCCAGGCAGCGTTGATGTGAGGGGAGGAGGGTGGTCGATGGCGCACAGACCACCTTCACACCAAGCCCAGCTACAGTAGTAGTTCACTCATCTGGAGGCTTGATGAATGGAAAACAATTATTCGTACGGATGTACAGATTTAGTACACACAGCGACAGAAATTTTTCTGCGTCAAGCAGTTTCAAGCAGTGACGCATGGATCTTCGCACTTGAGCATTATACACATTTTCCTCAGTCCCTAGTTATCTCGGGTCTACGGTAGAGAGCATGAGAAAACTTTCAGCTTCCGTTATGGCACGTAGTAACCGAGTTATCACTCTGCTTTTTTGAGGCTCACGCTCAGCTAGATTCATGCTCTTCTAGTCCAGCAACGAGCTGGTGCATCAGCTTCGAGGCGCACAAGAGCGGTCATATCAGATGCCTACATAATAACTACATACTCCGCGTAGCTGGCGGCGTGACTAAATGCTGCTTTGGCTTCTACTAACTCGGTGAGGTAAAGAAGTATCAGGTGGCCTCTATCGCGCAGCTGGTGACGCCTTGTTGGTGTTTCCTAGACCGAAGGGCATCGGTGCTTATGGATGTCACCAGGCCGGCTTAATTCACACGTGCAACGAACTGCGATTCCATAGGTAAACAGGCCTCAACAAAATGATGTCGCGACCTGGGTGTGTAAGCCCCGCTATTAATAGTTAAGAAGATACCTCAGTTCTAAGTACCAAGCATGCCGTAGTAAATCGCTTTGGGCTGTAACCCGGCCTGGCTTTCGCTGGCGCACACTGGAAAGTGCCGCTTCTGCGTTGCAAAAGGGGTACCCGTCTCGAAGTATCCACTTGCCAGTTCGGCAAGCTCTGTGTAAATACACTGGTCCACGTACGTTTCGAGGGCCCTTCTTACATGACAGCAGCGATTGTTCCCTGTTCAACTTACATTCTTCCACCATACCGTAGCTCTCTTGTCGCATACACACATCTCCATGCCTCTGACCCTTTCCTCCCTGCCTGCGTCCCCGTCATCCTATCTCGTCGTCGCTTGCCTACCGCTCTCGGCATAACTTACTACGACCGTTCATATTAACGTACAAGCACCAGGCTAAAGATAGGTATATCTTCTTTACCGCCTCGCGCCCGACGGCCTCTTTCTAATTCTTGCCCCCCTCGATGCATGCTAACGCGTTGTAACTCAGTTGCCAAACAGTGCCGTCACCGCCAGGACGTGAGCAATGGATGACGAACAGCCAGCGGCGGTGCCGATTCCAACTCCAAATGCAACGTTTCGAGACCCTATATCCGACGAACACCAGATTGAACCTGGCCTCTCCTCACCACTGAGCTCCTCGCCCCCCGATCCGACTATCCTCGACACTCCCAGCTTAAGTGCTACAACTCCAAAAAGCCCGAAGCTCTCAAGACATCCATCCTTCTCTGGCAGCAGCTCTTACCAGGATGACTGGGATTCGCTTCCGCCCCTAGATCGCCTAACAGTCCTAGACCTCTTGGATAATTTCGCGTTGCCTCAGCAGCTAGAAAAGCTTCAGAAGGGTATTTCAGCTCAGACTGATAAAGTACGCCGTTCCAGGGACGTACTGAAATCAAAGACTTACAATGCACGAAATCGAATGGTCGAAGAGTGGCGACGCCGAGTGCCTTCGGCAGACGAACAATTCGATCGCTATCGAAAACGAATGAGACAGCGCGTGGACAAGCTAGGCAGGCAATGGAACGACACAAAGGCCATCAGCTTGCGCGAGAAGATATCTTTCATTTGTGGCGTTATGAACATCTTCATCAGTGGCTATCTCATCGGCGGTCATCCCGAATTTTTCCACCTCTGGTACACCGCTCAACTCGTGTATTTCATGCCCATCCGCATGTTTACATACCATCGTCGTGGCTACCATTACTTCCTTGCCGATCTCTGCTACTTCGTCAACGTACTCCTCATGCTCAGCATATGGGCTCTTCCCACCTCCAAGAGACTCTTTACCGCCGCATTCTGTCTGGCTTTTGGCAATAACGCAGTTGCGATCATCATGTGGCGCAATTCTCTGGTATTCCACAGCTTCGACAAAGTTACATCGTTGTTTATACATATCATGCCATGCGCCACTCTGCACTGTCTGGTACATCTCTACCCGCAGGAAAAACTACGAGACCGCTTCCCGGCCATATGGGCAATCAAAACAGCAGAGCCCGGCTCATCAACTGCATACGCTAATATCGTATCTATGCTAGCGTGGAGCACCATTCCATACGCGCTCTGGCAACTCAGTTACTACTTCTTCATTACAGTTCGCCGGAGAGAGAAAATCGCCGCTGGCCGGCCAACATCGTTTACCTGGCTTCGCCGCTCATATGCCAGGACTTGGATCGGCAAATTTGTTCTATCCATGCCAACCACGCTACAGGAACCCACGTTCATGATGATTCAATACGTGTATGCTGTTCTCACTATGCTGCCATGCCCGCTCTGGTTTATCAGCCGCTATGCGTCAACCATCTTCCTGCTGGTTGTGTTTGCCTGGAGCATATACAATGGATCTACCTATTACATTGATGTTTTCGGCAAACGGTTCCAAAAAGAGCTTGAGGCCATGAAAGCTGAAGTAGTCAAATGGCAGACCGCCCCCGAACTCATGCTTACCTCGCCCTTGATGCAACCGCAGCCTGAGAGTGGGAATGCTGACGTACAGTCCAAGAAGGCTTCCGGTACGCCTAGTCTTGGGCCGAATGCCGTCACCGCTAGAGATGCAATGGCAAGAACGACAAGCCTCGACCGCATCCCGCTTCTCGATGATTCTACTACCACTGCGAATTCGACCAGCGTTGATGGGGGAGCGCGAGACGTAGCTCGTGAGAGAAGGACCACCGACTAATGATGCAACCACCGTTCTATCGCGACAAGGGGCAGACAGTTTGTCAAGTGATAGTCGAACTTCTGCCATACAGGCTTTCCACCTGTCGATTGATTGAGTCAAGTCAATAGCTAGTTTATTGTTACATTAAATCGGCAGGCATGTGGGTGCTGCCTTGCGCTCTTAAGCAACATCCTGTTCATAATCTTCTAAGCACTTGATACCATAGAAATACAGATATGATTTAATTGGCATTGTTAAGCTAGATTTTCTTGCCATCGAATAGACTCAAAATGTGGCGAGTATATCCATCAGTATCATCACAGGTTCCCCCGTTAGAAGGCACCTGCGAATGTCCAATGCTTTGTTATGCTATCATTAAATTCGCTATGCGCTATAAAACATTATGCAAATACAAAATCGGTCGCTTCTCAAAAAATAACGCTCCTTGATTTGCCGTGCTCTTTCCTTTGCCCTTCTGCCCCGTCCTAGCTGTCTTTATGTTGCTTCCTCCCTATCCTTGACTCACGTCGTGTCCCATGCCTTTCCTTCCGTCGTGTTTCATTCCAATCATGTCACAGGCGCGTCCGGTTTCTTCGCTTTTGACTGGCCTGTGCTTAGTATCTCCGGAGAATGCGCCGTCATCAAAGTAGCCGCGAGGCATACATCCAGACTACTTGAGTCAGAGCGGCTCCGTGTGTGTATTCTCGCACATCATGTGGGTATGTAAAGTCTTGCCAGAATGAGCTGCGAGAGCGTTGTTGCGGTAGTAATATGCGCAAGGGGGGAGGGGGGTTCAACGATGATCAGCCATGCGAGTTATCGAATGATACCCCAGTCTGCCAACCTCCCACCGCCGGCTTCTCCGTCTTCCTTGCTACCTGGTCTTCGGCCGAAGACAGACCAGAAGCGGAGGGTTTCGTCGCCAGCGCCTGTTACCACGACTCGCCCATCGGGGCTCATTGCAAGATACAGAACTCGATATGTGTGGCCAGTCAGACTTGCGACTTGCTGCATGGAAGGATACTTCCAAACAACTATCTGATTTTGACTGTACCCATGGGTAGACACAATTTCATTCGAGTTCTTCGACCACGCCAAGTTACAAACTTGGCTTCCAGTGTCGATCTCGTTAATAACAGAGCCTTTGATTGTGTCGTAGAATATTATGCGTCGATCTGCGGTGCCACCTCCGGATGCGAGTAGTCCGCGTTGGTGCGGTGACCACGAGATAGCTTTCACAGCAGCCGTATGGTCCGAAAACTTCCATAAGGGTGTCTCTGTCAGCTTATCCCATACCATGAGCTTGTTGTCATTGCCACCGCTAGCCAGTTGCCCGTCCTCGCAGTTCCACTTCAGGCCACAAACCTCCTGTTTGTGCCCAACGAGTTTTCGGAGCCATTGGTCTGGTGCTCGCACATCTCTGTGATAGATGAGCCTGTCACGGGAGCCTGAAGTTAGAATATGCGAGTTCCACGCCAAGGACCCAACCCGAGCTGTGTGGCCTGTCATAGTCCTCAACCGTCTGGTCTTTTCGGCATCCCAAATCTGCACAAGGCCTTTGCCAGTACCAATGGCAATATGGGTTCCCTTTTGTATCCACGATACACTCGTGACAGTGTCGTCTTCCAGCGTACAAAGCTTGTTCACCTTGCTAGTTTGTGCGTTCCACATATACACGCTGGATCCTAAGCCCACACCAAGTACATTTGCGCTGCCCCAGTCTACCAAGTTTAGGTAGAAATCATCAGCTAGCTCTGGCGCATCGAGGACCTTGTAAGGGACTTTGTTTACGGAGCGTGGTTGCCTTCGGGGGCTCAGCAACATTTGTTGGCTTCCAAATCGAACTGGCGACAAGCTATAGTTCTCAGCTCGGGTATCTAGGTTCGGACCATGCCGGCTCTGTGGCGTTTTGGTAGGTGTGGGATGGCCAGCGATGTGATGGTGCCGGGGTGACATATATGAGAAAAGATTCTTGTGTGGAGTCGATGGTGTGAGTGAGGATGGTAGTGCAGTAGCGGGGTTGTTATTTGGTGGTGTGTGAGACCGTGTGCCATCCGTGGAGTTCCTTCGTGCGCCATTCGGCACGGTGCTGTCTGGTGAAAGGGACGATGCCACCTGTGGCACTGAGCTTTCGAACATCTCTGCTCGCAACAGCGAAGAAAATGTACGGTTTGCCTCCTCGGCTGCGATGCTGTTAGCGCCTCTGAAATACGCTTTTTCGGGGCATGTACAATGCGGAAGGCGGCTTACTTCTCTGGAAATGTAACTCGCCATGTGGCGTGCGCTTCTTTTGCTTTGGCAACGCTGCTGGTGAGCCGTCCTCATGAAGTAAGCTGAAGCTAGCTTGCAAGTCTTGCCCGGACCGACTCGGAATAAACCTTTGACGTGTTAAGAGTCTGTATTCAGCTCCACGATATCTCTGACAATACCGTACCTGTCTCCATTGATCCTTTGGCGCTTCCTACGCGGGCTTGCACTTGGCGTGCTTTCCCGGTGCGGGCGATGCATGTCTCTTGCTAAAGCGCTATCGATAGAATACGTATCAAAGCGAGCTGCTCTTGTGACCGTCGGGAGGCAGGGTTGGGATGCTGCTTTTGGTCTGGTCGACAGGTTCGCTGGTGCCCGCAGGCTGATTGCTGACGAGACAGGCGCCTCGCGACTAGTGTCGAGATAAGTGGCGTCTGTCGAGCTGATCGGAATCACAAATGAGAAACCCCAGGTCCTTAGGACCGGTGTTGCTACTGGTTGTAGAGTGTGCTGGAAGGAAGTTGATGATCTATTGGTCTATGGGCCGGATGCCCCTTGTCTACTTACCTAGTGCTCTGGTGAGCCTCCGGCACGTGACGATAGAGGCCACTCCGTCAATACAACGTCGAAATAGGAGGACAAGCTTGTCAACGGCATGAAACATTGGGCTATTGTAGTGATAGAAGCTTATGTCTTTATTACGTATGTACGCTTATCAAAAAAAAAAAAAAAAAAAAAAAAAAAAAGCGGCGGACGTACTGACTGGGACAACGTAAATCGAGATAACATGCTGGGGTACTTAGGTACATTGGTTAGGATAACAGGCCTGGGAAGAGGGTTGACAATCATAAAAATATCGGGATATTAGATACCAGATCATGCACACGGCAGTGCGCAACTAACTAATAAGATAAGTGAACTACCTCCATACATAGATCACCAAGTTCCCTCCAGGTTCCCGACGCGAAATTGGCGCGATACGGAGCGCGTTCTGCGCGCCCAGCCATTTAACTCAGTAGCGGGGTAGGACAAGGGGTGCCTCTCCCGCAGCCAATCCAGCCGCCCAGCGCTACCTCGAACACGCTTTCAGGTCTGTCTGAGTCGCGTGCGGCGCAGCGTTGGATAACAACATGTAATATCCCTTGTGCACGACGTAACATAAACAGTTTCGACAAATAAACAACAATCACGGTTTCGCGAGAGAGAAAAAACACCACCACCCAGAGCGGGGCACAGCGGCTGCGTTTATAAAGGGATGTTTTGTGCTGCCGAGTTGACATTGCCAAAGTCACGGGATCGATCCGCAGGGTGAAAAGCATGCACCCATGACCATTTTTTGTAATTGCCAAATTGCGTCTACATCATGTCTAGCTATAAAATTCCAAGATCTAGGAAAGGAATGTCTAGATGCAGTGACGGAGACTGTGCGAGTAATGTGCATGTCGTTCTGCAGGCAGATCTCTCCTCCTTCCACCACCTCTTCCACTCGCGGGTATATATTCTTGCCTCCCGTTGTAATTCTTATTCATTAGCAACCAGGTGGTATAATTTCAAGCTGTAGACTCTGCTTGAGCGAGAAGACGCTTCCGCCAGCCATCACACACCGCCTCGAAGCCACCAATAACGTCTCCGCAAACTCCCGCACACTCTCGCTTCTGTAACCTCTCTCCCCAATTGCCCCTCGTAAGCCATCTTTCTCCCTCTTCTCGCAGCTCATCGTCTTTTCTAAGCTCAGCAACAAGTTCTTTTGAGCTCTTCAGTCTGCGGGTTGCAGTGGTAATTGTTTGTCGGGACATATGCAGAGTATCTGATAGATAGCTCAAGGTCTGTATGAGTTCAGCTGTGACAGAATGCAGTGCTGTTAGAGAGTTAAAGGCAACGGTCGAAGGCGTCGGCATAGCCTCAAGCAGCGAAACTAGGAGCGGTACCAGGTCGTCGATGGTATCTAGATCAGGCGTCGGCGCTAAAGGTGACAGCAAAGGGAAAGTCAGGTTGTGGAGCTGGCGGGTTTGATGTGCAAGGTGTGTAGTGAGCGCTGTATGCGCAGTAATGAGTCTGTGAATACTAAGTCAGTACACGGTAGGTTATTCGCTATGCAGTGGTACTCTTCGCACCGTGACGCATTCCCCTCGACGCTTGACTGCGACCCGAGATCACGCAAACTGTCTGTGACTCGCCGAAAGACGTCATCCTCCGGTCCGCCGTAGCTCTCTGTGCCGCGACGAACCAGAGACTCAACAGCATCAATTCTTGCAATTAGACTCGCGGTGAAACCAGCAGCGTCCAGGTCGGATTCCGAGCCGTATTCACTGCCGTCGTACTCGCTTCCCGTCCTATGGTGCCCTCGACGAGAGGGGGAGGGAACAGAAAGGTTTGCATCTTTTGCTCCCCCTCCACGTTCGGCAACGGCACCGTTCACATCCACTCCGCTATCACGAGAACCATCCTGCTTCGGCGCGTTGCCACTATTTTGGTTGCCAGAATATTCGCCTTGTGCGCCGTCATCGTCGTCGTCGTCGCCAGAGTCCGAAAAGGCATCAGCAAGCTCATCGGCCAAATTCCCCATGCCGTTGCCGGCTTGTCCGCCCCCGCTGGCTAGTATGCTCATGTCCAATGTATCTTGGTGTGAAAGGCTGTTGCGAAATGGGGTCGTGACATCGCTGACGGAAGATTTCGAATACCTGCGGGTAGTTGGTGAAGCATTATGGCCGTCTGCAGCAGACGAGTGTCGCGAGTGCTGAGGCGTTTGTTGTGACGCTGGCATCTCGGATGTAGTAGAGGTAGGTAATTGTTCACCGCCAAGGCCTGGCCAAAAATGCGGCGGCAGTCTGATGATTGTCGTTATCGAGCTGCAGCACTCTGTGCTACTAAATGTGCCGCACAGTGGTCTGAAACCAGTCGCAGAGGGGGCGAGGTTAAGATATCGTCGAGTCGGTCGAGAAAGCGAGCGAATAGGGTAGTGTAAATTACAGAAGTGGTCGTAGTTACAGAAGTGGTCGTAGGTCTATTATGTCGAACCCAGTGTGGCGCCGTCGAGGTGGAGCGCCCTTGTTGAACCCAAATCTCCATGTGGATGTAACCAAAAAGTTCAGGTACCTACATACATACACACACCCTTGCCGAGACTTTGCCGCGATTGCCAGCGCAAACTTTCAAATCGGTGCACTTTTAGCCATGACAACATTTCGCCGATTTCGCCCTGAGGACGTGAATAAATTCTCAAAATGCAACTTGGACCCCCTGACAGAATCATATGAGCTTGGGTTCTACCTCCAGTATCATTCAAAATGGCCGTCCCTATTTCAAGTATGCGAAGACATGCACGGGAACATTGTCGGATACAGTATGAAGAATCGAGCCCCAACACATGTTCTAACAAAGACTAACCTCATCAGCAGTTATGGGCAAGGTTGAATCATCGCCAGACGCTTATAAATACTCCGAGCACTATCTTCCATGGCATGCACACATCACTGCTCTTACTGTGGCTCCTGAAGCCCGTCGGCTTGGCATTGGTAAGATTCTAACGGAACAACTAGAAGCAGCTGCCAACGCCAACGACGCGTGGTTCATGGACCTCTTTGTTCGGAGAAGTAACGATAGGGCCATCGCATTCTACAAGAACATGGGATACAGTGTTTTCCGGGTGGTGAAAGACTACTATGGAGACCACGCTGTAGACGTTACAAAATGTAGCGAGGATGCGTTTGATATGCGCAAACCCTTGAAAAGAGATGTGAAGCATGAGCATGTCAGAGACGATGGAGAGAATCACGAAGTTGACCCGGAAGATGTGTGGTGATAAGATGCAAAAGAAAGGGCGGGGGGCAACGGACAGAGACAGCATAGACGGTCATTGCAGTGCTTTCATGACTCAACCCAAAAGATAGAATGCTCAAAGGCTCTGTCAAGTACCTAGTTAACCAAACCTTTTGAAAGTTGTAATCACCGCTACGACTCTATCAGCACGGTTGATAGAATTATCGTCATATTATCTTCTGCAAATGGATGTGCAATGTTGAACAAATTTAAGAAAGAAGAGCATTAGTTACGAAACTTGGCCATCTCAGTAAACGCAACGATCTGACCTTGGAGAACAGCCTCGGCGTTTGTGTGGGGCTCTCTTCATCCAGCTTACGTTACCAGACTAGTTACTCAGGTTGGCGCGTTTCGGATAATCTCCGGCGACTAAGCAATTTTCGTTTGGTTCACGTCGTTTTCGCCTCTTCCGCTCCCCAAGCTGCCTGTCAACATCAACAGATGCAGCTGACCCTCATCATCTCACCTAATTCATCGAATCCCAACCTTCGAAACTGAACCAGCAATATGGCAAGTGCAGCAATGGATTATGAGGCGCCTAATGGCGATCGTTATGAAGGTGAGGCTCTGTTTTCCGTCGCGTCATCAGAGCAGATGTTGACCCTTTTTTCGCATAGACGAAGCTCCTCGCTATGAGCGTGACAACCGGAGCGCTTCCCCACGTCCTAGTCGAGATGAAATCGACACCGGGCGTCGCCGCTCCGCATCGCCTGCTGCGCATCCTGACAGGTTAGTTGAACACCCCAGCTTAAGCGCGAGAAGCAATGCTGACTCTCGTGCCAAAGTGGCTCGAAGGAAACATCTGCTCCCAAGGATGATGATGACGGTGCTGTCAATCCTGGCTCTAACCTATTCGTGACTGGCATTCATCCCCGCCTGTCAGAGGCTGAGGTTACCAAAATGTTCGAGAAATATGGCGACGTGGAGAAATGTCAAATCATGAAAGACCCTCATTCCAAGGAATCGCGCGGCTTCGGCTTCGTCAAGATGGTCACATCGGAGCAGGCCGAAGCTGCCAAAGAAGGTTTGCAGGGAGAGGTGATCGAAGGCCGTACTCTGAGCATCGAGAAAGCTCGCAGAGCTCGGCCTCGCACTCCCACTCCGGGAAAATACTTTGGCCCCCCCAAAAGAGGTTTGTTCTTCGCTTATGTTCAATGGTCAATCTCCTTGCTGACCTGCAAAATAGAAGGCGCGCGCCCCCGATTTGATGATCGTCGCCGTGGAGGGTATGGTGGTGGTGGCTATGGCCGTGATGAAGGATACCGCTCGCGTGGCTACGATCGAGGCGGCAACGACCGAGGTGGTTATGATAGAGGCTACGAGCGCCGCTATGATGACCGCGCTGGATACGATCGATCTTACGACCGTTCTGGTTCTGGCTACGAGCGTGGATATCGTGAGGACAGGCGTTACGATGAGCGAGCAGGCTACAGCCGGGACTACGAACGTGGTGGTTATGACCGCCGTGATCGCGATGAAAACTATGGTCGCGAGAGGCACAGTGGACGCGACGACCGTGATCGCCATGTCCCACGCGGCGGTGCCGGCGGCTATGACCGTGAGAGATATGACCGCCAGGGTGATCGCGACGCTGGCCGAGCCCGCGAACCTACTGCGGGCGGCTCCGGTGGATATGGCGATTCCGCCGCGCGCTCCGAGCCACGAGAACAATACGGAGGTTTGAACTCACGATAGACTTTTTCCTCCTAGCAGCAGCTAATTATCTGCAGGTGCCGACGCCACGATGCGATGAGCTCATCTCAACACAGTCATTTTCCTCTCAACCGCCGTATTTAGGCCCTGTATAGTTTTTCTTTTCCTCTGGACTGCTCGTGGTCAAGGCCATTTTGTTCTGTTATTTCTTTTCGTTTGTCATTCAATCTTCTGCGCACGACGTGCGACGCTACGGCCAACATTGCTTCTCGAGAAAGTACTCATCCAGTATTTTTCCACAATTTGCGACGGCTATGGGAGAATTCGAGTACTCGCAACTTCGTCCAATAATTGGTAAATGTTTGGGCTTCTCAGTTATGCGACGACAGGGATACATGTGCACCACATTTGGCAGCTTTCGGACTTTGCAAATCAAAACACTTCATCAGCCACGCGCTCTGCGACCGCGTCTTTAATAGCTTTTCAACCACCGCTCAGAAATCGTCAGGTTGGACTATCACGATGTGAACCATGGACCAAATAAAAGTCGACTAGGACGCCATTAATTTTCCTGCTATGAACCTCCATCCCCTACGCCATTGCCTGGTCTCGGTTTGTCGACCCCAGCAGCCGCCGCCGTCAGACGGCTTTGAACATGCAGCACACAGCAAAACACTCGCGCCAAAATCGAAACAAATGTCGTAACCCCAGCCATCACCGGTCGTCACATACATCGGTTACATTCGGGTGGGCAGCTTCGCTACAGACGAACTCGGGCATTTTCTCGTCGAATCATCTGTGGCATCGTGGTCCCACCGGCCACAGTCTCCAACACTGTCATCGCTATGTTACGGTCGAGTGAGCAGTGAAATTCCGCTGTTTTTACACCCGTACGTCTGATTATTGACGAGTACACTGTTATGCTGATTAGGCAAGGTAAGTGACTACGGCACTGTTATGTTTCTGTCAGGTGCCAGGCGAGGGCCTTGGTTACGCCTGCGAGGCTCAATGTCATTCGCCTCGTAGCTCTCGGTCAACACACTATCTGCCGCTGATTTTCCTTACGTCGCCATATAGATCGTAGACCAGCACTTATCATGGCATACAGCAGGACTCCCGCCACGCCGTAGTCCATACGAACGACTCCTGGCTGCCTGTCAATCTGCTCTTTCTATTGTTCCCCTCACCAATCCTTTTTCAGGGACTAGACCAACTAGTTCCGACAGATCAAATGGTCGCAACGCAGTACAACCAGCTAACTACAGAACGACACGCTTCAGGCCGAGGTGATCCTTTCTAAGGATGAGTGATTTCAATAGGGCAACAAATCAGATCGAGACGTAGAAATTGACTCCGGGTTCCGAGCAACTTTATATTGCAAATGCCATTTTACACTTTTACATATTAACGTACTCATTCGCTACCTCCACTAACATTCGCGCCGATAAGCCAGCCGACACCAGAGACAAGTGTTCCAGTGGCAGCTTCTCGCAGTTGGTCTCTTTTCCTTGTACGAATTTCAAGCTGCTCCTGCGATGCCGTTGCACTGCTAGCCGTTGCTGGTATACCCTGAAGACTGGACATGGTAGTGATGTTCCGTTGCGCGATTCTCGCAGTAGCTCGAGATAGGTCAAAAAGTGACATCGGCGCCTCCTCTACCTGCCTTGCCACAGTGCTGGCCGTCGCATTTCGAGGTGGCTGCGTCGGTCGCTGCTCTGGAACATCAAAGTTGCCTGGCAGTGCGCCAAGCTCTCCCGCGGTATCCCAGAGCGTCTCGTTCGCGGCCTCTTCCCTGATTGCGGAGTCGAGCTGCTCCTCGCATCGCCTAAAGCTCTTCAATATTTGATGGAGTTCTGCTGGTGGGGCAGCGCAAATGGCTGTGGCTAAACACTCAATCCTTTGCTCAAGATGTCGGATTTCGGGATTGCCACTCGCTGTCCCTAGATGTGTTGGCTGCTGTGATCGTTCTGTCCTGATATACTGTCCAGCTTTCAGGGCTGCCGCCCAGGACCAAGTATCAGATATGGCGACAGCGTCGGTGGATGCTGCCGCCTTACCCCTCGAGAGTCGACTAACAACGTACGAGTACGCAGTTTCAAAATCATCCTCGTTCAGTGCCGCCTCGATACACATTGCCACTATTCGTTTCTCCGCAACGAACAGCCGCTGCTCAATCTCCGACGATACTGCAACTACCCCCATTGCCAAGCCACGCGAAGTCAGGCTAGCATGCACGATGTTGGTTCCCATTTCCAGAAACTCTTGTATACGAGTGTACGCTTTAGGGTTCTGGCTAAGTACCTTCTCGATGATCATGATTGGGTCGGAATGTACCCGGAGAACAACTGGGCAGAACGGCTCGCCTTGCTTGAGAACAAGGCGGTAGTCGCTGAGTGCATGGCTAGCTTTAAGGAGCGCCTCCACTCGCTTGACCGGTTGTGAGGACCTTTCCAGTACTGTTGGGAGTGAGTGAATTCTACATTGATGTTAGCGGACGGTAATGCAGCTACAGAGAGGCGGGTACTCACATCTCGTCACATTTCTTGAGTCCACCGCGAGTTCTATTAAGATTTGACGCATTGTCGAAAGCGTTCAAAGCAGATTGGTAGACGGCATCCTGGAGCTTCACTTGAGCCAATGGCTCTGTGAGGTTTTCATAGATCTGCCGTGATAATGAATATCCTGCTAGATGATTAGCGCGTGTCTCTTTATTGAGTAGGCTGCTAGAGCGCCATACTTGACTTGGATAGCAGAGTCTTCAAAAACTCAGCCTCAATATGTTCTTTAGAGACCATGCTCAAGGGCCCGCATCTGTGTGATAGCAACCCTCTGCTGCTGTTACGATGACCCCAGTCAGAAAGCCAGAGAATCGCATCTCTTGATCGTTTCCAGTACCCATCATCACCCCGCGGCTCTTGATTGGCGATCGCCCGCAGTAGCTTTCCGAGCTCACCCTTTTGTTCTCTCTCGTCGCCGATGAAGAATAGGTCTCCTGCTCTCCGCACCGACCAAGGTACACCCAAGGAGGTGCAGAGGTATGCACTAATTGTAAGCGCCGTAACCAGTTCAATACCATCAGGTGCCGCGGAAGTGAGAGGGTTCGACACTTTGAGCAAGTCGTGGCGCATGAAGGCGGGCATCTTAGGATCGACACTTAGTGTCGTTTTGACGACTGGCAGGAGGGACATGTCAGACATGATCCTCTCTATGGTTGGTGGCAAGTCCGTTTCATCAAGACGATTGCGAGTTGCGAGGCATATTTGATATAAACTGCGCAGAGCCTCCTCACTTGACTCGGCGATGCTGTACACGCAGGCAATGGCCGTAGTAGCATATGTCTTCTGGAGATATTGGATCTTCCTCGCCGACAGGCTCATCGTGAGGTCTTCCGCAAAGTATACATCGCGCGGCCCTTCCCAGTGTTTAATTGCACCAGTCGCAGTGGTCCAGGATTTCGTTGCCCACGATAGTAGAGTATCCTGCACTTGCTCCCACCCGGGACAGTGCATCTCAGTACCGCCCTCTGGCGCATTGTCATGCTTCCAGCGCATGTCATTATACAGCCATGGTGCAACCAGCCCTCGAAGGTCTAGTCCAGCAGCCTCACCGTCGCCGTTGGTTGACTCGGAAAGTAAAAATATCGCCGCGGTTCGATCAGGGAGTTTCTCAAACTCGGAGAGTGTGTATTCTGGCGGGGAGGTGATGTGGTAATGGCGGTTTCGTCTGACATATGGGAAAACTGTTGATGCGGCCCAATGCTTTATTGAGGGGTAACGTTCGAGGAATGGTTGGAGAAGATCGGTTAAATGTGACAATGCGCCAACTTCGGTGTTGATTCTATACGCCCTTTGGAAAAGGAATTCGCATACAACATCATCTGTCTCGCATCCTTCTGCTTTCTCTCGATACAAAGGTAGGAGGCGAAGTCTCTTGGCCTTTTTTGTCGCAAGTTCATCGCTGAGGGTATCAACAGAGGAGGTATCAATTTCCAAATCGGGGAGGGCCCGCGTTTGTCCGTTTGAAAGATCGCGTAGAAACTGGGTATATAGGCATGGTTCCACGGTCTCTGGGAGGTATGTTAGAATAATGCGCAATAGAATCTCAGGGCACAGAACATCGTCGTTTCGGCGCGCGAGAGAGGCGAGCTTGTCAATGTCGCTTTGCGCTGCCAAGTATGCTGCCAACAGCAGAACCCTGGCTGGCGATAGATCTTTGCTCATGGTCAGCTTTTCTTTTGCCCCAGTTGCCAAACCCCGGTAGTTTTGCAGTTCGGGCGAATCGGCATAAGTGGCGAGCCTCGGCTTCACTGATATCATTCCACGGGACTTGTGATGTCTGTATGGGCGTTCTGTCCTGATATCTTGATATGCAGCTATGGGGACTTTGGTACGTACCAGACAAGGGTGGGTACTCATCGGGGGTATGTCACAATTGAATAGCGCATTGTTAATAGAGGTTACTTTAGAATCCCAATTTTCTAGCGCTGTAGGGAAGTATACTTGTTAGCAAGGGTCGACTTAACCGATGATAGTCCGGCTCCGAATTGTCACGTCCTGCGTTTGAAGCATCATCTGTACTCGCTCGATACGGGCCTTTACTCCAACGAAAGAAGCAATTGGATCATCATGGCGTCCGGATATGGAATGCATGGAGGTATTTTACCCGGAGTTAAATCAAAATCAGCTTCATTGGGGAAATACTGACTTGTTTTAGGCGTTGGCCGTTGCTTCTCCTTCTGGCAGGAGGTGATGGGCTGTTACGTCGTCAACACATCTTCCGAAGACGACTCGGGCAAGAAGAAATGCGCGTTGACGCTCGAAGATTACTACGAGTGCCTTCATCATAAGAAAGAGGTTCGTCATGCTGCACGCTGGGACGACTGGCTGGGACAATCGATGCTGACAACGTGTAGCACGCCAGGGCCTTGGCTATGCAAGCTGCGTATGCCCGATCTGAGTCCGCCACCGCGCGAGACGATGCGCCGAACGCGAAGCAAATACGCAGTCTGGGCCTGATTGGAAAGGAGGAGGAGTCAAAGCAGCTGCTGGGGCGGAATTAGGCTCCGCGAGTGTCTTCGTTGGTCATCGTGATGATATACGCACTGTCTTCAATACAGCCGACCGGTTCACTTTCACATTTTATTATTATGCGCTTATCTCGAATTTGCGTATAGTGACATACAGTACATTCCCGTGCAACTTCTGTTTGGGTAAATAATGTTTTTAGCACGTCACAATATGGTACCCTGGTGCGCCAGTGCTGTGTCGACGATTCTACTCTTGTTTATTAGCTACGCGGTATGTCCCTACCCAATAGCTTCCTGTGGCAGCTATGACTTGACCTCAATGGTGACTTTCCTTTCCTCGCTTTCCTTTCCTCGCGCCGATCCAGTCGTTAGCACTCGTTATCATTATTTTGCTGGTTTGTTCTCTCAATGCTGGCTTTGCGAGCCTCCACCTGCGGCTGTTTCGTGGCCTTTTCGATGCGATCTCTGTTCTTGGGAGCACCCTTCCCATTTTCACTTCATGCATCACCGCTCCAGCTCAGCGTTTCTCGTGATGTAGGCCATCTTCCCTCTTGGGGCTGGTGTTTGGTCAGTCTGAGGTTTCAACCTTCCAACCCCGTCGAGTCTCGGGGCACGATAGTCTCGTCTTTCTGGGTGGTGGGCGTCCTCCGTCACTTCTGGTGAGTGCTAGGGTCGGTGAACCGCCAGAGCTGTGGAGGTGTGCTGTTTCGGCGTCTTTCGTCTATGCAGTGCTTCTGGGTCGCGCACTGTTCGAATTATACTCACTGCCTGGCTATGCCTGTGGCGAGTCGCGTCTCAATTGGCCAGCATCAATGGTCGGGTTTCAATCTTCATGTATGAATATACCGCGCAAGTTGCGTGTCCATTTTATGTTGCCGTTTTCTACGGTGATGCCCTCATCACGCATGCCACATCTGCATCCTTGCGGAAACATTTAAATAGCACAACCTGGCATTGAGAACGCAGGTAGGTAACCAACATCAATACACCAAAATTGCCAGAAGTGGAAATAACACGATACGACTTACAACTTGATGTGAAATTCCGAGCGCTTGTACCGAGACGGGTTGCGGGTGGGATTCAGATACCTACCCTAAACCTCGTTGCACCACCGAGTCATTCGGGGCAACAAGACATTCGACATGACTACCCCAGTGAGACAACAATTCAGGCATAAGATACATTGTACGGATACGTCTACGTGAGGCGATAATTGGGGCGCCGCGGAAGGGCTAGGACGAGTCGAAATGCCCCCCCTCCCCCCCAAAACAAAACACAACTGGCAAGCATTTCCATAACCCATGGGGCAACCTTGAACCTAGCTCGTGAATAACCCAGTCTGGCGGCAAGTCGGAAAGTATTTATCGACACCCCTTGGTCCGCGACCGCTTGTTTCCTCTTTCCCTCCCGGTTGACCGGTACCGTGGCTCAGACTTTCAATCCAGGTCCCTGGTCCAGCGACTGACGTAGCAGTGTTCGCGTACGACACTGCCAACTGCGGGGTTCTAACACCAGGCCATCGCAGATAAAGAGTACATTTTATTGGTCCAATTACGCAAGTGCATAAAACACCCTGGTGTGCACACGTTATTAGCCGTTCCTCACCCCCAGCTCACCGGAGTCTGGTATCATCACTCCAGCATCGATTGAGCCCAGGCGGGTGAATATCCACCGAACCGGACACAGTACCGCAGCCACCCCCCAAATAAGTACCTCGCCCGGGTTTAGGGGCAAACTGTGTGCGCAGCCAAAGAGTCTCGCTGGTTCAGGTAACCTCAGTCAAACAATCAACACATCACGTAGAGGTATCCCACAGCGGCCAAGCTACGAGGGCCACGCCGAATAGGCGACAAAGAAAGAGGGAGGGGAGAATCCGAAGCTCAAGAAAAGAAATACGAAACAGGGCGGCTGCATCGCGGCGGCGATGCAGTGGGTGGGCGTACCAGGACAGGATCCCGGGTACTAATGAGGGTAACGCTGGCGCTAAAGAGACACCGGTGTGGAAAAGGGAGATCCGGGAATGTTGAGATAAGCGAGAACTGGTACGCCCAGATCGCTGGGACGGCGACACAGGAGACACAGAGCAACATAGGTATTGGCAGAAAGTTTTAAAAAAAAAGGTCTAACAAAACTAGACAAAGCCCGGAAGGAGCGGCCGAAGCCTGTGCACAATCGCAGAAAATAACGGGAACCTGCTCGTTGTTTGCAGGACAAGGTAGGGTATGCATGGCACACCGAATCTACGAGGAATGCCATCAGAGCACCTGATCAGAGCAATACCCGAAGGAGCCAGAAACGTAACAAAGGAGGTGTCAGGAATAACCGCCAATGCTATATCTATTTTATCCAGATACTGGGCTAATGAAGAAAAAACGCAATACTAGCAATCCCAACATGTTTACAGAGTACTATCGACGACTATCAGTGATGCGGTGGACTGATGCGCTACGGGGTGAGTACTACCTACTATATATGTATGTCTATGGGTATGATGTGCTATGCACACACACGCAGCGAAAGAAGGCAGTCAAGGACTGAGTATGGCTGCTTGGCAACATTGGGAGCCACGATAGCCCAGCACCTACCTATGTAGTAGTGTTGCAGTGAGGCAGAATTGGGGCCTGAAGTTTGCGCTGCATCAGTTAGGTTACTGCCCAATCCAGCGGCTGGAACCACGGCACAAACGTTCCTGAGCTGCGTGTCCACACCTGCATTCAGCTCAGCTGCATGTTGCTTTGGAACCGATAGAACGGATAGGATGACCAGCACGGCTGCGAATTGTAAACCTGCAATATGATGCAGGCAGTTGTTTGCTGAGCGAGGCAGAGTGCGAATAAGCGAACAGGGCAGGCTGGGCTGCAGGCGCGGCAGGATACAGGTGTCTAGCCTAATCTATCCGTAATTGAGCAACCCAAACGCTGGTGTATTACGAACTACTGATACAGATTGGCGTCAAGCGAGCGGCGACGGGGTCGTCAGTGTAGGCAGTCAGGGCAATTCATTTAGACTTGGTAACCCAGGGGGTACGGATTTGTTAGCAGATGGTCGGAGCAGACCTGAGACGGAAGCTGTTCAAGTGTAACGCTGTATCCGTCGTATGCGTGCTTTTTGTACGCACTCGACCCAAGGGCATGGGTTGGGTTGCACAACTTGCCAGCCAAAAAGGTGTCCTAGAAGCGGCGGCCCCGCCAACTGGTCCTGGTGGACGACGGTACTGCCTAGTCTGTGGCACTTTGGTGTGCGGTGACCTCAGCGGCACAGCACAGCACCTAGTAAGGTAGGCAGCCCAGGTGTGGTGTGCGCAGGTTGGCGGAGCCGTTTCCACATGACAGAGGCCCGAAAATTATCGGTCGGGAGTCGCACTCCGGAACGCCACAAGTCAACGGTGCTGCGTCTCACAAGCCACCGCGGAACGGCTGTGATAGCGCCACGGGTGGTGGGGTGCCAGGAAAGTGGCCAGGCGACTGTCTGTACGAAGTATGTACGAATAATAAGAAGGGAGTAATGGGAGCGCCAAATGGGTTGTTCAGCTAACGGCGGTATCACAAGAACAAACCCGTTAGAAATATTGATAATTGAGAAATGAATGCTAAAAATAAAGACGCCCGAGCAGGTTGTACTCTCGTCATCTCTTCTCCTCCAGCTGTCAGATGTACCAGGTCGCTTTCCAACACGGTAACAGTAGCTTTACCATTCGTTCTTTTCGTTACTTCCATCTCCCCTACGAAAGCACCCTGGCGGACGCACGCCCCCTCCTCCAACCGCTCGGGATGACATTACTTTATTATGGATGCGCACCGTTTTTGCGGTCGCCGTGTGGGTGGGTAGTGACCCGCTTTCAACGTAGCGGAACCCAGTGCTGGTGTCGCCATAATCACTAATCAAATCGCTGCCGTTGTATTCTCATGTCTGCCTTTGCTTGAGCCTGGGGACCACGAGCGAGGGGCTCATGTTCCTGGGCGCTTGGTTCAGGGCGGCACGGGGCCGCTCAAACAGGCAGATTGGAGTGGATAGGCCGAAGAAAAAGTCACTGTTACCAAAATCTCGGCTCCAAAGACGACAATGACTCGGATCTGAGATGGGGAAAGGAGGTGATTGATGTTTTCTTGTTGCGACCCAAAAAGCGATGAACCCTCTCCCTGGACCTTGGAGGCCGAATGCGTTTTCCCCACACATACCGCCCAGACGGCACGGCATTGTTACACGTGAGCTGCTCGCTAGAGTTCCGTCCCAACATGATAAATGCTAGTCTAAATGCATGTTGTTCACCAGTAACGGGTAGTGCGTTAGATTTCCGCATTAATTGGGCATCCCGCAACGGTTTTCCTTTCCAGAAAGGTGATAACAACCGAGCGTCGTAGTCCAAGCCAATAACGAGCCAGCGGTAAACAAGTAAAGCCCGACCAGCAATTCCGATTACTGATGCACGCCACTCCACTAACCAAGACAGGAAAAGCGCCAACGGTGAGGTTCCACAGCACCCAATACCCGTTCTTGGGGCGTCGAATGAATGCGAGAACCGTCAGGCTGGCAGGCATGCGTACTAACTTGCTAACTTGGTAGCTCCCTTCGGTCACAATCATGGTCGTCTATTGATCAGGCCTACATATGTTTGGAAATGCATCATCTTCCCACCAGAGGTTTGTTTGGTGCCAGAGGATGCGGGATTACTGGCGTTGCTCCAACGGTGGGATTCGAGCCTCCTATGGTGTGTTTGGGGGGCGCAGCGATCGGTCACCGACAAGAAGAGCCTGCGGAGGCCTCTCCCATGCTATTCTTGGAGGGTATGCACAACTAGAACATGGGGAAAAATATCGAACGGCGGCGCTCCCAAAATACCGCGATTCAGCTCGCAACGTCGTTGCTTTGTGCTAGGAGTACGCTTGCGGCTGGGTAATGCGCGACGGGGAATGGTGGGGAGGGGGGACAGGTAATAAATGAGAATGAATACCCCAGTCAAAATAAATAAATAAATAAATAAATAAATAAAGAACGAATAAAATGCAAAACAAGGTTTCGTTGGGAGGACCGTTGCACCCGCCAATGGGGGGCTCCCGGGCAGCTGGGACCGAAATACACCGGTGTAAAACGGTGGTTCCTTGCAGCGCTTACTCTTCCCAGATAGCCAACCAGTCAGTCGTTCAGCTGGGCGTTGCCAACAAGGATGGGGGCCAAACCCATCAAAGGTGGGAAAGCCGAGGTCCTCTTTTTATTCTCCAGATACTGCCTGATTTAGCCCTAGCGACTTGACGAGTGTTGAGAATGCCGTGCCGTTTCGCACTACCGAGTAATGGATCCCATCCATCCCCATCCCTCCTGTCCGTCGGCCGCCGATGTTCAACGGGCGCGCCACCCAGCGGCCATCGCTCCACGCACCCTGCAGAACCGCGATGCATAACTGGTTACCGATGTATATGGGCGCATAACTTACTCAAGTACGAGCCAGGCAGGCTGTACCGCTCCGCCGCGCCCATGATACGGTGGGCTGAATATCATCATGCTTCTGCACGTGCATGGCTGGTCGCACATGCACATCAGAGACGGCGAGTAAGCGAATGTTCGATGCCTTGTCCCGCCTTCAATGACGCTGCTGCCCGGGTGAGACATATCAAAGTCGACAGGAGATACACCAAAAAAGTGATAGAAATGAGCCTTGTCCTAGGCTACAGACCTGCCGCCGTGGCTGCCAAGTGCGACGACCTTGCGGCTCTGCGTTGTAGGAACTTGGTCAATGCCTAATAAATGGCATATCGTTGTCAGCATGCTCGTTTTACCAAAACATGGCCGCCGGGCTGCCCATCCATCCCTAGGGAGGCGTTATGTACTTCGTAAATCATTGTGGCAATGAACCCCCCCTGACAGTGACCTGGCCTGTAGTGGGTAGCAGCTGAGTGACATCACCACCAGTTTCTAGGACTGCCATTCTCCTCTTCGCAGTCTCTTGTTTAGTTATTACTTCCGGTATATTAGGAGTTGCTGTGGGGCGGAACGGGATGCTTGAACCAGGACCGTTGCGTATTCTGCGCCGCTGTCGCTAAATCATCCCTGGCACTTTCAACTCCGTACGGAGTATCGTACTTTGCCTTCCTTTCGTGCCCTTGTTTCCTAGTCGTGTCGGTCCTACCATTGCAACAAAAGTGCCTTGGCGGAAGGATGTCGATCCGCTGCTCGCAGCTCGAGCCCCCGCACCTGGTAATTATTGCCACAAAAGGCGCTCCGTAAAGGAGCAGGATAGACATCTAGAAGAACTAGAGTGACATCATAAACGGCCTTTGTTTACCTGACTTCCTTTCATATTACTTGCTCTTTGAAAGTGCTTGTGTGCTGGTGAGTGTAAGCCACGCGCGGCCTTCCGGGCAGTGTGGAAATTCCGTTTGGCTTCGATCATCCTAAGGAATTGTGCCCAGATAGTATTTTGTCATACTTTAAATGCTTTAAGCTCATACTCGCTGCACCAATTATTAAGCTGCAGGTCTGTATAGCTGGTAGAACATACTCGCTGTAGTGCGCAGGCTGTCATTTGACAGCGCGGTTTGGACGCTGCGACTTGTCAGAAATCCGATCCTCATCGGACTTCAACGGTTTGACCAGGGCTAGGTGCAAGGCTTGTCGGTGGGTGGGTTGCCAGACGACACAAATCTAGATTCATCTGCCGCCCGCCCTGTGGTTCATTTATTCGGTGCTGTCCTTGCTTAAGCCGAAGTTTCTCGGCACCTTGTATGTACTAGAATAGCTGTGGTACACCTCCTCCCCGCTGTTTAGTAACACTAGGGACTGTACCTATGTATGTATGTACATACACAGGCCCTTCATGGTACCTGGCTAGGGGAGCCCTGGAGAGGCCACAGGCGGCAGAAGTTGTTATTTGCTCCTGTGATACACCAGTTAACTCGCTAACGGCTCGATTACCAGCATCCACACGCTTGGCAGAGGCGCAGTCCTTGGAAGAAAACAGAATTCATAGTTGATACCGCGGCCCGGGGGAGACAGATGCTGCGCCGATGTCGCCAAAAGCCAATGCAGGAGCTCATCGCCATAAAGGTAATAATGCTCCATGTGGACGGATGCCTTGCCTTGCCTTGCCGCTGGGATTTGGCCAAGTAAAATAAGGCAAAGAAAAATAGCATCCTTGCTCAGCCAGTGCATGCGCTTGCCTGGTGCCCAGTTGTCGAACCCGCCGCGACTGCATCTGGCCACAACCTTGTGGCGTGCCTACTAAAGGTATCCGTAATAATCCGGCATTCCAAATACTCTTTCCACCCTTGCCCACATCAGTATAACTAGTTACGTAGCTCCTCGCTCCTTCAAAATTGTAGGGTTTGGGTGCACACACAGTGCGTCAGGAGGAGTCGGACTACTGCTGCGTTTTTGCAAGGCGGAGTCTCGGCCGGCCTGGTCCGTTGTTGTCCCGCCATGTGCATAAAAAAGGTTTATTGACAGGGCCAGAAAAAGAACGGCGCCAAATTGTTTGCCATCTGGGCAAATCCGCAGGCTCCAGCCCTGTCACAGCCAAAGTTTTACTCAACAACTATTGTTTTTACAGTTCTATTAGAGAGTTACACACCCAAATTTATGGAGTACATGAAGGACAAATCCCAACCTTACAAAGGCCGGCGACCCTGGCGCCCATGGCATTGTTTTTTAGCCGTCATTGATTAACCACCAACCCACTTGGCGCGCTGTCTAGAAAGTTGAAGTGGCTAGGGAGGCGGAGTTAGTAACTCACTACTACCTTGTGCATTCACAGAGTTACAATCTTACAATCAGCCAAAGTTGCTAGGAATAATTCATTGTTTTCCTTCGCGGTTGTTTCTGTGCCTACAATAGGCTAACCACGATATTCTATCTGCCAACTTCTGAGAGCCCCAGCCTGAAATCTGCTGCGGTTTCATAGTATACACATATGCATTGCCTCAAACCTCAAGTAAAAAGGGTACATTGAAAGGCTAGAAAAGTCTAACGCGAAACGATTAAAATGAACAATAAAAATATAGCCTGGAGAGGGAAGAAAATGAAGAGGAACCCCCCGATACGCCCCGCCTCCGTATAAAGGCTAATCTTGCATCAGACTGATGCACTCAAAAGGGTCGAGACTGGCCTAGTCATCTTGCTTTTGGATGGGGCATGGTGTGGTAAACCTCGAACCTTCTCCAAAAAGGAGAGGCTGGCGCGCGCTCACCTGGCGCTGCTGCAGTGGCTCACCCATCATCATGCGTTCTTGTCCATCGTCAATGTAGAATTGTCCAGGTGGGATTGTCAGATAGAAAGTATCCTTGCCGTTGATTCATATCGTCGATGTCAGCTCGGGGTATTTAGCCCAGAAGAGAAGAAACAGATATTCTTGATCTCCCTGTATTAACCTGTTTTTGTTGGTCATGGGCCTTCCACTGTTGGTCAGCGACCATCTGTCGTGAGGTAGGCGAGCTAGGTGCTGTGAGCAAAGAGTCTCGTTGGCGCACGCCGTTGTTGCTGGGTTGTGCAGTGGGTGGCGAAGGATGCATGCGAGGTAGCGACCTTTGGGGAGGTAGTGGAGGGAGCAGAAGTTGTCCACACGGTAGGCCGCTGGGGTGTCTAGTAGGTGATGTTGTGTAGTTGATATGATAGCCCTTGAGGTCGGGCGAGGCAGAGGAGGGTGGCGAGGGTAGAGCGGCATGGGCGTCGGTCCAAGAAGCTTGGTAACGCTTATGGTGATGTGCAGTAGGCGACGGTAAAGCATTCGATGGTAGTGCACCTCCAATCTCTCCAGATCGGTGATAACCGTGGTGCTCACCAGCTGAAAGGTAGCTATTGCGGCGGCGTGCCTCGCTTCTTTTGCTGCGATTCTGGTTGCCATTCCACCAGTTCTTGACGGCATTGTCACTGCGACCGGGCATCTGGCGTGCAATTTCTGCCCATCTCTTGCCAATTTTGTGAACACAGTCAATGATAAAAGCTCCTTCGTTAGCCGAGATCGGTTCATGGCTGAGGCTTGGCTTTAGATTCTGGTGAAAGCGCTCGCGACATTGCTTGGGAGATCTTGTGCCGAGACTGATGGAGATGCGGACCCAGTTGAGGCCACCATGTTCGCCGACGAGCGCAATGAGCTTGTCATCCTCGGCCTGAGACCAAGGGCCCCGTCGGTGCCCTTCAATGGGAGAGACCGCTGTAGCGGCTGTACCAGTTTCCGCCATGAAGGTGGTGAGTGTGATAGTGTTCGTAGAGTATGTTGATGGACGTGCTCGAGTGCGAGGCGGGGGTTATGCAACGTGTGCGTTAAAGGTAGTGTGTTGATGTTCGTGGCGGTTCAATCTTGCGATGGTGTGGAGGACAGGCGGTGTTCTTATAGACGATTGGTCGAGGTTGGATCAGCGCCGGCAAAAAATAATATTATAAAATGCTTGTTGCTAAGGTTCGTCAACCAGAAATCTGTTCAAACGATAGCTGTTCTTTTGAGAATGGTCTTATACTCGGGTGATGTTTAAAAGGTGGGTGTTGTCAGCCGGCGTAAAGTGCGGCATGGGGGGAACAAATAGTAGTTCGGCCCATGTAGAAGAAGCTTCGGGGGATCTGCCATCGGACGCACAGTGAACAGTGAGTGGGCCGTGGTGTGCCTGCCCCCGCTTGGGTGGAGCAGAGCCAAAAGGAAAAGATTTGGAAGGTGGTGGCGTGTACCAAGTAAGGTGAGTATGGGGCCTATGGCAGGCCCAAGCCGTGCGAGGGTGTCTGGTGTGTACTCTGTTTGGGAAAGAAAGCGTGGGTGGGGCTGGTCTCTGAAGACTGCAGGCGCATCCGGGCCACCCCTGCCTGACAAAATAAATACAGAGTAAAGAAATACCCAGCTTTCGCGACTTTGACTTGGGCGCTGGTGAGCACCTCTTTCCTTAGTCTGAATAAACAGAAACATTGGCACGAAATGCACCCCCAAAGCACCCCAACAGAACTATGTTTGCCAGCGAATGATTATGTTCCGCATGATCGTGACGGACTAACACCTCCGTCTCCTGACGGAGGTCGCTAGCAGAAGTCGTATCTAGGTACTAGTTATGTACACACGATTCTTGTAGGCACTTAATAGGAATAGATGCATAGCAGAAAAGGACAAGAGAGACATAAAAAACATAAACTATACAAAATACAAAATACACGAAAGACAAGGAAGACATGAAAGATGTGAACGACATGAACGACATGAACGACATGAACGACATGAAGAATAAAAACCTTTCTTATGAAAACAATTCCAGCGCGAGACACGACTTTAAAAAGCGGCATGGCATAGGAACAAGGGATGAAGGAGAAAATGTAGGTGCCTGGTTGACCTTGGACGATGAATCATTGACGTACTTGGTCCGTTCATACTCATTTGTTCTCCCCATTTCTAGACCAAAATCTGGATGGGTCGGTTTCTTAGTAGCCACCGTTGATGTGCTTGCTCACCCATGGTACCAAGCCCTATGTTCCGTTCTAAACGGTACCCGTGCCTAACTTAATAGACTGAGAACCTGACCAGTTTCCTGTCACGGTGGATGTACTCACTCGCCCATAGTACTGACCCTTATGTTACGGTACTTTTTTGTTACGTTCTGGACCAAAACGCCCCTGAAGCTACTTCGAAAGCTACTCCGAAAGCTACTCTTTGGCGGGCTGGTTCCCAGCCATCGTTGAGGTTGATGATTCATGCTTTTTCGCATCTAGGTGACCTCAGTTTACCCGACCCCATCCCTTGCTTCATGTGCTCATTTTTGCCACAGTGGAAGGGCGGCCGTCGGAATGGCGTGGCTCTGGCCATGTCCGCAAACAATATTCGTGAGAGGCGGATCTACACATAGGTGAAGAGAGCTCTTTGTCACAGGGAGTAACCATGCTGCGGATTCGACTAAAATTTGCTCGTCGCTTGCTAAATCAATTGTTACGTGCCTCCAGGCAGGCTCGAGAGACTGAAAAGTACACCAAAGGAAAAGAAAAGAAAGGAAACAAAGAGAAGAAAATGAAGCAGAAACAGTCTTCATACACAAATTCGTTACAAATAAATATCACCACCCTCTCCACTTTCCCAGCGCTTCCAGGCCTCCTCGTACGCAGTTTCAACGTCTCGGACCCAGCGGCGGGTGTCGAAAAGACCGCATGTCCACTTGCTTTGCCATAGCAATTTACGGATCTCGGCTAGTCGACCACTACTCGTAATCTCACCGGAAGGAGTACGCGAGTGTGACAATCCGGCAGCTAGCTCGATGGCTGACTTCTCATATAGTTTCTCGGACGTGGCGATTAGTTCATCAGCGGCGCGTTGGCCCTCGCGTGACTTGGGCAATGCACCCCTCAGGATAGAAGCTGCCATGCGAGAGCACATTTTATACGGGTAGCGAGGATAAGTAAGCAGTGGCGTGCTGGACCATAGGACGTCTGCCGCAGTAGTATGAGCATTGCACTCTGGAGTGTCGAGGAATAAGTCGCAGATCCGGGCACGTGATATGTGTTGGCTCTTTTGAGCAACATCCGTAAACACCAAGCGGCTAGCCACCTCGTGGCCAGCCCATAGCTCTGCCGTCCGCCGTAGATTTGCTTCGCCGGCTTCTGGAAACCGCAGGAGCCAAAGTATCGCATTTGGTATCTGTGCCAGGATTCTGAGCCATGATCTAAATGTACTCGGGTCAATCTGAATGGCTGATCAGTATAGACACGTAAGAAGTACTGCGCTTGGCTTGGGTGGTGGGCACTTTACCTTATAAAGCTGATTGAAATTCGCCAGTATGATTGTATCGTCTTTTAAATCAGGGAATAGTTCCCTCCGCATTGACCATCGTCGATTTTGCTCATCAGCCCAAGTCATACTTCTTTCCGTGACGGGTGATGATTGGGCATGATCGCAGCAGAAAAATGTATCACGACAGAAGATGATGTTTTCCGTGTACATCCACTCCCCGGAATCTGCCTCAGAGTCATCATGGAAAACGTCTTCCAGTGTTCGGTTCTGGCGCCACGGGCGCAAGGTACTCGGGGGTATAGCAGTAGTGTCTGCCAGGATGTAATCGCACCATTCGGCCCCGAGGGTGCCTGCGAAGCCCATGAACGACATTTGGACTGGCGCTGGCCGCGAAGCGAATATCTCGTTTCTAGCACCGCGAGTATAACCATTGAGGTTTACTAGAATGTGAATGCCGTCATTGCTGATTTGTTTTATCAAGCGCTCCGGAGCCCAGCTGCTAACATCTCTGAAAACGGGCGCCTCCTTCTCAATTTGCGCCCGGTAGCTAGATTTGTCACTTGGTGTTGTTGCGTAGCAGAAGGCGCGCACCCGCTCCGCGTCGTGAAACCCGAAAACTGATTGCATTCTATGGTACAATTAGCTTTCAAACCCCAGCCATGATGGGGGGTATACTTACAGGTGCGCCAAGGGGTGGTTGTTAAAATCAGAGGAGACGTATCCAACGTGAAGACGGGGGCTTGGTGGTGCTGGTGGAGGAAGAATGGACTCAGGAAGCCACGGTGCTCGCAGTGTTGCGCACGATATGCGCATTGCATTTCGTTGCGAGATGACCCTGACTTCCTTCGCAGTCAATGGAGAGGTAAATGTATGAAATGGGAGGACAGTAGGCGCCGACGGTACACTCAAGGATGGCGGAAGTCGAGGCCGAGAGTAAATCAAGGTTGCTCTTTTGCATTCGATATGGCGGTCGATATACCATTTTCTGAGCAAGACTTTGGCAGCTCTTTCAAGAAGCCGTACAAGTCGCGAACCTGCCCACCGGGAACCCATCCAGTTTTGCAAGTTCTTCTCAAGATCGAATGAGGAATCAGTGCAGAGATGAGAAAGATGCTGTGTCAAAAGTTGAATCAAGGACTTGTTGACAACGTCTCGGCCCCAGTGCGAGGCATCGTCCAGCTGTTGACGCACTATATCCACAACACGTTTGCTCAGGCCTGATGCAGATTTCGTGGTCGCTGCGTCAAGCAATAGGCCACCATCGTTAACGTGCCATCTATCATACTTTCCTAGGTATAAGAACACCCCACCGCGACCTTTCCAGTCGCAAACTGAATTGAGTGCCGTGAATAAGCCGCATACAGCTTCAGCAAACCCAGGATTGGCGGAAACAGCTCGACGATAATAACCAATAGCTTCACTTATGCGACCTTTGTCTTTGACGGCATTGGCAAGATTTGTCAAGGCTATGTCAAAAGTGCCATCGCACGCAACAGCGCGTTCATACATTTGGATGGCCAGGTCAAGTTGCCCAACATCCTTTAGCAGACTTCCAAGATTGGTGTGCAGATGAACGTGCTTTGGATCCAGGCGAAGGCCGTAATTATAGTACGCCAGTGCAAGAGCAAGGCCGCTCCCGGGGAGTATCCCTGGAATACTTGTTTGGCCGTGCGATGGCGAACGGTCAGGGTTTGAGGTTGTTTGAGGTATGCTTGCGAGCAGGATACCCACATTGTTGGCGGTCGATGGGCTTTCTTGCAGAGACAACGAGAGGTAGTAGAGAGCTAGTATATCACCAACACCAGAAGACGGACGCGCCAGTGTGGAGCTCGACGAACCACTGGCCATGGAGTCTTGGAATATTTTTGCCAACGACAGCAGCGAGTTACTTGTCGTTTGAACAGCAGCCCTCCTGGGAGTAAAGTCGTTCACCCACCGTAACCCAGGAAGTTCTCCTTCACCACCAAACAGAAGGCGAGCAGCGTGACGGGCCTTGTCAGGGGCAAGCAACAGTGGCTGGGCAGCAGCCGTCGGGGGGGCGACTTGGGAGAGGGAGTCCTGAATACCGCGCACCAGTTCGCGAATTCCCTTGCTATTTCGCCCGACGCTGATTAGTACTGCTTCTTCGAACGCTCGAGCGGCACCATCCACATCTTTGAGCCCATAGAGCATAGTGCCTTTCGCGTGGATCAGAGCAAGGATTCGACCATTCTCACTTCCAGGTAAACTATATCCACTGGAGCCATAGCCGCCCGGAGATAATTCGAATGTGTATCGCGAGGGCTGCATATTGATCATTTGGGGGTCGAATGTGCGATCCGCGGAGATGTGGTCCTGGGAAGTGAGGCTTGCTGGTACGGGTTGCCTAGCAGCTACGAGAGCCTTTTGAACGTAGCATATAACGTCAATTGCTTTTTCACTGCGCTTCTTGTAAAGAAGCCCAACTAGATGCTCAACAGCTTCCAGGTAGCTGGGCTTCTGCTGTATTGCACGGATCCAGTGGTGTTCTGCCTCTTCATGGCGGTCCAAGCAGTAGAATGCAGCTGCCATGTTTGCGATGGCTTCAATATGGCTACAATATGCAGTTAGATCATGGAACGTCGCATGGAAAAGGACGAGAAAAGCGAATACCTGGGATCTAACAGAGTGATTCTTGAGAAGCATTGGAGAGCGTCTGCGTACTGCTCCACGGCATACTGGAGGCAGCCCAGAATGAGCATGCCCTCGGTCCATGTCCACTGGCTTTGCTCACATAGGTGCTTGAGAATATCCAGAGAAGACCTGGCATCATTCACAGGGGAGGTACCACAACTGGGCATGTCGAAAGTCTCAATCAGTGGCATGGGCCCATTTGCCACACTTTGCTGGGCTCGAAATTGGTCCACGCCAGCAGACATGATGTGCCTGCTAGGCTGCTGAACTGGTGTGTAATGATGGCCGTGGGCGCTAATTGAACTGAGATTGGCCGGCGATGTGATTCTGTTGGGGTTGAGAGAATGATTGGACGGTTTATTCAACCCAGATTTCTCTCGTCTTGGCCTGGGGGGTTTGGGGAAGATAAGATGCTTCGACGATGCATGATCTGCTGCGTGGGAGTCTTTCATGCTTGCCCTCGCATTTGCCTGAATATACCCCACTAGACTCGCATAGCAACGGTAAGCCTGAGAAAGGGTTTTGTCCTTGAAGGCTGAGTGGCCATTGCGGCTGTCATGGTTTAATGTGTATGCGCATTGAACTTTCTGTGTTCTGTAGCCCACAGTCTCATTCGACGAAGGTAGAAAATGAGATGCCATCAAGTGCGGAGTATAATTGGAACGGGGTATAGCTGAAAAGGAATTGCGCGACACCGTACTCGCGTATTGCGCGGCTTGATAATCCGAAGGAGACGGGTTTTGCTGCCAATGAAGTTGACCTAACGGCAGACCGCCTACCAAAGAAGGCGGCGGCGGTGGACAGAATGCTCGCACATTATATTCATTGGCTCGGATGACGGGTTGATAGACAGTTGGGAAAGGTACGGCAGGATGCTGCGAAGACGGCTGGAAATTTTGCGCTTGAACAGACCCAATAGCGAAACCAGGTGGTCCCCAAGGTGCCGCTGGTAACGGCATGTTGGTGCTACGGGCTCCGTCAATGACGAGATTTTGGGGATAAGAGCCACCGCCGAGCATCTGATATTCGGGCGTATTCATAGGCTGACCAGGAAGAGCCAGTTGCTTCAGCGGCGGCTCACCAGTAGACGATTTCACAGAGGACCCATCGTAACCAGCGTCAATAGTACCATTCGGAGTCTTTCGCCGCAGCTGGTGCTCTCGAGCTCTGTGAGGAGCGTGCCCGTTGTAAGAGCCGCTCTCCGGGAGATATGTATGCGGATGGAGCGTTCTTATAGGAAATGATAAATGTTGATGTGGCGGCGTTTCTTGTTGAAACCGAGCATCGTGTATAGGTTGTCCGTTGACTGGGTGGGGTATACGATCGAGGTTCGCGGTCGGCACCGTCTGGCGGTGCGTCTGTACTAAGGGCAACATGCCAGGAGGCTAGGTTCAGAGCTGTCGGGAAGACGGAAGGTTCGTTGTCAAATGTAATATCAAGAGACATTGGCAGGCGAACTGCAAACGCTCATTGCTTTCCGGTCATACCATGGCGGAGAGGCTGCCATCTGGCGTCAAGCAGGCAGAGAGAAGATACTCGCGGCACCGCTTCTGCTTGGCCGATCACCTTATGGATGGCCTTCGTAGGATGCGGTACTTTCAGCAAAAAAATTCCACGAAGCGGATCAGGCTTATCAACAGAGAGGCTGGTGCAGATGTGAACAGTTTGGTGATTTTACATCAAATTTGGATCAGTACCAACTCTGTACCGTTGGCCAACATCATGCGTGGGTCCTTGTGTGGCACTAGCAGAGTAAGCCCGAATTGAGGTACTTGGACTGAGGATTGACCCATAAACAAGGCTGGAAGGAAGTATGGGTACAAGGAAGAGATGTATGGATCTTATGAGAGCTTGATGACGGACCTCCCCGCTCAACTTCCGATGAATGGCCAGTTTCGGGACGGAATCTGTGCTCCTCATAACGTGCTCGGGCGAAGCCTGTGAGCGACTGGATTTTTCTGTTGGCTATGCTATGGAACGGTTGTATGTATAGATAGCTCTTGTTTCTTCAGTGCTTGGGAGTTCGCTGCAACTGTATTAGTGCAAATAGCACGGTATTCAGCTTACAAAACCACAGATTTACAGTGCATGATGGATTTCCTTCAAGACATATGTAGGCCCGATCAATGGACCGCCATGACCATTTGTTACGAGATACATGGCGGTGAGTAGTGGATCTAGCTTTCATCTACCTCGGGCAAAAATTGAAATGTACCATCGTGTAGTTGGTATTTTCAGAGTGTAGCCGAGGATTGCGAACACTTCACTGTCACTTTCTCCAGGAGATATTTGGTCGTGCAGCCCATGAACGTTTCTCTTCATAGCTATATTAAATCGGGGTCGCATTCAAGTCGTACGCCGTAATTTTGACTTCCACTCGCCGAATGTCCCGTATTTTCCGGTTTTGTGCCAGTAGAATTGTTTATTCCTCGGGAACTAAGCCTCTGTTAGTACTCAATCGTCACGTTAGCAGCTCATGCTCAACATACTGTCAATCTCGCCGTTATCGATAGCCTCAAGGATAACCTTGGGCGGCTTGCCATCAACACGGCATCCGACACTGTAGGCGGTACCGAGGATCTCCTTGACAGTGCCCTTGAGGTCCTTTGAAAAGGACTTGTAGCGCATAGTGCGGGCGATCTCAATGATCTCTTCGAGAGCGACCGACTTGTTGTGCTTGATGTTCTTCTCCTTCTTGCGATCGCGAGGAGGCTCCTTCAAAGCACGGATGATCAAGGAGGAAGCGGTGGGCACAACAGACACTGCGGCCTGACGGTTCTGAATGGTGAGCTTGACAGTCACGCGCAAGCCTTTCTGCTGGCCGTTAGTAGATGTCAAGGGTAACATGGAAGCGAGAGCATGAATCGACGCACCCAGTCGCCCGTAGCCTTGGCAATATCTTCTCCGACCTTCTTGGGGGAGAGACCGAGAGGACCAATCTTCGGCGCAAGGGCCGACGAGGCACCAACCTCACCTCCGGTGGCACGGAGGTGACTAAGACCTGTTAGTAGACAGAAAAACAGTCAAGATGCGATTTAAAGCACGAACATGACCTTGACCTCATTGGGATCGAACTTGGGAGCTAATAGGGAAAATGTTAGCAGCGATATTCACGCTGATTGATACATCAACGTACGCATGGCGACGGTTTTTTAGAATGGCAGAGGCTCGTGGTTTGCTTGCCGTTGGGAAGTTGGAAATGAGTTGATTGTCAAAGGGCAAAAGTTTGAGGCACCTGCTTTTAGCGAGAGAAAAATATGTGCGCCCCCACCTTCTGCCCTAACAATGAACGCTGGACTGACTGATGGTGCAAAGTTACTAATATTGAGTTAGACAGGAGCATTAGGTAATCTATCAAGGACCCACCTCAACCAGCACTTCAGGATGTCAATTTGCAGGGCTTGAATGCGAATTATTTGTTGTACTTTGTAAGTGTAACTATCTGGCCATGACAAGCCCATGCAATGAGGCATGGCTGCCTGATATGTTGGAGGCATAACCAATGGCCATGCTGCAGGCTGTACAGGGTTCGGTTGTTTGAAAACTATGATACGAAAACACCAGGGATCGGACAAGCCACCTAGTTGGCGCCACTGACAGCAAGTCTATTCAAAATTTGAGGTTAGCGACATTGGGTCAATATTCAAGCAGGTGCATAGTGACCTACTTCATTAAGTGATCCATGAATGTTTGTAAAGACACGTCGTCGGTAAAGATTGTTTGGCCAGAGGCCGCTCCGGCTCCACCGTACGGCCCGGTCGTGTGCGTGGTAGACGGGTTGAGCTTAGAGAGCAGAAATCGGGCCTGGGAGCCACCCGCGTCACAGACAATAAATCTAGGGAGTGGGAATCTGTCCGTGATCAAATCCTATTTTGAGTTAGTACAGCCTTCAACGTCCGGTTCTATACGCTTCAACCTACTCTGGCATCTTCTTTCGGTTGCTCCAGCAAAGCCGCGAAATTTTCATAGCCTTCCTGGTCTTGATAACCGGCTTTCCGCCATTCTGCGATTGTCTCGCCATGGAAGATGAGGATGTGGAAGAATGTGTCCAGGAGGAGGGTGTGTGTAGGCTGAATAGAGGCGGAGTCGAGCAGCACAGGTTGGCCGCCATCCTGATCGAATGTGTAAGAGTCGAGTGTTGGCTGAATCATCACGAGTGAATTGCTGACGTCTTCGTGGTTCAGCACATGCCTGTTAAAGGCTGTCTCATCAGGAGAGTTGTTGAAAACTTGCAAGAATGGACTTCTGCGCAGGTGAAACATGAATTGGGGATAAAGGGTGAAATTCTTTTCCAGCCGAAATGATGATGGATCGTCCTTCCTGTAATCGGCGAAGCGCGAGCAGAGTCGAATCAGCATTCTGTCTACCCAACGAAGCACGTCGGGCCCATCATCAACCTCGGCTTTAAAAACCGCTATTCTGCTCATCAGCACAGCAGCAGCTTCCTGGTCGAACGACTGAGCAATTGCTGGATCGCCAGCGGGTCCGCTCAAATTGCGGGCGATGGTAGTGACGCGCAGATGGAATTGGCCAGACGAATGTTGATAGTAGGTAAGAAACTGCATCATGCCCTTCTGAGGTCCTTGCTGATGAGGACTGGGGCCTTGGTTGGCGACCTCAAAGTAGACACCGTAGCTCGCTTTGGGATCAATGCCGCACATTTTCCAGGAGCAAGTGTTGCCAATGCCGCATTCAGTTTCACCGACAGAGACTGATTTTTTGTTGAGGGAAACTGCGTGCCCGATGAGACCAGTCACTTTCAGCTCCTTGGTCGTCAGGACCTCCAGCACCGCGTTGAAGCCCATGAGGAGATTGTCGTCACCGTCTTTCTCAAAAACCCGAATAAAAGACTGCTTAAACATGGACGATGTGAAGCTGTCCGTTAGGATCATGTGGCCACCAGTAGAATTGCAGAGTCCTTTCATTTCGAGGAGTCCGACTTGATCCAAGCAGCCAGCGAAAATGTCAATTATGTGGCCATTGTGCGCTGTGCGCTTTGCCAAATTGTCGTAGAACTGCATCGGTTAGTTCATAGAGCATACCACAGTCTCAGTTTGAATAACGCTACCTTTAGAGCTTTCTTGTAATACTTCACGTTATCGCGATCAATATCATGGTGCGATCTCATTGGTTCCCGTAGTTCAGGTCCAACTGTCATTCCTGGGCCCTCCGTGGCCGGCCCACCAGCGAAAAGCATGATGCGTCCTCCGGCGTTTTGGAATGACGACTCTAAGAGACCGATCGCCACACTGAGGGCCACGCCAGTGCAGCGCAGATTACGGCGATCGTTTGATGTCGGCCACGGATCCTTCTGAAGCGCCTCCAAAGCTTTAGTGAGCTGGAACTCCGCTTGCTGGACTGGCATAAGGAATCTCGATGCCGGACCCATAGGCATGGGCCGTCCGGGCTGCTGCTGCATCCCCGGTCGAGCTGTAGAAGATGAAAGGCCGAGCATGTCTTGAACTTGCTTCGCAGAATAGTCCTTATTTCCTCGGAAAACATACGACTTCGCGCAACCCTCGTAGCCGATCTCGTGAACTTGTGCCTGGCAAGCGTTAGAAAAAAATTACGGTGAATAGAACGATGGTTTCCTCTTGCCATTGTGCCGTATGTGATAAGGCCAACCAATGCGTTTTCAGGAAGCAGGCTGAGACTCATGACCAGAGATTCCTTGAGCGCAGCCAGACCGTCATCTTCCTGGCACAAATCGACGACATAGAAGAATATGGGAGGAGCGGGGGCAGGTCTGGACAATCGATATTCGATGGTCGTGTTTGCGGGGTGCAGTTCCGGCGGAATCGCGTTTTGCGTGATGTCTTTGTAGTGGGGAGGGAGCGAGTTCCTCGACAAGCAGAAAGGGCAGATCCAGACACGAGCGCGAACATCGACTTGGCTATGCATTTTGTCAGTCAGCCGACGAGATTAGAATTGGAATAGGGTAAGTGAAATACCAAAATGGGTTCAGCACGGAGCGGCACGGCTGCTTGCAAGTGACTGGTTCAAACTGCAGCAATGGCGTGTCAAGCTTCTCTTTTAACGGGGTATAGAGGGCACCAATCGGCACGACCAATCGCGATGCTTCCTACGAAAGGTTAGCATTGGCTCCTGGAAGGGTGTTGATTCCTTGCTCACCATACGGGAGCTAGGGAACACGTTCCAGCTCAGGCGAACACCATCGCGATCCTCGACGTCGCTCCATTGCTCTTTGAGCGTCTCGTACTCCATTTTCTGGTATAGGGAACCGATTTCGCTTGCCCCGGCGGTTTGAATACTGTAACTTGAGCTTCCACAAATTCCCTGCTTTGCCTTAGATCGACTCGTTTATAGGTGGTGAAGCTTCAAGAGATCTAGATGTTTATTAAGCTCAGGAGGGGACAACATCAAGCGAAGTGGCCACTTGTGCGCCCCACCTTTCTACCCAGCTACACCAGTGCCTGAGAGTTGGCTGGAGATAAGCACAGGTCCACAAGGTACCTAACTTTAGTTCTGGTAACTGACAGTCTAACACGGACCGGGGTAGTGAGAGATCCAATTTAGAGTCCTCCAAGAGCAAAAATTTTTGGTGTCAATTGTCCACATTCACTGCTGGAAAAGCTACAGTCAATTGGTGTGGCGTAAGGATACATGATGCTGCAAGTTGCTGGCCAGAGGATCCTGGCTGTCCCTCGCTGCAGCCACGCTGTCCGGCTGCGACATGCGCAACGCTCCGTTCAAACAGCAGCTCACCTGAAACTGGCTTATGACCTCCACGAGCCCCCAAACCCAAGAGCAACGCCAGAGAAGTCACCGATTATATTCTTGCATGGTTTGTTCGGCTCGAAGAAAAACAATCGGGCTATGAGCAAGTGAGATTTGGTTGCGTCACGGGCGGGCTGAATGAATGCTAAAGGGGTTCTAGGGCATTGGCCCGAGATTTAGGTAGATATGTATACGCTTTGGTGAGACCAAATCGCGAGTTCCTCGAGAAGCTTCTTGTTAACAATTTTAAGGATCTGAGAAACCATGGCCAATCTCCCCATGATAAACGACACGACTACTTGTCCATGGCAGAAGATGTGTCTGGCTTCATCAGCGATCGCGGCCTTCAGAACACTACGCTAATAGGCCATTCCATGTAAGTGCTGGTGCTGCGTTGAAACATGTATCTACTCTCCATCGAATTGCTAACATATGACGGTATTTGGACGAGCAGGGGCGCCAAGACTGCCATGGCATTGGCTCTACAATCACCCGACAGCGTAGCGGACATTGTTGCTGTTGACAATGCCCCTGTGGATGCGCTTCTGGGCTCGGATTTCTCATCTTACATCCGTGCTATGAAGAAGGTTGACCAGGCCCACGTCACAAAATTAGCTGAAGCAGACAAGATACTACAAGCAGTCGAAAAGGTTCGCGATTCCGGTGTGGGAATCCCCAACGGTGGCTGTTTGACACTGACCTGTTGGCTTGCAGTCGCTTCCAATCCGGCAATTTCTACTAGGAAATCTTCATCGTGAACCTGGTAAAAACTGTCAGACGTTCAGGATCCCGCTTGATACCTTGGGTGCTGCCTTGGGCCACCTTGGCGATTTCCCCTTCAAGGACCCAGGCCAGGTTCGCTTTGAAAAGCCGGCCCTTTTTGTGCGTGGTACAAAGAGCAAATACGTACCGGACGAGGTGCTCCCCGCAGTGGGACAGCTGTTTCCCAAATTCCGTCTGGTTGACATTGATGCCGGTCACTGGGTTATTTCGGAACAGCCAGAGGAGTTCAGAAGAGGTAAACTGCCTGGTCCCACGTCGGCGAATACCTGCTAATATAGCCCAGCGGTCGTGGAATTTCTGCAGAGACACGACTAAATTAAATTCCGACGTATTCCTGCTCAAGCAGACTGTTTCCTATTCTGTATGTCTGAGTAAATGCTGGCTGGTTCACCGCAGCCTAGTCGTCTCAAAACCTAAATAGAGAGGTTTTGCCCAGCTCTGATAAGGCTCCGTGGTGACCACGAAGCTCCGCAGAGGATACGGAAATCACAGTTCTTCGTCGTTAGCAAGTTGCACCAACTCATATGAACAGAAAGCCTTGTGCCGTATCATTCGCGACATTATCTAACCCCTAGCCGTCGTAGAGACAATACGCCATTTGCCATGACAGAAACAATGCCAAAATGAGGGCCCAACCTCGAGACAGCCTAGAATTTTCCCAGATTTTTTTCGTTTTCCCATCTAAACCTCCTCCAGGACACGTTCCTTGAACTCGCGCTCAACCTTCTGACCCTGGTCATCCGTCCCCGACTCGCCGTGAAGAGCCATCAAAGCGCCCAGGTCGAACTTGGGGGCCTTGAGGAGCTTGACCTTGCGGATGTGTACCTGGAGCTTCAGTTAGCCTTTGTTTCGCAGTATGCCGTCTCGGCAGTCGACGTACATTCTGCAGGGGGTAGATGCCCTGGGTAGCCTTCTCGATCTCACGTCCGATGACCTCGGGAATGAGCTTGGAGGTGAGCTGGGTGAGTGTGCAGGTGGAAGCCTCGCGCTGAATGATATCGGTCATCTTGCGGCGGATGGCACGGATTTGAGACGAGGCGGCGTAGGTCGTCTTCTTGATCTGGTTCTGGCGGCGCTTGGTGAAGCCAATGGCGAAAAGACGAATGAGGTAGTCATCGGTGGTCTTGACGGTAATATTGGCCTCAATGAGCGACTGCCACTTGCGCACGAGAGAGCGAAGCTTGTCGGATGTGAAGTCGAGGCCGTGGAAGTTAGTCAGGCAGCTCTTGCCCTGGACCTCGTCGATGCGAAGGCGGATCTTGCGGAACGAGTGGTCTTCGTCCTTCTGGAGGTCGGCGAGGGAGACCTCGACGATGCGGCCCTTAAGCGCATCGTTGGCGTTCTTCAGACCGGTGGTGCGGTTGACGAGAGTCTTGCCGACACTATTCAAATATTAGTTTCGGCTTCATCGTCGGTCGGTAGTCGCGGCGCTGGCAAAACTCACTCTCGCACGTTGAAAGGGTTAGGGGCCTATATCGCGTTCGTTAAATCCAGTTGCGACAAGTATTTGGGGCGAAGATATCTTACCTTGATCGAGTACCAGTCTTTGCGCGAGAAGGGGTCGACGGTCTTCTTCTTGAGGCCCTTCTTGCCCTTGGAGAGTCTCTTGTTCCTGCGCCCATGTAAGTAAATCGAAGAAGAGAGGATGGGCTTGACAATTCCTACTTTCCAACCGCCATGATTGCTGCCAAATGTAATGAGCAATTGGAGGATCAAAGATGCAGACGATGAGATGGAGGGGGAGAATAATTTCAATTTCTTGTGTGCACCAGTTTCGGCCTAAGCGAGCCCACAAATAGCCAAGTCGGCGGTCTGTTTATCCGGGTCCACTAGGTTTTTGAGAAGAAAAACTTAACTTGCCTTGTGTGAGCCACGTGATGTGTCCCTTAGTTAAATCGCCGAGGCCCACTTATACCCAATCGAGGAAGGCGGATGCAACCAACCACGCAATCAGTATCTGCAATTCCTGGGTTATCGTGCTCATGCCGAAGCGAGTTGTAATTAGCAATTGCTTGTTAAAGGATTTTGCGAGCGCCAGCAGCACGGCGTCAATCTACTGATTTGAATGCACCTGCTACGTATGGATGGCGCTCCATCTTCGCCTCTTGCAGAGCTTCCGCGCATTCTTTTCCTTACCTAGCTGATTCCTCAAGAGCATCGATGCCAGTGGTGGAAATTTCTACTTGTTTTACTAGCTTGCATTTAGGGGACGTAGTACGTAAGGAGATACAATGTATCATGCCGGCATTCTTCCACTGACGGTTTGCAAGCCGCTCCCAGAACTCCATCATTCGGCTCTAAGAAATGGTTGCTGACAACCACTGCAAGCTCAAATCCGTGCAATATTCGAAGTGTCGGGCGAATCAGTGATCAATGCTGCGCATCATAGTTAGCGGGAATGGACGCATTTAGCTGGCTGAAGCGGGGAACGTACTCTTCCCACATCCTGCCCTGAACAGACTGAAGCTCATCCGATGTCAAGCGTTTTCCGGCAGTGAAGTATCCTGAAACTCGTTAGGACTATATCCTGTACGTTCTCACACAATTACCAACCGGCTGTGATTTTGGCATCAATTTCGACACGTGAATCCGCGGGAATCAGCTCCTCCGGCAGCTCAACTCTCTCGTGAATCGGAATTCTGCCGTGCAGGTCAGCATCAACGTCTGCTTGCGAGTCACAGGTGGGCATACCCTTGGCCAACGATAGCATCATGCTTCATGCTGCGATTGGTCAGTATACAACTAGGCTGAAACGGGTGTGCCCTGACTCACTTGCTCATGCTGAGCATGCGATCGATCTTCTTGATACCCAGCCAGTGGAGAATATCGGGCATGAGCGCCTGGAATCTCATGTCCTTCACTCCAGCAATGTTCTCTGTACGTGTGAAGTAATCAGAGGCTCGATCAGCTCCACGCTTTCGAGCATTGTAAACCACTATAAAAGTCAGCAGACGGATAGACTACAGAGGGACACGCCTGCCGTACAATACTGCACCGAAGTTAGCAAAGCTCCCCGTGTACGGATGTTTACCTGAACATACCTTTGTCACCTCGCCGAGCGCTCTTCCTTCCTTTCTGAAGTAGATGACGACGCCACTTCCTCCATTTTGGGCTTCCTTTACAGCCTCTTCTATGCCAAAGATGAGGTACGGCCGGCAAGTACAGATGTCCGATCCGAACACGTCACTTCCGTTGCACTGACGCACTTTGTTAGAATCTACTCCACGTCCAGGACCGATGAGGATACATGCCTCGTCATGAATACGCAGTGACAGCCGGACAGACTCGTCCGACATTTTGCTCGGGTCACCGAAGCAGTAGACAGTGAGACCGCCTTCGCATCGAGTCAGTGTGATGTTCATTTTCTAGCGTGTTTATTGTGAAATGCGAACCTATTGGTGGGAGAAAGACCTTGATGTCGCCACGAGTGATCAACTGCGTGCTGTGAGCTTCTGACTCTGCGTCATGGGAACTCGAATACTTGCCTCAGGGTAGCTGCCGCCAGTGTGCTCAAAGAGCGAGCGACGCAGAGTTGCCTCATCTGGCCCGGGAAGTGGTTAGGCTATGCAAGAAGTGAATGGGCGATGGTCCTCACCTATTCCAAATCGCTCAGCGACGCCTGGGAGATACCAAACCTAGAAGAAGTAAGCTGAGCTCGGACCGAACGAAGATGGCACATACCGGCTCTACCGCAAATTTGGTGACGGCCAATTCTCCTTGCTTATTCAAGCACACTTTGCCATCGGGGACACTGGCTTCAATCAGTACCGTCGCTTCTCTCGTGTTTAGTCACACATACAGCCTGCCGGATCGCACGCTGTCTTCCAACTCCGGAAGCTATTTAGGTGTCAACGGTCAGTACCACGTCCACAGCGGCACCCTTTATATACCAGTACATGCCTTCATGTGTGCTTTCGTGATGGCAATGGTTGGTCGTAAATCAACTGTGCACATATCAATACATGACGGCCCGTGTTGCCAGGACCTGGTACGCACCGTTTTCTCTCTGCATGATGTCCTTGTACTGCCACGGCGTGAGATGTCCCCAAGGATCCATGGCTACGATTTTCTTCTTGTCGCCCCATTGCTGGAATGGACCGATCTTCGCGGCAGGTTCTGTGTTGGTAAAATCGGGCCTGTTTCCTTCGTCAGAACTAATCGTGCGGCACGGTGACCGAGCGTTACCTGTGGTCCGTGTTGAGTTCCTTGCTGGCGACCGCCAGTGCGTAGTACACCGAGTAGGAGCCGCCGCTGCGAGTCTATGTCAATAATCTGATTACGGCAGCGCCCAGAATCCAACGTACTGTGCTATAGTGCTGGTTAGTCGCCGGGTACGTCGGCCTCATCAAGCTGCGTAGCTAGGGACTAAACTTACCTCCGATAGCTACCAGCCGGAAGGGCGACAGGTCAGTTCGAGCTAGCAATTTCATGCGGATAACAGGCTACGAACCATTTCTCCGGCGGATAGTGCTCGGGAGCCGAGAAACAACAACCGGTCCTCGCTTTACCGGGTCTTCGTTTCCCCAATCGAGCGGAATGGGGTCGATACCGATCTGCTTGGGATACGTACTGCCAGAATAAGCTTGCATTACGGTAGAGCACACCAGTGGGTAAGAAAAGCATACGTGAGCACGATGCGGGATGTGAAGCCCAACTTTTGAGAGGGTGACGAAGAGTTGGGCGCATCCGGTCCAGTGTCGCCTGGGTCATTCGGAGCAGCGCTTGTTGGGTCTCGCTGAAGCGCAGCGGATGCGGCCGCCGATCCAGGCTGTTGCTGGATGCCAATGGCCGCCGTGAGCGTGTCGACAGCAGCCGTCAGCTGGGACTGCGCATGTCGAACCTCGCTCAGCGAGTTAGCAATATTCTGGTCGTCACCAGAGATTGCCATTGTAGTTTTGTGACAGGCTAGATTCGTCAAGATGCTGCGAAGGGTGATAAGGATGCGGTTCAAGGTGTGCATTCGAGGTCAGTCGATTGGTTGTGACTGAGAAGAGGGGAAGAGAGGGGGTTCTGTCGCTGCGCCGTTGATACCGGCCCGGCGCCTTAATCAAGCTCGGCCCCGTTGAATATGCCAGGTGACCACCATTGCGCTAAGTGCTGGATAGATCGGCCAATCAAACGGTGACAGGGAGCATGATAGCGATATCGGCCGGCGGCCACGCAGCCCATCTGCACATGCCCCCATAGTATTCTGTGTCTTAGAACTTGGAACTCTTACTTTTCCTAGCAGTGAGTGCGAATTTTGAACCGCCTCCCCGTTGCGGCCGCTGGTGCGCTCAATAGCCTACCTACCACCCTCCCATCGACGATTCTGCCGATCAGGCTCCAGCGCCTGTTCTAGCGGCGGGGATCCTTGGTGCCGGCTCCGCGCGGGGTACCCAACTGTCGGAGTAGCTCAGGTACTAGCCACCCGACAGAAGTACCACGCTCCACTCAAGATCCTGGCTGCGGTGGCGGACCACCCCGCAGGCTATGCAATATGCGGGTTGTGATAAGATATGCAACTAACGCGCGATTGAGCTCTTCGATGTGCGAATGCGATCCGCACTGTGCAGGCTCTACAGCACGTTTCTGAGCGCAAACAACACTCCCGTGAACAGCCTTGACATAACAGTCAAGATGGGCAAACGAAAGTCGTCACGCAAGCCCATGGGCCCAAAGAAGGTGTGGAAATCTTGCTGAGAGCGTGCAAGAGAGCGTACCCTAACCGCGCACATAGGCCGATCCACTACCGACCACCTTTACCTGCTTGTTCTGCAATCACGAGAAGTCGGTTACCGTGAAACTCGACCGAAAAGCCGGCGTGGGCCAGCTGGACTGTCGCATATGTGGTCAAAAATTCCAGTGCGCCGTCAACTGTACGTCAATTTTGTTGCAATAGGCTACGACGACTGTTGCTAACTATTGGTTATAGACCTGTCGGCCGCGGTGGATGTGTACGGAGAATGGGTAGATGCGGCCGGTATGATGCTTCCCCATTTCACAATCTTGCACACACACTAAACAGCAGTACAGAGGCTGTCGCCAAAGAAGACAGCGCGCGCGCCAGCTACACGGGAACAGCGAGAGCGTCGAGGCGCGATCGAGACGCGGAAGATGCGACGAGTGATCGCGACGAGTCTCGCCAATACAGCGGTGACGGTATCGTGGCTGATGACGATGATTGAGCAATCCCGTAAATCTCCGGAACTACCGCTCGGGACCCCGAAGCCAGCGGCGCGGGCTCGGGCGTTCGCAGATCGATGCAGCTGCTTACATGGTATAGAAGCGATCGCCAAAGTCGCCGAGGCCGGGAACGATGTAGCTGAGGAGCAAATGTCAGTGCTGGTTTACCGATTGTTCAGGGCCAAAAGGCGCTCTGTTCACACATACTTTTTCTCGTCCAAGCCCTATTTCGGGTCAGCCACTGGTCTGCAAGCAGAGTCACACCGATAGACACATACCTCGTCAATAAACGCCGTCACCACCTTGAGCCGAGGGAATTTCTTTACAAAGTTGTTAATACCCTCGGGGCTTGCGATCAGGTTAAGGAATAGGATCCTATCCTCGGGGACGCCCTTGGCCTTCAGAACCTGGACAGCCATGATGGCCGAACCACCTGCAAATGTTAGCCGACGTGTGGCTGGGTCCCTGCTGGTTTCATCTTACCTGTGGCAAACATGGGATCAAGAAGCATGACCCAGCGGTCGGCAATATCATCTGGCAACTTGTCATAGAATAGCTTGGGCTGCGCTGTGTCTTCGTCGCGCTGGATCAGAATCTTGCCAATGCGAACGGAGCGGCAGCAGTCTCGCAGGCCTTGTTCCATTGCTTCGCCTGCCCGCATGATAGAGACGCCGCAAATCTTTCCCTGGAACATGAGCCCGTTGTAGGCACGGCCCACCGGTGTCGTGATAGCATGCTCTATCACTGGCAAGTGATTCAAGCCTTCCTCCACCAGTAACCGTATAATGCGATTCGAATAGAATATGAAGTCTGCGCGATCTGTTGTCTTATTTCGAATGATCCTAGTGTCGGTTAGCCAATGGTTCCATGATCCTGCAGAGCCGATTGTCTACTCACGACAAGAGTGCGATCAGCTGCGGCGTCTGCGGCAGGACATGGACATTTTCAAACGGAACTTCTACGGATAGTGTAGCTTTAAGGCTCTGCGTCTTTCTTTCGTAGGTTTCCACGACATCCTTTGTCGTCGCATACTGGGTCTCTTTGCTGGCCATTTCTAAGGTATTGCTCGAAATGTTGAAGGTTCGGTGTAGTGGAAGTGCGGGGAGCTTGCGATGGATAGAGCTTGAAGCTATCGAGTACAGGTCTATTAAGCCTGCCCCTGCCCCGCCTTCGAGGGAAGAAAATGCCGTATGCTGTGCTAGCTGTATATTTCATTAGTTATTTCAACTTAACCTGCATGTGTATGGGGTGGTTTTGTGTCTGTCACCGTGTTGTGCTCTTCTAACTAAAATGTAGTTGCTAGCAGAGGAAAGAAGGATTTTTTTTTATTCTACTAGATTTACATGAATATAAGTACTTTTGATGGCTTCGCTTCTTCTCGACTCTTCTTTCATTTGAAGCTAGTCTGCAGTGTTTCTCTTTTCTCTTTTCTTTTTTCTTTTTTCTTTTCGGTTTACCCGTCGTTGGCGCTCCGCATTGATGACCTTAGTCTGTTGGGTAGCGTTTGGTTTTCTTTTTTTTTTATGCTCCGATTCTAATGGGAAGCACTTGGGCTTCGATGAAAGAACAAATTCTTTTCTTGATCGGCACAGCTTTATTCACGAAGTAATATATATAGTAAAATGCTTGGCTGAACTGATATTATTTTTGCCCTCTCTCTCTACAAATGCCATGCCCAGAGGCATAGCCTTACTTGTCCTTTTTTTTCCCCGTGTACAAAGCCATATATATTGTCATCCGCGATCAGGCAAATGCAAAGTAAGGAGTGGGAGAATTATATCAGCGCTCAACAACTTCTTCATATGTCTCTTCGGGGACAGTAGCTCATCAGATAATTCGCACGTAGCTTTTTTTGCCTGTTCTCATTTATTTTAACGGTTGCACCAGGAATGAGTTTACACCAAACTTTATAACGCCTGGCAGGAACTTCAGAAAACCAGGTACCCACCGCGAACATCCAAAATCCGACAACAGTGCTTGCCCACAATCCTGCGCAGTGACCTTGCAATGGCGCCATGTGTGCATTTCATCACGGGCAACGCCAACAAGCTACGGGAGGTGAAGGCCATTCTCGAGCCTGAAATTGAAGTACAAAGTCATGCCATCGACTTGGAGGAAGTGCAAGGTTCGGTGGAGGAAGTAACCCTATCAAAATGCCGACGCGCGGCGGAGATCGTGAGTTCCTCAAACGCTGACGAGCTCCCATGTTGACCAATTCTGATGTAGATGGATGGGCCCGTGTTGGTAGAGGATACAGCGTTGTGTTTTAACGCACTGGGCGGTTTACCCGGCGTTTACATGTGGGCAGCCTCCTTTTTTCCTCCGTTCTTGCAGCGAGCTGTTTTAACAGTGCATTTCCAGCAAGTGGTTTCTCACGACCACCGGCCTCAACGGCCTCAACAACCTCCTAGCAGCCTATTCGGATAAATCAGCAGAGGCCGTCTGCACATTCGGCTACTCAGAAGGCAAAGGCAAAACGCCAATTCTGTTTCAAGGGCGTTGCCCGGTAAGTAGCTGGTCGATGGCCATTCTTCCTGGAGATCAAGCAAGCTCATTATGACCGTTGAATAGGGCAAAATTGTATTCCCGCGCGGCTCGACGCGGTTTGGTATGTTCATGATAGAAACCTACACTATTCGATTTGCTGACATGAAAACCAGGCTGGGATCCTATCTTTGAGCACGACGGCAAGACGTAAGTCATCCATCCTACTTTTCACCAACGTCATGCTTTACCTATCCAGTACAATCCACCCCGGCGCCACAAGCTAACACACTCGACTTCAGGTTCGCGGAAATGGAACCTGAAGAGAAGAACCAAATTTCTCATCGAGCCAAGGCGCTCGCCAGGCTGCGGGAGCACTTTCAAGAGCACGTTTAGGTGGCCTGACGAAGATCAGCGCGGCCAGAAATCAGCATGCTGCGCTTGGAGTGAGACTGTTCTCAGAAGATGGCGTTAGATGGCCACGATTGCCTGTGTTGTTCCGTGAGGACGTACTAGAGCAATTCAAATTCACTGTACTTGCGCAAGCTTTCAGCGCGTAGTCGATACGGTTCAAGTACATCTGGTCTCTGTCTTTGCGGAAGGGAAGGGGGAGTATCCTTATAGCGGTGTCCCGGGTTGAAGACTAGTAGATGGCGCTCATTGTGCATCGTCTTCTGAAGGCCAATGACGGTCAGAGAATGTCCTATACAAGTTGAGTATGAGTTCGCATCCTTGGGCGTGCAACTAACCTGGGCGCTGGAAATAGATTGGGGCCAGCATGGTGCACTGGACCTTGTTACGAGCGTCTTCCGGCTTTGTAAGGGAACATTGATAGTAGGACTCGATTGCATCAAAAACTTGATCCACTGCCGAGATTTCCCTTGAATCTTGATATCTCAGGGCGCTACAACTAATTGATTGTCAGTGCTATTCGAGCTCATCACGCTCCACGAGTCGCTTACTTGACCTTCAGGTATGAAAACAGTGCTTGGGCCTGGGCGCGATTAGCTCTCGGCCTTTGCAGGCAATCTTCAGCAGTTACACGCACTTCCTGAGTCCCAATGAACTTTCTAGTGCCCCTAATGCCGCCTGTCTCGTCGCGTCCTCTCGAATTGTAGCCGTGATCCCAGGCGGCTTCTATTTGATCTTGCAGTTGAAAAATGCTTGGCACGCCATCCGGGAAAGTGCGAGGGCCGGTTTCGGTTGCCAGGATGAGATGAGAAATGAGCATCTGGATGTTACGGTATCCGCAGAAGCTGCCTGGCTTGCGTGGTCAGGCGGTATATTTCGGTTGTAATTGGTGGTGTCTGCCGACCTTCATGGCGCAGCTTTGTGATGCGCAGGACCGAAGGGTGAGCCAAGCACGCCGACTTCGTCTCACTGCTATCATTCAAAATAGCTTGTAGCATATTGATGATTCCTTTCGCCGCGTGTCAGATGTCGCAAATTGTGTGTGATGGGGTTGCCAATGCTTGCCGTCTTTGCTATTGTCATGGTGCGAGAGGAGATAGCGTCGTAGCCAAGCGGGCATTTGGTCTTCACTGGCAAACTTTCCAAGCTGCGCCTAAGACAAGTATGAGCACACAATTCATACACGTCATTCTATAATGCAGTATGAAGCACCTTTGAAGAGTCCTCTGTCGTGGCGTTTTGTGTTTGGCCATCACGGCCATTCGCTCTATGCAGTTTTTGCTTTGCGCGGACAACGAGCCGATTCCATGGGCGAGACAAATGCCTTGGCGGATCAGCTGAACGGGTAGTCATTGATATTTTAAATCGACAGTACTGGATAAATAATCCCGCTACGAGATGTCGGAAGTGAAGGAAAGAGAATGCAGCTGCACCATCTCGGCTAGGCCTGTCGACCCTGAAGCAAGTTAGTGGGCCGCGTCGCCGAGAATGCCTACGTATTGATACAAAGTAAACGCGTTGTAGTTAGGTAAATGCATTTTCTCAAGATATGCAATACGAATCTCCAAATTTACCGAATCTTTTTCTCTAAATTAAATGCACACGCATGGTTTAATGCCCAACTCTAACCATCGTTTCATTTCTTCTCCCGACGTGGCAGGCTCTTCTGGGTGCCAGCAGCGTCCTTCGGCAGTTCCCGCGCGAATGGAATGAACTCCGGGGCACCAGGGAGATATTTGCGAAGCGGCTCCGGAACGCGAAGGCCCTATCCCAAGTTAGCGAGCGTCTGCTACACGTAAAAGCTTCAACTTACCTCTTCGGTTTGGTAGTTCTCCAGAACACAACATAGCGTTCGCGTGGTGGCGCACAGTGTCGAGTTGAGACAATGAACATAGTTCTTTTTCGTATCTGTTTGTGTCTTGGCACCAAAGCGGATGTCCAAGGCGCGCGACTGGTAATCAGTGCAGTTTGAGCACGAAACCAGTTCCTTGTATTCGCCTTGGTGGGGAAACCAAGCTTCAAGATCAAACTTTTTGGCAGCAGCATTGTTCAGTGCGCCGGAGACAATGGCGATCACCTGGTAAGGAAGCCCCAAAGACTGGTAGAACTCTTCGGAAACGCCAATCATTTCCTCGAAAGCTTCCCAGGACTTTTCAGGATCAGTGAGAACAAATTGCTCAACCTTTATCTGAGTCAGCCATAATTCCTGTACTGCAGCCTCAAGAATGGCCTACCTTTTCGAACTGATGGACACGGTAGATGCCCCATGCGTCTCGCCCATGAGAGCCAGCCTCTCGCCTATAGCAGGTGCTATAGCCGGCATACCTACACATCGTGTTAGAATGGCACCCAAAGTATGAGTATTCAACCACCAACATACTTAATAGGTAAGTCCTTAGCGACGAGCCACTCATCCGCGTGGAAAGCCGAAATCGGCTGTTCGGAGGTTGCGATGAGATACTTGTCGTTGGCCTCGTCTCCATCAACAACCTTGTAGAGCTGCTCGTCGAAGTCATCTAGCTGGGCAGTCTTGGCCATGTAATCCTTCAACATAAACTGAGGCGCTTGTAGAGGGCAGTATCCCCGCTCTGAGAGGAACTCAAGTCCGTAGTTGATGAGAGCTTGGTTGAGGAACACGCCCCACTGTCGCAAGAAGTAGCCTCGGTGGCCAACGACCTTGACACCGCGGTCTGGGTCATAGCCATCAAGGCGAAGAAGCACTTCATGATGGGAGAGCACATTACGCTTCTCGACAGTAACACCGTCCGGTGCCCAAGTTCGTTGCACGGCATTGTCGTCCTAGGTGTGCAGACATGGTTAGTTGATTTACTTTCGAGGTGCGCACGTTGTCAGTCATTACCTCATTGTTGCTCACTGGTACAGTGTCATCGACAATGTTCCCGATAGTCTTGATTTTCGCCCGGAGAATCCTGTCCTTCTGCACTGCAAACTCAACGACAAGCTTCTTTTCCTTCTCGAGCTCGATCTTCTGTTGCAGCAGATCCGTTGCGTCTTCTTTGGCCTTCGTTTACTAACACGTTAGCATTCTGGAATGTCCGATGGCACAAAACAGGGCTGGCAGATTCACCTTTTTTTTGGCTCCAATCAGCTTCTGCACCTCATTGATCTTGCTGCTAATTTGTGTAGCGTTGTATTGAGCTTGGCGATTAACCATTAGCAGATTTCACATTGGCAAAATGCTTTACGGTGCATACTCTTTCTGTGGTCCTCAAATAAAGCAATAACTTGATCAACCAAGCTCTCGTCTGCGAACCGGCGGCGCTGTGACTCTCGGATGCGGTCCGGGTTCCCTCCACGTTCCGCGATAAAATCGTTGACGTCGAGCATTTTCACGGGATGAAACGCTTGTAGACTGTTTTAAAGCTTTCGCAAGTATCGCTGCCGCCTTCTGGTATATGAGCTCGAACAGTGGTCGAAAAAGTCTTGATGTTGTTGGCGAGGGGGTGATGATGGATAAAGGGTACCCCTCCATGGTGGGGGTTTTTCTGCCCTGCCCCTCTGACTCAATGGGGTGCCCAGCTTGGGCTAGGCTGAGCCAAGGGATGAGTCTCACTCTTAATCATCCGGCAACAGCTTTGAACTTCCAGACGTTCTGACTATACTTAACATGGCACTGGCTACTTAACTTCGACATACATGGAATTAAATTTTGATTAGATATTGTGAGCCGGTATCCGCACACCACAATGTAGCGAAAAAATCGGACCGCGTGTACTCTTCTCCAATTGGATCCCTGCGGATGCGGACGAGCTGTAATTCTAAATAGTGCAAGAGATTGCCGAATGAAAACACATGTGTATGCCGTAGCGACTATCCCACGACACATTGATCATAAGGCGGATCGCTGCCCAACAACGACCCTGAAGTTGTCGAGCTTGCTCTTATGAAAGGGCCACGAGATCCGTGGCAGCTCACATAACCAGGCAGTTGCTCTTCTGTGGCGCTTCTCCTGGATTCTGTGACTTCTCGATTTGCTCTATTAAGATTTCAAAGGCACGTTCCACATTTTCGTTGTATCGGGCGCTCGCTTCGGTCCAGCCGCATTGTAGCTTTTCGGATAGTTTCTTTCCATCGTCGGCGCTCACTTGTCTCTGCTCCGGTCGCAGATCGCTCTTATTTCCCACAATAACAATTGGAACTGACTCCGTCCCCTGGTGCGTGCGATCAGTCTAGAACACTAAGGCTTCCGCTTCTTGGTGGATAAAAGCCGTGTCACGAGCTTACCAGATGATTGAGGATCTTTTCTCTGATGACTTGAACCATTTCAAAAGACGGCAGGGAAGAGACAGAATATACGAGCATATAGCCATGGATACCAATAAAGTGTTTGGAATTCAAGATGCTGTATTCATCCTGCGCCACATGTTAACGTCGATAAATATGTTTGGAGACAGAGGTTACGCACTTGGCCGGCAGTGTCGACAATTTCAGTTGAAAACTCTTGGCCTTTGTATCGAATTATTTTGCTGAAGGTATTTTCGATCGTTGGGTAGTAACTGTCTACAAAATGGCCGTCGACGTACTGGACCGCTAGTGACGACTTGCCTGGCAATTAATCATTAGTCACCTTGACCTGAAATTCAGAAGCCAGAATTGGCTTACCGACAGACCGACTGCCCACGATGGCAACTTTTCTCTGTTTCGGGGCTGGCATTTTGCGGTTTGCTGCGAATGTGAACGGAAGTCCAGTGAGCCCAAACATGAAACCCATTGCACTGCGCCTGTAAACATCAGAAATGCGGGCACCGGCTGCTGACGTAAGGACACAGTGTGGGCGCTCGCCTGTGCGTGTGGATGCGCCATCCCTGCCTGGGGTACCTTATTATTCTGTTTCCGGCAAAGCTTCAACGCCAAAATTACGGAATGCTGTGCTCGGAGCACCAGAAGACTGCTCAACTATCTCGCCTCACGAATTGACGACCCTTCGCTTGACTATGGATATGATGACACCATCCTCTCCTTTGCGCTAATACGCAGTGTTCTCCGCTATCTCATCTTTACTTCGGAAACGCTGTCCCCGAACTTCTGCACAAGTTGCCAGTTGACCCACAAAGGCTCATCAACCCCCAAGGCTACGTTGCGACAGCGCCAGACACCGTGGGCATTACAACAATGCAGCCTGCTCGATCGGCCATGAAGCACAACGCCAGTATCTTCGTTGCGGCCTCAGGTGCCACCGATGACGATATATACGATTTCCCAACCAGTCGCGAAACGACACCAACATCGCTAGTGGAGGGAGCGTCGCAAGCTGGCGCTCGGAGGAACAATGATATCGGGAAAAAAAGAAAGCACTCGTCTGCATTCTCAGGCGCATCAGCTTTGAGGCGACCACAACCTTCGCGACCTCAGTCCAGACCTACATCTGGCTCTGAGGTCGCGCCAAAAAGAATATTATCAACGACCCCGTCGCTACCGAAGGACACTCAACGGGAGACACTGCCTAGCAGGGGGGTACTGTTGCCGGCAGCACCGATTCGAGATACGAAGACCATTAATGTCCCCGAAACTTCGAAATCGACGCTTCTAGACATACCCAAGCCGATGAAGCCCGCTCCACGTCGTCAGCGCTTGATTGACACTCTAGCCGCGCAAAGAGCCGAGAGTCCAGGGTCAGACCACAACTCAGACCCGGAGTCCATTTCTGGTTCCGAAACGGATATTTCAAAGACTCGCACATCACATAATCTCGGAGAAACAGCCAACAACAGCCCGTCACCGCGAGTTCGACTTGGGGCGGCTCGAACACCTGATCGGCGGCCAGGGCCAACCAAGAGCAGAAAGATAAAGTTGACTTATAGTAGCTCAAGGAGCTTTTTAAGTACTTCTCAAAGCCAAACCGATACGGCCATGTTTGATGATGGAGGCGGTGTTCTGCCGGCGCCGGGCGACAAAGACCCTTTTGCGGCGTCTCTGAGCCCACCTACTGCCGACTACGACTTTGAGGACGATCTAGATGGCCCGAAGGTCGGTATACAGAGTGTTCATGAACTTCGCCGTGCCGGCGCCAATAATCGATTTTCGGACGAAATGGACGATTTATTATCCCGCATCGGTAAACCGTCCGCTATCCCATCCTCATTGCGGCGAAACGCCCTGTGTGAGCTGGCAAACAAGCTGCAGCGCAAGGATTTCGCCAGCCAATTCCGGGATCATGCGGCGCGCGATAATGTTGTGAAGGCTATTGGAAGCGAGGAAGACATCATAAGCGGGCTTGCCCTGACTGCGGCTCTCGTTGCTTTCTTGTCATTCAACCCTGCTCCGCATCTGCTTCGTCAGCTGACAACTGAGAGGATTGGCAAACTTCTTACTCGGTTATTCCAAGACCAGCGAGATATATTGTACATTGCATCGGAGAAGCATATGAATGTATCACGAATCACCAAATCTTCGCTTGAAACTTTGAAGCTATCCATGCTGCAAATGGACATTTGGCATGGAGAAAAGCCAGCGTCTCTCACACCTCGCACACTCGCATTACAACTCCTCGTTATTCTCAGTCGCTTCGCGGAAATTCAGTGTCTTGAGCATCTCACGGGCGACATAGAGCACGATGTTGTGATGATGGCACGGACTTACTCGAAGGAGCGACCGTCACGGAATATCGACTATGTATTGATCATTCTGGCTCTAGAGGCGCAGTCCAACCTGATAAGCTTGGAAAGTGAACAATATGTCTCTGCCATCAAAGGCTGTCTTCAGGCGACCCTTGATACATGGTTGCAACAAAACAATGTTTTGGATAATACGACGCTCAAGTTGGCAATAAATATAACAAACAGCGAAACTGGGGCATCTGTGTTTGATGATGGCCCTCTACTTTCTAAGCTGGTAGCCTCGATATCGGAAGGCTTATCTCAGATTCAAAACACCCTCCAGAAGGGTAGCTTTCAAAACAAGTTGTACGATGAACTACTCTTGATATTAGGTATTCTTATCAATGTCCTCGAGCACTGTCCGCTGGCACGAACGTCGGTAGACGAGGGCTCCCTTGACACAGCTACTACTCTTTGGCTAGGGAACATGTCATTCGTCAACAATGTGAGTCTATATCCTAATACAGCCCACGTTTGCATGCTAATTGTTCCATAGGCGGACTCTGTCAGCAAATCCAAAATAGGCGTTGCACTTGGCTATCTCGCTATTGTGCTGGGCTATTTGTATTTAACCGCCTCTGGGCGCTCTCAGATGCACAGACGTCAAGATTGGCCTGGAACAGCACTTTTGGTGGATTCCATCGAGGAATTTCTCCGCATTTCTAAGACGATCGGAAATAAAACGCATGAATTGGAGACGCTGGTCAGCGATCTTCGGGTTCAGCAAGCATCCGGGGTTTGAAGCCCATACATATGCAAGGCCTGGCAGGAGATGTTATTTTTGCTGAGTGTTGCATACATTATGCGATGCTATTGCTGCAGTTTCTTTGGGTGTTTTTCTTTGCAGTCGCTATTCACGCTTTATGAGGATGAAGTACACTCAGTGGCTTGAGGGTTGGACACGTCATCCTGCAAAGGTGACGCTCTCGACCCCTGATACGCGAACATTACGATTTCGCCACTTGAATGGCCAAGCCGCGGGAGTGTCCAGCTATTTACCTAATCGGAAATATAGCGCGGCTACCAGAAATCTTGCTCAGACATGAATACCTGGTAAGTGATGGTAGGCAGTACCTACTTGGGGGGATTCTGACATTGGTCTTTTAGCGGGGGATGCTTCCTCTTAACCTTTACACTAGCGCTACTAAGATAGAAAGCACCGATATGTATATGCAGGTCATAATATGTGTTACGAAATAAACTTTGTACAATATGAGCAAGTATATGAACGACGAAATTATTCTAGGTATCTTTCACAGGTTGGAATGGCCCGCGCCTGCGCACGGAGTTGCATGCCCGCTAGGAACATAACTAGCAAAGTCGTGGGGCGGCCTAGCGTTATCGATAGCAGGTAAGAAAAAAAGTTCCTAGCGGGCTGCTCTGAACTTCGTGGTTCAAATCTTGCACCAGTATAGTGAGGACGACTGCAAAATGGGTCAAGGACGTCGCATGAAAAGGAAACAGGGTGCTCCGGAGCCCCTGTCCGAGGAACACTTTGCGCGCCTGAAAAGAAAAGCCGGTATTCCCGTCGACGAGGGTGAGCAGCCCGCCAAACCTGCGACAACCAAGAGACGTCGTACAGCAAAGAAGGCTGCAGCTGCCGCAAAGAGCAAGAAGCCTCTTCCTAAGACCGACATTCAAGAGCATCTCGGTGATTTATTGGCAGACGACGCGGAAAAGAGACTCGGCGACGACTTCATCGGCTCTGGAGACTCCGTCGTTGACTCGGACGAAGAAATCACCAATAAGAGGGAGCGATTCGTCTTTTCCGATGATGAAGATGACAGCGACAAAGAAGAAGCTTTGACCGCTGCTAATATCGAGGGTCTTTCGAAGAAGCTAGATGAGCAGTTGGAAAAGGAGCGCGCCGAGGCAGAGGCCGAGGTCCAGGAGTCTGCGTTGCAGACAAACCTGGACGGCGATAGGCCAAAGGTCCTGGGCTCTTTTGAAGAATCGGATGACGAGTCGGGAAACGCAAAATCTCTCCTCGCCCCCGATTTACAGCTCCTCCGCCAGAGAATAACAGATATTATAAGAATTCTCGGTGACTTCGCGAAGCTGGCAGAGGAGGGACGCTCTCGCGTTGACTATACCTCTCAGCTTCTCGACGATATCTGCGCCTACTACAACTATTCCCCGTTCCTTGCCGAAAAACTTTACAATCTCTTCACCCCACGAGAGGCTTTTGCCTTCTTTGAGGCTAACGAAGCCCCGAGGCCAATAGTCATCAGAACAAACACTTTGCGCACTCATCGCAGAGACCTAGCGCAAGCTCTTATCAATAGAGGTGTGACTTTGGAACCTGTTGGGAAATGGAGCAAGGTCGGTTTGCAGGTTTTTGAGTCGTCCATCCCCTTGGGTGCAACACCTGAATACCTTGCGGGTCATTACATCCTCCAGGCAGCTTCATCCTTCCTTCCTGTTATGGCACTTTCACCACAACCGTAAGTCTCTATACCACCATACGCACGCATGTTATTTCTAACAGTTTTTTTAAGTGGTGAACGAGTCCTCGATGTAAGATTGACTTTCTTGTCGGAGCCTATGGGGCTATACTAACATTATAATAGATGGCTGCAGCCCCCGGAGGTAAAACAACGCACTGTGCTGCTATGATGAAGGTATAGTAACACTGGTATGCGGATCATTACCATATTGCTAATGCTTCGAGTTTCAGAACACCGGTGTTATCGTGGCCAACGATCCCAACAAGGCTCGTGCTAAGGGCTTGATTGGTAACATTCATCGTCTCGGTGCTAAGAACGTTATTGTATGCTCTTACGATGCCAGGGAATTTCCCCGTGTCATGGGGGGCTTTGATAGAGTTCTTCTCGATGCCCCTTGCTCTGGCACTGGCGTTATCGCCAAGGATCCGTCCGTGAAAACGAACAAGACGGAGCGCGACTTCATGACTCTACCTCATACCCAAAAGCAGCTTTTGCTGTCCGCAATCGACTCGGTCAACCATGCCGGCACCGGCGGTTATATCGTTTATTCCACATGCAGTGTCACGGTGGAGGAGAAGTAAGAAGCTCGTGGCTTGAAGCCCTTTGCAACGCCGATGCTGACAATATTGCAGTGAGCAGGTTGTGGCCTACGCTTTGTCTCGGAGACCTAATGTTAAACTTGTCGACACCGAGCTCCCTTTTGGCAAGGAGGGCTTCACAAGCTACATGGGCAAGACATTCGACCCAAGCCTGAAGCTTACCCGCCGTTACTACCCTCATACCTACAACGTTGATGGGTTTTATGTGGCGAAGTTCAAGAAGATCGGACCCACGCCGGCGAATGTTTCCAGAAGTAGGGCTGCTACCGACGAACCTATGCTGGCGTCAGACAAGGCTCCTATTGTTGAGTCTACCTCTGAGAACGCTGGTGGTGAGGGTTCACAGGGTGAATTCGGTGGCTTTGACGAGGATGAGGACCGGGAATACATGGAGCGCGCAAAGAGGGGTGCGATGCGTCGCCGGGGCCTCGATCCTCGCTCCCTAGACCGACCTCGGGGGGGGGAGAAAAAGAGCGCGTGAGGCTTGTAACCCTTGCTACAGGCGTTATGTGTTGCGTTGGTTGGTCTCGATTAATAGATACATTTGAATTTTACCCGCTTGGCTTTTTTCGCAAGCTATCCGTGCGCAATGCTTGCTTTGAGTTGGTACTCCCATGCATTGGTCGAAATTCCTTGTAGCCATGCGCTTCCTTGTATGCACTGACGAAGGGCTCACGGCCAGTGCCAGTACGGACCGGAGATAATAAGTATGATGCTATCGTGCTGAACTACAGTGCCTGCGGAGACCGGGGCTATCCTGAGTCGTCACCGAGGTGGGTAGATGGTCAGGTACTTGATCCCGCGGGGAGGTAGAAACCGTTTGCCATGCACTCACTCACTGGCTTCCACGGGCTGCCCCAACTTGCTGTCTTTCGTGGGCCTCGTGCTACCCTGCACTACAAGTATATTGGCATCAACTCCACACCTTGCAATGGTAGCCGTATTAGTTGTGCATCGTGGTCCTTGCCCGGTATCAAGTTGGCGGGGCATGTCACCTTCCATTCTTTTGGTGTTTTTAGTGTGTTCGTAGTGGTAGTGCTTGTTGTGATCATGTCGGATTATCACCGACAGCTCACACCGCGACGTATGTAGATAAAATATCGATAACCCTATGTAGACTGATAATCGCCACGCTACAGAATGGCACCAGCCCACCAGCCCCAAAACGATTCAATTATTATCAGATATCCACTGCTTGACCCAGGCCTCAATTCGGTCTACGTTGGTCTCCATCTCATCAGACGTGTTGCTAGTCAGCTCAATCACAATCTCTTGGTCGTATGAATCCCTCGCCTCCTGCAGAAGGACTTCCATGATCTCCGAGTCTAGGTTCTCCTGGAGTTTGACCTCGGGGTAATTCCTATTGAAACAAGTCAGAGACCATACGCGCAGACATTGTGTTCGAGTGACCGGAACACACCTTGCCTTAAGGCGATCATAGAGTGTAGTAGAATCCACCCGAAGCACAACAACCAGATCGATCCAGCTCCTGGGAAATAAATCACAGGCGTGCCAGTCTATCAAGCAGCCGCCTTGCTTCACCTCATCCTCGATCGCATCCAGCAGCTAGTCGAAGCATGAGCAAATCATCGCGTGCCGCCAAGCAGAACACTGCTCACCTTGTCTTCGTCAACAATCCAGCTCTGATATTCCTCATCCCAGCCCTCATGGCATTCTTTATCCTTCACGACCTGATTCACAGAGATATGTCGCAGCCCCAACTTCTCCGCCAGGTTGTCGCAATGGGTAGTCTTCCCCACGCCGGGAGTCCCTGTTATGATAATGTTTGGAGATTGCCTCATTTTCACAAGCGACATAGATGACCAAGGCAAGGAAAGAGACAAATAGGCAGGCAATAAAATGCACGAAAGAGAGCAAGGCGGGCAAGCGTAGGGTGTGAAATGCTGAAGCGTGTTGCCACGAGAAATTGTTGGACACCTTATTACATGGACTGGATTTTTCCCCAGCCCCACCTCGAAAATCGCACACAAGCCTCGCTTCATTCAGTCAAGACAGTACCAACACGAACTTCTTCACACAGCCACTACATCATTACTTTTTTTAACGACAAACATGCTGCTAGCTTACACACCACACGTAATTAGTGGCCGTGATATATATCCCTACATTATGCCTGCTTTTCTCTAGCCATATAAGGGGTGAAATTCAAGTCCCAACATCAACACCAATTGTACATGCGAAATCAACTGATTCATCAGCACATCGTCATCAAAATGTCCGGGCCAAACCCGAAAGACACAGCATTGTTTCATCTTCATTGCTCGTCCCCAGCATCAAGCTCATCAACCTCGGCTATGCTCGCAGGTCGATTGAAATCCTCACCTTCCCCATAGTCGAGCTTCTCCTGTTGGGCAATGGCCTGTGCGGACACAATCTCCGCCAGGCGCTTCAGGCGCGGGGTTTGTAGCCCTGTAGAGTATGTTAGCTTGTATTCAACCAAGTCCGATCGCCGTTCCTTACAGGAAGGTGTATAGGTTTCCAGGGCAGTAATGGCGCGAGGTTCGGCAATTTCGTATGGGCCACTGTCATCCATGTCGACAGCTTGGAGGAGGAGGACATCGCTCTTCTCGGTCACGCGAGATGCAACAGCTTTCATGATCTCGCCATTAATAGGCTGCTCATAATCAGCAACCAAATACTGATTCAGTAGTTTCTGGATCTGGTTGGGTGATAACCTTTCGAGGAGTCAGTACTTAGTGCTCGCCAGTTGGGCTCAAGGTTGGTCGAGTCACTTACATCCAACAGATGTCTTGGATAATTTCAATATCATTCAATGTAGCCTTCTTCAGCTGCAGCAGCTTGGTCGCTTGCTATGAGTGGGGTTAGAACAGGCATGCATGATGCTAAATGAATATTTCACTTACCATTAAATGTTCCAGCTGCAAAGTGCCTTCAGGCATGTCATGGCTCTTGCACCACTCTTCGATACGGGTGATGTTGTAGTTGATCTGTAACCCGCGCTTCCAGGACAGGAAGTTGCGTCTCATCAACAAATCATTGAAAGCAGTGACGCCGACAAGACGTAAAAGCTCTGTGACGGTCTGCGTAATAATAGAGTCTTCCAGGTAATAGGCTTTCATGGCGCGGAAGACACTATTGAGCAAGCTCAAGAGGTTATCCATGCTATACGCTGGCTGAGAGTTTGATTGCAGCAGTTTACCCAGGAAACGATTGCTCTCGCTCGTGATGAAGCCTGGCAGAGACTGCGATTCAATAATCGCAGGAATGATCATCTTATGAAGCTTCTTCTTGAGAACCTTCATCCAAGTATGGTAAATGTTGAACTCGAGGCTTTCAAGGTCGTGCTTAACAATCTCCAGGAGGCGATCGTATTCGTAGTTATCTGTCTTCTGCGTCTCGTACCAGTCCTCTGCCAAGAAAACGAAGGACAACATTTCATGGACGTTTGAGAGCCAGAACGCGCCAGGGCTGATAGCATCATCGCCGTCGTGCTGCATGACTTCCTGCTGAATAGACTGCATGACATTGGCAAGAAATCGTTCAGATTCTTTGACAAATCCATTGTTCCACATCTCGGAAGTGACCAAGTTGATCAAATAAGACGGGAAGAGAACCTCCTTATCAGAAGGCGGTGGGTTGCTGTTTGGCGAGGGGATCTTGAGATTACGAATCAAGCCCATGGTGACTTCCTCGTTCAGGCCGTCCTCGTCAGCAAGAAGAGTCTCCAATTCCATTTCGATATTATCAACACCTGGGATGAACGTTGTCCCGGAGAGGTTCTGTCTGTGAGCGGTGCTTGTGACTGCCATTGAGACAGGGCGGGGGTTGTAAGCGCCGCTGAAGCGATCGACATCGCGAGTTTCGGCTCCTGCACTGCGACGCTTGGGCTTTTTGGAAGAAACCAAGTTGATGAGGCCAGTCGCCACTGACTGGACCGGAGCTGTCCCATTCGTCAATTCGCCATTAACAGGCGCATTTCTCTTGGCGACTTCCAAGGCATCTCGTAGAGACTCGAGCTCTTGCTTCAGGCTGGAATTGTCCTTGTCCCTTTCGCTGCTTACTTGTTTGGCAGACTCTAGCTCCGAGTTGGCAACACGAAGCGACTCACGAAGTTCCCGCTCCTCTTCCTGCATTCGTTTGATGTTGGCAGTGGATTCGTCAAATGCCTGCTGGAGCTTCTTCATCTCGTCCTCCATAGCCTCAAGGCGAGCTACAGCGATGCCGGCTTGATTAGCTTCAGTTTGCAGCTCCTTAGTTCGAGCCTCAAGAGCATTGTGGCGATTTTTCCACGACTTGATTTGCGCCTCGTAACTCTCAACTTGCGAAACAAGGCCCTTATTCTTCTCCTTCATAGAACCCAGTGACTGGGTAAGTTCGACAACCTTATTTTCAAGTTTGTACGAAATTTGCTTGAGATCCCGAGCCTCTTCCCTGACCTTCTTGTACTCACGGCGAGCACACTTGCCACGCCAGAGATTTTGGACCAGGACAACCTTTCTGCGATATTGTCTCCAAGATCGCTTCTGCTGACGCGACCTCCAAGCTCTCTGAATGACGAGGGCAGCATTGCCAACACGAGCTTCCATGATCGCCTTGCGGCGGAGAAAACCCTTCGCGACGGACTCGAACAGAACCATGTCGTTTCTAATACGCAAGAACGACTTGCGCTGTTTCTGACCACGCCATACTCGCTGGATGGTTGTCGCTGCCCTGATAGTGCGAAGTTCTTGAGCTTTACGCCGTGCGATATAAGCCCGGGCGGCGGCTTGTGTGTGGATGACAGCATCCCGTGCTTCCAAAAAGCGGCGGCGGTAGTACTTTGCCTTGAGATTCTTCTGGATCATCACAGCGCATTCGTTCAAGCGGTTGGTGCGAAGACCTTCGAGGAATGCGAGCATACCGGCACGGAAGAAGATCTTTGTCAAACCCAGCTGGTACTTGTCGACTCCTTTGCCGGTGGAAGTACCGAGTGCCTTTGTCAGGATTGAATTTGCCATCTGGCGGATCTCAGCAGTCCATTGATTGGAGGGAACGAGCATGTAGTAGCGCAGAGCAAATTCTTCGAATGTCCATCGTGTGGGATACCCCGCGCAGCTGATTCGAACGGTTTCAAGCACACCACAGGCACGCAGTTGGCTAAGAACCATAGGACCCTCAAATTTCCAGGCTTCTTTGGCCTCGTTTGGCTTTATGCATCTGATGTAATGAACGTCGGTGTTGTTGATTGTGTTCATGAGTTCGATCAACGAGGAGCGAAAGATACCGCCGAGTGTAGGCTTTCGATTGACGGCAACACCGATTTTGCGCCCACCAGCTGGTTTCACAGCATTGGATGACGCTGAAGCGACGTCCTTCTCACGGACAGCGGAAGCAGCGTCCAAAACTTCCTTCAAAAAGGGGTTGCTGGTAGCTCGGAGAACCGTCATGTGCTCGTCCGGAACGGTGTCTCGGTTCTTTTCGATGAAGCCTTCAGATTCGTAAGTGACTTCAACAGCGTAGTGGCAAACCGTGAATGCGGTTTTGCCGAACCTAGGCTTCTTGAAGAATCGATGCTGCTTGTCAGTGCTGAAATTTTGGTACAGCTTGTTGACAAAACTATCGTCGCTACCCATCGGGAGCCTCGACTCTTCATCAAGTAAAGAGAGGACACCCATCTTGCCTTCGATTAAATCGATGCAAGGTTGGTTGTCGGAGAAGTCAATGAAGGTCCAGTCTATTTGCTCCTTCAGATATTCTTCTTGCTCAAGTTTGAAAACATGTTGGTTGAACTCCTGCTGAAGCTTTTCGTTGGCGTAGTTGATGCAGAACTGTTCAAAGGAGTTTTTGGCAAAATGCTCAAAGCCGTAGATATCCAAGACACCAATGAAGTTTTTGACGCGGTCAATCACTTCAGAAGTAGCTAAGCTGTAATTAATGATGTTGACTAACCAGTCAAACAAACTGGAATAGATGAACTTGGCGACGGAATCGCGGACAACGACTGCCTGGGCTTGCGACAAGTTGGAAGTGATTTTCTCGCCTCGTGTGATAAGTTGCTTTTTCACGATCCACTTGGCAAATTCAGTTGCATCAATGCCAAGGATCCTGCAAGCCAGCTCTAGAGACGGTTCTGTCGGAGCGAGTACACTGTCGTTGCGGGAGGCAGTAATCTTGACATTTCCGAGGTGGAGTAGGCCTGCTAGAAGCCGGAAGATATCAGCTTGTTGCTCCTTTGCGACGCCAATAGTCTGCAGGCTCTTTTTCGTCGCGTCGAATTCAGCCTTGTCATCAACGCCATCGATTGTAGGGCAGTCGCCCTGATTTAAATAATCGAACTTGTCAATAGGCAGGATATTGAGCTCTTGGCGTTGCTGATCGGAGGCACCTGCGACAAGCTGATAGAAGATGTGATAATTTCTCTCCTTCGACGGCTGGAAGACCAGACGGGAACGCTCCAGAAGATATGTTCGAATCTTTGCACCGATGATATTTGTCTTGTCATCGAACATGATCTCGATGTACTTTCCGAAACGGGAGGAGTTGTCGTTACGAGTCGTCTTAGCGTTGCCGAATGCTTCCATGATGGGATTCGTCGCAAGAATCTGTTCCTCAGTCTCGCTCATAGACTCGGCACCGCGTTTCGAACGAGCACCTGGATTATCTGGCGCCTCTCGTGTTGCAAAGTAGCGCATGATGTACTTGGCACTGACAGTCTTTCCGGCACCCGATTCGCCGGACACAACGACCGTTTGATTTTTGTTGTCACGAACCATATCCCTAGACGGTATTAGAGCTGGGATGCGTCAGGTTGTATCGGGTCGTCTTACGCAAAGGCCTCTTCAGCGATGGCAAAGAGATGCGGTGCTTGGGTTGCACGGTGCCGGCCGGCATAGACTTGCACCATGCCAGGAACATAGAGTGAGTCTACGCGGGCAAATGGATTGGTTGCAATGAGAACAATGCCACTGTAGGTATAAATTTCCTTCTGTAGATACCGTAGCCGGATGGCTTGTAAAACTACCCGCAAAGCACATGTTAGATCGATCGTTCAATCGAGGGGAAACTTTCGATGCGAGTACCATACCAGCGGGTTCATTGAGATGCGAAAGATTTGTCAGATCATCGCTAGCTTCAAGCATCGTCGGGTTCATCAAAGGGGGCAAGGCTGGGTCTGTGCCTGTTTGGAGACCCTCGGCCGAGACTTCGATAATTTTTGTCTATCAAGATTAGCGCAAGCACTTTACGGCAGCCATTGACATTGCGAACCTCGCCATTTTCCAATTTGAATTCCAGTTTGACCTTTGGACCATCCTCAGTCTTGCTCACGAGCTCGGAGGCGACCCAGCCCTCAGCAGCATCAGGCTGCCAAGCTTTGGTGCCGACATCGTAGGTCGACGCCATCGGAAAAGGAGTCGACGGTCGGTCGGTTTGCTGGACGAGTCCAGGAACGATTGACACTAATGGGTAAGAGAAGGAAATGGCAGATACAAGAAGGTGACCATTAGCTTCTGCTAACGCTGGAGTCGGGAAACCGTCGTAAGGTAGATTCCGCCAACCGCTGGAGGCTGGATTGAGATAGACAGATCGATGCCACGGAGTTTACCACGCAGTGGAAAAACGAGGATTAGAAGAACGGCTGCGACCAACCACCCATTCGCGGGTTCGTCCACGGATCAAGGGGCTGCCGTGGGCGGAAATAAAAAGTTATGGTCTGAAAGAAGAGTCGATACAAGCAGCAGACAGAGGTAAGGTGGTGGCTATGAGCAGGGGGCGTCACCGTTGGTCAGTGGGACTGGCGCTCCTGAGAGGACCTGAGGCCCTGAACCCAAGCAGCCCCTGATGCCGCAGCTGGTCCGTGCCTGGTTACTGATTTAGTGCCCAAGTAGCCCGTACTTTTAGGAGGCACTAATCTCCAGGAGCTTGGTGAGTACCTTGTACTCCCTGCAGCAGTCCTGCCCCACCCTGGCCGACTTGAGAGGCTGGAGACAAAACGTACATATCGTCGGTACGTACCTGGGCGCGCCAAAAAAAGGGGCTGGTTGGTTCTCCAGCTTCAGCAGGTCGTAGAGCTACCTGGATTTGACCAGCAAGGTGATGACCGTTCGCTGTTGTTGCGCAAATACTTATCGACAGGTACATTTCTAACCGCCCCCGGAACCGATGAAGGATCAACGGGGTATTTACGTCGCTTTGGCCGCTCGGAGTCTTGGCGTCACTGGGAGGCCCGAACCGTTGAATGCCTGCCTGGCATGAGGCTATACATACCCGAGGCACTCTCTTTGCGCTTCATCTTCTTTGTCTGCAGCAAATCGCTCGGCTACATTGCAGAAGCAAGTCTTTATCGACGGGGACAGAACAGAGCAAATTCTTTCAAGTAATACAAATAACCAAAACACGCGGAGTGGGTGTAAAGAAGATTTAAAAGTCCAATAAATGATATTCCCGAGTACATTTCTAGTTGAGAGCTCCAATACACCAAGAAATCCCTGAGTTTACTCTGCCGATATGGAAAGCAGGCATAAGTTAAAGCTTCTGATTGTATAGCAAAACGTGAACGTTGAGTTCCAACAATGCCACTAGTACTTTTGATGTCCTCTTAATAGAGAACCCGAGTCATGATGCACGCTTTCATTAAGTCAGTATTGACCCTGTCATTTAAATGCAGTCCGACGCTGGTACTCACAGCTAAGTGCTTCGAGGCTTTCTGTAATGTCCTTAATTTGCTCGTATTTGACATTGCTGATATCCGCCATCAAATAGGCAACCTGCATATTACAGTTATTAGTTTCAACTTTGGACTCCAGTGGTAGCAGCGCAACTCACGTCACCGCGGCTGTCGCTGATTTGCTTATCGACGTTGTGATCTCCCAGAATTTCGTTGACTCTCCGAAGTACGCCTGGAACGTTGCGATGGATGTAGATGACCTAAAAATCGATGAGTACCACGTAACAAACTCTCTGACGGTGCGCATTCCTTACCCTAGCGTGGTCCGGTTCGTCGAGAGTTAGCGATCGCAGCTGGGCTTCCGGCATATTCACACTACCCAGTGTGATGCCCTGGTTAATGTAACGCACTAGGGCGTCACCCACTGTAGAATTATCAGCCATGCATTATCTGTTGTAATAAAACGCAGACTGTGCATACCTTCGACGCCAATGGCTCGCTGAGCCTCTTCAGTGCTGCCGCCGATGTGTGGTGTCAAAATGATGTTTTTCAAAGTTCGAAGATCTTCTGCCCATTGATTCAGGCTATTGGTGAAGTAGTCTCCGTTGCCGGCAGGCTCATCGGGGTAAACATCGAGAGCGGCGCCCGCCACCTTTCCTGATCGCATGGCTCTGACCAGTGCTGGAATATCGACAACGCTACCGCGGCTTGCGTTGATCAAATATGAACCCTCCTTCATGCACTCTAGCTGGCTATCGGATATCATGCCTCGCGTCTCCGGAAGATCGGGCACATGAAGTGTCACGAAATCCGCCTCCTCCAGCAGAATTTCCAGCGCTGGGACTTGACGAGCAGTACCAAGTGCCATAAGCGTAACGACATCATAGTATATCACGCTCATACCCATCGCTTCTGCCAGGACGGAAAGCTGAGATCCGATGTGACCATAACCAACAATTCCTGGAGACCCGTGAGCAATGGGTGGTTTCAGTAACGAGGCGAGATAGCTACATACCTAGTGTTTTGCCACGGATCTCCCAGCATTTAGAGCTGACTTTGTTCCATGTTCCGCGGTGCATCTCGTTGGACCGATCGCCAAGCTGTCGCGCGAGAGAGATAATCTCCCCGATGACAAGTTCAGCAACGCTGCGAGAATTTGCAAAGGGGGAGTTGAAAACGGCGATACCATTGCGCGCAGCAAACTCGAGGTCAACCTGGTTGGTGCCGATGCAGAAGCAGCCGATGACAAGGAGATTCTTGGCTTCGCGGAGGACACGTTCCGAGAGCTTCGTTTTTGAGCGAATCCCGATAACCTGAATGTCACTGGAATAACAATTAGCATGTTTGCATTGGAAGAGGGGAGAATACTGGCAAAATAGTTTGGTTTTCAAGAAATCGCATACCGGATCTTCTCAATTAACTGGTCCTCAGGCAACGAGGACTTGAAAGTCTCAACCTGATACCCCTGGCCCTTGAGGATATCACACCCCGCTTGATTGACATTTTCCAACAGTAGGATCTTGATGTCCTGAGTGTTGAACGGCTTGAGCTGTTTCGGAGCAGGGCGTTGTGGTAGAGATCTGGCCCAGCTTGGTGGGGGAGACTGGAAGGTTGCGCTGGGAGAGACAGAGAGATTCTGATCCCAGCTGTGCGACACAGACTTTCTCTGCGCCTGGGAAGAAGGGCCTCTTTCGATGTCTACCGGAGGCGTCATGATGGCTACTTTGCAATGAGGGGTTTACAAAAATCTTTCAGGGTTGCGCCTATTTATGTATGATATGTTCTTGGCCGGCCCAGTGAAAGAAGATGCAATGCATGTGGGGTGGATGGTCCGATTAAGGCCAGGTGCAGCCCGAGGTGCCATTTTTTTCTTTCAGCGCCGATTCAGGATGCACCCGGACTGACTTACTTGACGTGACTGCTTCCCGCCTTGCCAAATCCAGCTTGGCACCAGGACATTGCAAAACCACCCTGCATGCATGCACTCCGTCTCAACTGATTGCCTACCTATAGTTCAACGCCCGCGAGGTTGGGATGATTGGATGCACAAGGCATTAGGCCGATTCTTTTCGCCCTCTCCCCCCTCTTCTATGTACCTATGTATATCTACATTGTACCGTGATAGTTAGTTGCCACCACTGTAAATGAGTCAGAGCCGCCGCTGCCTCCGACGCGACCTGCAGGTATTCGCAGTCTGGCTATGCCATTTTCGGACATACCGCTTTCATGCCGGGGACGGAGACGCCCATTCGGTCTACACCAGCGAGGTGGTTCGCCCGCGTTTTTTTTGTCTACTCTACTCTATAGTCATGGTCAACTGGGATGGAGAAACAAAGCATGTATACTTTGCATTAGTTAATTGTCAGATAGAAGAGATAATCTCAAACGACTGGCAGGGCTCTTTCTCTTCTTTCCCGCCAAAAATCAGATAGAAAGCCATGTTTCCATTGTACCTTGCAATTCTTTTCATCCCGTCCCTATGTGATACCGAAAGAAGTCTTTAAACTCGCACATAAATATTCACAGGATAACCATTCCTACTTCTACAGCGACTGGAAGTCAACACTAAGTTGCTCGCTTAGCTCTGCTTGCACTCAGCGGCTTCTTGCTTGGGCTTTCCAGATTCGTCCTTGAAAGAATTAGTAGTTGAAACGGAGGGAGGCAGTGGATGGCCAATATCACTTACATCGTCGTCTGTCTCCTCTTCTTCATCCTGATCATCGCTGAGGTCGTCCTCATCCTCATCCTCCTCATCGTCAAAGTCCGGCTCCTCCAATTCACCGTCGTCAATTTCTTCATAGCGAAGAGCCTCGCCAGTGAACCAGTCAACAGCGCGAGGAATGAGCTTCTCCTTAATATCTTCGCCAAGGTGGTAATCCAGCTCAAGACGCTCCTCGATTTCGGTGGCAGCGTCCTCGTCTTCCTCGTCCTCCTCGTCGCTCGGGGGCTTGGGGGGAGAGAAGAAGTTGAAGAAGGACTCGGTGGGCACCGTCTTCTTGACAATTCGGGTTTGTTTGGTGTCTGAAAAAGTTTAAGATTAGTCGGATCGATATTTAAGGCATATAAATTGCGGTGCAAAGTGGGGGAAAAGCTCACTCTTGTTTCTCTGCTTTTTAGCCTCGACGCGAACAGTGAGGTCCTTGCCGGGAAGCCACTCGATCTTGTCGCCCTCGGCGTGGTCGTAGATGAAATCACCGCCATATCCGCTTTCGTTTTGATAGAAGTATGTCTTTGTGAGAGTCTTGTTGGAGAAGAATTCGTTTGTAGAAAACTCAAAAATCAGTCTGAACCCTGGCTCCTGCAAATATTCCATCCGAATGTCGGTCAAGTGTTTGAGAGCAGCCTCATCCCGATCCGTGATGATCTCAGCAAACGTCACCTGGTTCTTCATGGCGGAGAGCCAGAACTCAGGAATGCCAGCAACATTCTCGGGCATGTCGAGTTTGATACCCTCTTCGTCAGCTTCGGTGGTCTTGGGCTGGACTTCGAAGTTTTCATCTTCTCCAGCCTTGATCTCGTCCTCGGTAGGTTCAGTTTGGCCGTTGACGATGGCAGAGCGCTTCTCATAGAGCGGGGTGAATTTGGCAAAGTACTTCTTCTCGAGCTGAAGAACCTCCTCTTGAAACTCAGCCTCGAGTTTGGCATGATCTTTCTGGATAGCTCGGAGGCCCGAAACTCTGCGGCGAACAGTGGGTGGCAGAGACTCAATGTATCCAGATGAGCGGCCAATAAGAGAGCCGAGGCGGCCCTGGATCATCTGGACGAGCTGGGGGTTCTGGGCGAAGATGGAGGCGGCAGCGGCGCGCTCCATGTCATCTAGATCGAGATTTCGCATTAGTCACGTCGACTGAAGAAGGCTGAGGATTGAAACAAACCCTCCATGATGCTTGCTACGCCAGGCTGCTGGGCTCGAGAGGAGATGGGCGCGTTTGTCGCGGGAGTGTTTTGCGGCGTACTGAAGTGGGGTTGGTCAGCTTTGGGAGAGATGCCTTCACCGCGTCACAACTTACGGAGCCGTCATCTGGTCAGCTCGTTTGCCTGGGATCGGTTCGGCCATTGTAGCTGATGGAAGCGGAGTAACTGCTAGGCCGTGAAAGTTATATTTGGCGTTGAAGAAGGTAGAAGGAAGAAAGAAGAGGGGTGGGAATGGACATGCAGAAAGTTGAGGTGCCCCAAAGTGACTGGGGTTGTGAATTTTTGGTGGGGGGGGGCGAGGGGGAGACTGTGTTGCGTTGGAGAGGAAAAATTTCCTTAAGGGCGATTTTTTTGGTTGGCGCGACCGGGTGCGTGGGTTGTTGAGAGGTGCTGATGGTCCCATCTTGTCTACAGCCTGCAAAAGCTACCTGAAAGCTACTAATATATCTGAGGTCCATCTGCGGGTATCTTTGTATTGTGTATGTATCCTGGGTCGGCCACGACTCGCTTGTGTGGAAGATCCAGGCACACAGACATGTACCTCTGTGTGGTACCTAACCAAGTCCGCCAGGTCCGTTCAAGCGAACACGGTCAACCTCCATCATGCCTTAGTAATTACCTAGGTAGGTACCTATCTATGTTGTATGTACATGCATACATACATACTTACTTTACACCGCCATTGCTACGACGCAAGGCAGCTCGTCCAATTCCAGCTTCACTAATTGCAATAAGTACAAAGCTGGCATGCAAGATAAACTTATGGGCTGGAAGTAAAACGCTTTTGGTTCCTTTCAAAGCAGTGAAAATTCTATTTTAAGGCCTTAGATAATCTCTACTGTGTTCCTCTTTGGAACGCGAGAGCGCCAAGTGGCGATGGCTACCTACCCGATCACGACTGTCGAACTGGCAAAACTGCCTAGGCTGATGTTGCCCAACGCAAGTTGTGTACCCTAACTTGTCAGTTTGAATCGAAGAGCTATCTATCTATGTACAGAATGCATAGGAAGAATGTTCCTGGGACTGCTTCTCACACGAACGCGCCTGGCGCGCTATACTCACTAGGAAACCAATCAGTGAGTTCTCTGCCTTGTAAAACAAGTAGCCCCACATCGGTGCCCTGTCCGGCCAGCTGGGGCGCAATATTCGTAGATCAAGTGAGCCTCATCCACCTGCCCGACCCGTGGGCTTTCCGACACATCTAAAAGTTGCGCCGCCTCAATTGAGATAGGGAGATATAGGGGCAGAAATATCGTGTACCGTTGTCGCAAAGCAGGCGGGCACAACTCTGGATAAGAACGATGACTGCACTGCAGTAGCCAGTCAGCACAATGAGCGACCACCGACAACATGATGAGGAGGCGCGAGCCTCCCAGCCAAGCTTGTATAGGCTCACCTCCAACCAGAGCATGTCGAGCATCTTTGAGGAAGTAGAAATGGCACATGAGGAGGTATTGCCCTGTTATTCTCCCTCCCCGAATCTCATATGCTGAGCTTTGCCCTAGTTGTACTCGGGACCAGTTGCCGAAAGCCTACCCACGAGCGTGTCTGCCTTCTCGCATCGCCGCCACCGCGCAGATTCTACGACTAGTTTCACGTACTACGAAGAGGGGCCCCAGGATGATGCGCACTCGGAGAACTCGGACGAGGCTGACTATGTCGGCGATCGCGATGAATACAGCCGGAGACCAAGCATTGGCAGTGACCTTGACGACATAGACTTCGCTGTCGTCAACGATGAAGATTCTGCAGATCGCCAATACATCGCCTCCGATGATGACTATCTCATGCGGCGACGCTCGTCTACACATTCGCGGCTATCAGTTCACGCTCGCTTGCTCAGGCGGGATAGTACTACTACCGCAGGAAGCGCTCGACAAAGCGGAAGAACAAGCCAAAAAGTCTACATGGCCAATGAGGACCTTACAATCGCTATTGCAGGGTTCTCTACAAGCTATTCGGGTCTTGCTATCTATATTCTTCTGTGCTTTCTGAGTGGCGGCATTGCTTTTCTTGTGCTGCGATGGCTTCCACGCTGGTATGTCGCTGTCCTGGGACGAGCCACGGCGCTCCAAAGCTGCGATTGGGTAGTCATCGAGAATCAGTGGGGTGAACTTGCAATTCTCGATGTCAGGTCGCAAGACTATGGCCGGCCGGTGTCTTCAGTTTTTGGCGCGTCTGAGAAGCTCCTGTCGTACGGCTTAGATGATGAGAATGACCCCCTGCTGGACGATCTTCGAACCCTTGAGTATCGTTATGTTCGATTCTTTTATCACCCGATCAAGGATAGATTTATTCTGTCTTCAGGATGGAAAGATCCAGATTGGACGGATGTGCGCCTAGTGCGATCAGGATTAGACAGCGATGAAAAGATGATGCGAGAGCAGATTTTTGGCCCCAACCTCATTGACATTGAGCAAAAGTCTGCCAGTCAACTCTTGGTTGATGAAGTACGTTTCACCTACCCCCTCTTGCCTGCGTGTTAGGACAACAGTTGACTGGCCCAGGTTCTACATCCGTTCTACATTTTCCAGATTGCCAGCTTAGTGCTTTGGTCTTTAGATTCATACTATTACTACGCTGCATGCATTTTTGTCATGTCGGTTGGAAGTATAGCGGCAACACTTGTCGAGACCAGAGCGGTATGTTGAAAATCTAGAGTAGACTATCAGAATCAACTCTAATTTGCGACAGACTATGAAGAGACTGAGGGAAATCTCGCGTTTTGAATGCGACGTCCGTGTACTGCGTAACGGATTTTGTATGGCTGCACCCGAAATTCAACAACATACTCGCTTATTTTTCGCTAACCTTCTGTTATAGGGAAGTATGTCACATCCAGCGACTTGGTACCTGGCGATGTGTATGAGCTTAGCGACCCGAATCTCTCGCAATTTCCTAGCGACAGCTTGCTTCTCAGTGGAGATTGTATCGTCAATGAGAGCATGCTAACAGGTGAATCTAACATTCACTCGTATGCAGACCGTGGACTAATGATGGAGCAAGGCGAGTCCGTGCCCGTATCGAAACTGCCGGCAATTGACCAGACTTTGCATGAGATGAATCTTTCAGCATCATCTGTTTCGCCTGAAACTGCACGACATTTCCTGTATTGTGGCACCAAGATTGTGCGCGCCCGACGACCTCAGGAAGACCTGGACGGCGACGCTGTGGCGCTCGCGCTGGTTGTTCGCACGGGTTTCAATACAACGAAAGGGGCACTCGTTCGCTCCATGCTATTTCCTAAACCATCCGGATTCAAATTCTATCGCGACTCATTCCGGTACATCAGCGTGATGGCAGGAATTGCTCTGATCGGTTTCACAGCGTCATTCATTAATTTCATCCATTTGAAACTGGCATGGCATTTAATTATTGTCAGAGCACTGGATCTGATAACTATTGTTGTGCCACCAGCGCTGCCAGCGACGTTGACCATTGGCACAAACTTTGCACTATCTCGGCTAAAGGGAAAGCAAATCTTCTGCATTAGCCCTCAGCGAGTCAACGTGGGAGGGAAGCTTGATGTCATGTGCTTTGACAAGACAGGAACGCTTACTGAGGACGGCCTCGATGTGCTCGGTGTACGAATTGTCTCCGAAGAAACGGGCGTGTTTGGCGATGTTTTGAAGGACTCCAGCTCCTTTGGGTCTATGACTGCATCGGAATCGCATCCTAATCTACTACAGGCCGCCATGTATACCATGGCAACATGCCATTCGTTGCGATCAGTCGATGAGGCACTTGTCGGTGACCCGCTTGACCTGAAAATGTTCGAATTTACAAATTGGTCGTTCGAAGAAGGGACACAATCCACTGGGGACGGGGAAGATGATGAGAGTGGCCTTGCCCCATCTACAGCTAAGCCGCCTGGCGTATGCCCCCCTTTCACATGCTCAGCGAGAGACCTATCTAACAACCACAGGGTCAATTGGAACTTGGAGTTCTGAAATCTTTTGAATTTGTCTCGCAACTGCGGCGAGCCAGCGTAGTTGTGCGGCAATTCGGCAAGAAAAGTGGTAATATTTTCGTCAAGGGTGCGCCAGAGGCGATGCGCGAGATCTGCGACCCTGAAAGTTGTGAGTTTCTGTTCCGTGCCTACCGTTTCAGGACCCTGCTAATAATAATCAAAGTCCCCGTTGATTATGAAGAACAACTGGCGCACTACACGCACAAAGGCTATCGTGTAATCGGATGTGCTACGCGCCATCTGAAAAAGCTCAGCTGGATCAAAGCCCAAAAGATGACACGAGAAGAGGTCGAGAGTGGCTTGCGCTTCGTTGGCTTTGTCATCTTCGAGAACAAGCTGAAGCCTAGCACAGCCCCAGTGTTGAAAGAGCTGATTGACTCGAACATTAGAGCGGTGATGGTTACTGGCGACAACATCTTGACAGCAATCAGCGTTGCGAGAGAATGTGGCCTGTTAGAGAAACACGCCCATTGTTTCGTGCCCCGCTTCATCGAAGGTATGTGGCGTCTGCCTCCCACTCGAGTTGCCAGTGGGTGATACTGAATACGTTTTCAGGCGACTTCCAAGATCCAACCGCCAAACTGCAGTGGGAAAGCATCGATGGCAGCGCATATGCACTCGACAGTGCAACCTTGCTGGTTTGTTACCACTACCCATCTTTGACCATCTGCGTTCCAATAGCTTACAAGCGATGCAGCCCCAACCCGTGTTTCCCGTAGCTGATCTCTCGCTCCCTTACGACATATCCAACTTTCGCAATTACTCAATAGCCGTCAGCGGTGATGTTTTCCGCTGGATTGTGGACTATGCGCACCCACAAGTACTTCGCCGGGTACGTTATTTCCCGAGGCATCTCTGATTCAAAGTCTATGTTAACATTTGGATGTTAGATGCTTGTTCTTGGAAGTGTATTCGCTCGAATGTCGCCTGATGAGAAGCACGAGCTTGTCGAAAAACTTCAAAGTATCGACTATTCCTGCGGCTTCTGCGGCGACGGCGCGAATGACTGCGGAGCCTTGAAGGCGGCAGATGTTGGAATTTCCTTGTCAGAAGCCGAAGCATCAGTCGCAGCTCCCTTCACGTCTAGAGTATTCGATATTCGCTGCGTCTTGGAAGTGATAAGGTACGTTGCTCTCTCAAACTATTGAAAGTACTTGATGGGGTCTGACCTCCTCCAGGGAAGGTCGCGCAGCTCTCGTTACCAGTTTCAGCTGCTTCAAATACATGAGCTTGTACTCGGCGATTCAATTCACGTCCGTGAGCTTCCTGTACGCGAAAGCTTCGAATCTCGGCGACTTTCAATTCTTGTTCATTGATTTGCTTCTGATTCTACCTATTGCCATCTTCATGGGCTGGGCAGGCCCTGCTCGGATTCTATACACGAAACGCCCAATATCCGGACTGGTTTCCCGAAAAGTGCTCACACCTCTCCTGGGACTCATGGCAATCTGCATTGCAGTGCAGGCCATAGCGTACATCACCGTTCGGGAGCAAATTTGGTACATCCCACCAGTAGTGGGGCACGATGAGTCTGACATTAAAAACTCGGAGAACACCGCGCTGTTCCTGACGTCTTGTTTCGAATACGTGTTTTCTGGTGTGATCCTAAATGCAGGCCCTCCGTTCAGAGAAAGCACCGCAAGCAACTGTACGTATCGCGCGCGACAACTCCGAGCAGCAACAAGCTAACCTTGTGTGAAAGGGCCATTCCTCACCACAATCTTTCTGTCACTTGTGATGACACTCTTCATGATAACTGGCTCCTCTAAGTGGCTTCAAAAGCTTATGGAGCTCACCAAGATGCCGTGGGATTATAAGCTATTCTTGGTTGGACTGGGTTGTCTATATCTCGGAGTTGCTTGGACTTTTGAGAAATACGCCGCCACCCCACTGTCAAAGCTTCTCGGAAAGGTCAGGCTTGCCGCTACAGGAAAGCAGAAACAGAGGAAGCAATATAAGCAGATAGGGGAAGAACTGCGTCTTGAGATGATGCGGTGAGGGTCCGCGCAGCAACAGCATCGTCGCAACAGCATCGCCCGACAGCGCCAAGATGCCATTTTCTTTCTAGATAATTCTAATAGATTTACACATTTGGAATTTCATCAATTTCTCGGTTCACTCCAGTCTTGGAATTAATTTGCCTTGCTTACATTGTCTAGATTTCTTGCGACTTGGTCGGACTTGGTGACGAGCGTGCTGTTTTCGAAAGGACTGCGAAGACATCCGATCGCCGCCGGTTAGATAAAGAAGATGTCTAACACTACGGGAGTGACGCCGACGTCTGATAAACAGGTGGCCGCACATTTGACACACAAAATTGTCTTCGAATGCTGTACTTCAACAGATACAGGCGCTCGTGTCGTCACCGTAGGACTATCTATCAGAGGGAGATTTCGCCGCCCCAAGTACCGAAGGATAGTTCCATCACAAGCGAGTACATCTTATGGCAGAACCGCAAATAAATGGGCAAGCCCAGGGAAAGCGGACTGGGAGTATGTCATTTGCATTCGAGGAAACCGCCCGAGAAGCAAGCGTCCCCTTAGTCCGGTCGAGAATTATCACAGTCATATCGGGCGCTCGCGTTTTTTGATTTGGTTTTTTTGTTCAGTTTTCCTTTATGATACCAGAATGTGCCTTATAAATACATCGGCTTCGCCTACCACGTACGCCTCCGTGTCGTCTAGTGATCCCAAGGGTGCTTCCAGCCCATCAAAACCGGACCTGTGTGAAACAAGGTTAGCTTTTTCTCGACGATGCGCCAAGTTCACTGCCGTATTTGCGGCATTGACATCAGCAGCGGGAATCGTACCATCTTTCTTCGCTCTGTACATCAGCTGTGAAGGGTCTCCGTTAGCAAGGGGTTCCCAAATCGATTCCGCACACCAGCTTTCGAGCTGATCTCACCCAAAACCACATGCCAGCTCCGAGAGCAGTAGCAGTCAGGCGGTAGATCGGGGCCACATGGGGCACAGGAGGCTTAGGGGGGCCCATGACGAATGTTGGACGGCTTGTCGATGTCGGATTTCGCGCGATGATGTGTTACGTCGGCCCCTGCGGTCAGGAGAATTAGCAAGGCTGCGGAAGGAAACTTCCAGCGTCATGGCGCACTGTCACATACCGTCGTAAGCTAATTGATCGGGATATTGGGCGATTTAGCTCGTCTCGCGGCCGTCGTCTCGTCGGAGTTCGAAGATGTTACAATGTGCTTGGAGCGGAATGGAAATTGGCGATGTTCAGATGACTAAGCCTTTTTGCTGTACTGGTCAGTGGTTGCTAGCGTTAGAAAAGTGGCGACGGTTGATACGGTCGCAAGTACGAATTAGTTACATACATGGGTAGGTACATAGTTACCAGCCACATGAAACTCGGGCAGAAAGAAGTACAGCAACTTTATAGCCGAGTTGCGCCAAGATGGAAGTACGATATTGTTCTGCAAAAAAACGATAGAGAAAAGCGGAAAATAAGAGATATAGAAATAGATTTAAGGTATAAATAGCAGCTTCTTTCTTCTAAGATATTCTACGTCAGTATCAAAATAGCATTGTAGGTCTACAGGTATGCTAGCACTTGGCCCGTGTCATATGGGTACCTGGTGTCTGGTGTTGGGCCGCTCCTCAAAGCAGGTACCTCCAGACACGGTGGCTCTCACTCACATGCGTGGCAACAGCTCAACCGTCCTCCGCCTTTCTCACTACCTCCATACTCAGACGCTTCACTCTTCGATACGTATTCACATCACGATACCACGAGCGGAGAATCTGTAACAAATATTCTATTCCCAGCGTTTTTTATTCGACTTCTCCAGGCCTAACCCCTCTCCTTCATACATCCTTTGTTGCCGCCAAGGTTCCTGAAGGAGTGAGACAATGTCCAGCACAAAGGCGACGGCTATGAGCACTCGCTCTCCCACAATTAAACGAATATGTAAGTTCTCGTAATTCCTTCTTCCATCTCGTTTGTATATCCCTCCTGGGCCCCTATTGTATTTCATCGTATCCTTTTGTCGTTCGTGCTCCGACGCTGCCTGTATCTCGTTTGTGATGCTGATGCTCAATTAACCTGGCCTGTCACAGTACGAGAGGCAGCTGAGATATCCAACTCGCCGTCCCGGGACTACTCCGCACACCCTCTAGAAACGGATTTATTCGAATGGCACTTTACTCTGCGCGGACCGCCGAACTCCGTATACAGCGAGGGTGTGTACCATGGCCGCATCGTGCTACCGCCAACGTATCCCCTCCGCCCTCCCATGTTTCGCTTCACTACACCCAACGGGCGGTTCGAGGCGAACCGCGAAATATGCCTTAGCATCAGCGGCCATCACGAAGAGACCTGGCAGCCCGCATGGGGCGTCCGTACAGCCCTCGTCGCGTGAGTACTCCCAACGTCCAGAGCGATCCTCATACTAAACCTTCCCACCGCAACTTCAGACTACGTAGCTTCATGGAGACTGAAGCGCGTGGCCAACTAGGCGGGTTAGAGACTACTGATGATGTGCGCCAACAGCTGGCAAAGGAATCTGGAGCGTGGACCTGCACAACCTGCGCAAAATCCAACGCAGAAATCATCAAGGACTGTGAAGAACGATGTCAAGACGCCGACGCCGCTGCGTCGGATGTCCCCGTTCCACAGGAGCTTAAGATGGTCTGGAAAGACGAAATGAAGCCCGAAGGTTTAGAGGCGGAACATAAGGTCGCCGCGAATGCGGCCGAGGACTCCGAACTCGCTGAAGGGTTCGTGCAAACGTCTCCTTTACCTCCTGTTCCTGCATCTCAACGCCCCGATGCGCCACTGCCACAACCTTACCAGAGACCAATCCGTGAAGCTACGCAAAATTCAGCGCCTGCCCAGCAGCCTGGGCTATACCCTTCTGCAGCTCAGCATCAAACAACAGAGGAAGCGGTTCCCTTATGGATAGATCGGGCTATAGTGGTTCTTGTGGTTCTACTTGTTGCATTACTCATCAAGGTGCTCTTTGGATTATGAGCACAGTCCGTTTCTTAGTTCAGGCGCCAAGGTGTTCCAGGTTGTGGAGGAGCGGTCTCGACACTGGCTTCATTCTTCATCATTTCTGACCCCATTATCTCATCTACGCATACAAGTAGCAGCGTTTTACTTCAGTCGGGTTTTCGGTGACAGCCAACAGATATAAATAGTCCATGTTTATCCTAAAATCTATGTCTCAAAATAAGATTATGCTACGACAGCCCTACCGATACTTCTCCTCCTCAGCACCTTGGCCACGCGCTCAACTTGGCAGGCGATGTGCAACCAACCACCACCACTCTCCCAGCGTGATTTCGGAACTTTTCCTTGCTCTGACGAACACTCCGGTCTTGAGCCCCCAAGAGATGATGAGCTGCGCTTCGAACTCGTCAAGTATTGGCGCGACGGCATCACAAATGCCCCTGACGGATACGGCGCCTCTCGTGTTGAACACGAAACTGACGGCGCCCAAAATATCCGCCCATCGCTGCTCGTCAAGCTTGCCGAAGAAGTCAATCCATTGCGGTATCTCGCGTTTGCGGCCTTCTCTTGGCGGACCGACCCGTTGAACTTGTCTCAGTACATCAATGTCGTCGTTGAATAGATATGTCTGGGTAGGCTGAACCTCCAAGTCCATATGGTAATAAGATTTCGGGTACTTGCGACTTTCATAGTTGCCTGGCTCAAAGCCAAAGGGTATGTTTGGGACTTCTGTTGCCTTTATTCGTATCCGCTCAGTGGCGATTAGATTGATCAGCGCCATCATTGCGCCGTCAGACAATGTGTAGGGCACTTTCATGATCTTGTCGCTTCGGAAAGCCTTGTCGATTTCATTTTTGAAGAAGACTGCATCCAGGTACTTTTCTCTGTGCGAGACCTTTGTAAGAACAGACGTATACCCCTCATTTAGCCTATACGGCCGTCCACCAAACGGTGTTCGCTTGCTTTTGCAAATGACTCTCTCCTTCGTCAGCTGGTCGATGGCTGTCTTGAGAGCTATACTGCTTCGTTGCAGTGCATCTTCTGAAAGCATCGAGAATCTTTCTTTGACATCTTGAGGCGTGTATTCGGTCTCACTAGTGCAGCATAGCGAACGGATCCAGGATCGGGCAATATCAACAGTGCTGAGTGTTGGCTGCAGCTTGGACATTTGCGCAACTTCCGAAACTGTCAGTGACCCAGGCTGGAGTGTAGCCGCCTCGAATCGAGAATAGACCGATGACTGTGGATGGAAAAACTTTTCCCTCCAGTCCTCACTGTTATTATCAACATCTTCAAGCTCAAACTCATGGAGGAGACTTTCCCTTGAGGCAGGAAGTTGTAGCTGCTCCTGGTTGGGGTGCTGCATAGCCCATTTAAAAAGGCCTTTCCAGTTATAATCCAATAGCCGGTCGTAGTCTGGAATCGCTACCTCATCGTTCTGAACCGCGACGATGAAACGTTCTTGGAAATCCTGGGTCGCTTTCAAGAGTAACGGGCCCTTTTCCTTGCGAATTCTAGCCCAAAACCGTCGTAGCGATTGTAATCCAATTGTCGGGAATAAGTGAGACAGCAGACCCCAATCGATGAGCTTGTCTACACCACCAAGCAGACTGCGGATGATCACAAATGCTGCTACAAGTTCATTATCGTCAACTTTGCCTCGGCCTCCTGCCAACGGCCTCTGTTCATTCACATCAGGCGCAAGAGGCATGAGGTTTCGCGCAGCTAGCACAACGCGTTTCGATGGCGTCGGCGCGGCTTGAGGAGCAGCAACAGAGTAGGGATCAGGAGATTCCTGTGCACCGCGCGATTGTGGCTCCGGTTCTTCTGCCAGGCTGGCGGGGGAGGAACACGATGTGTTATCATCCGCTGTAAGATTGACTGCGGATGTTTTGCTCGGTTGCTTATCCGACTTGTTCCATTGTATGCAGGGCATCCGTACATGGTTTCCAGTATCACCACCGAGGAAGTTGATGAAAACAGAGCGTACCTCGGTAGGTAATCGCACATCGAAGCCGTTATTCATTTCAATATCCATACACAGTTTCAGGTTTTCAGCAAAGTAATCGTGCTGCGAGCGATCGTCGTAGGGCGTTTGGGAGGCTTGAGAGGGGATTTGATAACACGATGCCCATGAAAACCAGCATGAGCCCGCAATCCATCCGCTTTGTTGCATTGATGCGGCTAGGCATTCGAAACCATGAGCCGTGCTATTGCGAATCGAGAGTTGGGGGTCAGTCCCAGTAATGCTGTAAGCTTTTTGGGCATCTTCTAGTGAAATATCCAAAGTAATTCCAGTGCAGGCAGATAGACGAAGTTGTTGGGCCTTACTCGAGGGGGCCGAGACGGCAGCGACCGGCCAGAATTGCTGACTCTGACGCCCATCCGCACCATGAGTTGGCGCTTCCGCATGGCGTCTGCGTTTCGCTGGAGAGCTTGGAATCTCGCTAGAGTCGGCGACTCGCTTCGTCGCTATCTGCGCTGCATATACTGGAGCGCTCAAAATCGCAACATCGGCCGCAAGGGACCTTCTACCTCGCCCACCAACCTTGTTGTCAAACTGGGGCGTTGTCGCCATGTCCATTTCATCTTCCTCGTCCTCCTTGGGGGTTTCTGTGTCCTGGGGCACGTGGGGAGATCCGGGTATCTGGTGTGGGAGAATGTTCGTGGGATAAAGTTGCCGGATGCTTTCAACCAGAGTCCTTGTCTCCGGGGCGAACGCCGGAACTGACGGAATCGTAATGATTTGACATTTTCCTATTCTTCCATCAGGTGTCCTGAACGCGTGCCACTGATCGACAATCTTTTTCTCTCGAATCATTTGTAGCATTACCGACTTGACCCTTGCTCCAGTGGGGATGTCTCCTTTAAGATGCTGTGTCTGCCATTTTTCTTTTACCAAAAGCTCGAGTGACTGGCCCGTTGGAAGCACACCGCTGTGTTGGTGTAAAAGCTCCGTGATAATGTTCAAAAGTTCATGGCGGGCTTTGTGTTTGATTCGCGGTTTCTCTGATTTCTCTCTGACAATCTCAGCGGGCAGAGAAGAGCCTGGGGGAGTGGCTGAGGTAAGAGTAGCAGGGCGACTCTCCGGCACTTCAGATGTGAGATCTGGCAGTTCTGCAAAACCTGGGGGTGCTTCGGAGTCTTCTGACATACTGCGAAGTTGACAGGGCACGGTAGACTGCCTTGTTGGAGCTTTTGTAAGAGGGTCAACCTGGCGCGGCGGAATCGTTGGTATGACAGTCAGAAGCCCTACTTGCCCGGAAAGAATAGATATGTCTTCATTGACAGTTTCAGATTCAGCTGTCTGGCGAGGTTCCTTCCTGGTTGGCCGGGTAGCAGTGTTTGGGGACTCATCTCCCCTTCCGCTTCCATTGACAAACACGTAACTCGAAGAAGGTCCCTTATTCGTTCTGCATAATTTCTTTGCGTTGAATACGTGACGCTTGCTGGTAGAAAGGGTAGCGTCCGGGGGCGTCGGTGGAGGTCGAGGCTTGAAGGAAGGGTTGCAAGGAGTTTGCGATTTTTCAAGGTGGTACTTTAATCCCACGTCATTCTTCCAGGTGCCAGCGCACTTCTCGCATTTAAACTGACGACTCGTGGAGGCATGCGCCTTCGAGGTGGGTAGCTTTCGATTCGCTGGGCCGCTATTCCTTGTTTTCGGACGACCTCGGGCGGGAATCTTTGGTTCCGGCACTTTCGCCTCTGGCAACTCAGCTGAATGATCCAGTTCGCGAGTCTCTTCGTGATAATTTGCCTCAAGCCTATGAACGTTTGACTCAAGGTCTCCTTCCTTCCCTCTGGCCGCGGATTCAGCAGCGGTCTCACGATTTCCTCTTTGTGGTGAGTTTTGTATCGATGTCAAATCTTGAGAAACTATGTCTTGAGGACTGCTTCGTTGCTCCGGTCTGATCTTCTTTGGGCGACCTCTTCTTTGTAATTTGGACAGGCCGCGTTGACACAGGTGTGACAGCGTTGATGCCGGAGCGAGACTACTTCTCTCGGTCAGAGGTGTAAAATCGTACGGCACAGACAAACTTTGGCTTCCATGTTGCATGTCCGTCTGCGATCGATCGCTAGAAATGCTGGTTGCTAAGCGGGAATTGTCCTCCCTAGAGGGTGGCGAGTCCACCATAGAGTACCAGTATAATGAACCAGACTTGCCAGGCCGACCGCGCTCGCTCTTCACAGCAAGATGCTTTACGTTGCTTGGCTGTATGTTGTCTGCTGATATCGAGGCTGTCAACCCAGCCAGATAGCGAGTGAAGCTGGGCCCAATCGTCATCGCGCATAGTTGCGGGTTTGTCAACCCGTCGGATCCTGATTCTTGAATGCAAAGCGCAACAAGAGAGGTCATCGGGATGTAAATAGACCACGACGGGCGGTGCGATGGCACAAGGCCTCGGACATTCTTCGCGGTAGCGCTCACGCCAGCGTCATCGTCCCCATGCTCTCGTGGGGAGGGTTTCGATGATTTTGCAGTCCTTTTGCCCGTAGCTAGGAAAATAGACCAATCCCTGGCATTCATGTCCCGGCTGAAGCGAATACAGTCCTTGAAAATGCGATTGTCGAGCTTTGCGGCGACGTATTGTATATTGCCACGAGCATTGAGGAACCTGCATGTCTTGGAGACAACTTTCATCTGCCATATCATTCCCAACACACCAAGCTTTAATTTCAAATCCTGGAGGCGCATAACGTTCCACTCTTTGCAGATTGCCATGATCGTAGTGGCAAGGACTTTGTAGTCGATAGAGTCACCCGTCCATCTAGTGTGCCATGGGACAGGCTCCAGACTCTCGACCAGGAATTTTCTTGAGAGCTTGATGTCGGTCTCTGCTTCTCCCCTTTCGTTGGATTCGTCTGGTGTGGAAGGTGCGAGAAATCTGAGCCAGAGCTTGCTTGTCTTGGTACCGCGGACAAGAATTGTTCGCTTTGTGATATAGCCCTTCTCTACCAAGCAGTTTGTCCTCTTTGGGACCGATCGCTTATCTTGGCCGACCAACCTACCCAAATCCCCCTGCAGAATTCCATTACCTGTGGTGGAGGCAATACCTTGCAGCAGTATCCATTCAGATCGAGGAAGGCGTTTGTAGTCGACTCCATGCCCAGCCAACAATTCCCACATGGTCTCCTCCAATACATATAATCGAAGCCAGTCTTCCTTTTTGGACCTTGTTTCTAGGGCGGGCTCGTTTGCCGAATGCTTCCCGGTCGTTTGTGTTTGAATCAGTGAGATTATCGCGCTCAAAGAGAGGTCATTGTATTTTCGTTCATGTCCAACAGAGATGTCTTTCCTTTCAACGAGCCACTTCCAGATGATTGCAATCATACGATGGGCATCCGACTGTGGATCTTTCAGTATTTGGACAACTTCATCTTGTGATGGTTCGCACTCGCGTATCGAGAGCAGGACGAGAATGGACGCAAGAACCTCCCAAACAGTAGCGCCTGTTAAAGGATTAGCCCCCATGGTAATGTATAAAACAATTCATTATCTTCGTCTCGAATTATTTTGCTCGCTGGTAGATGAGAAATGCGCGAGAATGTAGATAGATTAGCATACCTTGTTCGCCGGCGCAGGATGAGAGAAGCACTACGCGTTCAAGTAGCCCTTCAAGATTCGTCGCCATGACTCTTTTTATGCAGAGATATTAATGTGACATGTTGTAAGTGGTCAGATACAAAAAAGATGTGCCTGCATGGTTTGATGGCAGGAATTGAACTTGCAGCCAAACCGCGATGCGCGTGCTTGACGCTAAATTTTTCAGCGTGTGGGGCTTGTACCAGTATGCTGGATTAGGTCCGCCTTTACCAGACCATCTTGGGCGACCATTTCCAGGGTGCCTTGATAGTTACCCTGCACTAACCAGTCAGATCAGTATCTGACCAGGTCTCTATCTACCTTGGTACGCGGGCCTTGGAAGGGGGCTCATTTTTGGACATGTTTAAATACTTTGACATTATCTACGTGCATTTTTGCCCCCTGGTCGGCTTTATCAGCGGCATAGGACGTCGTAACAACTATGTAGCGAGTATTCTTCTCTACAACCGGTGTAAAAGCCTCCGATATGCTCACTCAATGGCTAAGATGCGTGTGCAAGTTGGCACGCCGTCATAGCTACAGTTAAAAGCACCCGCTCCATAGACAGGAAATGCGCAAAATTCCCAATGGGCAAATTAGAAACATGTATATTTAAATGATGGTTGTTCATGGGGCAAGGCGTGTAACCCGTACACGCCATAACAGAAACTGCCTGCTCGGAAGCACGGGAGTTGTCTCGGAAGTTAAGTGACGCCCTTCTCGTCGGCTAGGTGCTTCATTAACAGAGATCTATCGTGCCGTTGTAGGTTGATGAGAGTTTATCTAGACTATACGTCTTGCTTCCCTTTCTTATGGAAATCCAGTTTCCGTTGCTCGTGCTCTCGAATGCGCCGGTATGCTTCAACTACGTCTTGCCTTTCCTCCTCCAGCTGCTCGCGTCGCCTCAGACTACCCGCAGCTTTTGGCGCACTCCCAACGTTGACCGTAGCAGTTCCCACGACTTTGAGAAGCCTGGACTGCTTTTTGTGCAGCTCAGGGGGGGCCTCCGCTACGTCGTTCAGTCCATGTCTCGCTTCTCCCCTCTTCTTCTTCAACTCGGCCCAGGGGTCGTCGTCTGCGGCGTCTTTGCCGCGCCTCCCTTTCTTCTTTTTTGTTGTGTTTTCTTCGTCGTCCAAGACTGAAGTTGAGAGAATGCCTGCCCCATCATTCTCGAGTTCACGTTCTGCCGCTAGCTCCTTGTCCTCCTCCTTCTTGTCTTGGATCTTTCGCTCCTCTTCTCGCCACTGGTCGTACAGCTTGTGCATTTTACGCTCCTTTCGGGTTCGTTGGGTCTTAATGCCCTCTAAGTCTTTGCCTCCCTTGATGCCCGACTTTGTTGATACGCCAGCCAATGGCATTGCAGCATCTACCCGTGCCGCAAAGGCTCTCAGGTCTTCGCCGGGCTTTATTTGGAGTTTTTCGCTTCGCTGTGTTGGACCTGTTGTCGCGAATTTCTTAATTTTCCCATCATCAAGGCCAGAGTGTAACTTCTCCCCTGACGAAAATGCCATCAGTCGCTGGAAGGCTCGAGGGGCGTCGATGTCAGATTTCGCCTGTCGACGCCTCTTCGCCTGCCTGGACGTCCCACTCGATACACCGGCGCTTTTCGAGTTAACAGGGAGGGGCAATGCCCTCTGCGACGGCGGTAAGTTGAAGCTGCAGCAATCATTAGATACGAGGCGTTCGTAGTAACAAAGGCAGAAATAGACCTACTCGGCATCGTCACCTCTTTTCCGCTTGTGTTTGTGTGGCATGATGAAAGAGAGTGGCTATGTGGCCGTCTATGGAAGCAGTCTCGCGCCCTAGTAACGCCTCCTGATGCGGAGGATTGTCGATTCTGTCATGCATATGAAAGCTAAACATGAAGTTCGAACAAGAAAAGTTGCTGGTAAAGACAAAGGAAAATTTTATGGGGCTTGGTGGGGCTATTGACTGGCCGCGCTAAAACCTACTGGCGATCAAATACTAAGGTACTGAGGACGATGGCTTTTCTAACCCAGACAATGCATACAAATACCTGGAACAATGTATGCTCGGAGACATTCAGGCCAAGGACGTTCTCTTTCAACAAAGAAAAACGAGGCCGCATCTGGCAGGTGGTGCTACCTGTCAGAGCGCGTCCCTTGAGCCATGTGGACATAGTCCGCCATGGCGGCGGCTCAATTGCATGTTTGCCGCTATTCGCTCCACACCAACTGAGGAACAATAGTAAGAGACGAGCCGCAATGCATCTCGGGTTCCAGTGTGGCTTTGATCTCGAACGACTGCGGTGTTGTCTACTTTAAAATTAGCTTTGGGAGTCTCTCGCTTGACCAATAGATTGCCATCAGTGCACATCGACCCGTCTGCGAGACAACGCTACCGCTCCAGCTGTTTTCCCGATAACAGAACAATACTAACTTGACACGCCAAAGTTCGAACCGAGGCCCAAAGGAACAATACTCCCGCATAGTTTGAAGGAAACTTTCTGTTGGTTGAAGACATGTCCTCGCAAGACTTAAAAACTCTGTCTGCCCCGAAAGATCAGCTCCTGTTCATCACAACTACTCTACAATTCACCTTCCACAAGCACACTTGAACATATTCCATATCTTCAAACCCCCCAAACACATCATCATGCCTGCTATCCAGAACGCCACCGTCCAGGCCAAGCCTGCCGACTACGTCGCCGCTGACGAGAACGTCACAGTTAACCCGGGCAAGAAGTTCTCCGGCTACCAGGCTTGCACCGTCATGTAAAGTCTTGGTTACTCGGCAAAGTTTTGGGTTTCACTTCTTTCGAGCTTGACGAGTGTCCAGACATCACAGCACTCTTCTACGCCGCCCCGGTTCTTGAGATATCTTTTATTCGCCAATTTCAGCTGGCTCTTTCAACATCGATTGGCTTTGGTTTCGGACTCAACTGTTCGCGACTAGAAGCTATTTTTTAACACCAAGGTTCAGCAACATTTCCGCGGCGACTTACAGCAGGCCTGCAATGCTGTGCAATGTGGGGACTTATTGGGCTGTGTACAACTTTCTCTTCTTCTGCGGCTTGAAATTATGGCTTATTTATTAATCCAAATCTACGCCTTGTTTACCAGGACTTTTATCGAAGGTTACTTTAAATTTGTTGAGACCAGTGAGATAAACCCCAGTGCAAAGGTAATACGCCTGGCCTACTGAATTGAGAGAAGCTATCGTAAACCTTGAAGTCAGTTTCGGCAACTTATACAATTGAGACAAGTAATCCCATACCCGCTTTTAAAGGCGATCAATTGATCAAGCCATCGTCCTTGTAACACAACTCCAAGAAATTATCGTTGGTGCATGCATCTTGTCCAACAGGGAACTGCAAGTGGCAGGTTCCCAAGTACACAGTACCTCAGCTAGCGGGGCCCATATTGGGCGGTGAGGAAACCTGACGGCAGAATTTTGAGATTTTCTTGTCTTGGACTTTTCTTTCGCAGTCAGTGCCGCCTAGCACAGTTCAGCGGACGCAGGAGAGTCGCAACTCCAAATTTTTTCAGGTACACCAGGCCATCTAAAAGCTCAATTGCATTGCTGGGAGCATCTTGTTACCGAAATGGAATCCCAGAAGAGTAGACTGCGAAAGCAGTCCAAAATTTCTCGCAATGCGCCTTCAAAGGTGTCGTCGCATGCTGGCGAACATTCCAGCGAAAACGAAGACAGCGCTCTCAAGGTAGTGCCCTTCATTCCCCAACCATGGGTACCTAATTCGAGCTCTAACATATCACGATGTAGTTCGCCCTTGATGGAATTGACGACAGTGACACGTCTGAATCGTCTATCGAGCTAGAGAAGCGCCTACCTAAGAGCACGAGGTCCACACAATCGAAGGCGGTCCCTTCAGCAGATGATATTGAAGATGAAGACGACGACGACGACGAAGAAGAAGACGAAGAAGAAGATATCCCCGTTTCAGACCTCGAAGATCTAGACGAGGAAGATCGGGAAGACATGATCCCGCATACCCGCCTCACCATAAATAACACGTCTGCCCTTCTTGCGGCTCTTGAGCGCATAGCTATCCCTACGGATAAGAGCGTGCCGTTCGCAACGCATCAAATTATTGTATCTTCCGCAAAGACAGCCGAATCAATCCCGGATGTGTCGGACGACCTTCAGCGAGAGCTTGCCTTCTATACCCAGTGCCTCGACGCCGCTCGCCAGGGCAGAAGCAAACTCCTTGCCGAGGGCGTGCCATTTTCCCGACCAAAGGACTACTTCGCCGAAATGGTCAAAGAGGATGCGCACATGGAAAAGGTCAAGGCGAAGCTGATCGAGGAAGCCTCTGCAAAGAAGGCCTCCGCTGAAGCTAGAAAGCTGCGCGACCTGAAGAAGTTCGGCAAGCAAGTCCAAGTTGCCAAGCTGCAAGAGCGCCAAAGGGCTAAGCGCGAAACCCTCGAAAAGATCAAGACATTGAAGAGGAGTAAGACACCCGCGCCACCTCATACCTAAACAAAACCACTAACGTGAGCTCTTGTCAGAACGTCAAGAATCCGGCGGTGACCTCGGCACCAAAGAAGGTGATTTGTTCGACGTTGCAGTTGATGACGAGATCTCCAAGCATTCGCAGCGATCTAATGCCGGGCGTCCGTCCTCGGGATCAAACACAAAGCGCCAAAAGAAGAACGAGAAGTTTGGCTTTGGTGGTAAAAAGAAGCACATCAAGTCTGGTGATGCGATGAGCTCGGGCGACCTGAGTGGCTTCAACCCTAAGAGAATGAAGGCTGGCAGCAAGAACAAGAAGACGAGCCGCCCTGGGAAGAGCAGAAGAAAGGCCATGTCGAGCAAATAAATATCAGTAGCGGTAGTTGAAGGGGGTTGGGCATGACTCTTACGCGTCTGGTTTTAGTCTACAAAAACATCAATCCATGTGATTCATTGTTAGGCATTCTCACGTGCGCAAGAGCAGATGTATAAGTAGATTGGAACATGATTCATCCAAATTCATCTATGAAAACAAAAGGATATATAAAGATTTCGAATCGAGTGAGGGTAGAAAGGTAAGCGTCACACCATTGCATAAAGTCAGTAGCGGTCAGATAATGTCCAGGCTGGCGGACTTGGTAGGAGCCTCTCTCTGACGAGCCTGAGCTATTGTCTCGCACACCAATCTTCCCCGATGCAGAATATCGCTAAATGTTATTGGCAACCCAAAGAAAATGCAAGCTGATAAAAAATTGCCAAGCGGGCGAGTAAGAATTTTCCGGAATGTATTTTGCTTTGCTTGCTTTTCAAGTTTTCGAAATGTTGAGGGATAGCCAAAAACGTTCGGCTGGAACGAGCAAGTATGCTGCTACAGTCGTGGAATATGCGTCGTCGATGCCAGGGTAACAGTAGTGTCATGAATAATTCGGAAACGCGAGACATGAAATGTTGTAAGCTCAAGTAAAAACCGCCCAAATACGCCGGAAAAAGCCCATGGTATCGAAGAGAGAATGCAGAGTGTGTTTCGAACGCGTTGCTGTGGACAAAGCAGCGGTAACTCTTACCAATGGCGACTACGTGGCCGCATTAGCTAGAAAACCGAGTAGCATGATATATAACGCCCTGACATTGCGGCATCTGATTATGGAGAAGCTGCAACACACCAATGGCGGTGAAAGGACCAGGCGCTCTTTTGGCACTCTTTGCTGCAATATTTCGTGCGGCGACATCGGCGACATTTTGCGAACTGCCGTGGAAATTCTTCCCAGGTTCCACATTGATAGTAGGCGCACTGTCGAATACCACCGCGGGTATCGTCTTTGCGACATAAATTCCGCATAACCACGCCGGCCCAATATTGCATGTCGGTGCTGTGATATCTGACCGTAAACTTCTCAACCAACGGGAAGAGATTGAAGTCGTTTGGCAAGAGGTATTCTTCATCGACGGCCACAGAATCGTCAATCTCCTCTCCATCACCTTCCCCATCGAGGGCCGCAAGGTCTTTGCCAATGGCCAGCCTAGGGACCAGATGGCTGTTTTGGAAATATGAGCGAAGCCCACAATATTTTGAAACATAGGCGAGAAGCTGCAGCGACATGAGAACATCTTCTTCTCTTGGCATGACAGCCAACATTTGTGGATTTGGTACGAAATGACGATCCAGCAGGTATCTTGGCACCGATGATGTTTGCGCATTTGGTTGGGGGGGTGAGACCATGGAAGGGCGGTTTGGGGAGAGCCCAATCGGTGCCACTGGAGTAGGAGCTACATCACTGCCAATGCTTCCGTCGATGGGGGAACGGTGAGTGATGTTGAAAGCGCCAGTGTCCTGCGTCTCGGAGACAGTTGCACCTGTCAGTTCGAGCGACTCGGTAGCCAACATCCCCTCGCTATCATCCATCGTGAGGTCCTGTATTCCGACAGCCGATCGAATATCTCCGGTTCCAGTCATCTCAGCATCTGGGGCTTCATCGGACGGCATACTATCATTATTCATATCGTCAACTTCAGCGGTGGAGTTCTGATGACGAATCGAAGGCCTCCGGCGCTGTGGGGTTTCCTCGTCGATGTTTGCAGTTGGTAGTACGGTCGGAGAGCGTAGTTGAGGTGGAGGCAGCGGTGTTGTTGGGGAGGTTGGCTGGGACACAAATTCAGACTGCGCTAGCAGCGTCACGGATGCTAAGCGGTCGGCATCTCTCACAGGGCGCAGAAGTCCATCGGCGACTTCCATCATCGGGACAGCAGGCGCTAGTGGTTGGATAACTAATTGTCGAAAGGTAGTAGGTTGACCGTCGGTGGCTCGAGAACTGTGGCGATGGCGGGTTGGCGTAACGGCTAGACGGTCTGAAGTCCCTTGTCTGGCAGGGGATGATGCAGAGGACGCTTCCGATCCTCGTTGAGTAGCAGTAGACGGTCCTGCGTAGCTAGCTGCAATGTCTATCGATGGAGGCAGCCCTTGTCTTCGGATTATTCTGTGTTCGGTTTCATTGCGTAAAGCTCTATTGGCAAATAGACTTGAAGGCCTGGATGGTTGGCGGTGGTCGTGACTTCGGTGTCGGTGATGATGCTCGTGTATCTGCTTCTGTTTCGCCTCGTCCGCCTTCTCACGGCATCGATCAATAACTTTTATGTAATTGTCAAGAATGGTTGCGATGACAGGGACCATGTCGGCCTCGACAACGCGCGTGCGGACATTCTCGGTTCCGCGCACGCCGATGTTGACAACACATTGAAATGCGAGGTTCCATTTCCACATGCCCATCATGTCTTTGCTTCTGCCCTGTTTCAAGATGCAGACGAGGCGTTCGATGCCGCCATCGACCGTCAAGATATCTCGGATACGCGCCGAGGATGTCGTGAGGTACGCGAGGTGGTTGAGAGAATTAATCAGGGGAAGGGTAGAGGTGCAGTCGAGCGCCCGGCGGTCATACAACGCAGTTGTGATGCCCACAGATGCCTTGTTGACATTTGGGATGCTGAAGTTGACTTCTCTCATTTTGGCAGTCTCCTATGTGAAAAGGGCGCTGTCGCCACGATATTGCCCGAGGTATGGTTCACGGGGGAGCCTGCCACGGCGGCTTGAGCACCGTTGAGATAGATGACGCCAGTTTCCAACAGCGATGGGAAATTTCGCGACTGTACGTAAGCCGCAGGGGCGTGGAAGGGTAATTCCGTGGAAGACAGAATCTTGTGTAGTCGGATTCGGTCGGGGCACGAGGAGTTGGGCCGCTAGAATAGGCGTTTAAAGACGGCGGTGCGGCGGCGTAGGGCCCATGAAAGTAATTTCTGGTGATGCGTAGGCGCTTTGGAGATGACGGCGATGGTCTTCGGAGAAAAAGACCTGCGCGACGTGAAATGCCACTGATGGCCAAGTAAGGTAGTTCGTGTTTCAGGCAAGGCTTTAGGGCCGCCAGGTTGTGTCGTGAGCCGAATGCTTCAAAGTGGTAGTAATAGGGAAGCAGGTATCTATCGTATGGCAACAGTTGGCATGGAAAATGCAGTTTGCCAACGACGCTCACCGATGAGGGCGGAAGGATGAGTACTTCGCGAGGCAAGATGAGGAGGGCGAGGAGGAGGAGGTTGGCTGACGAAGAATCAAGCGACGTCAGGGAGAAGCAGTGGTGAACGGACCGCTCCGGGCACTGTGGGCGGCCGGCAGTAGAGAGGTTGTAAGCCTGCTGGAGTTGTGTGCTGGAATGCATTGCACAGCAGCTTGGCGTTCAAAAAAACTACCCCTTGGCTGTGACCAGCTCCCTCTGCTAGCGCCTGGTAAATTTACCTGCCACTGGACTTGAGGGGCGGTGCCCGAAGTCGTCGCACAGTGTGGGCTCTCCCCCTTAGAGGCCCCTAATGGGGCTCCTGACCTCGCTGTGGTCTGTGCCAAGTCATTATTGGTACAGTTCCGGTTTGGGTGACTTACACTGTGTCGCCACTGCTTTGGTTATTTGGCCTGAGAGAGGAGAACCCTTGTGGCGGCGACGGCCAACTACCTACCTACTTTTATTACTTCGTGGATAACCTACTGCAACAATATGGACTCTCGGGGCTTGTAGGTTTTGCTTGATTTAAACCTTACCGGAAATGAAGTATATAATTACAGGTTTGATACGAATACATTGACCAGCATTATTGACATGTTCGCCACTTAACTAGCAATACACGCGTGGCCGAGTTGCCGAGGCCAAGTAGAGATCGAATAAGTTTACCATATCATAGCTTCTAGGAGAATTTTAATAAATTCTGATATAAGATGTTAGTTTATTATCCATCTAGTTATCTTGAATCTTCTTTGGTTTTGTTCACTATTGTTCGTCCTTGCAAATGTGGCAAAGGTTCAAAGCTAAGCAACTCGATTTTAAGCGCCCGGTATTCTGACCGCCCCCCGCACCGGCAAGCTCTGGTGGCTGGTTTTACCAAATGATCTATTGTCCTCGCTAGGCACAAACTAATAAATGGAAGTTTGATTAAATTAGTACCGAGGTCTGTCCGCAGCGCCGTGAGTCGTTCAGCTGTTGAAGGAAAAGTAGGACACCAGAAAAAGAAGCCATGCGAATCCCATTTCCAGAAGCAAACCGAAACGTCCCACTAAGTGTCGACTGAGATCAGTACTTGGCCATTCGTCGACTAGCTGGCAGGCAAGTGCAGATGGATTGTCCTTTGCCCCGCATTGCTGTATGATTGGCAATTGGTTTGATTGCAATTGGCAACCAGGAGATGTGCTGTGGCAGGGATTCTGAAAAGACATTCAGCATGCTCTTGGGTAAACTGTGAGGTGCCTATATCAAGTCGTAAGGACATTGGAGCTCGTCGGTTTGATAATCGCTGCTTACACTTACAATGGTGGCAAGAGGATGCCCTTGTTACACATTACCGACACAACACGGGTGTGATGATAGCTGGTAAACAAAACAAAAACACGCACGAGGGTATATATACCAAACAAAGATTATCGTACATATCAAAACATCGCTAGTCCCCGCTAATTTTGGCATGCCGAAAATACTTCATGCCCACCCACGCCACCACAACCCAAACCCAGGCCATAACGCACGTGAGTATCATAAGGGCAGGGTAATAACCAACAATGGGCAATGTAGGGTCATCCTCCAACTCGGGCGGCGCATACGGTGTCTTTCCAACGTCCCATGCCCAACTCCAAATGTCAAGGCAGCTGCCCATGCCGATAACAAAGACTAGCCAGGTTACGGTGAGGACAACCCACCCCCACCACTCTGTCTCCGCATAGTCCCAATCCGCCTCCGAGTTAGGTATTGTGTTTGTAGAAATGCCGCTGTAAGATAGTGGTGACTTTGCCGGCTGGAAGGGGCTCCGGCGAGGGGACGAGCCGCGTGCGGCAAAGTATGACTCCGACCCCGACGAAGATGCTGACAAATTCGGCCTTGGGGGGATGGCATTATGCGAAATATGAAGGATATCATCCTCATCAGTCGTTGATGTATCCTGTGTTATTTGAGGATCTGCGTCACGCTCCGGGCTAGCTGCGCCGCCGGGGCCAACATGAGTCCTCGGCGACGCACTGGACTTCGCCAGTGCTTGTATCTCCGTCGTCTTAAGACCTAGAGCATCGTGGCTGCTTATAGAAAGCGTAGTATCAACATTTCCAGGTACCTGGACATATGCTGTGGCCTGGGCCGTATCAATTGCCAAGGGTTTGCTGCCGTCTCGCCTGTCTCGTTGAGCCCCTCTGCCGAGTAGAGCGACCTTTCTAAGGGAGCCACGCCGTCGCCGTGTTTTCGGCTGCGCTGTTGCAGAAGAAGAATGAGGGGAGCCGGGACCCTGTGAGGAGCTGTCGTCGGCCGCTGCTTCGGCCTGCTGCGCTTCCAAGGCTGGCTTCATGAAGGGCAGTTTAGACAGCAGTCCCGAGCCAGTGTAGGGCTTATCCCGATGCGAGGGCGGTACAAAGTCAGCCTCCTCATGCGGTAGTAGTGTATCCATGATCTGTGCCGGATCCAATCACCAGAGCATCGAGACAATGAGCGGCCAAATCGTCGGCCTTGGTAGGTGTCGGCGTGGGCTATCTTGACATCGTAAATCGACTGCTAGAAATTCAGTAAGTGTTGCATACATAAAAAATCTAGAAAAACTTACATGCGCCAATATCTCCGAAATATCGCGGCCTGCCTGTTGACGCGTAAGTTGCTAATGCGACCGAGTCCTTGCGCATGCCACCTTCACCTGCTCTGTGGCCAATGGCCCCTCGACCCACCCCAGGCTATCAAGGTTCCCCCTGACGAAAGTGAACACCTCATACCCACTAATACGTGATAGCCTTTGGCTACCTACCATCTTGTCAACTTACGCGCGTATCAATTAGTTGAGAGCGTGCCGATTATCGCACAGTGCGCTCGTGCCCCAACTTGCCTCGCCGCGACGAACAGCAACATATTCAACTTTACGACTTGAGCATATGGATCCGTTCGACGACCGCCCTTCAGATCCGTCGCTGCCCGAGCTTGTCGTCGACGACATAGACACAAGCAACGCTGAACGTTCTACGAAGCGCTATTCCTCAGTCCTGGAACCTTCAATGCTTTCACCAGATAGCGCGTTCCTCTCCAAATCTACGATGGCGGATAGTACGACGACAGACCATCCCAATGGCCTGTCCACGCCCACCAACCCGTTCAACTTCCAGACCCAGGTGATATCCACTTCACCAGTCAAATCCGTAGGAATATCCAAACTTGTTTCTGAGTGTAGCTTAATCCAACTGACACTCTGAGAAAGAACATCGGCCAACGCCGCGGCCATAGATATAAGCACAGTAGTGTTTCGACGCAGCACCAAATATTTCAGGAGCCCCCTCAACGGCCACCTCCAGTCCTCCCCGCATCGCTGCCCATCCCTACTGTGAAGGAGGCATGGAAGAGCATGACCAAAGATCAAAGAATGCGTCTTTACTGGAGTCTGTCTCATCTCGCCATAGCTGTGTTTATCTTCTTCAGATCCGAGGGGTCACTCTCCGCAACTGCCCTATCGCACCTCGTTTTCTTTGACGCCGGCAGTGCCGCTGTTTGTGTGGCTGTAGATGTTCTTGGAAACTTTGAGGTCTGGAGGCGCAGCAGTATCCGTCACCCATTCGGACTAGAGAGAGCTGAAGTTCTGGCTGGATTCGCCATGTCAATTTTTCTTCTCTTCGGAGGGTTTGATCTTGTTTCCCACAACCTCAAGCATCTTCTCGAATCCGTGGGTCATCATGAACCACACCACGAGCATTTCCATGGAGGAGACACTCCAACAGGATCTATTGATCTTGCGTCCGCAGCTGCTATTGTTAGCACGCTGGCATCCGCATACGGCCTGAAGAACCACGCCCGTATTGCCAAGGTCATGAGGGTTTCCTACCTCGCGTCTTTGCCAAGCATCCTCTCCAACCCATTCCATTTTCTGACGCTTTTATTTTCCACCTTGGTTGCGTTGCTACCACTCTTCTCGATCGAACTTTACACTTGGCTGGACAGATTGATTTGTGCCACTATTTCCCTAGCCATGTTCGGGCTTGGTATGCGGGTTGCCATCGCACAAGGCCTTATGCTCCTTATGTCATATGGTGGTACTAACGGTGATGCGGGGGTATCCTCAGTGATCCAGGACATCGAGTCTGAATCAAGTATCACCAGCATTGACGAAGCACAATTTTGGCAGGTTCACTACGGTCTCTGCATGGCCAACTTGAAAATCAGCGTACAGAAAGGCAGCGACGAAGTCGCCCTCAGCAGATTGCGCAACAGGATAACTTCATTAATACAAAACCGCCTGGGAGAAGGCTACGGCACAGGCGGCAGTGTCAGATGGGAGGTATCGTTGCAGCTCAATGCGAACGGCGGTTTATAGATTCCTAGAGGCAGGTAGTTCGGTCTTCAGTGTCAATGCATGTTAAATAACGAGAACAACGTTTACTTTAATAATATATAAGTATTTTGAATTGAATCATTAGAGGAGGGTATCTCTATCGGCACCAGATATTTATGTGCATTGCTGTACCAGATGTACTTGCAATCATATTCTTACACAACGGGATGTATCCTACAACCTGCTGTCGGCGCGCTTCCAAATCCACAAACAGATCAAATAGAAATTGAACAAAAAAGACTCCAATCATACGCGCCTCAAACTCTAGAATAGCCCCCACCGCCCTCGCTCCTTCGGAATCTTGCGATTGGATGCGAGACGCTCCCGCTCAAGGCCTTCCAATTGCTTCAAGCTCTCCATCTTCTCCAGAACAAGTTCCAGCAGCTCCTTTCTGCGAATGACTTCGAGATGGCGGCGGATCTTTGGGTCCTCCTTGGCAAATCTCTCCACGTCGGCGTCTGACAGATGCTTGCCCAAGCGAAGATCTAGTTCCCGAGGAAAGTTGTAATAGAATTCCGACAGCAGTTCAACATTCAAGAAGAGAACGGCCGTGGAGGCAAGCTTAGATGCTGCTGCATCAAGAAAAACTTCGGGACATTGGTATTTGTTCTTCAGGTTGGCGCACTGCTTCGACTTGACAGCCATAAGACGCAATTTGATGATGTCAGCTCGGTCACGAAGGAAGACCGCTTCACGTCCTATTCTTAGTTAGCTTTCCCCTGTTTCTATATGAAGCCGTCAACGGAACTTACCTTTGCTAAGCAATGAAGCACTAAATCCACCGGCGCCACTGCGTCCATCACCTTCCACAACAACGTCGCCCTTGCGAGCCTTGTCAACAAACGACATGACTTCCCGTAGTTTACGCCGTCCGCCGACAGTAGTTTCAAGGCTTGATAGCGCTGTTTCGCAGTCATTTAGTTCCTTCTTTAATATATCGCTGACATGCTGTCGGCCTTGAGTCCACTCTCGCTCCTCGATATCAATTTCGAATTTGTATGGCTTGATGCAATTTTCAACCTGATCGCTTGTGCTGTAAAACCGCTCATTCAAAATCGTTGATGCGGCGTCCATAATCGCACTCCTCGCGAATGGGTGATTGGAAAAGCTGGATCGGTCCAGAAGCGCTTCCACGTTGTCTTGGATCGCTGTGGCAACGACGGTGGTTGCCAGTCTTCCGACACCAAGTTTTGTTAAAGCTGAAGACGAAGCATCCAGTTGGCGACGCCAGTAAAGTGAGTCAGCGTCGGCTTTTGGCAGATCCGCTATCTTGTTTGTTTCGGTGGGCGGAGGCAGCAGGTCTGTAATTGGCTTGTTCCAGTATCTCGCTGCAAGCAGATCGAGCACTTTCTGATCTAACTCGCTCTTTAGAATCTCATGCATCTGTGGACGACCGAATTCCTCTGTCAATTGCTTGAAAGAGTGCTTCAAAGCATCCAAGCTCTCCGCCAGATATGACTCCGCGGATAATGGCCGGTCGTTGTATTGCACTTTGAATTCATATGTAGCTTCTTCAAGTTCCTGGCGGATAGCGTCACTTGTGCTTTGCAAGCTGGAAGACATGGTTTGCTCCAGCACATGCATGAGCTTCTTCCGAAGGGTTGTTGTCCCGACGCTCACTCCAGCCTCTGGCCCGTACTCCATTGGATGAGACGAGAAGAATGAATTCTCATTCTTTGTAATAGTGGCCAGCAGATTGGACGAGCCCATTTTGAAGAGGCCCTGGGAGTGAGGTGCTCTTGACACAACACCAACATAACCAAGACGAAGTGGGTATTGCTTGTCATTGAGAATCGCCGCCCCGCGCACTGAATCGACGAGGTCCATCTTGGTAATTACCCCGATAGTTCGTTCACCACGTGGATCGACTCGCCGCGACGCCCGCAGAGCAGTAGAGTTGGCAAGATCCACATCTGCAGCAGAGATGGCGAGAATGACGTTGGGTGCCTGGATGTATTTGTCGCAAAGTTCGGAGATCTTCTGCTTCAGTTGTAGCGGCTGGTTTTGACCAACCACTTGGATATAGCCCGGCAAATCGATCAGCGACAGATCCGGGACATTCGGAGAGTAAATTGTGAGCTGTATGGGTTCGTGAGACACGCACTCGGAGTCGGGGACGGCCAGATTGAGGTCAGTAAGAGTTCTTTGAATCGACGAGAAGTCATTTATGTGCTTCAGGCCGAGATCCGGGAACTCTCCATACTCCTCCGTAGAGCCAGGGGTGTTGACGAGGGTTAGTTCGATCGGTCTGCGAGTAACCATGTTTGAGCCTTTGGGCAGAAACTCATGGCCAACAATAGCTTCTAACACTGAGCTTTTGCCTGACGACTGAGACCCTATGACAACAATCGATGGAAGGGTAAGTGTGCTTGACTGCCCGACTTTTTGTAGTATCGACCGAATCTCGATCATCTTTTTCGTGAGGACCATCATTTGGTCGTCTCTGGCATCCTCCTCACTCGAATTTGAGTCGCCTTCTCCTTCATACCCATAACTAGCTGCAGCAGCCCCAACAGCGGTGACTGCTCCAATCTTGCTGTGCTTCGGGTCATTGTTACCACTGGAGCCGCCACCGCCACCACCGCCGCTAGAGGTTGTAGCTTCTTGAGAAGCCTGGACCAGGTTTTTCAACCACTCTGGAAGCTCGATTTGTTCCTTCGTATTCTCCCAACCCTGATATGTTTGTTCCGCGACTTCCTTCGCGCTACCAAAAAGACTCGAAGCTGTGGTTGTAACTGCGTCCTTCGTTGAATGGAAGATATCGATGGCGTACGCGCCGGCCTCTGTATTGCGTTAGGAAAAGGCCGATGAGAGCGGTTAAGGACGCGACTTACGATTCGCTTGATACTGAACCCAGGCAAAAGCTCCTATCGCTAGCCCGCCGAACATGGCGGGAATCCGTACGAACTTCAACATCAATTTCGGTAAGAATCGAGCGAACGACGCATTCCTGACGGCAACTGCATTGTGAAAAGCATTATCGCCCAGCCACATTCGCCGCTGTGTGGCGCGAATCGAGCCATCTGCCTGCAGAAGGCCACCAGTTTGGAAACGATGGATGTAGCGGGTCGAGCTGGCTGCGTTCGCGCGCCGTGAGGCCGTGCGAAGCCTGCCGGCCAGCATTTGGCCGCTCATCGCAAGAAAGATGAGTTCGAAGAGGAAAAATATCAATTCATGCGCATATGACCTCGGATGCGGCCTCAGAGGCTGATTGTCAAATCCCTGTCGTGGTGCTTCATTGACGGTGTTGACGGGTAATTCATTATCTTAGCAGCGACTTGCGTCGGCCAGCGGAGGATAACATGGCGCGCCACATGGCGTCGGCGCCAGCATACCAATGCCCCACAATCCCGGTATCACCACGTGATGGCCTTATCGGTTCCAATTCTTGTCAAAATTTCTGGTGGTAATCTGGAAAAGTTCCCTCGAATTCCTAGGTAGGATCTCAGCCGCTGTAATGGCGATTCAAAAGAAGCACGGCAAGGGCCGTTTGGACAAGTGGTATAAGCTTGCCAAAGAAAAAGGCTACCGAGCCAGAGCTTCATTTAAACTCGTGCAATTGAACAAGAAATATGGGTTCTTGGAAAAGAGCAAGGTCCTACTGGATCTTTGCGCTGCGCCCGGAGTACGTGTTTCTTGACAGTCCCTTGATACTCGCCTTCCTTACTGATTCTTCTTAGTCATGGTGTCAAGTCGCTTCTGAGGTCATGCCCGTCAATAGTCTGATTGTTGGTGTCGATCTGGCACCTATCAAACCCATACCGAGAGTCATCACGTTTCAGAGCGATATTACGACTGAGAAATGTCGAGCCACCATTCGACAGCACCTGAAGACATGGAAAGCCGACACTGTTCTCCATGATGGTGCGCCCAACGTCGGTACCGCGTGGGTCCAGGACTCATTCAACCAGGCAGAACTTGCCTTGCAAGCCATGAAATTAGCAACCGAATTTCTAGTCGAGGGTGGTACTTTTGTTACTAAAGTTTTCCGGTCAAAAGATTACAACCCGCTACTATGGGTTCTCAATCAACTATTTACCCACGTCGAAGCAACGAAGCCGCCGTCCTCACGTAACGTCTCCGCCGAGATCTTCGTTGTGTGCCGAGGCTACAAGGCTCCCAAGCGCATTGATCCTCGCTTCCTCGATCCTCGAGCGGTATTCGCTGAACTTGCTGGTGCCACGCCCAACAACGAGGCTAAAGTCTACAACCCGGAGGTGAAGAAGAGAAAGCGAGAAGGTTACGAGGAAGGCGACTATACCCTGTACAAAGAAGTACCTGCGAGCGAATTTATACAAACCATGGACCCGATTGCTATCTTGGGAAGCTCCAACAAACTCACATTTCAACAGCCTCTCAATGGAGACGTTGCCTTGGCTGCACTGGACAAGTTACCGGAGACAACGCCCGAAATCCGCAACTGTTGCTCGGACTTGAAGATTCTTGGGCGCAGAGACTTTAAACTGCTCCTGAAATGGAGATTGAGGGTTCGAGAAATATTTGGTCTGGCTACGAAGGAAAAATCTGTAGCTGCTGCATCCGAAGAAGTTGTCGAAGTTGAAGAAATGGACGAGGAGCTGAAAATCCAGGATGAGCTCCAAGCCATGCGTGACCGAGACAACTCTAAGAAGAAGAGGGTAAAGAGACGAGAAAACGAGAAGAAGCAGAGAGAGATTGTTCGCATGCAGATGAACATGATCAGTCCGATGGATATTGGTATGGAGGAAGCCGGCCCGATTGGAGAAGGCTCAATGTTCACATTGAAATCCGCGGATAAGACTGAAGCCATGCGCCGACTAAATCGTGGCAAGATGGCAACGATATCTGAAGCAAAATCTGCCGAACAGAATTCTGACAGCGAAGACGACGATAGCGATCCCGAAGAAGACAGACTTGAGCGAGACTTGGATTCTATGTATGAGAATTACAAGGAGCGCAAGGCTGAATCTGATGCGAAATACCGTGCCAAGAAAGCCAGAGAGCAACGCGGTGACGACGAATGGGAGGGCCTTTCGGCAGAAGAAGGCCAGGAGTCAGATTCTAGTGCCTTGGAAGAAGAAGACGATTCGTCTTCTGAGGAGGACGACGGACCAGCTCAGGGGCTTTTGAAAGACTTCGACCAGCACACGAGCAACGGAAGTGGGCTGTCGAGCCGGGCCGCTGCTTTCTTCAACCAAGATATTTTCAAAGGAATCGCTGAGGCACTGCCGACGACTCAAGCCAATCAAAATGATGCTGTTGACGAAGATGAGGAGATTCGGAACTTGAAGCCTACGACGAAGGTTGGAAAAGAGAAGCAGAAACAGACCAAGAGTAGCCGCTCTGCTTCTCACACGAATGACGGCAAAATCGAAGTTATCCCAGCTGCCGATGAGGAAGATGAGTGGGAAAAAAAGGATACGAAACGCGCAGATGGAAAAATAGGTATGAAACCAAGGACGTTTGCTCCAAAACATTGCACTAATTCAGCCGTTACTAGACATCGATATTATTACTGCCGAGGCTATGACACTGGCACATCAGTTAGCCAGTGGAACAAAGACGAGTCAGGATGTAATCGATGATGGCTTTAACAAGCATGCTTTCCGCGATCGCGACGGACTGCCTGAGTGGTTCATCGAAGATGAATCCAAGCATGACAAGCCCCACAAACCCATCACCAAAGCCGCTGCCCAGGCCATCAAGGAGAAGCTGCGCGCGTTCAACGCCCGACCCATCAAGAAAGTACGGGAAGCAAAGGCGAGAAAGAAGATGAAGGCCGCCCAGAAACTGGAGCGCCTCAAGAAGAAGTCGGATATGCTGGCTGCTGACGAGGGCATGACGGAGAAGGAAAAGGCGGATAGCATCTCCAAGTTGCTCAGCAGAGCGGCACGCAAGAAGCCCAGCCAACCGGCCAGACTGGTCGTAGCGCGCGGTGCGAACAAAGGCATCAAGGGCCGACCCAACGGCGTCAAAGGTCGTTACAGAATTGTTGACTCAAGGATGAAGAAGGAGCTAAGAGCGCAGAAGAGAGTATCGCAAAAGAAGAAGAAATAGAGGCAAGATGTACATAATGATTATGAATATATTTCTCTACTATCATCCTCAAATCAGTGTACGTCGTAGCGAGATTTCGCGGAGAAATGAGGCTGTAGGAAACAGAGGGCCTGTGAAGTTCATGTCGTACCTATGTACCCCAATACTGTTAGCTACCGAGTGTACTGGTGCTGAGAGTTGGCGCAGGCGAAGCGACTCTTACCAGTAATTTACTGCTACAACAAACCCGTCGGGGTCGTTTTCTGCAACTGATTGCGTGACTTTGTGGTACCTAAAAATTTATGTGAGCTCCATTCGAGCGAGTACAAGATCTGAACATACCACATTGCAGGAAGATATAGCATATCGCCTGGTTCGAGCGTAACTCGTACAGGCTGCGCTAAATGTGACAATGGAGTACAATTCTCTTCGGGAATTTCAGGGTCCCAAGTGACAAATGGTACCGGGGTTGCATCTTCATCCAGGCGCAGAGAAAGCTGCCCGTCCGAGCCTCTGGCATACGTTGCGGGCCGAAGAGGCTGTTCATTCATGCAATGATGATGAAGTGGCGAAAGGAGAACAAAGTGCTTCCTACCGCGTATTTGAACGTAAATGTTTTCAAAATTGTCTTTATGCGTCGCTGTTGCTGATTTGGAGTTTCCTATCCACATATTGACGGCTTCAGGTGGTCGTTGGAGGGCTATTCTGGCGAACGGTATATCCCTTTGCGCGTCTCGAGATAAATATGAGTATTCTTGTCGAAGGTTATCATCCTCTTCATTTTAAGTGGAATACATTAGCTCGCGACATAGTCCTGCTTTTGGTCTCTTTGATGAGGTCCATGCAACTTACGCGTTTGCGCATAGCGGACCTCAGCGTCCTGAGGGAAGTCAGGATCTCTCTCCTGACGAATTATGTAATCCAGAAACTCCTCGAATGGCTGAAATTCTTCATGGGGCTTTGCGAAAAGCACATCTCCATGTGCAGGGGACTTGGTGGGAGCATCTGCATTTCTAGAACAAGGCAGTGTAAGCGTCCGAAAAAGATGGCTCACAGGCAAGGTCTTACCCGAATGGCGTTACCGCGACATTGACTGACTGGCCAGCCAATGCTTCGATGAGATAGTCCTTATCCCATTTTTGGAAAGCTTTCCAAGAGGATGCGCCTCCCCGGACAATGAATGGCGTGTTGCGAGCGACATAACGCATAAAGTCCAGAGGGCTCGGTTCGCAGTCGAGTTCGTCGATGACGGAGCTATTCAGCTCTTTGTATGTTGTTATGAGATGCTCCAGTGGGCCTTCTAAAGGTGGAAGCTCTTGTTTTCGGGACATGCTGGTGAAACAGAAAGCCTTGCTGACCAGGGTTCGACTGTTGTTGAGTTTTGAACGTCGCGAAAATCCGGCAGCTTGCCGGCAGTTACAAATAGGCGGGGAAGTCACACTCAGGGGGGGGAATATTTTTCATTGTGGCGCGTATAAATGTTAAACATAAGATAGCCAGACATAACATTCTATATTGTATAAGGGGTTTTTTAACCTTCTACGTAAACTTTAATTTGAAACATTATAGACGGATTTTAAGGGCTTACGCAACGCTTTCAACGTCTTGTAGGTGGCGTGGCTTACGATGCCCTGCACCTCCAAGGGCATAACGCCGTTATAGCGTCCTTGACGCCAACTGAAGCTCGCACCACAGCAGCACTCTTTATGACATCTTATCAGCGCGCCTTGTGCTATGCCCTGATGACGTTACTTTCCCCAGGTCAAATAATGAGACGCTGTAAATTTTCTTAATATTAACATAGAAAAAGTCCTCATCAGCAACCGTACACCTGTCCACACCCCTTGTACGTGCAGCTTCAGCCTCTGGCAAAGGACGCAGCAGGCTAATCAGCGGTGGCTGGTTCAACATGGTACAGGCACTACGAAACAAGGGGGAAAAAAAGCAACGACAGAAAAAGAAAACAAAAACAGGGAACAGGGACACAGAGCGATTGACATGACGCCCCCTGCTTGGCGGTATACTCTTGGAGGTGTTGATTATCAGGAATCAAGTAGGCAGTTAGTTAGTTTGAGGACGGAGTACGGATACGGCCTGTCCCGCCAGATCTTGGCTCCACCACATTTTCCGGTTTCGTCTCTTGTCAACCAAAAGTCAAACCTCGAACTCTCTATTAAATACTCTCATCCACCTTCTCCTGCGCTTCTAGAACCAGCATCTCATCAGTCATCTGAATAAGATGTTTCTCAGTTACATTATCAAGAGATAGGGGCATCGCGAACAACTCCCCGTCTGCCCGCCAACCTGTCAGGCCAGCAACAATCCCTCTTTCGACACAGTGATGCTTCATTCTGCTCAGCTCTACAATCGCAAACTTAGCCCATGTTGCCACAATAATCCCTCAAAAATTCGCAGAAATACTATGATAAGTCTAAGGCAATCATGATATGGTACTTGCTATATCCACTTCGAGGGTAAGAAACCAGCAGCAACCCATCGCCACAGGCACCGCCACAGGCACCGCCATCTACTAAATCACATCACAGCACTACCGAGGCCCCGGCTTTGTCGCCTTCGAATCCTCTTCGTATCGCATTCACTCGTTATGCCAATTACATCGCGCGGCACGTCATTCTAGCGCTCTTGATCTCCGGCATCGTCGCCACCATCTTGATCTATCCCATTCCGTACCTCTTCACCGACGACTTCACGAATGGCGCTTCAAACCTCCCCCACCATGTCTGGACTGTTGCGCAGCCGTTAGGTAGAGGCGCGCCAGTCCTCCCAGATATCGTCATGAGGTCTATATGGGTCCATGGAGACTATATGCAGGCGCTGGATCATGATCTACTGGCGTCCGCCCTCGAGCTACAGGATGCGCTTCTCGGACCAACAGAGAAATTCTCGCCCGCCGCAGCACGAGGGATCTCTTCATCAGTTAGCGACAGCTGGCCCATGCCCGCAAAGAACAGAGATGCAGTTCATATTGTTAACGGACTCACGAATCAGTCTTGGTTCTTTCACTCTCCGCTGCTCTATTGGGACTGCTCGCGCCAGCAAATCCTGGCAGACACGGATCTGATTGCCACTGTCAACGAGAAGAAGACGCAATCTACCTCAGCCAACATCACTCTACGACATTCCATCGTATTTAGCGGTAAGAAGTTCGCAGAGAGACGACTGTTGGCGGCAGATGCCCTCGTCATCACACTTTTATATCTCCGCGAATCCCCGGTTGGCCGTCAGTGGGAACACAATGCGCCACTTCTCACTCAAAAAGCTAAGGACAAGTGGGATATATACCCACCCGACGGGGAAATCGAAAGCAGTCAAGTATACGAATTCCAGTTTCGGCCATTGTCCCTCTACGATGTGATCAGTCTTGCGTTGGCATATGGACTGATGGGGATTTACTTCCTTGCAAGCCTTTCGAAGCTCCGAGCTATCAAATCAAAAGCCGGGCTTACAGTCACAGTCATCACGCAAATCTTGGTATCCATCATGTCAAGCTTGACTGTATGCGCCGTCTTTGACATTGACCTATCTCGCATTCCTCGTGCCGCGTATCCACTGGTGATTTTTGCTATGAGCTTGGAAAACATGTTCAGAATCATCTATGCCGTCATTTTGATGCCTGCTGAAAACAGTTCCAGCAGCCGCGTTGGCTCAGCGTTTGGCCAGACGGCGCACATAGCGCTTGCAAGTACACTGCAAAATGTGGCCATCCTGGCCGGGCTCTCAACAATTGTCTCCCAGGGTGTCGCTGGCTTTTGCATCTTCGCGGCCATTGCCACAATATTTGATTTTTTCTACTTGTCAACATTTTTCCTCTCCGTTTTGAGTGTCGATGTGCGCAGGACTGAGCTACAAGACGAGTTGACGAAGGCGAGCAGGCGGAAACACAACCACGCCTATTGTCAACTGAAGGAGCGGCCATCGTGGATCTCAAATCTTATGAAGGGCAGGGTAGCACTATCAACCAGAATTGCAGGCACCATCGTTATGGTTGGGTTCGTGACGATTGCCCAATGGCACTTTTTTGGACATGTGGGTGTGTGGGAACCTGCTAAGCGACTCTTTGGCACGTCAACATGGCCGTCCTCAGTCGGAGAAGTGGAATCCTCGCCGTTGAAAGATATACATCAGGCGAGGTCCCCCGGATCATGGCTACGCCTCCAAGATCACGAAACTGCTCAAGAGGTCATCAACGCAATCAAGCCGTCGGCCATTAGCTACACCGCCAAAGTATATGACCCTCTGGTCTTTGTGCTCAAGAATTCGGACCGAACGCCGCCACAGCGGAAGAAGAAGTTCCTACCAGCAGCATATGATTTCGTTGATCACCAGTTGGCCGAATTCGTCATTTCAATAGTTCTGGTCGGAGCCTGCCTTCGATTGCTCGCAAGCTATCTACTCTTGGCGGACGAGGAGACGAGGGATGACTCTTCTGACTCTGATGAGAATAGCTCATTATATGTCAGATCATTATCTGGAGGCCATATTTTGGATATTGCGATGATCGCGACTTCATCTGAGGGGCGAATTGTGTCTGCAGGGCTAGACCGAACTATACGAGTGTGGGATGTCCGCTCGAACGGCACAGGCTATGAGCTACCCGGTACGAGACTATTGGACGGACGCGAGCTGTTTCCCGTGCTGGGAATGGCGATGGACGCAGAATCTAAGTGGCTCGCGATCATGTCAATGACGCAAATCCGACTTTGGAGTCTAGTAGAGTACGCTTGGAGCCCACCTATTCCGTTGCAGTCTGGTAGCCATAACCCGGAGGTTTTCTGCTTTCACCCAAGGTCAACCCAACAAAGCCCCAGACTTGTCATTGTGAGAAAAGATGGGACGTTGTTAGATGTGTTCATCTCCGGGAATGATTGCCGGCGCGAGGCAAACGTCTGCGAGGGTTTGCTGCTCACGGCTCGCGCTCTCACATACAAAGGTGCGTCTTTTACATTTCAGCGCGATGTATCTAGTCTGCTAACAGTTGTTGGGTCAGAGTCTTCCACTACGCGGGCGATTCAAATCTTATCGCTATCGCGAAACGGGGGAGCATTCATATCGAGGGAGACGGCGACTGGCTGGAAATACAAGAGCCTGCCGTTGAATGTAGTGAGTGACACGACATTGCACCAGGTAGTGCCACTCTCTCCTCATCCGTTGTTCCTCGTTGGGTCCATCAGCTCTGTCTACCTGGTGAGTGCGAATCACGGCGTGGTGCAGCATGTGTTCGCGACGGAGCCAATGGTGCCGCGGTCTATTCAGTGTGAATACTCCGACAATCGATATAACGTGTCATTGTCTGGAATTGGGTTCAGTTCGTTAACGCTGGGCTACGTCGCAGCAAAAACTGAAGAATGTATCATCACGAGTTATCAGCCTGCTGAGGGGAACGAGGCGATTGCGGCCTGTGCGCCATCAGGCGGTGCTGGAGGAGGATGGTGCACGTGGGGGGAGGCTATTGAGACGAACAAACGGATAAAGGACCCGGGCACGTGGGATGTTGTGAAGGGACGGAGCATCATCGGCGTGCGACAAGAAGCGAAGGGGCCTCGCAACACGAAGCGCGGAGACCAGCAGCACAGACGATCGGCGGCCGCCGCACGTGGGAAGCTCGGAGCAGCTACCAGGTGGCAGGCGTGGACGGCCGCCACGGACGAGCACCTGGATGCGGATGAGGTGCGGCCGCTGCACAGCAACGAGCCCGGCTCGGAGGAGTTCTTGGTGGTTCCGGGGCTGGGGCCCAAGGCGAAAATCGGGGTGCGGTCGGCCGCGTTTTGCCTGGGCAACACTATCAAGGTGGTGTCCGCGGGCGGGCCGGAGAGATACCAAGGCGACGACGATACGGCGGCCGAAACGATGCTGGCAAAGGATGGGAGACGCGGGCGACACGGCGGCTCGGTACGAGGGAGACACTAGCGGTTGGAGGTTTATCTGGGGATATGCATAGGGAGGGAAGTAGAAGCGGAAGCTATAGTGAGGATGCAGGAGACGCCGCGTGGCGCATTATGCGACGGCTTTTGCAGACTTGTACGACGTCAACTAGTTAGCTGTTATAGAAAAGAATTTCCAGGGGTATTCTTGTATAAGTTACACTGACAATATGAGATTGAAGGACCATGGGTTGAGTGAGTGTAGACCCATCAACCCAGCTGGCTTTCCTTCACCGCTAGAACGCGAGTTAGAAAGTTTGGACCCCCCCCCCCCCCCCGCTTCTAGTCCCACAGATGACGGAGCAGGAGGCTGCTGAGTGCATTCAAGCCTGTAGGGGCAGCGGGATATGGAAAGTGGTGGGAGGATGTGCTGGACAACGGGGTTGGGAGGTATCGGCGGTATTAGGGTACAGGGCACGGATGGAGCCCAAGTTAATTGAAACTAGAACTGACGTACAAGTGCTACCCTATCTGGTTTCGGTTCCGGTTCCAATTCCAACTTGCAATTATACAGTGGCTGGTGTTATGGTGCCATCAGCAGCAGCCTTGATTATTTAGTAGTGGCCGCTCAAACGGGCCTCCTGCCGGGCGGGCCTCCTTCCTTGAGTTAGCAGGTCGGGCCCTTCCTTGGCCAATACGCTCTTCCTCACACACTCCTGCGACGATCCGCCTCACACACTCCATCCTGCCCGTCCTTGTCCTGCATTTTGCACCGCCTTGGGGAAGCTGTTTACCGGCTATTATGCCCCCAGCGCTTCCAGGCCCTTTCTTCTCCAGCCAGCTCCAGCTGCCGGCCTACTTTTCCCCGGCGCCGCTGCTGCTCTGACGTGTCCGTCTGCCCATCGCCAACGCCAAACACGCCCGCCACCCAGCCTCCCCCATTATCTTTGCCTACTTACCTTACGAGGCTGCGCGCGCGCGCATCATCTTGGCCACAACGCGTCGGATCAAATTGGGTCGAATCATCAAACCGGGGACAGAATCGACTTGCCGAACCACAGCACACACTGATTGTACTGCGTATTGCACTATCCGGCCGTGTGCGAGCCATGACCCTCGGCGAGTTGTTTGTGTCACCGCCGATTCCATTATGACTGCCGTCGTAGAAATTCTTCAGCACCAAGGTGAGTGAGTCCGCGACGTTTCACGCACCACTGCGTCTCCTTTTTTTATTCCTTATACATTGTTGTTTTCACCTCTGTTAAAATCTGCATTAACGAACCATTTCAATTGTCACAATCAACCAACGCAACGCGCAATTGCGTCTCGCCATTTTGCCAATCGGCCTGACACGCTTCCCAACAAACGCACACGCTCTCTCTTCCTTCCTACACACCCTCTGTCGCCTCATTCCTCATCAGTTGCTTTGCCACGTCCCCCAGAATCTCCCCAAGACCCAATCACGGCCCGCCAACTGTCGCTCTTCTCCTGCATCTCTCGCCTCTCTAGCGCCGCATGGCCCAGGGCTCGGGCCGCACCTATTGGCCTCAAACAGGCCCAACTGTGGGAACGCCGACCTCGTTGAGCTTCCTCAAACCACCCCTGCTCCTCTCTCTTGCATGCCCTCAATCTTATTGCCCATTGCCATTGCCATTGTCAGTCTGTTAATAAATAACCCTTCTTCTCCAGTGCCTCCTGGCCCGGCCCTCGCCGGCTCGCTTGACCAGCCGTCGCACCACCACCAAGCTCAGGCAAACTCGGCCACTCGCCTGCCGGAACAGCTTGTATCGGGCCTCACAACCTACTGGATGGCGTCTTCCGAGGTTGATCAAAAGTTTCTTGGCAGACTCGCCAGAGCCGTCGAGCACGATAACCCCTTACTTTCCTCCATGCTCTTCAAGATCCTCGGCCTCTCCCTCAACCTTGCCGAGCAACTCGTCGCCGCCAAGAAGCAGCGCAAACCTACACCCGTCACATCACCGCTCTTTCTCCGGCGCATTCTGCACATTCTCTGGCTCTCGCGTGAGGGTCTTGTCATGCTCGAGCAATACGTCATCCCCATGGTTGGCAATTACGTCGAGCTCAAGGTCCTAGCTTACAAGCTGCGCGCGAGCTTCCACCACATATTCGTTCTCTTCCACAACTCACCCCCCGTCTCTACAATCGGCAGCTGGACCCCCGAAGCGATATCTGCCGCCTTTGCGCCAATCTACAAGGACGGCCGTGGGCCGCTCGGTGTCGACGGCGACCCCATCTCTCGGTCGTCTTCTGTCCAGCCCACGCATGCCCTCGAAGGCGGACCTGTCGGGCCACCACCCGGCTTTGAGACGCAAGTCGCGCTCCTCCCTCCATCAGTTCTGATGCCTGAGCAGGACTTCCTGCCCACGGCACAGAAATACTTTCGTGAAGCCATGGACCTGGCCGACCAGCTGCTCTGGGGCTCACATTCGCTGCGGCTCTCCGTTAAAACCGAATACGCCGCCTTTCTATATGAGTGCGTCCACGACGCCGAATCGAGTCGACAGCTCGCCAAGAAGACGGTTGCCGAGGTCTACGATGCAACCGAGGGCATGGACGACGACATGTTCCGCGACGCCTGCGAGCTGGTCACGGTGCTCGGCAAGATGATGAAGAGGGGACTGGTAAGGACTACCAGCTCCGCTGCCAAAGGGAAACGTGTCGACGTGAACCCTCCCACCTCACCGATTGTGAGGTCAGCTCCAGGAATGGAGAATGCGATATGAACCTTTCCCATCCACAATCTGATTGATCTACACTTTTCCCTTGTACTGCACATCACCACGACACATCTACCACTGGTCCGACATCCTGCTTCCGTGTATTTGTTTTACTATCGAGCGTTGAAAGGAGTTTATTGTTTGGACATGAAAATACAGGCGACGCGGCGTTTTTTGGCGAAGTGGCACTATCTATATGCCGGGCTCAAAGCTTTGAGCATTGTCTCGGAGGGTATATACCACGTACAGCTCTGTTCAATATAATGTGTATAAATCGGATGATAGACTATAGCGAATTGGAAAAAGATCTAAGTACAAGATACGGGTAGCAACACCGCTCCTAGTCACTAATCGCTGCGTAAGCTCTTCCAGACCGCCAATTGAAGCGATATGAGGATATCTTCATTCAATCTTCAAGCGATACAACGTTCAACTTTCGTCAACAACCCCCCCCTCGAAAGGATAATAACCTCAAGCCGAAATCAAGATCAATCTTGAAAATCCCTCCTGCTCTCAATCCCGCACACCATCCAACCAACCCTCCACGTCCACCACACCCCCCGCATACCCCTCCGCCAGCTTCCTCCTCAGCACCTCGAGCGGCACCATGCGGCCCGTCGCGTTATAAAACCGCGCCTGCGTGTCGAGCCACCTCCCCGCGCCGCGGCCGCGCGCATCCGCCGTCTCGAGTGCGCGGCAGTCCTCGGCGGAGAAGTGCGCGTCCGGTACCAGACGCAGCACCGCCACCCCCGCCGCCGCCGACGGGAACAGATGCCGGCCGATGTGCTCGTGCCAGTACCTTCGCTGCCGCTCGTGCTCGCTGTGTTCGCGCGACGAGGTGGAGGAGCCGCCGTCTGCCGCGCCCTGCTTGTCGCCGTCCTCGGCGGCGGCGGCGGCGGCGGCGGCGGCGTTCTTGGTGTCGTCGGGTTCTTTCTTCCCGGATTTAGCGTCGGGTTTCGCTTCCTTCGTTGCTGACGCTTCTCCGTCCGCGGCGGCCCCGTCCGTTGGCGCCTCCTCCGGCTTCTCCGGCTTCTGGTCCCTGATTGCCTTCCACCGGCTCTTGCACTCGTTCTTGGTGCGGTTCAAGCTCCGGCCAATGTCTTCCCAGCTCAGGCCGTCGCTGGCCTCCTTCATGGACCGGAGCAGCGCGTCCTCCGAGAGCGACCACCCGGACCGGTCATCTCCCATTTTTTTCTCCTTCTCCTCTCTGGACTTTCCCTCTTTTGGCGTCTCCTTGCTGCCGCCGCTGCTTTCTGCCTTTTCGTCCTTGGAGGAAGCTTTCAATGGGGTCGCGTCGGTGGACGACTTGGCTGCGTTGCTGTCTGATTCCTCGGACGCCGACGCCGACTCAGACTCCAATGCGCCACTTTTTGACTTAAGACAGCAGTCGCTTGCTTTGCAAGATGAGCTTTCGGAGCAGCGCAAGGACTGCTCGTCCGAGCTCCCCGAGCAGCTCGAGCCCTCTGGCTGACTCTTTTTCAAGCAGGCCTGCTTCGCCAAACACCCCTCCTTGTCTGAACTACTGTCCGGTGTGTTTTTGTCGCTGGAGCTGGATGCATTGCTCGACGCTTCTGAACAGGATCCCGATGCGTCGCAGTCGCCCTTCTTGCAGCTTGGTGAGTCTGAGCATGCATTGGAATCGGCTTCTTCTGAAGCCTCTTCTGCCATCTCCGTCACCAAGCTAGAGACCCTTTTTTTCAAACGAGCCAGCGTGGTTGTTTATCTGAGTAAATTTGGAGGGGAAAGTGTTTCCGGTGAAATGACTTGGACACCGCTTGATCGTTCACACGATGTTCACGATCTGTTTGCTCTCACTTGGCACAATCTCTCAATTGGCGCTCTCGCTACAAATGCCACACTCGCTGCTCAAATGCTATTACAATTTCAACGTGATATAGACTATGATAAAACGTTTCAGACCCTCGGTTTTAGTTATTTCATCATTGTCACAACCTTCTCAGATATTATACAGTCAACTTACACGCCGCCTGCCGGCTGAGTAATCTAGCCTACCTATGGACGCATCAAGGACCAATTGCCGCACGCCGATTGCGGCTTGATTGACCAACCACACCTGCGGCATTCATAATCATACCGAATCTTCTGCACCAGATTCACTTAAGATATTCAGGTCATCGGGGCTTCAGCAGTAGCACAATGTCCTCTTCGCTTCCACAATTGCCCGCCGAGTTTGTGCAGGCCATCGAGCTCATTGACCTTGCACATGCACAAGATGAGCGCGAGGCCAAGAATACCGGCGACGAAAAGGCTCCATTTGAGCTGCACTACGCGCGAAAAATGACTTCATGGCTGGCCGTCCGCTGTCCAGAAGCGTCGCCCATTTTGCAAGTCGCATGTCGTGCGCAACACTTTCGACGGTACGACTCCTCCAAGTTGCCCACGTTGATGATCAAGCCCTCTCCCACCCCCCCCCGGCCACCACAGACACACTCGCCGGCAAATTTTGCTGAAAACTGACCATGCTCTACAGCTGGGAGATTCCACGGGACTCGTTCCCCATGACTCGTCCGGGGTACCTGACCTGGCGCGCAAAGCAAAAGGCGCAAGCCGCCTCCCACGTCGCGGAGCTCCTCGGCTCCCCCTCCATTGTGCCCGCCATCCCCGAGGCGGACCGCGCGCGCGTCGCCGCGCTCATCCGCAAGGAGCGCCTCGATGCGGACCCCGAGGCACAGGCGCTTGAGGACGTGGCCTGCCTCGTCTTCCTCGACGACCAGTTCGACGACTTTGAGCGCCGCGAGGACGTCGACGAGGCCAAGATGGTCGGCATCCTGCGCAAGACCTGGGGCAAGATGAGCCCCCGCGGCAGGGAGATTGCGCTGGGCATGAACCTGAGCGACAGGGCCAAGACACTGATTGGGAAGGCGTTGGCGGGCGAGGAGGGTTCTTGATTCCCAGCGCCTGCATGTCGGGAAGATGTACTATACCCTGAGGGTAGCACCAATCTAGTCCTGTGTCAAATACCTCGATCATTCGCTATGCGGTTGGCAATTCGGAGAGCTGTGGCTCGGAAGTAATGATTCGTCGCCCCGAAGACGTTTGTCTCGGCTCGTACCTGTCACGACTTGGCGATGTGACTTCGGATTTCGTGACTCTGGTTTTTCGGTATATTATTAACCAAACGAGGAGCATTAGTAGTAAAAAAGCAGCTAACGAGTTAGTCTTGAAGTAGCCAACCTGCAACACCTCGTATGGCTACTTACCAACGCTGCCAATCGATATGCCGATGACTGTAGACGATGAAAGAGGGCCCGCCTTGACGGGGTAGTAGTACTCGGAACTATGTGTGCTAGTGGTCTCTGGAGCTTTTTGACTGGACAGTTTTGTTGTCGGAACGAATGATGTCGAGACTTCGGTAGCCGTTGTGTGTCGAAAAACGGTCTCGGTCGATTTGTCCGTGTCACAGATGTACAAAGAATACCCTTTCAACTCGCCGTCATCGTCAATGATGTCGGTCTTACAGTACGGAGCCACTGTATTCGAGCTGCACTTGATAAGGTCAGAGAAATTTCCAGATAGCCTTTGTCACGGGATGTTTGCAGGGCGTACCAGACTAGATCTAACCCATCAATCTTGTCCTCCTCGAGGGATTGCGTTCTGTCCAAGCAGCGAGTGGATAGCTGACACAGACCATTCTGATGAAGCGAGCAACAGCCAAGGAGCATTCGGTTTGGATCTCGGGCGCATCGCTGTCCCTGGTAGCAAACGAGGGGAAATGCTGAATTCCCAGTCAGCGACTACTATCGCCCGTATTTGGCAGTTGAGAAGCTCACAGGAATCTCCGGATATGAAGCCGCACGTTTCAAAGGCTGTAGGCAGAAACATGGGGGACACTGGCGTCGCGAGTGCCGCGAGGCTGAGGCGGTTGGCAGCGTTTGATGGCGAAGTTGTTGCGGCCATTTTACACAGATGTAGGTTGCTGCTATTAATGATTTCCCTTGATTCTAGTTTTCTGGCAGCTTGAGGACTAGGAATTCGGGTTGATTGCTTAGAATTAGAGTTGTACGGGAGGGACACGGCAAACGCGCAAACAAACAAGTTTGGGAGGCCGGCAGTTGCCAGTCGAGTGTTTGTCCGGCAGCCCGAATTAGGAAAGACATTCTACGACTCAGGAATGACGTGGTGCTATTTTGGCATCAAACTTTACCTACTCTGCATCGATTCCAGGTTCATTGAGAGGCATTCATCCATTTCCAGATCCATCTTGATGCGTATAAGTCAGCCCTGCCCTGGCTAGGGAGTTGTCCGGGACTTTAAGCCACTTCCGCGGTGCGATATCCGAGACACGAGCTGCTCTTGTTTGTAACTCAAGTCTTGGGAGATCTAGACTGCGAGGAAAAGTACCAGGTTAACTCACCTAGAAACAATGAAACTGGGACAGCAAGAGTCTATCCGTACCCTGGAGATAGATGCGATCTGTTCAACGTGGAGGAAAAGTTCTGAGGAAAGCATTCTTTGTACAGTGCCCTTTTATTCTCTACAATTATCGTGCATTACAGTTAATTTAAAATCAAACTATAATGATAAGTTAAATCATGAAAGACACATGTTTCATCTTGGCAATATTTTGGCCCCGAAGCTGAATTGGAACAAGACTGCGGAGTAGGCTCAAAGGCTCTTGTTGCAAGCAGAGCTGAAAGATACGCATAAACCCCAAATGTATCCAGTTCTACATTATCAAAGAGCAGATCGATGTCGCTAGCATCGCAACACTAGACAGATCATCGTCGTCGGAGCCGTGAGTCGGGTGGCCAGGTCGGACACTACGGGCACTAACAATGGCGCCAGGGCCGAAGAAGGTCGGGCGGCGGGGCCAGTCAGCGTGGATCAGGTCATTTTGGAACAGCAATATGAATTTGGAGGTATACTGATTCATCGGAGAAACATTGTGCGTTGTCGGTATTTGGAAGGCGTGTATGGCTCGTGAGTGTGTGCGTGACGTGTATCTGTATCTCTATCCTGGCGGAGCTGCCGCTGGTGTCCTCGGAGCAAACCTTGCTTCAGCCAGAGCACGCGGAGACGGAGTTGAACTGAACCAGGTTTGTCTTGTAGAAAGAAAAACAGGTCAACTCGTCTTGGTAGGATGACGTGGAGGGGACAAGGTGTTATCAAGCCTGGCTTTCTTAATCAGTCGCACACACGCAAGACCTCCCGAGAGATTTCGCTGAGACCACCCGCTGCCAGCCTTCTGCGTGTTGTCCTGTGATGGATGTTACCTGGCCCAGCACGTTTATCCACCAACAATCCCTGCGCAGCGCGACCAAGGACAAGGGGGGGGGAGCCTTGAAGAGACGTTCACTAGCGCACCGCCACTTATCGCAGGATGCGAGATTCTGCAGGCCAAAAACGACTCTTGACTGGACAGGGTCGAACGGGCTCAGGAAGTCCAGGGACCTCCAGCTGAGCTGGTGCGGGGAGCCACATCACAAGACGGACTCTCATTCCAAGGCCTCCCAGTGGACCGGATTGACACCGGGGTTGTCGGGCAAGGTGAGTGTGTTACGTCGCGTTCTGACGAATCCAGAGACAGCCATATGGATCGCAAGCCCGCATGTCACAGAGGCGCCGCCGGTTCGCCGGCGACGCCGAGGCTGAGCGTTACGACATCACGAGCCGTCTTGACGAGGCCGGGGAGGAGAGGAGAGGAGAGCGGAGGAGAGCGGAGGGAACTGACTGGGCTGTTGCGAGCGGGGTTGAGAGCTGACGGATCGGCGAGAGGGAAGACGAAGCCGTGTTAACCCCAGCCTGACAACTCGGCCCGGGGAGGGAGTAATAAAATGAATGAGAGCGATGGGCGACTAAGTGATGAGTGATGAATGGGGATAAATGGTGGTACTAACGTTAGCGACGGACGCCGTCCCTCTAGCGGCGGCTTCCGACGACCAAGCTGCTGGGTCCAAGGCCTGCCTAAAAGGGACCAGAGGCTTGGGACTTGCTTAGCGAGGTCGAACTGGTCAAATAATAATTCAGTGCTCAGTTGCCACATGCTAGCTATTTAATCACGCTGTGGAACCTGACTATTGCGAGGCGTTCATGCAAGGCTGGGAGATTGAAGCTGTTCTATCCTGAGTGTCGGGTAGCCCTTTTTGACCCTCCGCTTCCTACATAGGTACATAGGAGTTGTTTCAAACCCCTAATTCTGTTTATTCTTAATTTTTTCCACAAAGAAAATAGTACATTTCTCATTTACCGATGCTAACTCACTCTCTTGATAAGAAGCAGCACGGGCGGGCAAATGCCATCACCAACAGATGATATGCTAGTCACGCCTGCGAGTGCAATGCAGCAGCATGTTGCGTCACATAACTAGTTCGTAGTACTTCCGGGACCAAGAGAATATCAATGATGACCAGCGAGTCTTGTGATCCGCGGCAGGGTCAGTGCCTGCAGAAATGCCACCCCCGGTCAGCAGCAGGCCCGGGGGAGGGTTGCAGCTTGTCTCGGCTTTCTACGAATAGACTTGAGATGGACAGAAAAAAGAAGAAAAAAAATCCGACGGACAAAAGAAGGCGTATGTGCATCCGTACACACCACACAGATGGCGGGGGGGGGCCAGCGGACGAATACTCTCCTGATCCCTCTACAACCGAAGCCGCTGCGGTTGATGCGGCATCGTGAAAACCCCCAATAATGCCATTGATTCGCTGTCGTCTATTTCTAACAAGCCAAAGTCCAACGGTCGATAGAAAAGGGCACAATATGTTGCCTTTGGGCCGCCGCCACCACAACCCAGCCCGTCCCTCCACCCTTGCTCAACACGGTCAGTCGACCAGTCACATTTTCCTTTTGGGCAAGATCGCAGCATTGCAACTCGTTCACGCCAATCACTAGACAAATCACTAGGCAAGGCTTCGGAAACTTGCCGCTGGCTGTCAGGTGGGGGGGCAGCCATGTCCGTGTATGGGTTCTGGATGTAGGTCTTAATTTGTCTAGGGCGCGTCGACCATTGGCAACGGCAACATTTGGGTTCCAGAAGGGGAGTTTTGAACCGGTGGCGCGACCCTGCACGGGAAGCACTGATGAGCAAGTTAAAAAAGCAACTGGGACAAGAAAAGGCGGCAACTCCGCATGTCTCGCCTGGAGAAGCCATTGCAGACTCTGCCGGCTGCGCGTCGAAGCCGTCATCGTGCCGGAGAACAAGTCGCTGATGAAACGGACGTGCATGGGCTCAGCTTGAAATGCTTGCCGTCTTTTTAAGCATGCAGGAAGAGTTGGAAGATATCTCGCTTTGTCGTAAGTGACCAAGCTCTTTCCCCATAACCAGTTGAACCAAGTCCCAGCAAGGGAACTCACTCACCGCAGTTCGCTCGACTTGACTATTCTTAGCATCGCCTGCGGAATCGGAACAAAAAAAAAAAGGGCAATAACCGTTTTGATAAAAGCTGGCCCGAAGCCTCCATCTCATATTCCCTTTTCTGTAACGGCATGTGGGCCGCCACACAATCTACCTATGTAGCATGTACGTACGTACACGTCCGTTCCGAATTGTCTCATCCCAGGTTGACAAGGATCGGACAGCCATGCTTTCTGGTCACCCTCCGCCGGAGAATGCGCAAGTCAAGACACACACTTGGCTTAAAAGAGGAATGACCAATGAACGACCAGACCAGGCATTGAGATCGATCTGATTTCCCTTTTCCCATCAGCCGCTGAGCCCGGAGGCCCAGTAGTAGTTCTTGGCCATTAGCTGTGGGCTACCGACCAAGCGTAAAAGAAGCGCAGAGCTAGCAGACACGACGCCTCTTGACACACACGTTTTTGAAGCTGCCCACATACACGGAGGCGTGGCGGAAGCAGGCCCGTCCCAATATAGATTAGAATAGCTTGTTTTCTCTTGTTGATGGCAAGGACAGGCCACGGGCCTACGACACCCCTCCCCTCGTCACCTCTTCCCCCCACCTGCCGCCCCCCGCTGTTGCGAGAGACGCATGTGCTTTCTTTTCTAAACAATTGAGAGCTGGAGCCTTGTGGTGGCGGCTCATGGAGCAGCTGGCTGATGCACCGTGAAGCGCCTTGGTGGCGGGTGTGGTCAAAGTATATCAGGAACTTAACCCCAACCCTCCCATCGCCTCCCGACCGGCCTCTTCTAATACACTATAGCAGTTGGTGTGTGCGAATATCTCGGCAGTTTCTATTCAATTCACCTCAGATATCATTGATATCACATCTACTTTATTGGCCCGGGTTCTTCCATGCGCGATACCGAACTTGTCCTGTCCAGCCCACTACAGTCTAGACCTTCATCGCTCGCTTTCCATGTTCACTAAAGACTACTCGAAAAAGTGTATGCGCTGAAATAACAAATTCGCTATTGCAGTGGGGTCGTCCAACTTATACGAAGCTACCTACTTGTCACCTAATTGCCTCGTTGTGCATTCGACGATAACCTCGGTTTCTCGACTGGCACTTGCTTCCTCGCCTCCCGATAACGCTCAGTCCTCGTCTGGGAGCATGACAATACTCTCATACGACGGCGAACGGACTTCAGTCATCTCGCAAATACGATAAATATACGCAAAGCAAACAGAGACTCCAACCAGCTGGGTTCATCTACAGTACCAATGCCTTTTCAGCACGTAAGCATTAAGTCTCGAAACCGTCGCTCTTTCAATATCAAGCAATCATGCTAACCTGCGAACCCCCCCCTTCTATATAGCCATTTCAAGAATCTCAGTTTGACCTCTTCGACTGGTACCCCAAGTTCCGCGAGTGCCAGTCGTACTTCATCCAACACGCCCAATACACCGGCCCTGTGCAGACCGTCGCGGCCAAGGTCAACATCCTTCTGCCCTTCCAAAAGGCCCAGCGCCGGCTCGGCGCCGGTGCGCCCCCCGACGGGCCCCCGAACAGCCCCCTAACCGACCCGGCCACCGCCGCCGAGCCGCTGGTGCCGTACGTCCGGCGTCTCGTCGCCACCGGCTTCGACACTCCCGCCGTCATGTTCGAGTTCTTCGGCGACGAGTGGACCGACGGCGTCGGTCCCGTGCACCAGGCCGAGCGCCGCAACTTCCTCTTCGCCGCCAAGTCGGAGAACTGGGCCACCGTCAAGGCCAGCTACGACATGGACGCCGGCCAGCTCGCGCCCTTCCTCCGCCCGCTGCAGGGCGCCACCGAGCGCGAGATCCGCGCCGCCGAGCACAGCTGGAGCGAGTGGCTCGCCATGCAGGACTGGATGATCGGCCCGCGCGCGCCGCCCGCCGACACCGGCGCCGGCGGCGAGGCCAAGTGAGAGAATAGGATCTCGAACTCCGCCGTCGTTGTCAACCGAGGGGACTGACTGCGTCGTGCTTTTGAGTATACAATATCAACAACAAGAGGAGGTGTAGGAGACGACTACTCGGGTTGGCCAGACAAGTTAGGTGGACAAGATTGGCATTTATGACTTCATCTGCATAGACTCACAACGGGTTCATTGGTGACATCTCAGCAACGTGCACCTTGGCCTTGACGGTCAGACAGCAGAATATGGACCACAACGAAGGGAATCAACGATTATCATGTTGAATAACGCGACTCCGACAGAGTTTCGCCTTTTGACTAGAAAGAAGCCATGACTAGCTATACGTACAACGCCAGCCCCATGAAGCTGCACCTCTTCTTCCACAGCCAGGAGAGAAGGGTTCTGACATCAAGAGAGAGTTACAAAAGAACAAGATCCACCACCATTATGCGCCTCTGACGCCAGATTGAAGAAAAAGAGACCCCCCCCCCAAAAAAAGAAATATAAACTCTAAAATGCTGTTTGTTACCCTTTCGTGCGTTTGCCTTGTTTTCACTGCTCCGGCCGACCAATTGTTGTTGAAGACGAGATGAAAAGAAAACCAGCGAGGGAAAATGAAAAGACCAACAACACTTGCACCGGAAATGTGATCAAGATCGAACAGGTGGAGGAGAAAAGAGAAAAAATGCGTGTTTTTTGGTCGCCGTATTTTGCCGCCCCAGGAATCCCCAGCCTGTATTACATGCCGTTCCCTTGCCTTTGTTCAGATCCTGATAAACGCCCGCTGAAACACTCAATAGAAAAGACTCACGTCGGGGGCCAAAACGTCCCTTGTCCGTAGTAGTTATTTCCAAATTGCAGATTACCTCTCTTGGTATATGCCTCTGCACACCACCCCCATTCTCTTATTAAAACAATAAGATGCTTGCGACCCTTCCTGAGGGGCGATTTGTAAAGTACAGTCTTGCAGCTACCCGTCCTGGACTAAGTTGCTGCAGGAAAAGAAAAAGCAAAGAGACTGCGCGCGACTAGTTAAGGAATCCCTTGCATGCTGCAGTGCCACACAGACACGGGATCCGATCCAGACTGCCGATTTCACGCTCGAACTTGTAATCGTATGTCAATTCTTCGTCTAGACCCATCTTGTTAGCAAACCTAATCTGGTTGAACACGTCAATTGACTTACTCATTGTAATGTCACGAAGTGCGTAAATGACGATACGCTTGCTGCCCTCGACTTTGATAATCTTGGCAGTGCAGTTCGGCATACAGCTGTGGTTGATGAAGCGTGCGATGCCACCCTTCTTGGTCGCGTCAATGACAGTGTTCTCGTCGATGCGGAACAAATAACTGCTGCCGATGCCGCTCTTGAGGTAGCGATTCTCTCGAATCTCCGAGATCTGCTGGCGCACTTCTTCGCCCACGTACTCGATAATCATGTCATCCTTGTGGATGTCTTCCATGGTGTACAGGCCCCAGTTGTGGATAGCAGACCTGGCAAACTTGACAGGCTTCTTCCGTTTCTTAAGCTGGTTGAACTTGAACACATCAGAGTCTTGCCCAAGCGTCTTCTTCTGGTCATTCAGGTCCGCGACGTATCGGCGATTGGTTGCTCGGTTGGCTCTCGAGTTGCCCTTGGCGATGAGCTTCTCCGCGGCGATCTTGGAGGCCTCAACCGAATTAGCGGTAGAGTCTTTGCCATTCTTGACGCGAGCCGCCCGCTCTTCCCGCACTTTTTGGACCTTGATGTGGTGAGGCAGATACTTGGACTTTTCCGAGTTGAGAATCTTCTTGACGCCCTCTGTTCGTGCACAGCCCGTAGCATTCGGAACATAGTACCCGCTGATGAATACTGGTTTGTTGACAGTCGGCCCTCCGGCATTAAGTTCTCGGATGCGCTGTCTCTGCCAGAGCCAGAGATCGGCGTTCCCAACTTCAGCAGTATGGAACTTCCTTCCTAACTTTGCGAGATCAGGAGCGTCCCTGGCACCGAAACGTAAAATACCGAGTGCCGAAATATCAGGCTTGAAACCATCCGGCAGGGGAAGCGCTTTTGACAGTGGTTCTGTCGAAAACAGGCGCTCGTCGTATTTCTGTGGTTCCGTTGGCGCTGGAGTAGCCTTTTTGGACAGAGTTTGAACCTCGGGCGTTTCTTCGTCTTCTGCATCCGGAGACCACTTCTCTTGCTCATCCAATGCCTGCTTTGCAATGGCTGACTTGCCGGGTTTCTTCTTTGCGCCTTTGGGAACACTTGAAAGAGGCGTTTGCGATCTGGAAAGACAGCTGTCATTATCATCAGCCACATCGGCTTCAGCGCCGATGTCTTCAGATAGATCCATCTTGGCATCTTCGAATTTGGCCTCTAATGAGTCCTCCTCTAGCTTCTTTTGGCGTTTCGATACGATGTCGGCAGCTGACACAAGCTTCCGCTTCTTGGAAAAAGATTTCTCGACAACTGCCAGGCTGGCTTCCGTCATAGAATCGTCCTCACCAGGAGCCCAAATGTCTTCATCCGTGCTCATGCGGCTCTGTGGGCGGGAAACGCTCCCCTCAGCTTCGGCTGCCGCGAGAGTCTTTGCATCAGTATCATCATCTGACTCAAAGTCGCTGTCGAAGCTTTTGAGGCGGTGGTGCAAGGATCGAAACGCTGGCCGGGAAACAGAGGCTCGCTTCCGCGAGAATGGATCAACAAAAGTGCTGCGATGCGCGGTACCTTTGCCCTTGGATTTGCGAATCTTGGGCAATGACTTGACTTCAAATCGTCCAGTTCTCCGCTCAATAGGGTCTGCACGCGAGTTCGGGGTTCCCATTCTCGAGGTATCGAACGCATCTGTCATAGCGGCATCATCTTCCTCTTCAGTCACGTCAATGTTGAGCTGACGGCGCTTCGCGGCATGATTGGCTGGATTGAGGAAGTCAGAAAGTGAGGGAGCAGCAACTTGCGTTCGGATGTTTCGAATCAAATGTTCCATCATCTCTCGCTGCACAACCTGGACGGCCTCCATGACAGGATCAAAGTTCTTAGCTCTCTGTTTCCTCTCTTCTTCAATGTCGGCTTCGTTCTCTCGTCGACGTCGGACGGCATCTTCTTCGGCTTTGAGCTCTTGCACCCGGCGGCTGTTGCGCTCAGGGCTCGGGCTCCTTTTGCGATCCACAGGCGTTGGGGCTTTCGTTCTCGGTAAGCATAGTTGCATAGACATGTTGTAAGTGAAGAACTCCGTGTGATTAACAGCTCGAAAACAACGCTCGGCCTCCATCTTCCCAGTGAAGGAATTCTTGAAAATAACGTAATAGCCAGTCTTGTCAATCCGAATGTCTTCGAATGCGTAGTTCTTTAAACGCTTTTTCATGTGTGGTAAAATGCTCGTGAGTAATGGAACACTTTGAGAATCAATGAAGATATAAGGTTCGTCCGTAAGCTGAGAAGATATGTCCTTCGATTCGACGGCAACCGGGGGGCGAGTTATAGGCGCAGGAGGTGGTACTTGTGTCACCGGTGGCTGCGGAGGTCGGGAGATAACCGGCCCTTTTGGGCCTGTCGGCGGTGGTCGAGCAAAGGAGCCCATGGATGTGTTATGATCTGCGGATGATTTTGCGGCGAGTGCAGCTTGTGTTGATTTTTCCCTCTCCTGTTTCTCTCGTTCGCGGCGTAGGTGACTCTCAAGCATTTTACGGCTTCTTCTCCCCTCGGGGTCATATTCAACCTTGACCATTTCAGAGTCAACTTTGATCCCCCTTGCCTGCACGGCTCGCCGCGCCGCCTCGATGGCGGTTATTGGGGGTCGATCGGCTCGCTTGGAGTCACGGTAACGGATCGTAGCAAAGCCTAGGTAGCTGCCAGTTTCAGGGTGCATTTTATTGCTACTCTCGGCAATGTCGCCAAATGTAGCAAAGATGGCTGTTACTTTGTTGAAAGGAATCAGCGGGTTATATCTTGTAACGACAATTTGTGTTGGAGGGCCCGGCCCGATAGTCGTCTTTGGATCATATGGGTATGGTTTCAAATTTTCCAGAGCTTGGGAGAAGCGCGATCGTGGTAGATAGAAGTCGGTATTGATATACGCCAAACGGCCGCCTTTCGCTAGGCGCGGATCTTGGGGTGGAGGCGCTTCATCGAGTCCGAATTCCTTGTAGACAGGCTTCGCCGTCTTACTGACGCTCTTGTTGCGCAAGCGGTCGAGTATTGGGTCCGCTATGCACCTTCTACCCTTCACGGAAGGCCCAGGCTCTCGTGCTACCTCACGCTCAATAGCCAGCATGTTGCTAGGCGTAGAATGATGTATTGACCCAGTTCCATTTGTAGATTTCTCAGAATTTGGAGCCATCGACCCTTGCAGAAGCGATGCTGTCGAATTGGAATGATGAAGAGGCGATGAGATGGAGGGTTGATGAGAGGCACGAGAGATGCTAGAGGTCGATAGCCGGACCGCAGCAGTGCTGAAAATTGACGAGGATGAGCTTGCATGTGAGCTGTTAGAGTCGACGGTGCTCGGCATATCACCGAGCGAGGAGTCTTCATCGCCCTGGTGTGTAGGCATCGCGCCGCGACCGTTGACTTGCGGCCGCGCGAGAGAGTCCGAACCGATCTCTTGCGTTGCGGGACTGGATGTGGATGAATCGGCATCGCCTGTTGTTTGCCTTATTCTATCACGATCATTCCGGCCTTGCGCCTCGGCTCTGACCTTGGGAGCATTGGGAAAGAATTGCGCGAAGCTCACGCCTGGTGGCGGGCGTGTCATCGTGCCGATGCGCTCCTGCTATCTTTTATGGCGTGCTTCGATCATGATACCGCGGAAAGAGGGGAGATGATCGGGGACGACAATTGCGTAGGGTTCTTGCAGGGAGGGTTTTTGATGCGCACACGTATGTTGAGTTCACGCGACCGCCTGGGTGGAAAGAAAGCCTGAGAGGCCGCGAGGGGGGCAGTGACTTTGGAGCGCGGGCACAGGCGGCACGGAGCAGAAATTTGCGATGTGATAAATGAAATGTATAGCGACGCTGAGTGCGACCACTAGCTCTGGGGTTTCAGTCACAGTATCGTGGTATTGCGGTAAGGACACAGTAATGGTAGTTTGGGAGAATGTTCGGTTTGCGGCACGTCCAGGGATGGCGATTTCATTCAGGTCTACCAAGCGCGTGCAGGGACTCCACACCGCACCACGCATCATAGTGGGACACGGAAAATAAATCCCCCGGTCCCGCGCTTAAGCTCTATAGAAAGTTTATGCAGGAGCCAGATTCACAAGGACTCACGTTGTGTCCGCGCAAAAGATCATTATTAATTTATGTTCGTAGTACAACATTATTACATCAGCCCGAGACACACGTGCCCATCATTAGTCCTCTCTGAAACGTGAGTAGGACGGCAGGTGTTGTCTGAAAGACTATCCATTCTATCCTGGCTTGACCTTTACAAATGAAACGCCTACAGCTCAGTTAGATATCCAGCTTCAACTCAAACTCCTCGTCATCATCCGAGTCCATCGCTGGACCGCCGAGAGTTACGGGCTCTGAATCATCTTCATCTTCATCGTCATAAAATATTGACGTGAACTGGGGACGCTCAGTGCTCTTCAGTGGGCTTTGTTCGCGGAATCCAAGGCGGGCGCGAGCAGGTGTGAGGGTGAGATCCCAGCTATTATCAGAGGTCTGACGAGCTGGAGGCCTAGTGAGGCTCTTGCTCGTTTGATGGTGGGGACGCATTATGGATGATGCAGTTCTGCCCTTGCTGTATCCAATTGTGGTACGCGAGGCTGCTTCTCCAGTGGTTGTACCTGGCGGCTCTATGGCTGATGATTTGATCATCCTAGGCTGGGCTGCAGGTCGCGCTGATGGTGTCACCCGTGATGACAAAGCGCTTGTACTTCTGTTGTCCGAGCGAATCGCCAAGGCTGAGGCTGCTCTGCGAGAGCTCAAAGTGTGTGGCGCTCGATCACTCGAGGCCGACACCTTCGTCCTTTGAGTGCCAACTTTAGAGCTGGGGTTTCTCAGCTCCGCGTCCGCCTTGCGTTCCTCAGCTTCATGTACACCCCAGTCAAGAGCCTCGAATTCTCGGTCATGCTGCTCCACCGCTTTATCCAGTGCCGATTTCATTTCATCGTCGAAAGCCTTGTCAAGACGTGAGATGCCATTGGCATCAATGGGATTATAAAAATTCTCGTAATAGCCCTTCAACAAGTACTCCTTCTTCAGGCCCCGAAAGGTCAACCCTCCTTCGGGGAGTACGTCTGACTGATATGGCAAGGGTGTAGGGGCTAGAGGGGCGTATTCAGGCTCTTCATCTTTGTTGGTGGTCTGTTTATCAGACTGCACCTCAAGCTTTGAAGCCGCCGCTTCTGGCTGTCGTATTTTAGGTCGCTGAGTACCAGGCCTAAGCTGCGAAGCCTCGTTCGGCTTCACTTTCCCGTTCGCTGACTGATTTGGCCGCGCTTTTGCGTTGGTTGTTTTGTTCCCAAGAGGAGCTCTAGACTGAGTGCCTGGATTCGCAATTAGTATTGATCATGTTGTACGAGGATGAGGAAGCCTACCCAAGGGAGTCGCCAAAGCTTGCTTCTGGGCGGTTGGCCTCTTGATAGTTCCAGCGAGGTTGTTTTTGCCTCCAAATGCCGTTGGTGCATTCTCGTCATTTTTCGCAAACCGACCCAGGGGAGTCTTCGGGTATCTCGGTCCTGGCGTCTTGGGCTGTTGTTTTGCAGAGGCCTGGTGCGCATGCACCAGATTTTCTTGATCCCGATGTGCCGCGAGCATCGTGTTCGAAAGTAAAGATAGCCTTCAATTCTAACCGCGATTGTCGTGAGCCGTGCAAAAAGAATAAGGTAATAAGTGAACAATAGGGGGGTCTAAATTAACGATAGACTGTTCCAGTCAGAGGTGTTGACATGGATGATCAATGCGCTGTTGGCCGGGCAACAGGGGCAGTGGCGCGTGTCCGCAGCAGCCACAGGCCGCCCGGCTAGCACAGGGAGCTGTTGCTCGTGCACAAGCATCTTGGAGGGGCAAGAATCCCTACCCCACCCCTTTTCCCTACTTCCAACTCCGCCTGTTCAAACAACGCGATCAAATCAGTCACGGTCATAATAATTTGCTAGAAAGCTTCATCTCAACCGCTCGACGAATAATCAACAAAATACAATGGATCGCATCAAGGAGGTAAGTTTGGCCAAACCTGCCATGCCGATATGGTCGATGTCGATGCCGCTAGGGTGGGGGGGGGACTGCGGCGGTCAGTGGGCTGACGAAAGCTTTCTCTTTGCATAGAAAATGAACCAGCTTCGCCTGGAGGCCGACGAGGCCGTTGGAAAGGTCGAAGAGCTCCAGGGAAAGGTCAAGACGCTGGAGCAAGAGAATCTCTCCAAGGAGCAGGAGATCACCTCGCTGCAGCACAAGAATAACCTTCTTGAGACTGAGGTCGAGAAGCTGGAGACTGCCATCAAGGACTTCAAGAAGGCCGCTGACGAAGGCCAACAACACGGAACCCAAAATGAGACCTTGCAGAGACGACTGCAGCTCCTCGAGGAGGAGGCCGAGAGCGCCGACAAGACGCTGCGGGACGCCAACGAAAAGTATGTTGAGTACCACTACACTAGGATGGCTCTAACCCCCTCCCCCTTTACAATTTGCCTCGACTGACATTGATGGTATCTAGGCTCCGCCAGACCGACGTCAAGGCCGGCCACTTTGAGCGCAAGGTGCAGGCCCTCGAGAACGAGCGTGACCAGTGGGAGCAAAAGTACGAGGAGATGGCCAAGAAGCACACTAGCCTCCAGAAGGAGCTGGAGGAGCTCCAGGTCGAGATTGGCAACATCTAATCTACATAGCTGGTTTGGTGCCAAGTGGTGGTTCCTTGTACATGCGTTTTTGGGCGGCGCTCGGGTGAAACAAAGCCCATGACGTGGAATTTGCGTTGAGAAGTAAATTATTGCGAATTCGAGAGAATGCATAGCGACAGAGCTTACATGTCTCGTAGTAATTTAGCCTGCTCTTTCTTCGGGTATATAGCATCAATCCAATTCAATCATATCCAAGTTATACCCTTCGTTTGGATTTGTTTCTAGCTCTTTGTTTCCGGTTCTCCCAATCTCTTTCTGACTTTGATTCGTATCGAAATTGCTTCTTCTTGGATCTGGGCGTCCTTTGGTTCTGCTTCTTGTCTTCCTTATCGTCTTGCCCTTCAGCTTCCCCTTCGACCTTTTCCTCGCTATCGTCCTCTTCTGTGGGCAGTTCAGGTTTCGACAGGCCGTCACGAGATACTGATACAGTCTCTACCGTCACGGTTGTATAACGGTCTTCGTCTATATATTCCTCCTCGTGGTCGACAATATCTAGTTCAGGCTTGTCGGGAAACCCATCCCACTCTTCACCTTGCTCGTTCTCGGCATGGCTTTCGTCTTCAGCAGTCGCAGCGTTGGAGGCCTTCAACATATCGTTGACGCGGCGGACGTGGTCTTCCATTTCCTGGCGTCGTTCATCTCGCACCTGGAGAAGCGCGTTGTAAGTTTTTGATAAGGACTAAAAGGCTGAATAAAACCCTTTCGAAGATGTTCAATGCATACCTGCTTCCGCGTGTCCAATTTCTCTTGTCGAGCTCGCTTTGCTGCCGCTTCCTGTGCATTTTTTATGCGCTGCTGCTTGCGCTTGTGGAAGCCGGTCAGGTATTCTTGACGAGCATCATTGTCAAAGGTAACCTCTCCCACTTCGGAAGTATTCTTCCGCTTCTTGCTAAGAGGAGGGAGAATGCTTTTTTTTACTCGCGGTTTGGCGAACATGATGCTCGGCTAGCTGGCAGTGTTGAGCCTGTAAATTTGGCAGTCGTGCGACGGGCCTTATCCGAAAATTATTTTTGGCTGTTCTCTGTCACTACTGCACCAGTGTACTGCAAGTCCGCCAAGGCCAGGACCACCAGGCGCTAACAAGTCGGCTTTGCCAGAGACAGGGATTACCTAATCAGCTTGGCAGCTTGGCCATACCTCATCGAGCTGGATGAGCCGTTGAGCGACGGAGCTTCAAATACAGCAACTTCAACAATACTTACCCGCAATGCATCTGCAGGCATTTATCGGGTCCCTCGCGCTCTCCGGAGTAGCTGTGGCCTTCTCAGATGCCACGCCCTGGATCCTCTACTCTACCGCATCGTACGTACTGCATTGTCTCCCCTCGTTGACGCGGCTCTAACGAGTCCACCAACCTTAGCTTCCCTTCGACGGATTCGAAACAGCTCCAGATGAGCGCCGACGTTTTGCAAAACACAAAGGAAATTCTCTCAAGTTGCCCAACTAGCCACTATGTTTTCGCGACGCAGCCCGGGATGATGTCTTCTGATCTCCAGCGGAACGAAGGCTCGGACATGCCGTCACTCCATCGCGCGGTCACCCTGGACGACCGTATCCAAGGAAAATACATCGTCTCCGAAGTTGTTGGGGATATCAATGCTGGAAACCTTGTAAACTTTGTTAAGACTGCCTGCTCGCAGAGCGGGAAAGCGGCCATCGTCGAGCAAGTCTCATTAAGCCAGCTGCCGCAAGAGGACAGGCAAGATGCTCTTCTCATCAACGGTGCGAATGATGATTGACATTCATCCGATCCCAGCTAACAAATCTTCAGACCGTGCCCTTGGCGAACGCATCGGCAAAGAAAACGGACACGAAAGCTTCACGGTCCTCTTCTACGCCACTCGACCAGAGCCCGCCTACGAGGCGCAATTTGACGAGGCCGTTCACCAGGACCTTCGAAGAGCTACGCAGGACATCAAGAATCCCGAGGAAAAGGATAACAGACCGCTGTTTGAAAAGTACCAGTTCTTCACACCAGGTATGTATCTCTCGGATCTATCAGCCCAAAAGTCAAGCGTCTAACAGCGGCAACAGGCGTCTTTATGGGTCTGATCACAGCCATTGTTCTTTCCAGTATTCTAGGAGTCGGAATTAAGGCACTCGGCAGCCTTGAGGTCTCGTATGGCGCGTTTGAGAAGGAGATGGGACCAGCCGCACAGAAGAAGCAGTAGAAATAGCGTGCTATCACGTACCTGCTCAGGCGGCAAGTCACGCCGGTTTATTAAGCGCCCTGTACAATACAAAGTTCGCAATGGAATTTCAGATTGCGAGTTCATGTTAGCATATTTATAGATGAGATAATGTGTGTAATTTGTTGCAAGTGATGTCCATTTGGTGAGCTGTAAAACTAGCCTTGTTCATTTGCTTGATGCTAATATAAATGCACTGCCGGCGACACCATACCAGAGCGCGCACACTTTTTTGGTAAATACAACCCAACGCCAGTACACCGAGTGCCGAGACTCTTTGCCATGCAGAACATTTCAACCCCTCGCACGCCACAGCTTCATTATGTGACCCAACCGACCATGATCCCCCATTTTGCCACTCAGACTAGGTGGCTGGGCAGGAGAAAGTTGGCGATTCCCTCTTTGATGGCATACTCATGTCCGCAGTTGCCGCAGACAAGCTTGCCTTCTGAGATTTGCGTCTCAAGCAGCAAATGATGCAGATCCTTCAACGTCTTCTCATCAGCCTGCAACTCCTCAGCTGTAGGGGGTTGCTCCGGCAGCTCAGGAAAGCCAAGCTGATTAAAATTCCATGTTAGCCAACGACCTGCAAAAGCATTTGATGAGAAGCGAGGTGCAAAATCGGTGCTAAATGATTGATGAGAGAAACCATTGCTAATAGTCCCCCCTTCGGAGGACGAAGCTATAGTCTCCTCGCATTCGAGGCGCTATAGTGTCGCGGGCTCTTACCTCTGATGAAGTTGTTCTGAGGGCGGCCCAGTCGAGTCTGGGGAGGACGTTGATGAGCATGGCCGGGTTCAGCTCGATCTCGTCCTGGACTAGTTCGGCGTCCTTGGGATGCAGGGGAAAAGATTCAGAGGTGGCCTTACAGGCTTTAGCAGCGCAGTTGACGAAATTAAGACTGAGGACTTTCATTGTGATGGTGTCTGAGTCTTTTCTAAGACGACAACTGCGTTAGGCGATGGTGGTATGGGCGATTTACTCTACACCCACAGCAGCCCGCTTACAACTTTTTCTCTGGGCGGTCTCTTTTGGCCAAGATCTCCACGTGACGATTCCTCATACAACAGGTCCACCACGCATCATGATTCGCTTTACGCATGAGAGCAGAATTAAAGTAAAAATGTCTGATTTTATTTTCAACTAGCATTTTAGACCAGAGATTTCTCATGCACGACAGTTCTCTTCTTGGAAACGCTGCGCACCACGACGATGCCAAAGGCAACGCCGACGAGAACGAGCAACATCAGCGCGGACGGCGAGCGCACGTATTGTGTAGCCGGCTCTTGCAACTTGGGCAGTTCAGCGGCTTCGGATTGTTCTGAATTGTAAAAGACAAGCATCGATCAGCTTGCGGAAAACACAAGAAGAGAGGGCCAGCAAAGTTCTGGGCAAGGTGCTGGCATTTTAGAGCTCAACATGAATACCTTCGGCAGGGACCTCCAGCTCGCCGCTCTTGGTAATCTTGACAGTCTTCTCGGGCTTATCGCCGGGAAGGGTCTTGAGGTTCTGGATCTTGTCGATAATATTGTAGCCCTCGAGGACCTCGCCGAAGACGACGTGGCGGCCGTCCAACCAGCTAGCACGATCTTTTAGTATTTTGGTCGCCTCGTTTTTGTCAGTGCATATGACTACTTACGAGGTGATGACGGTGGTGATGAAGAATTGGGAGCCGTTGGTGTCAGGTCCGGCATTGGCCATGGACAGAAGACCCTTCTTGGTGTGCTTGAGCTTGAAGTTCTCGTCCTTGAACTTGTTGCCGTAGACTGTTCCGTATTAGCCAATTGGTTTTCAGGCATTAATTGCCATTCCGGGGTTGAAAGTTGCATACTGGACTTGCCACCAGTGCCGTCGCCGTTGGTGAAGTCGCCGCCCTGGATCATAAAGTCCTTGATGACGCGGTGGAAAATCGACCCCTCGTATCCGAAGCCCTTCTCGCCGGTGGCAAGGGCACGGAAGTTCTCGGCCGTCTCGGGGACCGTCTTGCCATAGAGGCCGAACGTAACGCGGCCGAGGTTCTCATCGCCGTGCGCAATGTCAAAGTAGACCTTGTGGGTGATCTTGGGGCCCTTGGCCGCTGCGGCGGTCTGCGAAAAGAAGACTAGGCCGACGGCGAGGAGCAGCATGGCCGAGGCCATGAAGCGGCGGAGGTTGAACATGATGGGTGGTTCTTTCTTGTCGACAACAATGTACGATGGAAAAGAAAAAGAAAAGAGCAGGTTGAAAGGGAGCAAGCTCTCGGTGGGAGGACACCTTTATTGTGCTGATGCCGCGATCCGCACTAAGCCACTTATGTCAGGTCTTCCCCTCCACAGCCTGGAGCTTGTTCCAGCACCTGTTTCAGGCCCGCCGCTCCCTGGGTCCCTGTCTCGAAACGCTCTTAGTAAGCTGCTCCCTGATGGAGATACATACGCATAATTTTTGCCCACAGTTTACCCGTGCGATAACGACCGACCGACAGCTTTGCGACAAGAGGAAAAGCCCATTACAGAATCAAAACGCACCACAGCCGCCATGGTATGTACACAGGCTCAATTTCTATGGGAAGCTTACAGAAATGCTTACTTTATCCGGATAGGTTTTCGTTTTAGGTGTCAACTTCGCAGAGAGCAAGTTGGTCAAGGTACGCGGTTCATTCGATGTCGAGGAGGAACGTGACAGCTGACCGAAGATTCAGAAAGCGCTCGAGTCTTTCTACGGCCTGGGCCCCCAACTTTCGGAGCGCATCATGGCCAAATACTCCATACACAAGCTAGCAACGATGGGATCATTGGCCCCGCGAACCGTCACCTCGCTAACGGCCGAACTGGGCCAGATGCCCATCGAGAGCGACGCGAGGAAGACTCTGCAGGACAACATTAAGCGGCTCAAAGATATGGGCGCATATAGGGGCCGTCGACACGCCATGGGGCTGCCAGTGCGCGGTCAACGAACGAGAAATCAGACTGCGACGGCGACCAAGCTCAACCGCGTCAACAGAAAAGGCTGATGACAGGCCTATGTGTCTGGCATAGCAGTGTAGACAGGGCGTCGATACTCGTGTTGGATCACTGTACTTTTATTTCTTTGGAAAATGCGCATTTGAGAGCGTTGATTTTGACACCAACCGAGTATGGGACACACCATGTACAAACAATCATCATGCATTTTACGATGCACTACCGTCCTCACAAAGGGCCAAAATAGAACAAGTCAGAAACCCTTTCAATTCCGCTTCCGTGCGTATCATCGATGGATTCTCTACAGCGCAGCTCAAAAGTCGTCCTCCATGGCCGGCGCACCAGCCGCCTGAAGCTCCGCCGCGACAGCGTCAACATCAGCCCACACCCGCAATAGGTTGCCACCAACAATCTTTGCTGCATCTGAATCGTCGACTCCATTTTTGAGCAGCTCGGCAATGAGGTCGGGATACTTGCTCACATCGGCGAAACCATCTGGTGTTGACCCAATGCCGTCAAAGTCTGTTCCAACACCGACATGATCAAAGCCAATGAGGTTGCCAATATGCAAGATGTGGCGCGCCACTTGCTTTAGTGTCGCTTCTTCCGGAACCGTATCTGGAAGGCCGCTCTCGTTCCCATTGTCAACGCAGGATATGAACTCGGGCGCAATATTGACCATAACCAACGAGTTGCGTCTCTTGACGAGCTGCAGAATCTCATCATTCACGTTTCGTGGATGCGGGCATATGCTGTACGCGGAGCTGTGCGAATGAATCACTGGCGCCTTGGAACCTTCCCAACCCTCGTTACCACCCAACACATCGCGCATTGTATCGTCGCTTGACATGGTCAGTCACGACACGCAGACGAGAACGAGACAAAATGCTTACCTCACATGCGCGAGATCGACGATCATTCCCATTCTGTTCATCTCGTGAACTAGAATTCGTCCAGTTGGGCTGAGGCCATGCCATTTTGGCTCTGCCTTTCGCATCGGCCGTTCCAAAAGCGCAGCATCAGCAAACTTGTTGTGACAGTTGTGCGTGAGGGTAGCATAGCGAGCACCGAGGTCATGGAACAGCCTAAGATTGGCCACTTTGTTTCCGATCTGGTGCAGCCCTTCGACACCAAGCGGTGAAATAAGCTTGCCCTGCTGAAAGGCCGCCAAGGCCGTCCTGCTGTCAACCGCTTGGGAGAAATCTTTGGGATAAAGCTTCTGCAGCCTGTTCGTGACATCAATCTGATTGAGGGTGAACTGAACGCCTTTTAACTGGTCAGCTTCTAAATGCAAATTCCTCAGAGGGAGACATCTTGCGTACTGGCAGCGTAGTTTTGATCCGAGAAGTCGCTGCCATCTTCGGGACATGGTGCATAGACACTCCAAAATGCACCGCCTGAGAGACCTTGCCGCAGACGGTGCAGGTCTACATGCCCCGGCAATGTGCCGTTTTCGAACGCCTCTCGGAACGCAAGGGCCTCGATATGGTTGCCGTATCGGGCTCGAAGCTGAACAGGGAAGTCAACGTGACCGTCTCAATATGAAGGTTAGCATGCGTCTGTTGCCCTCTGGATAGTAGAAAGTCAACGTTACCTATGAGCGGCGTGCTGGACAGAATGCAGCGTGCTCTGTCATCCAGGGTGTTGAAGCGGCTGCAAATATGGGCTGCGGGGGCTCCATGACAGGTAGCACGAAGGCTGTGGGCGATATTAGGAATCTTCCAAAGCGTATTGGCAATAACGGCCGCCGTCACAGCAAGAACGATTAGCGTTTTAACCAGCGAGGCCTTCTGAGGCCTGGAAAACCCGGGCCTTTCATCGTTCAGTTTACCGCTGATGTTGATTGGTAGAAGCGACATGTTTGGGGTAGATGGTAGCGGCAGCGATCAAACAAGTAGGGGGAGAACAGACACACAGGCACAACCAGTGCGAGGCTACCTCAATTTCTGGCAGCCGCTGCAGCATGTATCCTGAGGGCTTGATATGATGAGGGGATGGCGAAGAGGGGATGGCAGGTGATGTTTACCCGGCATGGTGAAGATGCGCATGTCTGTCAAGAAGGCGCCGCGATCACGCCACAGCCGAGTGGCGGGTGCTGCTGCAGGTGCTTGAAACAGTTGACAGGATAGAAGAGCGAAGCCACATATAGCATACTAAGGTAACTACCTACCTACGGATACGGCAACCGGCGAGGCTCCAGTTAGGTACTACATAAATCTGTACCTTCCTTCCATCGCGTGCTGAATTTGACTGTCCAGGCAGTTTATTGTGCAGGCACCTCGGTCCCCTGGAGAGACCGCTCCAGCCACAGGCGGAAGCTATCAGGGAATCCCCGCAGTGTGTCACTGCTTTTGGCAGCCTGCAAGATAAAAGATAGCTATGGATGTCTCTGCTGGCATAATGCAATCCTGCGGAATACCTAGTACCAAAATGGTATGGCAGAAAGTGTAAAACTTTCATGCCCCCTTTTGCCCCTGTCTAAAACCTTGGTTGATGGGCTGGCATGAATACGAATCGCTGCCTCAGCTGGGGGGATCTACAGAGCCGTTAGCCTGCAGGCACTGTGCCTGGGTCGGCCAGCAGCCTCTGAGGCGCAGGCGTAATGGGCTGGAAGAGCTAAAAAAAAAAAAGGGCTTCCAGTATGCAACGCACCAGCCACAACGCCTAGCCGCCTTGGCCTTGAGCCTTGAGGCTTCCCCCAAGCTCCCCAAATTATCCGTCCTACATCCGTCCGTCTTCTATCTGCGTGTTGGGTATTGTGCCCGACCTTCTTCTTTGTTCCCCTCCTTGAACCACGCCGTGTGATCATTATTTACCAGCATCCTCCCCCGACAGCTGTAGTCGCCGGCTTCTCTCCACTACTCGTGATTTGTACTCCTTGAAAACCAGCGGACCGTTGCGACGTCACCTCCCCCGATTTCCACAGCAAGCAACACACGATCGTCGTTGCCCACCAACTGCCTAGCTCTGCGCAAAACAACAGTCTCTTCTCATCGCATAATATACCTGAACTACCTTTGTTTCTTGTGCCAAAGTTGTTCAAGATGCCGGGGTTCGCGGACTCCTTCTGGTCCAACGACTATGCGGGGGGTACGCTGACTCGATTCTTCGCTTCAACCCCTGTTCTTGCTAACTAGCTGTTCAGGACTGGGTGTGCTGTTTGGCAAGCTGCAACAAGGTGTCATGGAAAACCGACAAATATTGACCCTCGCGAGACTGCGAGCCGAAGCCGAAGACGTTTACGGCCAGCGTCTTGGAGACATTGCCCCCGCCGTTGACAAGGTTTCGGGTGGCTTCTCTCGAGATGACGGCGCCACTGTCCGCAAGGTATGCCTTGCGCAATTGAGTTAAAGAGATTTGCCGTCTTTGTGATACTAATATGCTACTCCCCCCCAGGCCTATGATGGCATGCGAACCGAGATGCAGGACGCTGCCAAAAGCCACCAACGTATTGCGCAAAACATCCGCGACCTCGTTGTTAACCCCTTCGCTCGTTGGTGCGACGCGCACGAAGCCCGCATTCAGGATTCGCAGGACGATCTACAAGCGCGCACGAAAGCGCACGACCGACAGGCCGAGACGGTCAAGAAGTTGCGCTCCAACTACTTCAACAAATGCCGCCTTGTCGAAGATCTCGAGGAGGAGAACAAACTCGCTTTCCAGGAACCTGAGTTGAGCCCTAAGAACGGAACCCAGATCCCGGAAATCAAAGTTCAGCCGCATAAAGAGGAGGAAAGCCGTGACGATGATGAGGTTTACGAGATTGGCGACGAGATCTATCAGCCCGATCAGCTCAAGAAGATTCTCTCTCATATGCTCTCTAATATTAAGATGGGAGAGACAAAAGTACCAATTCTTGGCACGTATCTCAACACCTCAGCTGGCTCTGATATTGTTGAATATCTTCAACGCAGCATGGCCACTAGCAGCATCAGCTATGCTGAGCGCATTGGCCAAGACCTCATCTCCAACGGCTTGCTTCGCCTGATCGGAAATGTCGGTAGCACCTTTGCCAACAGCTCGAAAATGTTTTATCAATGGCGTCCAAAGGCATTCCGCTTGGCTGGCGTCCCGGAGAAGAAGCAAACGCTCAACCGCACCTTCTCGATACCTATCTCTGAGTCAAGTGACTCCCCTGTTGTAGGAACTGTTAGCGAATACCTTGCCAACTGGAACGTGCTCAACAACGCTCATCCAAACGAGACACCTGCGCAGCGACTACAAAGGGAAGCGAAAGAATCAGACGAAAAATACAAATCCGCTGTCAAGAAGCTTGATCAGTTGAGATGTGACCTGGAGCAATCCATCTTCCTCCACCTCAAGTTTCTTGAGCAGTGTGAGCTCGATCGCCTCAAGGCTATCAAGACTGTCATTCTTGACTTCTCTGGCACCATTAGCAACGTTATTCCCAGCCTCCAGTCCACGGTCGACAAGATGATGCTGTTCCAAGAGACCGTCCAGCCTCTGGGAGATCTACGATACCTCCTCGAGACCTATCGCACAGGTGGCTTTGTGCCTCGCGTAGCAGTCTACGAGAACTACTACAACAAGGTTGATGACCAGATCTTTGGCGTGGACCTAGAGGCCCGCGCCCGCGCCGACAAGAAACGCGTTCCCGTCATCGTCACAGCGATCCTAACATATCTTGACCACCACTATCCTGATCTTGAGGGCGATGAAGCGAGAAGAGGTGTTTGGCTCGTGGATGTTCCCCTAGCGCAGACGCACCGACTTCGAGCAAAGCTGAATAATGACGGCGCAGTCTCCCAGGAGCTTTTTAGCGACTTTGACATCCCCACGGTGGCCAGTTTGCTCAAACTCTACCTTCTCGAACTCCCTGGTACGTGTTTGATTACCCACTTCGCGATGTAAGTTCTGTACTGATACATCTAGACTCTCTTGTATCTACCCATGTTTACGAAATTGTGCGCACCATCTACACCACGCCGGCCACTGAAGGCGCTGAGGCATCCCGCATTGCTGTTCTGCAACAAACACTTTCACAGCTCAGACTGTCCAACATTGCAACGCTCGATGCCTGCATGAACCACTTCACTCGACTGATTGACTTGACGTCCGCAGATGAGGCCTACATCACCTCACTCGCTACTACCCTGTCGCGCTGCATCCTCCGTCCACGTGCGGAGACCTCGCTCACCATGGAGGAGAAACATGCCACCAGATTGGTCCGTGATTTGTTTGCCCACAAGGATGCCATCTTCAGCGAACTCAAGCGCATGTCGACACTTAGCCACTCGTCCTCCGTCAGTAATAACCGGCCCCGCGCCGTGAGTACGGACGAGAGCAATCGCAAGAACTTGGTCGAGGAGCGAAACCGGGCGTTGCTGGAAAAGGCCACGGCCAGCCGTGGTCGCGCGACCAGCCCGGCCCCAGGTGCGCACCGCGGCCACCGCCGCGATCGCAGCAGTGGTGGGCCTGAAACGCGCTTCCCTATCCAGACCAGCCCGACCACCGGCGAGCGGCAACGGAGCAGCCTCGGCAGCGGCTTGGCCTCAGCCACAAACCGTCAAAGCCTGGAAGTTCCTGCCGACGGATCCATGACGCCACCTGAGACCCTCAATGGCAGCGGCCTTGGGATCACCAACGAGGCCACCCGTGAGCGCACCGATAGCCTGTCCGCCAAGGGTGGCGGCACCCCAGCGAGGTTCGTCGGAGGTCGTCGGGTGCCTAACTCGCCCCCGGCCGAGGAGACTACGCGCGGCGTCACGCTCGAGGACAAGCCCATGGACGACTAGGATGGACCCCCTTTGCCGTGGTCGTGAGCCGCGCTGTTTTCTTTTGTTTTTTGTGCCCGCTCATTTGTTGTCCTTTACGAGTGTTGTCCTCTAGCGCGAGGGCCAGCTCTGGGACAAAAGTCATGTAATTGCTGTATCATCATCATCGGAACCACCATCCACGGGAGACGACGAGGTCGATGCGAGAACGAAGCTACGTACGCGAAAGATGTAACATGGTAGCGACGGAAAAGAAGGAGAGATATCTTTTTGTGTTCTGTGTGTTTTCATACATAAAGAAGTCCGAAAAAGTACATGCATAATACCTCATAAGACTGGTTCTTCGTGACCCTGTCAATTCCTGGATTCTATTGCTAACCACAAGTAAGTAGCAATAGCCTGGTAGGTAACTATGAAGCAGTGGTACCGCACAGGAGTAAGGCTTTTATTTTAAAAGCGTGATTTTTATGCATCCCGATTTCTATAAATGCTATGGATGAAGAAGAACAATGGAACCAACAAACCTTTAACTACTTCATTCACCCGTGTCCACCCCCTCCGCTTCCGCAACGGGTTGCTTCTTCACCTTCTTCTTCTTCTTTGGCGCAACCACGCCAACCTCGGCATCACCACCACCACCCACGGTTACGTTCTCTCCTGCGGTACCGTCCTCGGGCGACGACGCCACCTTCTTGACTTTCTTCTTCTTCTTCACCACCGTCTCCCCCTCACCAGTTGTCGTCGTCGTCGTCGTCGGCTTCTTCTTCTTCTTCTTCTTGACCACCGCGCCCTCGACGTCCACGCCCTGCGCGACCTGGATGCGCTCATTTGCACGCTGCATTTCCAGGCGCAGCCGCTCCACCTCCCGCATGGCCTGTTGCATCTCCGCCTCCTCGCGCTGCTGCTGCTCGTGGTCAAAGCCGCCGCTCGGCTCGCCCTCGAGGCTCAGGGCACCAATTGTGCTTGAGTCTACCTGCAGCAGGGACTGCTTTAACTTCCTCGCCTTGCCACGGGCCGCCATGGAGTCCGAGTTGTTCTCTGAGTCGTAATTTCGGGGCGAGCGGTCGCCGCTGGCGCCCCCTTGCAAGGTCTCGTCTGCGGCAATCACGACGCGCTGCCGCGGTTTCGCCGCTGGACGGTGTGCCGTTGTCGGCGTGGGCCCGCTCAACTTGTCGAGGTCAAGCTGCATAACGGGGATCGCATCAATGTCGAGGTCCGGCCCGTTGCTGTTTTGAAGAATATTGTGAATGGAGTTCGAGGTATGCGGTCCGTTGGTGCCGCCAATGTAGAATGGGTCGTCCTTGTTTCTCTCTATCCTTTCCGCCTTTCGTCGGGCGACGATATCGGCATCTAGATAGCTGTCTTCAGAGGGCTGCTGATAAGAGCCACCGACATTCTCGTCTGCTTCGGCGAGAAGACTGATGGCGGGAGCAGATGACGAGACGCTCGTAGGCGCAGGCCTCTGGTGGTAGTAGACTTCAAACTCATCCGCATCATCCGCATCAAGGGTGACAATGTCGGCCTTGGCCAAGAGGCGATTGAGGTTGGGGTGAATTGGCTCGTCTAGATCAAGTCCGTCGGGAATCGGTACATTCAATTGGGCACCAGCTGCAACCGAAGTCAGCTCGCCACCGTTGAACAGCGACGGTATAGCTTGCGTCAGCAGCAGAGGAGGATCTTGTGACTCTTCATCTGTAGAGGCAGGCTGCCCTGACGCTGCTTCAGCTGTGAGTTTCAAGAGTTCCGTGAACTCAACAGCACGCTCCTGGACTTCGAGACTGGGATTCAATGTGAGAGGCTCCATAGAGTGAAGTATGCGAGCCAACAGTAACGACGTTCTTGACTTCCTTTCCGCAGTCCACAGTTCAGATTCGCTCCCTGTCGAGGATGCGAAGACCTTGGCGATGGCATATACCACGACCGCCGCAACATCAGGCTTAGCAGTGCGTGTTGTGAGCTGCAGTAAGGCGTTCATCATGTCATCCGGCGCGGACAGAATATCGGAGTATTCACCCAGCAGCCACGCGACTGATTTGAGCGCCTCGGCTGTTATGAAATGTCCCGCCGGAGTGTCCGCAATCAGCTGGGACAAGATGCTCTCGGAAGCTCTTAGAACTGAGTGTCGCATAGCTCGAACTTTGACAGCGACGTTTCGCAGTTCATTTCCAATCTTTTCAGATACACCGGCAGCAGATCGCTTGTTTGCAGCAGCCTCCCAATCACCGTCAGCAAGTCGTGGCACAGGTGTCATTCGGACAAGCTGGGTGAGAACATCGATATACCAGTCAAAATCGACAATGTTGGCGTAATTGTCCTTAGCAGACATGAACAAAATTCTTCCGATAACATCGATTCTGTAGTCTTCGGGAAGTGGCATGGCATTCTTGTTCGCTGCTGCGTTGACAGCTTGTTGCGCTTCCTCATCAGAATCTGCAGACGCATCTGCCAAGTCCAGCGCGGCGGCCTCAAGCTTTCCCTTGGGAGCTGTGGCGGCCTTGAGCTGTTTCATCAGTCGACTGACAATCGACACCAGGTTATCACTCGTGACCATGCCTTGAACAAGATCGAGAGCCTGGATACGGATCGTGATATCGGGGCTGTCAATGCACTCTAGGATGACGTCCTCTTGCTGCGACACGAGGTAGGGATGGGTGAGAACAATCTTGTTGAATGCTAAGAGGGCGACGTATTTCACTGTAAAGGTCAGTATATGTGTGGCATTGTCTGCGGTAGCCAACGCAACTCACGATTTGGATCACCATTCATGATAATCATGCCTCGCAATTTGTTCACACACAGGGTAGCAATTTCTTCAGTATCGGTATCATCGGCACTTCCAAGAATTCCGCCTTGGATAATACCATTAATACATTCGTATAACAGCGACATGGCCGGCGTCGTGCGTATAATGTTCGTCAGCGGCGGCAGCAGTTTCTTGGCAAGTCGAGGCTCGAGCGGCGTCAGTGTGGCAAACTACCCAACGTCAGCGTTCTTCTTCACACACATCCTGTCGAGTCCCGAGGCTCATCGTTATCAGTCTAACATACCAACTTGATCAGTTTGATAGCCATCCAGTTGTTGCCCCCGTCCACCAGCAGCTCAAACAGCCGCGGCGCGAGCGGCAAAAAGTCGTGCGGCCGGCGCCATCCCAGCTCGCATACGACATTCACAATCGCCGCCGTCACGCTCGGGTCCTCGTCCGCGTCCATCAGCCGCTCCTTGATGCGCGGCCACGCCGCCCGCAGGGCCTCCGGGTACACAAGCGCAAGCCGATAGAGCGTCACCAGCGTCTTCTTGCGGATGTTGGCGTGGCTGTGGCCCAGCCGCGGCAGCAGGTCGGCGAGCGTCGAGAGCGCGAGCGATGGCGTGATGACGTGCGGCAGCGTTGCGATCGGCAGGGACATGACGGTCGGCGCGGCAGCGCTTAGATCCTATATAGAATGGTCAGCGCCGAAGACCGCCGAGTCTCTTTCAGATGCGGCATACCTTTTTTAATAGATTAGTCGCAAGCATAAGGACTTCCGTGTCGGCGCGGAAGCTCTGGACGGCGCCCAAGTAGCCCACCCGCTTCTGGGCGTACTTGGGCGAGGACATGACCTCGAGCACGTGAAAGGACGCCCATGACATGTCGTGCCCGACCATTTCCAGGTATATGAGCTTCAGCAAGGCTGTCGCCTTGACATCTGCGGTCGCGTCATCAGAATTCTGTTTCCCGTAAAACAACCCCGAACGGACCAGTCAGTGTTTCTTACCCATGTCTTGGCTGCGCACCTCGACGCGGCATTCCTTCAAGCTCTTTTGTATGTACTCCTTCTCGGTCCCTTTGTGATTTCGGAGACCCTGAATCAGGTCATAAAGCGACTTTTCGAACCTGTTTCAAGCACGTGTATCAGCGGCATGTCGCTATACCCCGCGCGACGCCCAAATCCGGGGTCGGCAGGATAGGATGATGCTCGTTTGCTCCAGCCCTTACATCTTGTCGGTCTTCTAGCCCCACGCGGGGGGTTGGCCTCGCAAATGGACAGGTTCCCTCCTTCAAAGTGTTGTCTGGATAGATCGGCCGTCGGTCGGGTGGTTCATCGTGGGGGCGTTGTGGTGCCCGTTGCCGTTCGCAGCCCTCCTTTTTCTGGCCGTGCGTGTTGGGTCGTGTGCAGATAAGGTCGGTCGGCTAGAGCCTAGGTATCGAATCTTCGATTCTGCGTACAGAACAGAACGGGGAGCAGCAAGAGTTCGAAAAAGAGCAACGGTTGCAAGGAGGCCAAATTACGTTGCGGCGAGCTCCCACTGGTTTTGGAGTCAGGTTGTGTGGGTTTGCGATTTGTGGTGGGCTGCCAATGACGGAAGCACCTTTTCGCCCGACCCGCCTCAACAAAGCGCATCAGCATTTTGTTCCTTCTCCTTCTACGACCAACATCTTTTAATTATGCATACTTGGCATTCATTTTAACTAGAAAACAATCTATACAGAGCTCTTCAAAGAATTGACCGGATTCCAGCCCCGTCTCCTCCGAAAGACAACCCGCCGAAGCTTCAGCAACCTCCATAACCGCATACACATCCTCCCGCTCATGTCGATCCGAACCGCCACAACGCGGCCTCTACCGCATCTCCTCTCCCGCCGCGCGCCCATACCTCCCTGCCCCCACCGCCGACCCTTCTTCACCCTCCCCGGCGGCGGCAGCAACACCCAAACGCTCACCGCCTCGCGCACGCTACCCTACGGCCGCGACGACCTCTACCGCCTCGTCGCCGATGTCGACTCGTACGCGCAGTTCGTCCCCTACTGCGCCCGCTCGCGCGTCACGCAGTGGTCTGTGCCCGACGACTCTGGCCGCTCCTGGCCCGTCCGCGCCGACCTGCACGTCGGCTGGGGCGGCCTCAACGAGGAGTTTACGAGCCGCCTGCGGTGCGTACCTGGCGTTTCCGTCGAGGCCGTGAGCGGCAACCCGGAAGGCGCCACCTCTGCTGCCTCCTCCTCCTCCTCCTCCTCCTCTTTAGAGGAGCAGTCGGATGCGTCCGCAGTCTTCAAGAGCCTAGTCACGCGCTGGTCGCTGCGTCCCATCGCGGAGCAGCCAGCGCCAGCCACGGAGGTACACCTGAGCATCAAGTACCAGTTCACAAACCCGCTGTACGCCGCGGTCAGCGCTGCAGTGTCGGACAAAGTGGCGGCTCTCATGATTGAAGCATTTGAGAAGCGGGCAAAGGAGCAGCTCGGACGTCGTGGCCGCGTTTGAGGGATACATGGTTGATGAGTTTGTGAAGGGGACACCGACCGACGTGCCATACTTAGGGCATGCGACAAAGTTAAAGCATCGAGGTTGGATGCACATGTATAAGAAGAAAATGTGTTAGTGTACCGATAGATCAAAAGGCGAGCATATAGACATAATAGTTGAATTCATCAAACATAATCTCATACAACATACAGAAACTATCCAGAAATATGTAAAACCTTTAAAAATCATCCAGGCAGCGGGACATTAGCCTGTCTCTCTAATAACTGGGAACATGAAGAAGAAAAAACCCGCGAGTGTCGTAAAACACCTGGGCGGGGAAGCTGCACAAACCAGCACAGCATAAAAATCGCCTCTGCGCCTTCTAGTTCTCAGTACCGTATGTCCACCAAATACCCAAATCAAAAAGTCGAGTTAGAAGCATAAGACATTCTCTCCATACACCAGTGAGGATCCGGGAAACAAAAAAATAGCTCGGCAGCGGAAGAAGAACCGATGGCGAGTGGACAAGTATATGAACAGAGCAGGCGAGACACAATGGCGCGAAGCGGCAGAAATCGTCCAAGAGAGCAGAGTTCGAATTTAATCATCACATCGGGTATCATAATATCGTCGAGGAATTATTTCCTTCTGGAATCGTTAGTTCATCTGCGGGCAACAAACTGTCTGTGGGTAGCATCGACTTACGCCTTCTTCACTGGCTTTCCACCAAAAAATCCAACGAATGCAGGAGGAGCCTTCTTCTTCTTTTTCTCCTTCTCCTTCTCCTTCTTCCCTCCCTTGGACTCGCGAACAATGTGAATGCCAGCGGGCATATTCGGCGGCGCATTTGCCCATCCATCGGGGGGGACTATGCCCCCTCGTCCCATTGCAGGGGGCGCTGGGGGCATGCCGCCACCCATACCACGGCCTCTAGCCATGTTTGCCGCCACGTGCGGGGGAACACGGGAATGTCGTTGCATGCGATCCGTAGGCCACATCGACATGGTGATTGCCCACTCTGGCTGGATGACCCTTTCCCATACCGATGGTAGGATGATTTGGTTGTTAGGGCCAACCAAGTCGTACCATCCTTCGTGTACTTGAAAAGCCAAGTCGTCGACGTTGTCAAAGGCCTGTTTGATTAACTCCTCCATGTCCTAAAAAAAGTTAGTATTCCTTGCCTTGCTCTTATTCAACGACATGCGCTGCGTGGCTGATCTGACTTACCGGCCATGTGGTACAAAGGCGAAATGGGAAGCTGTACTTGCGGCCCAAGGCATCTTTGAATTGAAGAGAAGGACCGCGGTCCGTCTTCGCCTGTGCTTCAAGTTTGGCCTTTGTTTCTTCTTGGACCTTCATGGTGTAAGCATCCCTCTCAGCTTTTGCCAAAGCCGCTGCTTCAGCCGCTTTGGCAGCAGCATCCTTTTCGGCTTGAATCTTGGCGGCGAATTCAGCATCGGCTTTGCGCTTGGCCTCTTCTTGAATCCCCTTGATCCTTTCGGCTTCATCAGCGGCCGCTTTTGCGGCCGCCTCCTTGGCCTCGGCGTCGGCCCGAAGTGCAGCAGCGACACGAAGCTTATAGTCGGCCTCCATCTTAGCCGCCTCCTCTGCCTCCTTCTTCTTTTTCTCTTCCTCGGCTCGTCTTGCTTGCTCGAACATGATCTTGATCCGCTCCTCGGCCTGCTTGATGGCCTCAGCCTTTTGCTTTTCACGCTCTGCGGCAGCGGCAGCCTCAGCGGCGATACCGTCCCTGGCCGCTTGTGCGGCTTCCTCTCTGGCTCTTTGAATTTCGACATCCTGTTGCTCCCTAACGCGTGCTAGCTCTTGAACGGCCTTTTTGTTTTCTTCCGCAGCTGATCGGCGAGCTTCCTCTTTTATCTCCTTTTCCCGCTCAGCTTGCAGCTGTTTCTGCTCTCTGTCCCTGTATGCCTGGAGCTCGTTCTGAAGTTTCTCCTCATTCTCAGACTTTCCGGGCACAGCTGGAGGTGCGGGAGGTGGAGGCGCGGCGGCAACGTCCAGAGGCATGCCGGGATGTGCCATTTGGTGGAATTGGCCAGGATAATGCCCATAGTACTGGGGATGCTGCCATGCTGCCATCTCGTTGCCAAATGCCCTTGGGTCCTGGGCGTAGTGTGCAGGGTTGCTGTAGGGACTGCTTGCAGGACTGAACGGGTTTCCGCCATATGGCATCACCTGGCCGGGATGCACCCCGTAACCATATTGGTGCTGGGCGCTGTGCCTGTTGTAGCCACCACGGCCGAACTGGCTTGGGCTGTATGCCCCATACTCGTCTTGGTACTCCACGCTGGGCGCTGGGTTCGGCACTCGGCGTGCCGGGCGGTAGTCTTGTTGATGTGGTAGGGGCTGAGAGGGCCTCAGCGGGAGGCGGGTGGGGTGTGCGCGTGGCGCGGGAGGGACACCGCCGTAGGAGACTGATGCTTCGGACTCGCTGACTTCCTCGTCGTCGTCGGCAAAGTGTTCTTCGTCGTGGGTGGTATAACCGTGAGTGGTATATTCGTGAGTGGTATAGTCGTACGGGTCTTGAAAGACTTCCGTGTCTGGGTCGAATGCAGGGTACGCTGGCGTGAACAGTGGTGAGGGCTCGCCCGAAGAATATTGGGCAACAGACGTTTGCGTTCTTCTTTGGGAGAATTAGCGCGCCGACGAAGCAACAAAGGGTGTAGGATGGGAGGGAGGTAGAGGCAGGGTCAGAGAGGGGACACAGAGAAGAGGAGAGAGACGAGTGATGGTTGTTTCGATGAAGTTTGCGACAGCGTTGGTGATACTCACCGCATAGCAGAAGTCTTGTGTATATGGCCTTTACGCACGTCGATCCCTCTTTGAGGGTCGGTTCCGCAAGCAAGGGCGTCACAAGGACGACTTTGTGGGTTTTAGCGGTGTCAACGCTGGAGCGCGGTGGCCGCGATCCTGAGGGCGTGGTGCAAAAGTAGGCAGGTTCCGAAGGGAGGGGGGGCGCGAGATGAGAGACTGGATCGCAACGGGAGGAAAATGGCAAGGCCTGCGTATTGCAAAGAAAAGAAAAAAAGGCGGCGCAAAGATATTTGTGGTTATAAATGGTGCTACGGCTGTAAATGTAGGCCGCGGTGTAGCACAAGGTGGGCGAAGAATAAAAAAGGCAGCCAGTCAGGTGGCGGATGGGCGAGGGGTATGGTGGTGAGACGGTGAGGTCTTTGGTGCGGGCGCCTAGGCAACTGAAGCTGGGGCTATGTTTGTTGGTGGTCTGGTGGTATCCGAGCGACTGGCGACGGACGGGTAACGAGGCACACCGGTAGGCTGGCTGGTAGGTAGGCTTGCTTGGTAGTAGGCTGGCGCTAACGGATTTAGAAACTCTTGCTAATAAAAAGGTTCTTGGGAGGTATCATGTCAGCCAGGAAAAACAAAGTCACAGTAAAGCAGGGAGAGGATAGTCCGAGCCTAGGGCGAAGGGAGGGAGTGAGGGAGGCGTGTACTAACCTGGTGGTGGCGCCCGTTGTTGTTTGGGTGGGTGGGTGGTGATGTGGTGATGTGGTGATGCGTGTGGGTGTGTGCTGTGCTGCGCAGTGCGTTGCTGGTTGCCACAGGATTAACCGGGTGTCTGCGTCTTGTCGTGGTCGGTGCTCGTGCAAGTTTAACAACAAAGCGACAGGAAGCAAGGAAAAGACGAGGCAAGGCGAGGCAGAGCGAGACAGGAGAGTGCGAGGGTGTGTGTGTGGTTGGAGTCGTTGGCGGTTGTTGCGGGCCGATGACTGGACGGACAAGTCACGAGCAGGACGGATATCGACGGAGCGGTTGGTCTGATCAAAGACAGACAGGACTTGTCACACTGTGATGAGAGATCAGGTTGGACGTTCTTCAAAGGAATGAGATGAGGAAGGTTGCGGCGGGCGCTAGCTGGTAGCTCGTTTGGTGGCTGCGGGAGGGGAGGAGCGAGTAGGCAGAGCAGAGGGAAGAGAGGGAGGGCGATGGAGGGAGAGAGGCGGTGAGTCGGCGAGAAGGGTTTGTACCTACCCAAGAAGCAGGTAAATAGTATGGTTGTTGCCTAGAAGGTACCAATAGGTAACGAGACAGTAACAGGTAGGCAAGTTGGTGGCTTCCTGGTTGGTTGCTTTGTTGAACGGGTTCGTTTCGTTGTCTGTCCTCTATGCTTGAACGGGTTCCTCTTTGGTGGTGGTGCAAACAATGCAGACAAAGTACCAAGTACCCGTCGGTCAGTGGGCTGTAGCTGGGGGAGGGACGGGCCTGAGAACGGGGCCGCAGCTAAACCGAATATACCGGTCGGTACTTTGGCACCAACAGCAAGCACTAAGATAATCAGGTACCTGGGGTCCTGGGCCTGCTTATTAGGTATGTATTTCGATGCGCCCAATCAAAAATGTAGTCTTCAATGGATGGTGTGTGAAGTAACGCTTTTCGCCGGAACTTCCTCTTCCTTCACTTCAAAAACCCCGTGCAGGGTGGCGACCGTGAGGCCCAGAACGTTCGTCGACCTGAGACAGCTCCAAGCTTGTGGGCTGGTTCGGGGTCCAGGCACTGGGGTACGAGTCGCAACGTGCTGATCTGATGTGTGTATATCTATCGGTCGCTTCGGTGCTTTGCAGGACACACACGGGCAAGAAGAAGAAAAAAACTGGGCGACGAATCAAGCTCGTCCAGTTTTTTTCCTGTACAGCAGCCCAAATCCACAATGGTACCCAATGACAGGTCGATGGCGCAGGCACTTGGTGGTGAGGCCCAATCTTTGCTCCAGTAACGGAACGCTGTCAACAGATTTCCACTGCGCAATCGACATGCAGTCGGCGATGGAGTGCAGTAGTAGCAACGACGCCCTTGTCTTCTTTTTTTCTTGCGCGTATAGATGTATTCGATTCGACAACTCAATAGCGAGTGGTGTGTTGCGGCACGCCTGAACTAGGTAGTCCGGGGCCGCAACTCGTGTAAACAAAATATAAGACCCTATGCCGAGCCGTGGGTAGAGTGGTGTGGTCTGCTCTGCAGGAATAGATACGCAGCAAAGCCGCACACAAAGATGAAAAGGCAATCCGTCGCCTGGAGATGCTCGCGTTGCACCGGCTCTATATTAGAGTATTTTAAAGTACATAATACGGATGTACTATGCGCAGAGGGGTAACACGCCTTTTAAACATCTTGCCAGTCAAACTGCCTGAGTACGTACTGGCACGCAGCACAGCCAATCCTCGTAGACGGTTCTAGAAATAGCTCTCGGCCGTAAATTACTCACGCATTGGTAGCAAGCAAATTTTTCTCGCAATGCAAATTAACGTCAGCTATGCGATTACGCCAGCTTTGCCCTGTGACAAAGTCCTGGTCATGGGCCGGATTCGCTCGTTGCGCCGCCTCGTTGGGCCTCAACGCCAGGTATCAACCCGGCGCCTGAAGCCGCTCAGACGCTCTCTCTCACTGCAGTGGTCCTTGCGCTCCACACCTCCTCATGCCCTCCCTGCCCGCCAAAAAGAGTCCTCTTCCCTGGTCAAGTCCACGGGCGGGGTGCCATAATTCCCTGCTTGTCGACAAATCCTCTCTACCAAGTAATCTGTACCGCAAATACATCGTCTCCTCAACTCAATACTTTAAATAATTCAGCGCCCATATCACTCCCCAAGTACCCACGCCCCGCACATACCCGGGCATGACGGGCGCCTAACCGCTCAACGCGGGGCATCTGGCAGCCATCCTCATTCATGTCCGTCAGCCTGCTTGTCACTCATCCGGGCCTGGCCGTGGCGCGACACACCACAGCTACATACATCCAGTCACTCAGCGTGATCTGAAAGCCGCTGTCACCGCGTACCGATTCGCCCACAAGCTCAAGACAAGCTCCATTATTCGCACTGCCATGCTGGAGGAAAAACGCCCCCAAGTAAGCCTATCTATAGCTACAAACAACATCATCACTCCCCTCACCTTGTGCAGCACTCTTACACAAACCGCTCGTACGATCCAGAACAGCAATGCCGTACAACACTCCTCCTATGACTCATGCTGTTCCTGACTACAGTGAGACATTTTTCCTGCCCTGGCATCAGTATTGTTTGCAGCCCAATCGTCACTTGGCATCAATCTTGAAATGCTCACACGCCGCCACTCTATTATTGAATCCTGACACCAACGCACACTTTACAGTTTGGCAGCGCCCTTCGACTACCACGCCATCCCTGGGCGGCGTATCTTCGCCCCTTACACGCTCTACCTCACCACTTGGGCTGACGACTGGGAAAGGAGCTCTCGCGCCGCAGCAACCTCCGCTGCATCGTACCCTTGCCACAGCTTTTCTTGAGCCCCATTCCGGCGCACAATCTCCGCGAGCTTCGTTGTAGCGAGTTCGTTCAGTTTTTGTATAGTCTTGGTATCGGGGACGGGAAAGACTTCGTCTTGTTGCTTCTTCCCTTTGCTGGAGCTTTCGAGCAGTTTATCGGATGACTACATGCACAGTTAGCAGACGAAGCAATGCACAGCAGTCAGCACAGGTCCAAACATACCAGCTTCAACCCGTAGTATCCGCGCAGGAAATCATCGCACAGCTCAACACTACGGGAGAATCGTTTTAATGCTTCGATCAGGTATTGTTGTCCAGATCCCTCAGCCGACGCGGACGCAGCCATCAGGGACACTTCTCCGAGACGGGCTTGGGTCTGCATCCATGTCAGTGGTGGCCACACCTCGGCTACGAACTGGAGCTTACCGTCCATGAGTTCGGTTGGAGAACCAAAACTTCCTCCAAGGCATAAATGGCCTGGGCGTAAAGGCCCTCCTCTAGGTATAGATCGGCCAACTCAGCCCAAGACTCGCCATCCGTAGTATTGAACTCGAGAAGCGTATTTAAAGCGGCGATAGATTCCGGGATCTTGCCCATTGATCGAAGAAGGGCGACCTTGCGCTTGGCAATGGACTGTTGCTAGTTAGTCAAACCATCCGCCACAGTCGAGCCTCATCATCTGCAACGTACAACATTGGCATCATTCTCCTTCAAAACGGCGTCGTATTCCCTCAAGATCTTTTCTAGGTCGTTGTTATTCGTCGCCTTTGCCTCCTTGGTGAGCCCCTCAAGCGCCATCACGCGCTCGTCCGTAGGCCCGAACCTGATCACAATCCGCTCCAGGCAGTCCGAGGCCGCCTTGTCGTCGCCAGTCCGCAGGCAAGCCAGCAGCAGGTTTTCGTAGATGGTCCACACGTCGCCCGTCTCCGATGCAGAGAACATGGCTGCTAAAGGCGACGCTGAAAACACCTTGGGGTTGCTCTTAAGCACCTCGGGCGCCAGCTGCGCCAGCTTGAGCGCCTCTGCATTGGACAGGCGGACCTGTGGGCGGAGCAGGGATGGCGCCATTTCGAATTGGTTTGCTGTCGCAGCGATCTGGATGTACGTGTGCCGCTGGGATAGAGCCGACCGTATTTCGTCGATTCGGAGCCGGTTGTCAATGCCGTGGCGCTGGGACAGACGGACAAGCTGTCGCAACACCTTGGTACCTGGGTACTTGGCTGGTTAGGCGGAGCTGGGGAATTTCCGCCCCGGCTAGACCGACTTCACTACTTGCTGGAGCATCGAAGTACGAGCAAAGTCCAAAAAAATGTAGAAAGAAAAGAGAAAATAATGAATGTTATATAAACTTTAGAGTTCAGGTCTTCATTCGATTTCATATACTATTGCTATTGCTCCTTCTTAATCAATTCACTTGGGGCAGATATAGCAAGCGGCGGTTGCTCGACTCATACCGACCACATTATGTCAGCAGGTTTGACCCCAGTCGATTTAGCACTTTTCTTCGTGGGCTCAGAAATTTTTCAACATCGACTTTCTCCCCTCTCCAGTGTGTCAGGAAACCGCCTACAGGGGCCCCACGAGGCCAAGGGCATATCCGCGAACTCCCATTGTGATTCTCTCCGTCTGAGCCATACTCAGCATGGCAGTGACTCAGTCGTGCGACTCACCACCCGTCGAGGCCGTGCCGCCGGTGGCGGACCTGGAAAAGCTCAGCCTCGCGGCCAGCGCTGAAGTCGTCCCTCCGCATAGATCGCATGACCCGGCGAACAACTTGAAGAGGACCGACCCGTTTCAGTTTGGCAGCCGCTACCTGACGGAGCAAGACAACGTCTACGAGTTCAACGCCTGGGACCATGTGGAAACTGACGATGCATACAAGGAGTATACGGAGCAGCAGCTTGAAAAGCAGCGCCAGGCCCCTGTTTCTGACTTTGATAAGAGTGAGTCTTCTCTATTTCTTGAACCATTCCCCATGTCCCTTGCGGTGATGATATCGAAGCAACACTTCATCTGAAAACTCTGATGAAATCAGGTTAATTATAGTCTTTCGCTCCCATCTGAGCAACCTTCCCACTCACATTTGCAATTGCGAAGAAAAAAATTCTAGAAGCATACGCTAACACCCTGTCAAGGCAGATTTAACGGTAACCCTGAAAAGTGGTGGAATCTCTTCTACAAAAACAATACTGCGAACTTTTTCAAAAACCGAAAATGGCTACAGCAGGAATTCCCAATTCTGGCCACCGTAACCGCCGAAGACGCCGGACCGAAAGTTATTCTCGAAATCGGTGCCGGTGCAGGCAACACGGCCTTTCCCATCCTCGCCAACAACAAGAATCCCCACCTCAAGATCCACGCGTGCGACTTCTCCAAGACGGCCGTAGAAGTCATGCGCAAGCATGAAGAGTACGAGTCGGCGCAGATCCAGGCCGACGTCTGGGACGTGGCCGGCGCGGAGCTGCCGCCCGACCTTGAGGAAGGATCTGTAGACGTGGCCATCCTAATCTTCATCTTCTCAGCGCTGTCGCCGCGCGAGTGGTCGCGCGCGGTGCGCAACGTGCACCGGCTGCTGCGACCCGGCGGCACCGTGCTCTTCCGCGACTACGGCCGCGGTGACCTCGCGCAGGTGCGCTTCCGCAAGGGCCGCTACTTGGAGGAGAACTTTTACATCCGCGGCGACGGCACGCGCGTCTACTTCTTCGACCGTGACCAGCTGGCCGACATTTGGTTGGGGAAGCGGGCGGAGGGGGATGGCGAGGGAGAGGAGGACACAACCCCCACGTTTTCGATCGACCTTCTCGGCGTCGACCGTCGGTTGCTGGTCAACCGCGCGGAGCAGAAGAAGATGTACCGATGCTGGCTGCAAGGACACTTCACCAAACAATAGACACGATATAACGACCTGAATATAGACAATAAAGAGCAATCTACACGATACGCTGCGCGTGATTTTAACATGGTCTGATATATCCAACGCTTCGCGTACATCATACAAGCAAGGTCTCACGCATGAGCTCACGCTCCGACTCGTCAAACCCAATGCCGTCCAAGTACGCCTCTAGCCCGCCATACCTCTCGTCCAGATGCCTCTTTATCCCAGTCATCATGCCCCTGTCCGTGTACGCCCACGCCTCTGTCAACCCGACGGCGCGCACTTCCTTCAGCAGCTGCTCGCGATCCCTCGCCAGGCCGACGTCCGTGAGCCCGTAGTCGTGCTCGATCGCCGCCATAGGGACGCCCAGCACCATCAACACGAGGCAGCAAATCAACCCTATCACAACCTCCCTCATCAGCCTACTCTCTCTCTCTCTCTCTCTCTCTCTCTCTGGGGAATGGAATGTGTACGTACCGGTGCGGTCCTTGCCTTGGGTGCAATGCACCAGGACGGGCGTCGTCCGACGCTGCGAGTATAGCCGCAGCGCGGCGGCAATCTCCTCGCCCGAGTGGTCCAGCTTGTCGCGCCCGATGCCGAGGAGCCCGCGGGGCACGAGGACGTGCTCGGCGACGACGCGGACGGCCTGGTCTCTGTACCCGCAGGCGTAGAGGAAGAGGAACTGACTAAATCGCAATCATCGTTTAGACTTTCTTCCTCTGCCGCCGGGGGGGGGGGCATGATCGAGAAGGGAAAATGGGTGGAACGCGTACAAGAACTGCCACCAGGTGAGAAGGCTGGCGACGTGCCGCTCGAAGCGCCGGCCGGTCACCTTGATCTCGTGGTACTGGATGCCCGGGATGCGGGCGGTGGCCGGGATGGAGGGGTCGACGAGGCGTATGGCGGTGCGCTTGGCCGCTTGGCGAGCGAGTTCGGTGCTGCGACGACGAGTCGACTTGGATTAGCATGAAACAAAAAGTCAGATCGGAGTGTGAGAAGGTTTCCGAGCTCACTTTGTGCGAAGGTCTATGACGGTGCGGATGCCGAGGCTGTCGGCCAAGTAGACCATGTCCTCGGGGGACGCATTGTCTGCGGCGTTGAAGGCAGGTCAGCGTAACCAGCAAAATGAAATTTCTTTTTTCTTTTAATTGAAGCGCACTCACCCGGTCTGGCAGATCTATAGATGAGTCCTTCTCGAACCACCCTGGAGACGCAATCTCGTCAGCGATGAGAACATCAGCGGAGGACGGAAGACGCGGGACCCAACTTTTTACCGAGAAAGGAGTTGACGGTCTGGCCGACATCTCGAAAGTTGGATACCTTTTCGAGGATATGCTCCTTTTCGACCGCCATTGTTTATCGGGCAGGGCGGCAAACGGGCTCCTGATGATCCTGTCGCGGAGATGGGAGTTGGTTGGTGAGCCTGCGACGTTGGGTGGCGGCGGCCGAGGCTTGCCAGTCTGTGGGGAAGTGGTACAGGAATAGAGCCAGGCATCTTGGTCATCGTCACAACGGCTAGATACTTGCTCAGAAAATAGAAAATTGAGTTTAGATTAGTAGAGGATCTCCATTTTAATACGCATTTTGTAACATACTATGATTGTCTGTTTACGGGGATGCGAACTGTCAAGGAGCGGGCGATGGCTATATCGACAGCATTATTGCCAGGAACTGGAAATCCGGGTAGAACCGATCGTTGTCGTAGGCGCCACATCACAACCCTCCGCAGCCTCCTCATAACGAACGAACGTCTAAAAGATGATTATGCAAACAAAGTTGGCAAGATGAAGCCAGTTCCAGGTCAATTCACGTCAACAGGATTATCTCGGCCGAACACGAACCATTGCTGACCAGCGACGCTTTCGCCTTGGAAGAAAGACACTTCGCCCTGCCCACATTAAACCCTGAGGGCAATTCTGTATATTTACATCAATCAACGTAGTTGTGTAAGTAAATGTTTCTTCACGGTGAATTAATTGCTGTCTCTCTCTAATTCGAAGCCATGTTCAGGGCACTCAAATGCCTACCCCCGTAACATAGGTAGCATAAGCACATTCTGCATGACACCTTCTTTGCCACTGACTTGGTCTTGACATCCTTCCTCCTGCCGTTTGTTCCTCACCTCTATCCTTCCGATCTGCCTATTAGAAGGCTTTGAATCCCCCTTTCCTCTTCTCTTCTTCCCTCTTCCCTCCTCTTCTCTCCCCTCCCTGTTCTCACAATTTTCTCCTACCTTTCCCTTCTTCTCTCTTGACTCTCTTTACCTCTCTCCTCTTCTTACTCTCGCTCTCCCAAGATCGATCAAGAAAAACATGTCCAACCCATCAAAAACCCTCTTTTCCGTACTTGTCGCTTCTACAGTGTTTGATTCTGGGGAAGTCATTTCATCAACCGGCTCATACCCTTCAAGCCCTTCTATTTGACTAACCATTTGTCTAGCGGCTCTTCATACTCCCTCCCGTTGTTACGAAGATGCCCAATCTCACGCTCGAAAACTCCAAAAAAGAAACCCCCCCGGTAAAAAAACCCCCCGAAGAAAACTCTCTACACTGCCCGGCTGCTACAAAGCGCCTTTTTTTGGGCCGCCGCCGCCGCCACAATGGCTTATCGCGGCCTCGTTTCTTTTTGGGTAGGTACAATACATCGGTATTTCGTCAGCTTCTTCCTCTTTTCTGACGATATTCGTGTTGGTTGCTGTGTATCGGGGCCACCATGTGGCTTAGCATGCTCCTGGGCATGCTGTTGAACTGGATTATCGCTGAAAACCGCGACATTTACGAATTCCTCGACCCTGAGACACGGGTCGTTTTTATTTCACATGTGGGAGCCGGCCCTATGAAGCCGCTTTTCATCATAGGATATCTTGTTTCGTGCCTCTTTTTGGGCATTTGCATGCTTGTGGAAAAGTATCTGCGCCACAAAAGGCGCCTCCTGCCGGATTTCACAGTATACGAAAAGCTCCTGGCCATTCTTTCAATTTTCTTCGCCATCGTCGGCTCCCTGGTGTTATGCTTCTTCCTGGACCTTTCTATGCTCGCTGAAAGATACCTTTACCACAGCAGTCGCCTTCTTCCATACACCACAGTCTACGAGAAACGCCTAGTAATTTTGTCTATCAAGGCCCCTGGCGACCTTCTGGGTAGGTGCAATCGATCGTTATCCGCCCTTTCCTCTTTATAACTATTCACAGTGGTTGCCGGCCATTGCAGCCATGGTATGGCTCAGCATGCTGCTCGGAATGTTACTCGACTGGGCTGTCGCTAAAAACGGTGGATTTTATGAACTTCTCAACCGAGAAACCAGAGTCGTCTTTATTTCCTTTTGAACTCAGCCGTAGCCAATCGACTTTCTCGACCCCGATACCCCAACTGTCTATATTTCACACGTTAGAGTCCGCCCAATGGAGCCGCTCCTGAAGCTCTCGCGCGATGATATCTCCAACAAGAACAACAAAACGCTTTCTTCTTTTTAACTCACGCCTCGCAACTATCCCTCGCCTTCCCTCCTTTCGTCTTGTTTTTTTTTTCTTTTTTCCGATCATGGCATAGCGTGATCTTGTTCCTCTTGTTTCTCTTGTTTCTCTTGTTTCTCTTGTTTCTCTTGTTTCTTTTCTTGTCTCTTCTTTTTCTCCTCTTCTTTACTTTATTCTCCTTTTTCTACTCTTTATTCTCTCTTGTTTTAGCTGCCTAAACGCCCAAATCTACCGTTAAAAACTCCTAAGAATCTGTTCACACTGCCCGGCAGCTATATAGCGCCTTCTTCCTCTTCTTCTTTTTCGCCACAGTTAATACTGGCTTTTTATGGCCTTATATCTCTTCTCTTCTTCTCTTTTCTCTTCTTCTCTTTTCTCTTCTTCTCTCTTCTCTTCTTTTTTCCCTCTCTTCTCTCTTCTCCTCTTCCCTCTTCTCTTCTTACCGTGACCTCGCAGTCGGGACCCTGCGTGCTCGCGGTATCTCTGGAACGTCGCCCTTGACAAGTGCTTTGACACTACTAGTGGGTTCGCAGCTATCCCGGTTCGACCATCCGCTAACTTGCTGCTCGCTTCTGCCAAGTGCCATCGCCGCGAGCAAGGCAGCAACGCCTACATCGTCCTCGCTGCTGCCGAGCAGCCAACTTTCCGCGTCCTTCTCCAGGCCCAGCTGTCCGGCTCCGAGGTCTTCGTGGGTTCGCCACGGCTGTCAGCCAGCTTCGACCCTGCTAATCGCTGTGTAGGCCGCGCTGATCACCAAGGGCAAGAAAATCCATGCCACTTACAAGACCCGTGAGAAAGCGGCTGTCTCACAGGCTGCTAGCGGCGTGGCCGCCACGGAGGCCCTGGCGGGTTTGCTGGTGCAGTGCTGCTACATCAACAACGCTCTCCGCGCCATCGCCGTGAATTCCCGCCTCGCAGCTGTCCGCCACCTTTTTTCTTTCTTTTCTTAATAAACCATGGCCTACCGTGGCCTCACTTCTTTCTGGGTAGGCGCAAACTATCGTTATTCGTCCCTTCCTCTCTCTGACTATCCACAGTGGCTGCCCTGTATCGTGGCCAAAATATGGCTGTCGATGCTGCTAGGAATGCTGCTACACTAGACTGTAGCAAAAAAAAGCGAAATCTACGACTTTCTGGACTCGAACACTTTCGGGAACGATTAGACCATAACTATGTTTTTGACTGTGGTGCTTACTGTTCTTGTGGCTAGCAACCCCGCCTCGGCTTGTTGGGAGGAGCTTTGAGTACGCCCTATTATCAGGTAGAAATGACGGCGAATTCACGCGCAGAGATTGAGCATCACAATAATAGAACACAACGGGCAATTAATCAAATTATATTTTCAGTTCTTCGCAATCATTCATCTCGTGGTCAAAGAATATGATCAAGGCCTTGATGATGCGGTGGCCCTGGGCGAGTCAGTGAGTTGGGCGGATGGACAGGAGCGAAAACGAGTCATCGAAAGAGTGAGCTATGGGGTAAGAGTTGCTGATAGACGTAAGAGGTGCCGATTGACTTGTGATTCCACGTGTACATAAAGGGTGACTGCTATTTAAACACTATTTTCAAGTGAATTCTCAGCCACGGGAGGGCGATGGTACATGGGCTGCACACAGCGAGCTGGGGGCGGTCTTCAGTTCCTACGTACTGGTACCTGGGTATCAATTTGGCAGGCGCTCCAGCAGCAAGGTCTCCTCACTGCTCAGGGGCAGAAGCCACGCCACGTGCCTATCCATAGATCTGATGACGACGACAAAAAGAGGACATGTAAGGGCAGGGGCGCGTTGGACTGGGACGCGTCGAGCGCGTTCCTGTCGTTCACAAAAGCTGGGTGGCAAATTTGAGTGGGCGGCAAAACGCGAAAGGTGGCAAGTGCGGAGGAAGGGGGCATCGAATGGAAATAATGAGGAGCGGAACAGGAATCGAAAAATACAACGAGACGAATATGCAGATGAAGACAATTGTTTCAGTTGTCAAGATCTAGCGCCGGCTTAATACCCAGATCGCCGGGAACAATGGGGAATAATGGTCCCGCTGCGGATCTCGCCTGGTGAAACGGTGTCTTGCCTCTCGCTACATTACAGATGGGAAGAATAAAAAAGATGAAAAAGATAAGAAAGATGAGTGAGATAATAAAGATAAAAAGGATTAAAAGAAAGACAGACAAGAAAGACAAGAAGATAAGAAAGACAAGACAAGAAAGACAAGACAGATAAGAAAGATAAGAGCGATAAGAAAGATCCAAATCCAACAGCAACAGGGAGAAAAGAGATGCGTACGCCCCGCTCCATTATTAACAGAAGAGTCCAAGTCAAATAGGAAGTTCGGTCAAAAATCTGCTCTTTCTCCTCTTGTACTGCTGTCGCGTCCGTTGCTCTGGGAGACAGACGCGTCCTGGCGTCCTGCCCCTATCCAGCCCCTGTGGCGAAACACGATGCCATCTTTGGACGGACATTGCCATCATGAAGAAAGGAAAGCAAATGGTGAATAGAGATGAAATAAATCGAGGGAAATTGTATTTTAAATGATTCAAAATGTATTTTGTAGGCAAAAACGGGCATATAGTACGCCAATTTTCCCGGCGTTTTAGATTACCTCCTCAGAGCAGGATCACCGAACAGCCGCTCTGCCTCATATTCCAGCTCGGGATGTCCAGCCTCCCTACTACAGTCCCTTTTCCTAACTCGTTCTTCTCGTGACTCATGGCTGATTGTGCTGGCTGATTGTGATGGCTCTATCTGTTCTCCGCCGCCCTCGTCCGCTTCTTCTTCTTGTCGCTCCTCTTCATACTCTTCATACTCTCCCGCGACTACACACAAAAAAGCTCAATTCCACGCTCAAAACGGCCCCAAAAAGTCGGGGCTTTTCTTTTTCATTTCTTTTTTTTCAACCATGGCCTATCGAGGCCTCATCTCTTTTTGGGTAGGTGCAATCTATCCTTATTCGTCCCTTCCGCTTTCTGACTATTCACAGTGGCTTCCGTGCCTCGCCGCTGTTGTGTGGCTGAGCATGCTACTTGGAATGCTTTTAAGCTGGGCCGTGTCTGACCACGGCGAAGTTTACGATTATCTCGATCCAGACATAAAAATCGTCTACATTTCTCACGTCGGGGCTGGGAGAATGAAGCCCCTGTTCATCGCCGGCTCTCTGTTGTCTTGCCTCCTGTTGGATCTCGCCATGCTCACGGAGAGATACCTTCGCCACAAGAGGCGGCTCCTTCCCGATGCTACAGTTTACGAGAAGCTACTGGCTACGCTGTCCATTTTCTTCGCGATCGTCGGCTCGATCGGCCTCGTCGGCCTCGCCATATTCGACACGAAGAACTACCATATACTCCACAATCTTCTCCTCGCCCACTTCCTCGGTGGCTACATGCTCGCTGCCGTCTGCGCCTGCTGGGAATGCCACCTTCTCATCAAGAGAAACTCGGAGAGCTGGCACCGGTAGGAGCGGTCGTGGCTCGTGAAAGCACTCCGATTCAAGCTCATTGTCGCGGTGTTTGAACTGTTTTTTGGCGTCCTCTTCGCTGTCATGAGTCTTGCCGGCAAGAACGATGCCGCGGCTGTCATGGAATGGACTGTTGCCTTCATTTTTACCCTCTTTATTCTCTCCTTTGCGCTGGACCTCTACCCGGCTATCGTTACCAGGCGCGGCTCAACAACTGGGTGGCAATGGAACTTGGGAGTTTAATCTTTTGGCGTTTTCTTTCTTGGGCGGTTTTACCATTGATTGTTTTGGGCATTGGGAGCTACTATTATTACGTTGACTGTTTTGGACTATTGCTACTTTGATTGTTTCGGCACTTCTTGACTATTAATACAGCATAAATAAGATAAATGCAATTGTTTTTCGTTTGTTTTTATCATGGTTTCTCCCTAGGTCATTTAAATCTTCTAAATCTGTATTATTTTGCTTAGTATCGCTCTCCTCGCTATCCTCGCTATCCTCGCTATCCTCGCTATCCTCGCTATCCTCGCTGTCGTCACTGTTTTCGCTATCCTCGCTGTCATCGCTATCCTTGTTATCCTTATTATCCACCTTATCCTGTTTATTCTAGAGCAGCTACCTAGGACCGCCTTTCACCTCCACTCGGAGTCCTACCGCAGCGACGTCGGATTCTACTCTGAGGGCGGCATCGTCTATATGCGCCGCTTCCCCCACGCCCACGCCATGGGCAAAGATAGCTTCCAACAAGGACGGCTAGCGGTCAGCTCAAGGAAAGCGGTAGGCTGTTGGCGAGCACGAAGATCGTCGCGCGGTGGACGCTTTGCGTGCCCAGGCTTCATTAAACTGTACTTCAGTGGTTGCTTTGTGGGTAGCTGTGCGGTCGCAGTGCCAGGCCGAGGCCGGACGAAGAGGGAGAGTTGCTCAGTGTGCCAAGAGTCGTATTAAGTAAATAGTGTTTAGAAAGAAACGATACTCCCAACTGATACTTGCTTCCCATCTCGTAACAATCCAAGAAAACGGGCAAAAGAAAAAAACGCATGTATAGTAACGATTTCCAAAACAAATACCCTCCTCTTTCCTAATGTACGGCAGGCGTCGAGACACGCGCCAGTTTTAACGAAATGTACACTCTCCTACATCTCCTCTATGAAGCGGGAATCGCGGGCAAGGCTGCTGCTGCTCCGACGGCGGTCGTCCTCGATGGGCTTGGGTAGCGCGAGTGTGTCGGTATGAGGGTGCGCATCGACCGGAGCGGCGTGTTCCTCGACGGGTGAGCTGATGGGGCTGACGCCGCGCGAGTCGGCCTTGTCCTTGGCGGTCGCGGGCTTGTGGTGCGTGACGACGGGTTCGTGGGCGGCGGCGGTGGCAGAGGAAGTGGCCAGCTTGGCCTCGGGTTCCTTGATCTCGAGAGCGGGGGCCTTGTCGACGTCCTCGGACTTCTTTGCGGTGGAAGATGCTACCTCGTCCTTGCCGGCGAGGGCCACATCACGCATGCTGGACGACCGGTTCTCCAAGCTGGTGACGGGGTCATGGGCCTTGGCCTTGGAGGAGCCGCCAAAGAAGCTGCGACGTTTCTCGCTCGAATCTTTCTTGGTGGTGGTGACAGTGGCGGCGGCGGTGGCCTCGTCATGCTTGCTGTGTGAGACGGAAAAGCGCTTCTTAAGCCAGCCTTTGACGCCCGGCTTGGACTTTTGTGATGACGCGGATCCTTCGACCGACTTGCGCGGGGTAGCGGTGTCGGTGGTCTCGACTCCATGGCTGGGTGTAGATTCGGCAGCACTGCTTCTGTGGCGGTCGTGCTCGTCGTCGGTATCCAAAAGGTCGTCGCTGTCATCGTCTTCTTCGGCCGCGGCGGGGTGAGCCTCGTGGGATGGGTGCGTCTCAGGCGCGGCTTCCGTTTCCCCCGCTGTCGTGGGAGCGGTCGCAGCAGCGCCGCCGAGCTTCGATTTGCGCTTCTCTTCCTTAGCTAGACGCTGTTGCTCAGCCTTTTCTGTCTTTTCCTGCTCCTTACGAGCCTTGAGCTCTTCCTTCTCATGCGCCTTCTTAGTCTTTTCTTCGTCCTTTTTGGCCTTGGCTTCGAGTTTCTCCTCATCCTTTTTGGCCTTGGCCTCCTGCTTTTCCTCGGCGCGCTTGGCCTTTTCTTCGGCCTTTTCTTGCTCTATGAAACACGTTAGTCATGCGCCTTTTGTATCACGAGGGAATATGCGTACCCTTGGCTTTCTTGGCCTCTTCCTTCTCAGCGCGTTCTTCGGCTTTGATTCTCTCCAGCTCCTCGCGTCTAGCGTCTTCTTCCGCCTTCAAAGTGGCTATGCGTGCACGCTCAATCTCTGCCTTTTCGTTGATGTCATCTAGCACAGGCTGCAGTCTCTTGGCGGCAATAGCATTAATCTCTTCCTGGGTCATGAATTTGCCCCCGCCGATATCAATCTTGCCCTTATTTTCGGTACGTGTATCGGACCGGGCCTGAGCAGCTTGCTGAGCCTTCATTTCCCAGTCACTCAGCTTGTTCGAGCTGCGCTTGCCGGTCTCGTTGTAGACTTTTTCGTCCATGCCTTGCAGACGAGCTTTGACATTACGCTGGGCGGCAGCGAGGAGGGCTTCGCGGTCCTTGGCCCGCTTCTCGGTGTCGACTTGGGACAGCTTGTTGGAGAACATGGACATTTGCTGGCGAATCTTTTCGGACTGGACCTTATCATCGGGAACGGGATCGCTATCGGCACGGCGGCGCAGCTTGTTAGCCATGGAAAATTTGCGGCGGGGCGAGGAAGAGTTGCCGTAGTACTCCTGCGCATCGCGGTTTTGCTGGTGCTCGTCGTGCAGCTTGGCCAGGCGCTCCTGGGCCTGCTTGTACGCGGCGTCTTGGAGGTTGAGGTAAGTCCCAGCGAACGGGGTGTTCTCTTGCTCCTTTTCCGCGCCCTTATTCTGGTCGAGCTTCTTTTGCTGGTGCTGGTACATCTTTTTGGCCATCTCGACGGCAGTCTGGTGGATTCGCTCCTCATCGGTTTCGGGCTTGACTGGCGGGTGGGAGGTAAACATGTTTCGGGTCATGTTTGTGATTGGAACGGCGCCAACCTCCTCGATGGTGGGCTTGTGGACCATAAGAGAGTTTCGGTGGGCGAGCGTAGCGCCATTGAGAGCACTCGAAGCGGCGCTCGCCTCTAGGGCATAGTTGTCTTTCTTCGCGGAGCTGGGGCGCGCGGAGTCGCTCTTGGACGAAGCCATGGCGCCCTTAGCAGCAGCGAGGGAACGCTGCTCAATCGACTTGCTTGGGGAGGACTGCGCGGTGTGTTCGATGGTGGAAGCTCGGTTGCTGTGGAAGGCTTGAGTTGCGGCGGTACCACCGCCGGCCACGCTTGATGCTTCGGCGGACGCTGGACGAGTGGCATGGAAAGCCTGGGTAGCCGCTGAGTTGCCCCAATTGTCGTGGGCTGACTTCTTTGGGGTTTCGGGTCGCGGCTTGAGAGCGGCACCGGCGGAGCCGACGGCGAGGAGAGCAGCTTTGCTAGCGCCGCTGTCGCTGGCGGGCTCCCAAGTGGCCGACGACTTGTAATCCTTTGCGAGAACCGCAGCGGCGGATGCGGAGGACGTCTTGTCAGGTCGCCAGGGCTCAGGAGACTTTTGGTTGGCCCATCCTAAGGTGGCGGCGGCGCTGGCGGCGGCGGCATTCTGGCTGAGGCCGGCGGAAGGGAAGCTGGGAAGGTCTTTGGGGTCGGCATATTTAAGCCTGCCGGCCGTGGAAACTGGAGGAAGGGATCGAATGTAAGTAAGTAGGCTGGCGGTGAGGGAGGGAGGCCAATATAAAGTAAGTGAGTGAGGGTATATGAGAATGAGCAAATTTGCGGGGGTGAAGAAGGGTGGATCGATGATTGTGGCTGCTGTGGTTGCGAAGGAGCGACGATCTCGTGTTCGCGCAAGGCGTGGGATTGTATGCATGGAGATTGACGTACCTTGAGCCGACTTGGGCATGGCTTAGATGCGGCGAGCGATTGTTTTCCCCAGTACAATTCGTATTCAAGCTGTAGGGGTATAGGTATATTGTAGCACAATGGTGGTGTTGGCGGTGGCGGTTTTGTCGCCGCTTGAGTCTGGCGGCAATCGTTTGTGGGATGGATGAGAGAGGCTACGGTGCGCCACAGGGATGGGATGCCGGGGGGTGATAAAGGAAGCAGAATAAAGAAAAGCTATTGAAAAGGATGGGTAATTAGGCAATTAGAGCAAAAAAAGAATCAAGGTAGCAAAGTCAATCGAGGAGACAGAAGGAGAGAGTTAGAGCAGCGAGCTTCTTGGGTGAGACGAGAGCTTGGTTTGCCGCCAGCACTAACGTTTTGGTTGGGCTTGATGGTAATGATTTGTTAGTGATAGCTCCAGGTTAGGAGGATAGGCCGGTAAATGACAAGCAGGATTTTGGGGGAGCTCGATGCTGACGTCATCGGCATTGTCAACACAGATCCGGATTTTGGCAAGAGCTTAAAAAAAAAAAACTTTAGGTGCTAACCTACATGGTAATTAGGTAGTTAACGTTAGTTGCCAGCACGGGGTACCCTGGGCAGTTTTAGCTGGTGGCAGTGTGGTGGGTTGGCCGAGCAAGTGCGTAGAAGTGGGTCATAGGTATGTACATACATAGGTACTTGATGGCAAGTTCGAATCGATCTTTGTTCTCTTGTTAACAAAGATCGATTCGAAACTGGTCATGGTATTATTCAACTTACAATGACCACACCAATACCAAATGCTACCAGGATCAGAGTGTCTAACCGCCTAGTCAAGACTTACCGTGACACCGTCACCAAGGTATGTACTTTGGCAGCCAAACGACCCAATGACCCAACGCCAGCTCTCCCTCGATAAACTCTAATAAACCGGCTACATAGGTACCTACATAGCTCTCTCCCATCGTTCGTTCATTGGCCTTTGCAGATATCGGTCGCCTGAAGAGCCGGCCTCAGCGCTCTGTGGCCAAGCAGAATTATCATCAGCAATATCCCATCCTCGCCTCCATTTTCAGCCATCAACTCCCGACCGACACCAGAAGCTGTCTGCTTCGACATCGTCAATACCATCCAAGGCAGACTTGCCCTTCCTCACCATCCGCTTCTAGCCTAGCTGCTTCGGTGACACGATACCGGCGACCGGGGCCTCATGACGTCGCCATCCCCAGGGCTCTCCTCTCTCTGCTTGGGCCAGGGAGGCACCCACACAATGAACGGGGCCGACGTGGGCACCTTTTCCGACCTAGGTAGCTTGTTAGAGCGTCGAGTTTATCCTCATATTCCTTTCCTCTCCTCATGTTATTGACATAAGAGAATCGATACACCTTCGTCCCCCCTTCTGACGAGGTTGATCCCCATGTCTTTCTTTCCCAGTCAGTCCCTTTGCCCCGCATCAGTGCGACTTCACATATTGGCACTCAGTACGCCAGGGGCTGTCCATGCCGTGTGCACGGATTGATTAGTCGCGCGCAAAGCTTCACGGCGAGACCTTCAGAGACAGACGAACCTTTGCTTTTGCGTTTGGATCAGCTCTGGCGCCATGCGATGCAACACCACTTCACCTTGCAAGAGCAGCGCTTTCCAATAGTGAGGCGCCTCAACCACAGATTTGCTATTTTCTACCCCTCACGGCTATAATTGCTTTGTTTCATGTCCTCCTGCAAAGCCAGTTTCTCGAGCGCATTATTCCATGTCGCGAACTGGGTCCGATATCCGCTTATTGGCAGATGCCGAGTTTGGCTGCGGTCCTTTCCGCTGCGGGAACCTGTCAGTCACCAGGCCATAAAATCCCGGCACTGGTCCATCAAACATTCTGTGATTTGCCGGTTATATTAGCATGCGCGCTCCGTACAGTTTATAAAGGCGGTCTATGAGACATTTCCAGAGACGCATGGCATTAACTAAATGTGTGTTGTCGTGCCAAGGTGACGCGTGGACGCCGCGGGGCTCGGGAATACTGCTTGGAGACATCCGATGAGCAGCATATCTCAGACATGGCAGTCTTCAGCTGGAATGATGTGAGGGGGCTTGACAAAAGATCTCTAGAATGCTGCATCCAAGACGGCAGCACGGCAGCACGGCAAGAGTGGAGAGGACAAGCAAGCCGGCTGCAGAAATGGCGGCCTTATTCATGGAACCTGATTCTTGATTCTCCTCATTCTTTTCGATATTCCGTGCATCCCACTTCTTGCCCAGGACAGATGCTACCTTGGATCCAAGCTATCGAGTATCTCCCCACTCGTCGTTGCGGTGCGGCTGGTGACATTCACAGTCTCCGTCTCCCCTCACACCTCGCAGCAGGCGACTAACACATTCACACCACATCAAACATGACACCACAATCCGTAAATGCCACCTCGTTTTGCCAGCCGACGCATGGAACCGCCGCTTGGCCTTGCCTATCTGCGGCTGATGGTCTCCAGCCGAGAGAATGGAAATGTATATGAACTGTCGGCTCCCACGTTCCTCCAGGCACTCCAGCAAGTCCATCCATCTGCTACTTTAGTCCTCGCCTCATTACACGTACAAATACACATATACACTCGCACACGCTTTTATCCAAATACATACAAAAATCCAAGCATGTACTTTTCCACCACCTTCATCGCAGCCATCAGCACCAGCGGCGGCGTCGACGCCACCTCCCTGGCCTGTACGTGCTCTGTCCTTGCTTTTTGTCCACCTTGACCCTTGCTGAGCGGCGGGTGTTGATAGCGCCTCGCGATAATGTCCAGGTAGATGGCGGCGAGCCTGCCAAAAGCAGACCAGCTAGCGGAAAATAAGCCGCCAATCAAGCGCCCGGTGTCTTGATGCCATGGTACAGCAGGCTGTGAGTGGTATTGGATGGCGTTGCGCTGGGCGGATGAGTGGTAGGTACCTGCTAGGATAAGGGGGCCGGATTTATTGTAACATACTTATCTTGATGCGAAATGCGAAATGACCTTTTTTCCTTTTTTTATTCTATCTTATGACTGTTTTCCCATTACGTAGCGGTAACTTGGAAACTAAGCTCCTCGTCGATAAACTATTTGCGTGATACAGTTGTACAGCCTGCTTGAGTTACTAGACACTGCATTAAGAACACGGCATGCATTAAAGTTTTATTGCGAGTTTTTCTTGAAATTCCATCTATGCCTAATTTATGCAGAATTGTTTTTAATCGCGGATGTTTAAGTTTCAACTGCCGATGCGTGCTCCAAAACGCTGCGCTCACACCGTCGCGCCCGTGATAAGATAACGGCGGCGATCTCCAGTGCGCGACGGCAAGCGCTAGCCTTAGCCTACTGTACCACAAACACCAACATCTTCACTACAATCCAGCTACCTCCAATCGTACACGGCCGCATTTCGATGAGTATTTCTCGAATTCTCGAATCTAGATACCAACAACCCCACCAAACGCGTCAACCTCATCCCACTCGACCGCGCACGACAGTTCTCCCCCGCCACCATGACTCTCTCGCCCGTCGTGACGACGACGCAGTCCGAGGGGACCACGATACGTGCCATCGGCTCGCCATTTAAGAACCTGACCTCCGGTACAAATTCGTCGTCCAACGGCACGCCCAAGCTCACGCCGCCCACGTCCGTGCCGCAGCTGCCTACCACGCTCGATGTCGCCGAGCAGATGAACGAGGAAGAGAAGCGGAAATACGTCAAGGGCAAGCAGAACTCCCCTGTGATCACCTGCGCCACCTCTAGCTCGCATAGCTAACAGCTCCCAGGCAAGAAACTCGGTGAAGGCACATACGCCATCGTCTTCCTCGGCCACCTCAAGTCCAACCCCGCCAAGCAAGTCGCCATCAAGAAGATCAAGGTCCAGAAGGAGTACACCGAAGGCATGGCGCCCGACGCCGTGCGCGAGCTCAAGCACCTGCAGGAGCTCTCGCACCCCAACATCATCTCCCTCCTGTCCGTATTCTCCTCCAAGGACCAAAACCTCAACCTAGTGCTCGAATTCCTGCCCCTCGGCGACCTCGAGATGCTCATCCGCGACACGGACAACGTGCGCTACGGCGCCGCCGACATCAAGGCCTGGATGGGGATGCTCACGCGCGCCGTCTGGTTCTGCCACACCTCCTTCGTGCTGCACCGCGATATCAAGCCCAACAACCTGCTCATCGCTGCCGACGGTGAGGTCAAGCTCGCGGATTTCGGTCTTGCGCGCTCCTTCGCCGACCCGCACCGCAACATGACCTCCAACGTCATCACGCGCTGGTACCGCCCGCCAGAGCTGCTCTTCGGCGCGCGCCACTACTCGGGCGCCGTCGACGTGTGGTCCGTCGGCGCCGTCTTCGCCGAGCTCGTCCTGCGCGCGCCGTACATGCCGGGCGCCTCCGAGGTCGACCAGGTCCGCCTCATCTGCGAGGCCGTCGGCACCCCGACCGAGGACAACTGGCCCGGCGTCACCCGCCTCCCCGAGTACACCGTCCCCTCCGGGCCGACCATCCCCGCCCACCCGCGCGACTGGTACATGGCCCGCTTCGGCACCGTCGGCGCCGACGGCGTCGACCTCCTCGTTAAGACCCTGATGCTCGACCCCAAGAAGCGCATCACCGCCGCGGACATGCTTCGCCACCCCTGGTGGCACGCGGACCCTAAGCCCACCCCCAAGCGCGACCTCCCGCGCAAGGGTGGCGGCGAGGCTCAGGCCCAGGTTGGCGCCGACTTGAAGCGGCGGCCAGGCGTCGTCGACGAGGATCGCGGGAGCAAGGTGGCGCGCAAGCTGGACTTTGGGCAGAAGAAGTAGTTTGCCCCGTGGAAGGCTACTTTCTCTCTCATTTCTTCCTTGAAAAAATAATTGCATCCGGCGTTTTGGGGTTTTGGTTTCTTTTGGATTGAGCCCGGATACAGACTCCTTCACATCACTCGGCGTTGAAAACGAACAGCTACATAGCTACATGCCATGCGTAACTGGATTAGGAATATACAAAATAACCTGTTATTCGTCACCGTACAATTGTAGCTCGCATTCTATGCTGCCATCAAGGCAATATGTAGCGGGCAAAAAAAAAATCAACAGTAAAAAGCAGCCTCTGTTACTTTTACCCAACACCCGCCCTTCTTCCCTCTCCTCACCAACCCTACATCACGCAGCAATCCATGCCGTACATGGCCCTCTCCACGCCCTTCCTCACCGCGTACCAGTCCGCCCTCCGCTGCGCATACTCATACACCTCCTCCGCGCGAAACACGCCCCCGAACCTGTCCCCGTCCGCAATCACCGTCGCCATGTCCTTGGCATGGGCGCCCGCGTCGATCAGGAACACCTGGCTCAGCTCGCGCAGCGCCCGAAAGTACGGCAGCAGCTCGCCGATGCGCAGCGTGCGGACGTACTCAAAGTACAGGTTCATGTCGGCGATGAGGGTGATGGCGCCGTCGACGCTGACGCGCTGCCGCTTGAGGTGCTTGCAGATGGCGGCGAAGAGCCGCTGGCCGACCTCGCCGTTGAACACGTCCAGCATCGCCTTGTCCGTGGTGCCGACGAGCATCGACGTGTGGCCCGAGACGAGCGCCACGATGCGCTTGGCCGTCGGCGAGGGCCCGATCCCCAGACCGCCGCCGCTGGCACCCCCAACAACCACGCTCGCCCTCTTGTCCGTCACCGTCACGTCCGCCGCCACCGTCGGGCTCGGGTTGTAGTCGGTCGGCGACTGGGTCGTCGCCTGCAGGTACTCGACCTCGTCCATGAGCACGTCGATGCCCTTGTTGAGCCCCGCCGCGACCGACTCGTCCAGCATCTGCTCGAAGCGCTTCTTGGCCATGCCCGCCGGGTCCAAAAAGTCGTTGCGGTCCGCGATCCGCGGCGTGGCCAGCTGCTGCTCGTAAAACACGTCCACCATCTGCGAGATGAGGTCCCCGACGTTGACCAGCTCGATGAACGTCACCAACGGCGCCACGCCACCGCTCCCTCCCGTCTTCTCGTCACCACTGCCGTGGCTGACGTCCCGCGGGTTGTACTGCGACAGGTGGCCTACCGCCAGGTCGAAGCCGTGCTTGACGTGCCGCTGGCCGAGGATGCGCAGCAGCGCCACGAACACGGCCGCGCACTGCTCGCGCGCCTCGCCGCCGGCCTGTCCGCCCAGCGGGATCAGCGGCGCCGCGCGGCCCAGGCTCGCCTTGGCCGCCTGCACGAGGCTCAGCGCAACCTCAATGCTGCACAGCGACTTGATGCCCTCGAGCTTGGACGCCATCAGCGCCGCCTTGGCCGCGAGCTCGTCCGTCGGCGCCGCCTTGGTCGCGGTGCCGCCGGGCGCGGGGCTGTTGCGGCCCAAACCCGGCGTCTCCGGCCGCGAGGGCATCGGCGTCGCGGCGGCCGAGGCCTGCGTGCTGCTCGACGAGAAGCCCATGCCGGGCAGCGCGGTGACGGGCATCATGACGACCTTGCGGAAGGAGCTCAGGAAGTCCTTCTTCTCCGCCGAGCGGTTGATGTTGGACATGTAGTACGACTCGAGCGACGAGTCCTGCTCTGACAGCTTCTTCTCCCACTGCGAGACGACGTCCTCCGCCCGCGTCGTAAAGTACTCCAGCTCATCCTGGAGGTACAGGTCCAGGTGCGGCTCAAACACCCGCAGCACCATGACCCTGGACTGCTCCCGCACCTTGGCCTCCGTCTCCTCCTCCGTGCCCGCGTCCGGCGGCTTCAGCGACCGGAAGAAGAGCATCGTCTGCTCGAACACGCCCGCGACCGCCTTGAGGTACATTCCCGGCGACCGCTCGTGGCACTCGTCGAACAGCGGCGTCGTGTACTCCATGACGACGTCCTCGCGGACCTTGTCGACGAGCTCCCAGAAGACGCGCTCCGCGTCGGGGAAGATGCGCTCGATCACGCCGGCCTGCTCGTTGACCTTGGCCAGGAGCCGCTCGAAGAACTGCCGCGCAGGCGCGAGGGACACGTCGTCGGCGCCCTGTCCGCGATGGATGCACTCGATCGGGTTCACGCTCGCGCCCGTGTCGTTGAGGATGGGGTGCTTGCGGATGAAGACCTCGACGGCGCTCTTGGCGCCGTTGAGCGCGTGCAGGACGTGGCCGAAGCGCCGCATCCGGCCGTCCACGTCCCAGAACTCGTAGCCCTGCTCAAACTCGCGCATGACGGCGCTCTCGAAGATGCCCGTCATGGCCTCAAGCTTGGCCTCGCGCGCCATGCACCCGGCCGCCCAGTCGCTGCGGGCGAAGCGGCGCAGGTTCGCGAGCATGCGCGCCTGCGTCTCAGGGTCGCGAAACGCCTGGAAGACGAGAGGGTCGGCGTGCGTGCGGGCCTTGACGATGTCGAAGTAAAAGGGCGCCAGCGCGCCGTAGATCTTGCCGTACTCTTGCCGGGCGGCCCCGCGTATGCTCTTGGCATTGACGAGGACGTCAAGGTACGCAGCCTGTCCGTCAGCACCGGCGTTGTTAGTGTTAGCGGGAGCCCCGACCGTCATGGTCTCGAAGCCGTCGCGAAGCTCCGAGACTGCTCGTTTTCGACGCTGTTCTTCGGTCGAGGCGTCGAATAGTGTGGTGGTGGTTTGCTTGTTGGTGCCGTTCTGCGCAGCGGCGGCGGCGGCGGCGGCGGCAGCCTGCTCACGACGGCGACGAACAGCCTCTTCGAAGCGCTGCCTGGCTTCGCGCTCGTCCCAGCAGCCCATGCTCTTGAGGCGGGACACCCAGCGGGGGTCCTCGTAGACCATCTCCTGCATGCGGCGGGATGTTCGAGCGACTCGCATCTGGTCGGCAACGGGGAGGTAGTCGAGCACGGCGACTAGTATTTCTGCAAGAGTCATGTCCGTTAGTTTCATGTACGGTGCATAGAGGTTCAATTCCGTGCGAGTTTTTACCTGCTGGCAGCTTGGACTGGCGGTCGAGCATCTCAGTCGCCGCCAAGGCGCTGAGGATGCTGCGGCCGCGCGAACCGCCGCCATTTGCATTGTAGGCGGCCATTCCGCGGCGGGGGGAGGGGAGCGGTGGCCGCGAGGGTAGGCTGTTCAGAGGGTAATCGTGTAATCATGAGAGTCCTGGGCAGCTGTGGGAAGCATCCGCCGTCATCATTCTGTGCGAGATGTTTTGTTTCTGTTCGTTGTTTGGTTGGAAGCAAGCTGTCCAAATTGAGGAGGGGCGGTGGCGGTTGGAGTTGGAGGCCCGATGCGTCACAGGCGCTAGATGGAGACTGGGGCAGGGCAGGGTCCAAATTATTGATAATTAGCCACGTCGTATTTGTGAAATGCAGATGCTATTTCGAGGATTTTGAAGGGATAATAAAATTTGATAAAAGCCAGAATGTATTTTTGGGATATTGACTTCGACTGGGGTCTGAGTGCTGGTGGCCGCAATGAGCTATGTACGTAGCTCCCTGTGTTGAGGCCGCCATCATCACCAATCAGACTTGCCCTAGACAGAGTTGAACATGGAAATCCGCATATATCACTTGACGTGTAACTAAATAAAAGCTAACTGAAATATTCGTGTCCCATATCTAACCGAAATGCGGCAACACCGTTGACGACGCAGTCCTCCCATTGTATGTCCCTCCATCCATCGCGTCTATATCGTTCATGGTCTCAACAGCGACGACCTTCTAGTCTAAAAATGTAAAGAGATGCGTATGCAGCACATTCATCGCCCGACTGGCATCGCGAGCGTCAATGACGCAAGAAATGTTGATTTCGCTGGCTCCTATTTTCCTCGTTAGTAAACATACACACACATACACATCTGGCTCCTCCACGCAAGTCAGTCACGTCACGTACCCTGAGAGATCATCTCCAAGTTGATGCTATGCTCGCCCAACGTCGAGAACATCTTACCCGCCACGCCCACCATGTTCTTCATGTCCGCACCCACCAGGCTCAGGATCGCCATGTCCGACAGCACGCTCACGTCGCCGCACTCCTCGAGGCTCTGGCGCGCGCTCGCGAACGCGTCCACGCGCGTGCTCGCCGAGTGGATCGCCAGCGAGACGTGCACCTCGGACGTGGAGATGAGGTCGACCGAGATGCCGTGCTTGTCGAGGATCGAGAAGACGCGCGCGAAGAAGCCGTGCGAGATGGACCGCTTGTTCGAGTGCACGTTGATGACGCTGATGCTGTCCTTGATCGTCACCGCCGTCGGCCGCTTCGGCGGCTTTGGCAGCCCGTCCGCGCCCGCCGCCGCGGACAGGTGCGCCAGCGACCGCGACCGGTGCAGCTGGTGCGACGCCGACAGGATCGGGTCCGGGATGACCACCGTGCCCGTGCCGCGCGGGTTCTTGACGTTCTTGATGCGGATCGGGATCGGCGGCGCCGCGCGGATCACCTGGTCCATGGTCAGGTGGTGGATCACCTCGGAGCCGTAGAACGTCAGCTCCGCCGCCTCGCTCGGCGTGATGCTCGTCAGCAGCCGCGCCGTCGGCACCTTGGACGGGTCCGCCGTGAAGATGCCGTCCACCTCCTTCCAGATCTGCAGCTCCGCCGCGGCCAGCGCCACCGCGCACAGCGCCGCGCACAGGTCCGTGTACCCGCGCCCAATGTCCCCGTCGATCAGGCTGCCGGGAACGTTGCCGAAGAAGCCGGTGACGACGGGCACGCGCGCGCCGCACGCAGAGAGCTTCCGCCGGAAGGCGTCGACGGCGGTGGCGTAGAAGGCGGCGTCGAGGGGGGCCGCGGCGTCGCAGTGCAGGACGTCGCCGAGGTCTACGTACTCGGCGTCGACGCCCTAAAACAGTTGTAAGCGGCTGAAATCGAATGACAGAAATGGAAATGGGCATGTAATAGGAAGATGAAGGAAGACATACACTATCCTGCAACACGGCCGTCATGGACAGACACGCCAGCTTCTCGCCAAAGCTTATCACCCGGTCCTTGGAGCGCGCGTTGATCTCGAGGTTGAAGCGCTTCGTCGCGATGATGTACTCGACCAGCTCCTGGCACTCGGCCTGGATGCGGGCGACCAGCTTCCCGCGCAGCGCCGGCGCGGAGACGTGCGCCTCGGCGGCGGCGACGTGGTCGCGGCAGATGTCGTCAATGAGGGCCTTGGCAGCGTCAATGCGGGCGACCTGCTCATCCTCTTCGTTTATGGCGGCGCCGACGGCCTTGAGCTGTGCATAGACGTTGATCAACCTGTTTTTTGGTCGTGTTAGACGAGGTAAGTGCGGGTGAAGAGGTTGACGTACCGGCTCGTGGTGCCCTCGGCCTTCTTCCCCGTGCTCCGCGCAGAACACACGACGACGACTCGATTCTGTGACAGGCTTGCCCTGGAATGGGTTAGAGTTTCGATCACCATGAGATCCGCAAAGGCGATCCACAAAGGCGTACCTGACGATATCATTTGCAATCTATGTTGGGATAGAGTTAGCGTGTCTGTGTGTCTCATGCATCTCTCACCCCGGCTGATGAGGGCATCGCGACATTTCGCCCATCAAACATACCTTGCCCGGAAACTTGCCGACGCTCGTGCCGCCGAACTTTTGTACGACCCAGGGCAGCTCGGGCGAGTTGCAGTGTGAGTAGCCGCTCATGGTGGCTGATGTGGCGGTTTGTCCCTCTCAGGCAGCGTCTTGCCCGGGTGACGGCGGTTCGAAAATGAGGATGCTCGGTCCCAAGCGACTCAAGAAGTAGGACTATAATCTCCGTCGCTTGCTTGGCGCTGGATCGTTGATGAATTGGGAAATGCGCGAGCGTTTCCGTTTGCCGGCTTGCGGCTCGTCGCTGCAGTTTTTTTTTTCCGGCTGCGCGAGTCACACGTTGAGAAGTGAGTGGTACTTGGTGAAGCCCCGCCAATGGTGAGTGACGACGGTGACGTGCTATGCTGTGTGGCGGAGGGGATGAATTGGGAGGCAATGAAGAACAAATAAAACCACGGAAGATGTCTTGATATGTAGGAGAAGAATGAACAACAATATATGTATCTCTCAAGTGCCAATCGGGTTGTCGACTCAGTCAATGCCTAGGTTAAGAATTATTCGCTATGAGTGAAAAAAAGATTGGGTCGGTCGCCGGAGCCGGAGGCTGAGCGCCGGGGTTGGCTTGTGGTGCTAGTAGTTTGTGAGTCCACTGTACAGGCGGCCCGGGTAGATGGTCATGAATAAATTGTCAAGTAATGTAATCAAACAGCTATGCTGTGATTCGTACAAGATATTTTTAGTTGTGGTTATTTGCCTTTCTTTGCTCTGTCGCCAGTGAGTACATCCGCGTAGACGCAAAGGCCCAAGGCATCCCGATATCCGCCTATGCAGACCCTATGCGGACAATTCACGGGGCAGCGGCAATCACAGGCCAGACTGTGCTCTTCCTACTAATATGTTATTTTTTTTAACTAGTTAATATGTTATTTTTTTTTTTTTTGCCAGCCTCAACACGCTTCCCGGCTCCGTCCTCCGATCCTCTGGCGCAGCTACTGGTAGTTGCATGCCTCCCTGGCTTGGGGAAGCCAATGGCGCAATCTCGGACCAAGCTAAATGCAATCTAGGTTCGCAGCGAGATTTTCAGCCCAACTCCAAGATTAGCGTACTGTTTCTTCAGCGGCTTCACCCGCGCCGCTAACATCATCACAGCCGTTTGCCATCTAACATAGATCCTCCCCTGGCTCTGCCTCACCGAGCCCCCTCCCCCTATCCTTATACTCAAGCCACCATGGATTCTCTGCACACGAGCCATACATCACCTCCGGCGCCGACCCGACATCCACGCCTAGCAAAGCTCCCACCTCCGCCCACCTCTCGCGCCGGTTCGCCGCCCGCTCGTCCGGCCCCAGCGCCCAGGCTGCATGCCGCTTTAGCGCCTCCACGACTGCTTCCACCTCGCCCATCCCCGCCGCCTCCTGCTGTTGCCGCCGCAGCCGCGCCTCCAGCAGCCGGAACCACCCCGTGCCGCCGCCGTGCGCCGTCATCCGCCTCGCCGCCATCCACTCCCAGTGCGGCGGCATGAAGCCGCCGCTTTCCAGGTCGATGATGCCGCACACCCGCGCCCCTTGCACCATGACGTTGCTCCAGTCCAGGTCGCCGTGGGTGAAGACGTTGGGCGCGTCCCGCAGCGGCTCGCACCGCCGCCGGACGTACCCCACGACGGCCTCGCACCAAGTATGGCTCTTAATGCGCTCCATGGTAAAGTCCAGGGTGTTCCGTAGGCCCGGTCGGAGAGGCTCCCTGTTGACGAGCACCGCGTCGATAAGAGGAGACTGCAGGCGGCGCAGCTCCCCCACGAGTCCCGCAACCTGGTCGGCCACGTCCTCCCTCTCCGCATCCGACAGGTCGGGCCAGGCCGATTCCAGCGTCACCCCTGGCATCTTCTCCATGACAAGGTACTCGAATTCCCCCTTTGCGTAGAAGTCGTAGACGCGAGGCACCGGTACTTCTGTGCGCTGCGCGACGAGCTCCAGATTCCCCCGCTCTGCGTCCAGATAGGACCGGCTCCGTCGCACGGCTTTCCGAGTCGTCCCATCTTCCAGGACAGAAACCTCTCTGTCAATGATGCTACCGTCTGAAAATGGTCGCGATATCTGATGAAGCACCTTGACCGCTCCGTCGGCGCATGGACGCGGCTCAAGGATGTCTGTCGTTGCCATGTAGTGCGCTGTTGCCTGGCGACGCGTCCGTGCACCTGGTGCATTTGTAAAGTACAGCCTATCTGAGATGGGCTCGTCTAAGAAACCGACCATATCTATTAAGCAGGATTCTTTTGAGGATCAACGATGCTCTGTCTCCCTTGGTGCAAAGTAGCAGACGGTTGGTTGGCTCGTCCAAGTGTAATTGAGCAAATCAGGCAGCCACAAACGCTTCCAGCCCAACACTCTCAAATCGGCTCTGGCATGATGACCAATAAAATAATGTAGGCCATCTGATTGCGATAATTTATCGTCTTCTCTGCGCTTTCAGATCCGACGTTGACCGATAGACACGTTCTTGTCTACAGCCGCACAGAATCCTGTCACGCAGGCTAATGGCCCATGTACACCAAAAACATATTTCATTATCCTACGATGTGACTATATCATACTACGGTAGGCTTCGCTTCCGCTTTATTGCGGCTTAATTGATTAGGCGCCTGGCGACAATCGCGTACGACAGCGATCGCGGCAGCACGTGAAACTTGTCGCTTGCCACGCCTAGGAATCAAGAAAGAGCCAGGGCCATTTTACCTGAACTACTTTGATCGAGATTCGGAAATTGCTCGTGAGATTTAGCATTGTCGGCTGTGAACCGCGGTTTACAAATGAATTCCGGACACGCAACCAGTGACCAGCTACAAGCAGCAAAGCCTGCAGAAGAAGCAATGACCAGGCCCCTTTGAAGCGAGCAATCGAGCCCCTTCGAACTGACTCACAGCAAGTCCGCAGGCGAAGCTATTCTCACCTGTCCGACCAGAAAAAGCGGTCAAGGGCAACTAGTTCCAGGCTGTACGCCCGTGGCTGGCGCACAACCTCCTATCGTGTCACCAGCCCCCGGCCTCACAAACATCTATTCCGGCCATTTCAGCGAGATGAGTATTGGCTTGCTCCGCCCGGTTGGTATCACAGTGCCATCTCGTACCGTGATCTGTGCCACCACCAGCCGGAGCTCATCGCCGGCTCTCCCATTCACCATGTTTTGCCAAGAGGGGAGATCAAAATAATTGTTTATGTTACACCTGTCTGGGAGCGTATTACACAAAGATCTCGCTGTTCCCCCTTCCCGACTTCTGCTTCCATTCCTCCTCATCATTCACAACCACACACTGAAAAGGGCAACACCTCAGAAGCATTTTTCAGCTTTCAACTTGCCACCTTTCTTCTTCTCTTTTAAACAACAGCAACAATAATCATGATGATGAACAACACCCTTCCTTGCCCGGCTTGGGTCTACTCGACCGAGTCCAACGTACAGTACGTACCATCCTGCTAGCACCCTCTCCTCCCCTCTCGCTAGTCATATTAACAATTCCCCTCCAGCCGCGCAAAAGATCGGTCCTGGTTCGGCGACGACTACCAGCCCATCAGCAGCGTCCTCGAGCCCAAGCCGACCACATCCGGCGGCGGCGGCCGTCCCTCCTCCTCCCTCGGCGGCGCCGTCATCGGCATCGGCACCGTTGAGCTGCCCGTCAAGCGCCGCCCCGACGCCCTCGGCGCCTCCTCCCACGGCATCCTGCGGCTGCGCAACGTCCTCCACGTCCCCGGCTGCCTCTGCAACGTCATTGCCGCCGCCTCCCTCGCCGAGTCCGACCACCTCCTCTCCGCGCGCCCCGACCGCCCCGACGGCGTGCGCCAGATCACGGACCGCAAGGGCCGCCCGCTCGCCTACTTCCTCCCGCCGGACCGGCGCACCGGCCTGCAGCGCCTGCGCCTCAGCGGGTCCCCGGTCGGCCCGCGCCTCGGCCCGTCGCCGTTCCGCCCCGCGACGTCGTACCTCATCCGGGCCTGGTGGAGCGACGACGACCGCCGACAGGCCATGCTGCAGCTCAGCCGGCGGCCAGTCGCTCCGCAGAAGCAGCAGCCGACCTCGACCACGACGACGCCGCCGACGACAATTGCGTTCAGCGCGGAGGAGCGCGCCTGGATCAGGCGCAACCACGGCAACGTGCGGGCCTTTTTGCGGTCGCACCGGCTGCGCGGCCGCAGCGAGGAGGACGCCACGACCGCGCGGCGCATCATCCGCGCCGCCCTGGAGCCGGGCAACAAAACCACCACCACCACGAGCAGCATCAGCGTGGCGGACAGCGGGCTGGGGGGCATGGACGGGTCGGCGGCGACGGGTAGCGGCGTCCGGGTGCTCGCGGCGGAGGCCGAGAGGCACTTTGGCCCGCAGGAGCTCGCTTGGGTCCGGCGGTGGTACGGCGACGCGCTCTCCTTTATGGTGAGCCTGCGGCTGCGTATCGCGGATCCGGGCGACGGGCGCAAGGCCAACAGGGTCGCTGCCATCCTGATGGCTCCCGCCGCCGACAAGGGATAATAATGCAGCAGCTTCGCGCGAGGCAAGTCGGTGGAGGTTTTGGGGGGGGGGAAAAAAGAAATAAACTAGAAAATTTCCAATCAAAATCAGGTGGAAAGTGAGTCTTGTTTTTTTTTTGTCAAAGTTTGCGCTTTGAATAAGCAATGTGGTAGCGCTCAAGTTCAATCGAAGAAGTACTAAACAAGAAAACAAAAAGTACAATGTCAATCGGCAAAATCCGCTCTCATGGCCTCGATCTCTGATAACCTGAGGTCTACGCCACTCGGTGATACCTCACTCAGCACTTGCTATAGCTCGTTTGTGTAAAACGAGGTGGTAGATCTGGTGAGGATAGTGAAAATAGTTGAAGTGGTAACGACGGTGAAAATGATCAAGGCAGTAAAGAGTGAGGATTGCAAAGACAGAGACGCAGAAAACGCAGAAAACGCAGAAAACAGAAAAAAAAAGAAAAAACAGAAAGAAAGACACAGAAAGAAAGAGAACACAGCAAGAAAGAAAAAAACGGTGACGATGGCAGCGCTGATGCTCCTACCTCTTCCAGAGGCTTTGCACTTGCGCTTGGTCGATCTGAAAATGAGTGCAGATTGTCTTGGCCACCTCATACAAGACGTACGCCCCGCACATGACGATAGGGCCGTTGTTGATGTCCTCTCTGATTTGCGAGCCATCCAGGAGGCTCAAAAGTGATTCCTCTGGGATGCCAGCCGCCCGCACCAACGCTGATATATTGACCAGTCTCTTCTTTCGATCGTGCGGTACTCTCCAGCCGTCGCCCAACCATAGAATCGTGCTTGAAGGCGACGCGATGCTGCCGCTTTGTCCGGCTTTCTTCAAGTAATTCTGTTCCGACGTAGGTATCCTGAGTCCCGGCCGGCGAAGCAGTGGCATCAGCTCATTCTTGAGGCGCAGAGAGTCACACAAAAATACGCCATCGTTGAAATGAATCCACGCCTTGCTTCCACCATCGACGGCAAATGCTTCGTATTTCTCTCGCCAGCAGGCCCGTTCCGCAGAGTCCATCTCCTCCGCAGCCTCTATGACTTCGAACGCGTTGATTTTGTGGTCGACAAGTCGCATCGAGACCGATTTGCCTTTGAAGACCATACGTACGAGACCTGGCTGGTCATACCGGACATCCGGTATGCTAGAGCGCGGTGGTTCCGAGGAGCTAATTCTTGTTAGAAAACCACATCCGTGAAAGGTTTGGGAAATGGTTACGGGTGAGATTGACTTACCGGGTTTCGTTCATCGTTTCTATACTCGCTTGTAAAAGAAAATCCGGTAAGCCGCTCGTTTCAATGATCAGAAGCCTGCATAGTTCCATAGCAGTAGCATAGAGCAAATATATCCCGACAACCTCTCTTGGGCCCGTGAGAACGTGCATGCCCCTGCTGAGCAGTTCTCTAAATGCCTGGGTCTGAATCTTGTTGGCTTCACGGTTGGTAGCCGCCAGAAAACTCACAACGTTGAACATGGCTCTTTCGGCAATGTATGCGATTTCCTTTCCGTGCCAGTGAAAAAACTGGTAAGTCGTGTTCTCAATAAAACGGGCTGCGGCATCTTGTTGTGACCTGTTATTGGTTTGTGTAGCGTCCGCGCCGATGCCCTCCGCCTCCGACCGATGGTTAATTGCAAACCCAGTGGGCTGATGGTTATGCACGGCCAGAGGGGGCTGATAGCCAACTCCAGGGATCCAGGTTTGGATAGCTCCCAGGCTCCTTGGGTTCCAGGCGGGAATACTGGGATTAGGAGGAATACTGGAAACAGGGACGAGCGCCTCTAGCGGTTGTTCCATCAACGCCTGGAGGCGGTTAATGGATTCAGTATTCCAACCATCCCTACGCAGCATGCTAGTCGACAACACCACGGGCGGTAGTTGGGCCAAACCCTGGCTGACCGCTTCTGGTGCAGGCTGTTCTCCAAGTTGCCCAGGAATATTGCCATCGAGCCTCGCGACCGGTACATGGCCCTCAATATTGAGCTGATATGCGGTAGGAGTCGGAGTTTGTGTTCCATTAGTAGGCAAATAAAAAGGAGGGACCCGAAGGCATTGTTCAGCGGTTGGCCTGTAGTTTGGCTGAAGTTGCAAGCAAACGCACATCAAATTCCACGTTACATTCGGTGTCTGAATTTCCTTGTGCGCCATTATTCTGTCTGCCCAGGACACGACTTCGCCGGGAATGGGAAGATGCTCGGGGCGGGGATCGGGAAGGCCTGACGAGAATTCCATCGCGATGATCCCCACAGCCCAAATATCGACCTTTTCCGTATACGGCGGATAACAGATCTCGGGTGCAGCGTATTCACACGTGCCGTGATTTGTGCAGAGAAAGTAAGCCTGGCTGGAATGCCCGAAATCGGTAACCTTAACGTGAAGATGGTCACGACTCATAATGAGAATATTGTCCGGCTTTAGGTCCCGATGGGTGATGCCCCTGCCGTGTAAGTACGTCAGGGCTTCGAGGGTTTGATTCAGAATCATGTAGACTTCCATCGCTGTGAGTTGTTTGATGGAATGTTGCTGAGCCATGCTCCCGCAGCGAGCCCACTCCATGATAAGTTCTGACCTGAGTTCTGAACCTGCTCCATTGACAACATTAAACGCGTGGAACTTGATGACATTTCTCTGCTACTTGTTAGAGGATAACGATGTAAACAGCAAATCTAGTGTATGACATACGTGTTCTAGGTTGCTCAGTATGCTAACCTCCTTCCAGGGGGCTGCTGGGACCTTGTTTGTGTAGCATTTGATGGCGACAAAGGTATCAGTTTGCCTGTGCTTTGCCCGGTATACTACCGCGGAGGCGCCAGTCCCAATCAACTGTCGTTCCACGTAGACGCCTTGTCTCTCGCTGGCAGTTGATATCACGGAGGCGTCAGTCGCGGTCGCGAGGCGCATGGCTCCAAGGTTCGGGTCCTCCTTTGCGAGTCTTTCAAGAAACTCGAGGTACGCATCAGGCCTCTCGTGATCTCCCCAGCATCGAGTGAGCTCGAATGGCCGAAATAGCGGCACAACAATACTGGGCCCTGCCTGAAAAACCCACTGCGTTTCCAAGTCGATGGCCAGCGCCCGCTGCCCGGCAAAAATATTTGTACCTCGTTTAGACAGATTTCTGAAAAGAATGCTGTTCGCGGAGAATGAAATAGCAAAATGCCTTCGGCTAATAGAAGGCTGGTTTCCTTGGGGGGGGTCCGGGATCGTGGGAAGTAGTACATCGCATTTGCTCGCGTCCGAACCAAAGACGAAGCCATCACTGGGAACTCTGGGCCAATGATTCGTTGCTAAGCGAAGTATGCGTTCAGGAGCGTGTTCCATGGGAGCGGGTGTGCCATGGTCGCTTTTCTCCGATGCCTCGTCGGCGAGGGGGTCTTCGTCAAAGTTGACAGTATCATATGCCAGGAACTGTGCGTTGTGAGGATGGTCGAGAACGTGAGACGGAACTCGTATGTCAATAATCGCTGCCATAGTATTTGCAGCTGTAACAGCAATTCGTGGAACAAGTGTCCTCAAGTTCGGTAAAGAATCATGTTGTACCAAACCCCGGAGGGATGGGGTCTGGTGAGGTCGCCATGCCTTCGCCCTCACGTCCCACCAAGGCCTGGGCGCCAATCGTAGAATCGTGGCCGGCACCAACGCTTCTAGCATGAGCCAATCCTGGCGCCTGCTGAAACATTAAAAATTGTGAAAGAGGGGTATTGAACATGGTGGCGATGCTGCAGAGCGGCGCGTAGACAAGATGTTTGATTGGCGTGGATGCGTCGCCGCAGCAAGGAGCCATTTTGAGATATAACATTACTCGGAGTTAAAGCGGCGCATTCCATCTGCCTAATTGGGCATTAGCTTTGTCATCAACCCATCAACAAGCCCAGCTCCCTGTGCCAATAATGATAACGATTTACCACCAACGCATTTATTTGTTTACCACGGCCAATGCTGCCAAACCGCCTTTTCTAAGCATGATTATCCGACTTACTTCTTAACCATTTCATCATGGCCACGGAAGACGCCGCCATCGCGCGGTCGCCGTCCTCTTCTAGCTTCTCCGGGCAACAGTCCTCACCAGTCAACAGTGCTAAGAGCTTCCATAGCTCAGCTGCTAGCGACCCCTATTGGCACGATCCTGTCGAACGTCTACGGCGGTATAAATACCGAGTGGCATACGAGATGTCATGTTTTCGGAAACGCGGGAAAGAAGGCAAGGATATTATTTTGGGACAAGAGCTGCGATCCCGGGGACGCCATGGTGAGCTCGTAATGAGTGACGGCAGCCGACCACCAGACGACATCAGCTTTTGGATAGCACGCCACGAGTACTTCGCCGAACATTTTCGTCAAGTCGAAGAAAAAGAGAAGCCCGACCGCGAGCCTTGTTTGCCCCCATCTACCAATTCTCGTTATAATTGGATTCGAGATTGGGTCACTGACACGCCAGTGGCCGCGACTGAAGCTGCCACTCCACCGCAATTCGACATGGACGCTGTGGCTGGCATACAACCATCCGAGCCACCAGCTGCCACCGTGTCAGCGCGTCAAACTGAAGCCGAAAATGAAGGAGCTCATGATGAAGTTGATAGGGCGAGCAATGGCGGCGCGTCGACGCCGAAACAACTGGAGAGCGACACGTCTAGCATCGTGCAGACGAAGCCGCCAGATACCACGGCGACGGAGCATCAAAACCGAACTGCAGCTAAGCGAGCTCACGATGAGGCTGATAGAACAGAGAATTCCGGCACGCCGTCGACACAACTATTAAAGCGCAACGCGCCCAGCCTCGCGGAGCCGCGAGAGGCCGCGGCGATGGGTCGTCAAACCAGAGCCACAGCCAAGCGAGCCCTCAATGAGGCTGGTGACACGGATAATTCCGGCGCGTCTTCGGCAAAGCGGTCGAAGCGCGACGCGTCTAGTCAACCGGAGAACAAATCCCAGGTTTCTCAGCCCGAACACAACTCGAGCAAAGCACCCGCAGCCCCTGCCGTCGCTCAAAGTCGTCCGGACCGTCGCAGAGGCAAGGCAGGCTTACAGAAATCGTCAGCGACGCGACAGCCACCTCGTCAGAGTGCAAGGGTCAAAGGGGCCATAGCAGCGGCAGCCGCCGCTGCCGCTGCCGCTCATGATCCTCCGAGCAGTGTTACGCAAGGTGGCAGAGGCGAGACGGGCAAACAGCAAAAGCCTCCGGCAACACAACCACGTCGCCAGGGGGCTCGCAATGCCACCGTTAATACAGCCGCAGGCGGGGGAAAAAAGGCAAAGCCTACCAGTCGTGCTGTTGCTGCCAAAGCTGGAGGTGAGAAGGCAAGGCCGGCTGGTCGGCGTACTTCTGCTACCACTACTCGTCGTGCTGTCACTACTAAAGCCGGAGCTACAAAGGCAAAGCCTGCCACCAGTCGTGATGTTACTGCCAAGGCTCGAGGAGAGAAGTCAAAGCCGGCTACCGAGCATGCTTCTGCTAGTACGACTCATGCTGCTACTGTCAAAGCCGGAGATGTGAAGGCAAAGCCGGCTAGCCGGCGTACCTCCACCACTGCCGGTCGTGCTGCCGCCGCCAAAGCTCCAACGGAGAAGGCAAAGCCAGCTAGCCGGCGTACTTCCGCCACTGCCAGTCGTTCCACCGCCACTAAAGCTGGAGCGAAGAAGGCAACGCCGGCTGCCCGGAGTGCTTCTACTACTGCCGGTCGTGCCGCCGCTGCCAAAGCTGGAGCGAAGAAGGCAAATTCGGTTAGTCGGCGCAATTCCACTACCACCGGCCGAGCTGTTGCCACCAAAGGCAAGTGATCACACGCCCCGCCTATAGCCGCTGCGGTTACCGCCCTGCCTTGATGGACACAATCACACTCTTCTACTCTTGGTGTCACAAGCCCACCCATAGACTCGCACAGAAACACCAGGTTCCCCTCCAATTTCCTTACCAGGTAGCCCGCGAGCAATGGCTCTTTGAGCACTGCATTGTCCACTATACCAAGAGCAATTCTTTCCCTGCCCCCATTCCCCTCTGCACCGCCCATGGCGCAGCCATGTACAGGCGCAAAACTCCTTCAGATCCCACGATGTTCCATACACGGGGCTCCAGGAGCCCTTGGGTTGGAGCAGTGCACCTGGTAGACGGTGAAAGTCGCCAGGTTGCCAGCCATTATCCCAATGCGGTCTGAGATCCCCCTGCAGCTATGAGCCGCGCCCAACCGCGCCCAGGGACTTGGGCAGCGGAGGACTCCCGAGTGACGCAGTAGGACAAGAGCAAGGTGTGACCAAAACATTTCTCTCCAACTATGTACATGTGTATTGTACAATATGTAAACATTTATATAATTCTATATCGTGGGAGTAGAGTGTCACTACTGTTTCCTCTACTCCCAACTTAGCGGCGCCAATACTGAAACTGCGAGCCGCTCTCCCAACTTGGCAAGAGATTTGCCTGCCCTTGTTCCCTCCTTCATCCCTTGCTTTCTTTGCATCCATCCCGCTTGAGACAAATAACCCGGACGGAATCGGCCTTGGAACTTTGCATGGTCGGGACTGCGGGCCGGCCCCTAAATATACCCGCACATTTGTCTCGCGGCTTGGCAGGTAGCGCCCAAGTCCTGAAGAGGCGGCTTGTCACCTACGCCTCGAAATTCTCGGATAAAACACAGACGGCCCGTCCCCAAATTTCAAACGCGGCAAAATCCGTCGGTCTAATTTGATTAGATTTTATTAGCGGGCAGAAGGTTTTACATCCCATACATGGTCTCGTCCTGCGGCCCGCATTCCCTTTGCCGCGGTCTCACCGGGATGCCATGTGTCGGTAAGACAACAACAAAAACAAAGAACGGATGCCAGGCTCAACATTGACATCTCGTGCTCTTTTTCCGCTCATGAGGCTCACCGTTTTCTCGGCTACTAAGACCGACTATACACAGACAGCCCAAAAACTAGGCTCACTAGACAATATACATCCAAAGAGAAATTATTCGCTATTCAATCAACAACTTCTAGTCCGAGGACGGTTTTCGTGCCTCCAGTCATTAGACAAGATACTTCGAATATGAGCATCCGAAGATTAAAAACAGCCGCCATACAGACTCCCTCCCAAAACAAAAATATAAGTATCCAGTCGCCGATAATACACAAGTATCCCCAAGGCCGCAGGGTATCATAGCCAACAACTCATTCGAAAAGACCTGTCGTGCGTCGAAACCGACCGCACATGTAGACTTCGTCATGTAGCTTCGTGCCCTCGTAACTTCATCGTCCCAATTGCCTGCCTATAAGTGTATCGTTGGGGTATTCATACCGTCCATTCAACCAGCCATAAACGCCAGCACCAAAGCCCAAACCTTACGCCGCCCATATAATTGTTACATAAACCCCTCTCATGCTGTAAGTTCACCAGCTCCCATCAGAGCCGGCGCTTCAGCCTCGGCATAGGTGTATTTGTGCATAGGGAAATCCTCCTCTGGTGTGCGGATGCCAATCCCGCTATCATCATGCACGTCGTTGTCCACCGGCGGCTGGGAAGAAGCGTTATTGGTCTTGCCAGTGTGGCTGTTGTTGCTTGCAGGCGGCGGGAATGGTGCACGCCCAGGTTGCGATTGCGACAGGTTCAACTCCTCGCTGGCATTGTTGTATCGAGAGTTCTGGCAGCTGGCCTCCTTGCCAGCTGCCTCAGCGTTTGGGGTAGCACGAACGCTAGGGGAAGCCTTTTGCTTCATGAAGCCTCCTTGCTCCGCAATGAAGCAGACCATTTCATCAACCCATGTTTTTGTTACCCACCATGACCCGAAGCTCTTGCCCTGGGATAGCGTCAAGTCGCGCATCACGGCAGTGCCGACACGCTCTACGCACCACACAATATCGGCGTGTGATGCGTAAGGAAACTTGGATGGAAGTAATCGCAAGAAGTTGACCCATCTATCCAACACGTTCTGGCCAGTAGACGCAGCTCCACCCTCGCTTTCTTGACGGGGGTTGCGACTGGCCGCGTCGCCGTAAATGGTAAGAACTTCGACTTCCCAAGGAACGTTGACAGGGTCCAAAAGATCGCGCATTTCGTTGATGAGCACGTCGACAACATCGTCCATGCCACGCGTGGGTACGCACTCGGCCACCTTGCGGGCTCGGATCATGGTAATCCAGTCCACATACATCTGGTCGCGGTTTGCAGGGTTTGAAAGCATATTGGCGGCAGCGTGAGCCGTCAAGTTGACTCGGAGAGCGCGGTCAATGAGACCGGCGAAAAGGGCGGCAGGTGCCTCTTTCGCGGCAATTACATGTTGCGGTTGGCCCTGGAAAGACTCGCGGATATGTGGCACGATTCGTTCCGAGATGTTACGCAGTGTGTCGAGAACTGGCTTGGGAACGACCTGCAAGGTCAAGCCAGAGATGATGCGCATCATGCGCTGATACAAAACATAATCGCAACCCTCAATCCAAGAGGCAAGCGCCTCGTGGCCAAATAATTTTTGTACAGGCATGGTAAGAGTGCCCTGGAAGGATGTATAGAGGTGAAAGAAGGTCTTTTCTCTGCAGTATCGAATACACTCGACAAGGGATGTGCAGTGAGACCGGTACAGTGCAGACAAGGACTTGGCCGCGTCGGGGTCAGTTCCCTGAGGGAGAAAAGCCTCGATGGCAGGAAGGCCAAGGGGCTCAGATTGTTCGAAGTCGTCCTGGTTCAGGGGAGGGAACTCGAGTTCCAGGCGGGTCTTGGTAGAGGTAGATTGGATATTATCAATGCTCGCAAGATCAGGCTGGTTGTACAAACTGTGCGATCGATCGGCAGCCTGTGTGATGTTCTGCTTCTTTCGTAGCTCATCTGCAGGCTGTGAAAAGGACTCCCCACGTTTCGAACTGTTGGAAGGCAGTGGCGGCGTATTCTGGCCCTGAGAGAAGCTCTTCGCTTCAGAAAGAGCGCGAGGAGGCTGCGGAGCTTCCACCAGGTCGGTCTGGTCCTCGGCAAGGGCAAAGTTGACATAGTGGTATTTGGATTCTCCGCGAACGCCCAAACGGCGAGTCTTGAGTCCCGGGAACAGAACACGGACGAGCTTTCCGAAGCTGGCCGGGTTCAGGACGGTTATTCTCTCAGTAGCGCAGCGTGAAGCATAGTTTGCATACACTCGGCCACGGGGAACGGATCCCTTGCCCTTAGTGCAGACGGAGTTAATCCTAGGCATGTTAGCACGATCAAAATCAATGGACAATACGTGGAAGTATTACCAAAGCATGGCGAAGACTTGGCGGGTCCTTTCCGAGTTTGGGCCGCGCTCATTCCCATGAAGCTCCGTAGCGACGTCTTGCAGGCCACGGTGTTTGTTGGCGTTGAAGAGCTGTCGCATCTCAACTTCGTTATTAGCGCTCGATCGTGTAGGCTTGGGGACGCCAGCAGCCAAAGCCATGGGGTCGGCGTCGTCTGCATCGTCTCGATCGAGCATATGGGTGTCGCCTTCAGTGAAGCTGGCATTGGGCCCGAACTGGTCGCCAGGGAGAGGATGCCTAGGGATTCCGTGGGGGTGTTGGTGCTGGTATGCCATCTGATGCATGTGCGCAGCCATTGGGCCGCTCATAGCGAACTCATGGTTGGCAGTTTGCATGTGCGTCGCCGCTTGCAGGATCATGTCCTCGGGGGAGATTTGCGGAGCAGACATGTCTTTAGCGTGAGGGTGCTCGCTATGCATCCACTGACCACCATAAAGGCCGGAAGCATCGGTGAATCCGGAGCCGTCCATGTTGTGTTGTTGAGTCGTGGCGCTGTGAATAGAGGCTGTAGAAGCCCGGGACAGTGGTCGCTTCCGAGATTTGGCAGCGCGCGCTGCGACGGTTTCTGGAGGGAGGGGGCAAGTTTAGATGTCGTCGCATAGATTGGGCTGAATTCTACCAGTAGTAATGGAGGAGAGAAGTGCTTTACATACCTTGGTCCATTTCTCGGGGTTGTATATGGTGGTGTTGATGTATAGACAAGCTAGCGTGGGACAATAAACATTGACGGCTTGTTGTTTTTTCACGGCGCCAGGGAAATGGCGACGGCAGAAGACGCGGCGTCGAGAGATAGAGATTGAAGAAAAGAATCGCCGAAGCGTCTGCAGCGCTTCAATACTCTTTTTCAGGGATCACCGGCAATCTAGGCGTGCAGATGGTGGTTAGATATCGTCAACTGCAAGTGTTGTTGTGGTTGTTTTCTGTTGCGAGGCCAACGAGAGGAGAAGCGCAGAAACCGCGAGTGGAGACGCTTGAGGCAGGCGGTGGCAGGATGCAGGAAGCCGCTGTGGCTGGAGAGGCTGGCTTGCTGATAGTGGGGCAGCCAAACAAAACAAAGCAAAGCCACCTACTACCAGACGGTTAGTAAGCAGTTGCAGGTAAGCAGACCATTCCGCCGTGTAATTTGGTAGAATTCCGTTGCGCCACTGTGGATTGGCACTGTCGAGTCACACTGTGTTTGCCTGCATTGAACATATAGTGCAACTTGGTCAAACAATGCTTTGACACTGTGCTGCAAATTTATATGCGAATTTCCCTGCGTACACCTAATCCCAAATTGTACTGCGGTCATTACTTTGACTTACTGGCAATTACTGGTCACTCTTTGTTGTGGGCCAAACCACGGAAAAGGCCACATCCAGACCAAGTAAACACTCGGCCAGGTATTCTCACCATCTGCTAGGCTTGATTGCCTGCGCTCAAAACAGCAATTTCAAGCTTGTTACCTGGCTCACGAGCCTGTATCGAGTCCATGACGTCTCGCATACATTTACCCCGTTTGCTGAGCTGGCCCTTAGGCTTTGGCACCAGTAAATCTGATTCCAACAGTCTTAATCTTAGCTTTCTTTTCAACTTGGCGTCTAAATATGAATCCATCCCTCAGATACCTCTCATCGCTAACCTCAATGCCATATACAATCACCTCAAAAAGCTTGCAGCAACTGGCACTTTCTTCTGCTTTCGTCGTGACGTGCTGCCAGCGCTCAGCCGCGGCCAAGCAGGATACCCACATCACAAGCCCAATCATCATGTTAGAATTCATGTACACAGCCATGCCGCGCTACCTTCTATTCCCGCGAAACGCCACCTCGGCTCACGTACCACCCCTGCAGAAGTACCCTGTGTCTATCAGATAACCGACCTGTGCACCTGCAAGGCCCCGTTTCAAACCAAGCTTTCTTAAGCACACGTCAGTACCTAACTGGCTTCCCTCATCGCCATCCTCAAGCAGAGCCACCGACGCTACCATTTCTCCCTCCCACAAACCACTTTTTGCTTCGCTTCAACATCGTCGCATCTGCCCGCGCCATCTATCCCGCACCCGTCTGACCTCAACTGCACCAAGCACGCCCGAGAAAGCACTAGCCGAAGCTCCCAAAGCTCCCTCTCCGCACCAAAGCTCCCTTCAGCCACCCCGCCAACAGCAAAAATGTCTTCCGCTCAGGAAAAGGCTCAAAACTACCTCAGCAGCCTCGACAGGGAGGTCAGTTTGCGTCGCTCAATCACTCCAATTCGCTCGTCCACATTCCCTAACCCGTAATTCCAGCTGTCCAAGTATCCCGCCCTCAACAACCTCGAGAGGCAGGCCGGCGTTCCCAAGGCCTATGCCGTCATCGGTGTCGTCGCTCTCTACTTCTTCCTCATTATCTTCAACCTCGGTGGACAGCTCCTCACCAACTTTGCCGGCTTCGTCATCCCCGGATACTACTCCCTCGCCGCTCTCTTCACCGAGACCAAGGATGACGACACGCAGTGGCTGACCGTACGTACTCTCCGCCTTTGGAAACCAGCGCTAAAGTGTCTGAACCTCTCTCACTAACACCTTACAGTACTGGGTCGTCTTCGCTTTCTTCAGCGTCGTTGAGAGCTTCTTCAACATTGTTTACTGGTTCCCCTTCTACTTTGTCTTCAAGTTTGTCTTCCTCCTGTGGCTGTCCCTCCCCATGTTCCGGTAAGTTGCGCCCCTCGCCTCGCATGCCATGTTTCAGTGCTGACTTTGGCTCAAGTGGTGCCGAGATTGTCTTCCGCTCTTTCCTGGCCCCTACTCTCAGCCGATACTTCAAGGGTGGCTCTCCCAGCGCCAACCTTCGTTCCAAGGTTGACGCCGCGGTCAACAAGTCCGACTAGAGGACTCGCAAGACAGGCATGGTCGCAAATAAAACATACGTCGAAGTCCCGGGCCATTGCCATAAATTTGAACTGTGCTCAAGGATAATGATCACTGGCGCGCATTCAAGAAAGCCTAGATAGGCCGGAATGCCCGGCACAATGATGGATAAGAGAAAAGTGGAAAGGCTGCATGATTCATCAGCCTTATGATTGGAAATGTGTAAAATGATTTTGTACTTTTCTCTCGAAAGCAGTTGTACCAGATGACTGTATATCAACTTGTCTGGCTATATTTGCCCTTGCAGTGGCATTGCTATTTATAGTGGTTGTCAATACTTGTAAGTTTGCATGTTACCGACCGAGGCGTGTTGAATTGCTTTGATACATACAGAATATTTGAGCAGATCATGATATAGGCCACCTTGATGATATTCAATGATGCTTCAAAAATTTGTCAGGTGCGAACCATATTTGCCCACCACTAGTATGCACTGTCGCAGCCTGCTTCAGGGGGTCCGCGATGAGACTGCGCGGCGCGGACCCACGTAGCCTCAACACCAGAACTGTCATCCACATTGTGAAACGACCAGATCCTGCCTGGCTACCACCCTGCATTCTCCGCCTCTCCTCCTGCACTCGTCGCAGACTATCAGCTGTCACGATGATTCTTTAGACTTCGCCCTCCACCCGCCGTTGATCACGCAGCACGCCTCACCATCCTCAGGACCCTCCCTTCGAGCCGCTGGCGGCCGCCCACCATGCCATTCCGGCTCCTGCGCTCGCAGCCGGCACCATCGCTGGCCGCGGCGATATCGACACTATTATTCATTCTCGCTGTCTCGCCGGCTGTGGCTGTGGCCGAGTCAGCGGCAAATATCGGCTCAACCAACCTCGACGGCTACAAACTCGACCTCGATCTCGGCGATACCTACGAACCCAGTTTCGCGCCGTTTGACAGCAGCTATCTCGGCAAGAGAGCCAACGTTATTGGGCCGCTGGTCAACAATGTTCCCTCCACGTCAAATCTTAAGCCGGGCGAAGCGGCCTGCTATCAAATAAAAAAGACCATTGCAACCGACAGCCAGGCTAGCGGGACGAATGCTCGTCGTTTCGACCTTGCTGTCGAGGCTGCTACAAATTCTAGTGCTGGAGCTGGCATCTTGGCCCGCCAGGACAGCCAGAAGCTCTCTATTTTCCTGTCTGCGAATACGTGCCTGCAGCCGTGGCGAGTTCCAGGCGCCGACAAGGCTGATATGGAGCCTCCGCAGCTTACTCTGCTCATATCGAACTCGAGCCAGCTGGGATGCCCCGATTTGTCTATGCAAGACACGCCCAACATACAGAAGCAGACGTTTGAGGGTGGCGCAGTCATGTTCAGCACAAACATGACGGAGGATTTGTTCATTTCCGTCCAGGCCCCGAATGTCTCGTCCAGCTATCAAGGCGGCTACTTTTTTGAGCTGGCCGCTTCTACTCAGGACTACTACCATCGATACGTGGGCAAGGAAGGGCAGTTATTATGGCTCGATAGCGACGCCAGTTCGGCTCTTTTGGTCAGCAAGAACCTAACGATAAACATGGACGAATCGAAGCGGATTATGGAACAAGGCATGCAGTACCAGTTCTACATTGATAACGAGCTCTTTCCTAGACTTCTTGGAATCGAGCACTCCACGTGTGGCCTCAAAACAAACGCACAGATATATGCAACACCGAACGGGACCGGGAACCTAAATCAGCTGGTCCATATGACGATGACGACGCGAGGACCCGGCGGTTTTCCAAAGCAGCAATTTTTTATCACTGGGCTGAATGACACGACGGAGTACCGCGGTATCATTGTCCAGACCCCCAATGCGACGGTAGCAAAACGCGATGGGGAGGGTATCGTCGGCGGCGGCGGCACCGTGTTCACGTCGACGGCCTTCAACACCGTGTCTGGCACGAGTTGCAAGATGGTGACGGACCTGGACTTCTGCGACGAAATCCAATATGCGGTGCCCGGCAACGTCGAAAAGTTCCAGGGCAACGACAGCATTCTCGGGCAGACGTACGACGACTACGCCAAGACCATGTACGACAACTTCGAGAAGGTGCTGATGTTGATGCAATGTGAGGCGCCGTCGACCAAGCGGTACTCGCTGATGAAGACCTGCGACGACTGCCGCCGCGCGTACAAGAAGTGGCTGTGCACCGTCGTCATGCCGCGCTGCGAGGACTACGCGGCCGCCGACGCGCCGCACTCAATCGTGCGTAACGCCGGGCAGCCGTTCCCGAACGGCACGCGCCTGCCGGCCGCCGAGCTCGCGCTGTACGCGGGCATTCCGGCGTCCAACACGTCGCGCAATAATTTCATCGACGAAACGATCGCGCCAGGCCCGTACAGGGAGCTGCTGCCGTGCGACGACCTCTGCTACGAGGTGGTCCAGAGCTGCCCAGCCGCGATGCAGCTGTCGTGCCCGCTGCGGAAGAACAGGGAGTACCCCTCGAGCTATGCCCGTCGCGACCCGGATAACCTGGAGGTGACCTGCAACTACCCAGGCGAGCCGCGCACGCGCGTAAGTGCCGCGGCGGGCGTGGTCTGGAACGCGGCGTTTGTGAGTGCTGCGATCCTCTTGAGCGTGGGGTTGTTGTGGTAAAGAGACGAGGGAAGCTGGGCTTTCCGTCATGATTCGAGATGAGATTTTGCATTGCGCTCGGAGTTTGCATTGGCATAGTGTATATAGATCAGGAGTAAAACACCGTGATATACGCGTCACGCGGTTAATGGCATAATTATTGGTTTTTGTTCATCTTATGGATTACTATGGTACATTTTAGTTACAGTGGATGTTTGATGCATTTTTGATCCCGAGACTGTTAACGAGCCTCGCCCTATTTAGAGCTACTTTTACCAGCAGCCTTGGCCTCCTTGTATTCTTCTACTTTCTTTTCCAGAGTTTCAATCTCGGCTATCAAGGTCATCAGTATGACTTGTTCGCAGCGTGGTATGTCGATTTGCTTAGGCACTACCGGGTAGGTTGACTCACCATCAATCTTTTCGCGCGCCTCGTCGGCCTCGAGCTTGATCCAGGACCAATACGCGACCTGGTAGGTGAAGACGGCGAGAATCATGACCTTGGCTATAGGTCGCGAAAAAGTCTTGTAGAAGCTCGACTGCGGTTATTGATTAGCGGGTGCACGGGACTGTGGTAGAAACCGATGTGATGGGAGTTCTCTGAGGAGCCTGAGCAGGGGCAGACATCGTGTTACGCCCCCGATAATAAACGGTACGAAGCAGAATGCGAAAAGGGAGGCCTTACTGCAGGGTTGGCAGAGGGTTCGGTGGCATATGCCCTGGTAGGGACGATTTGACGACTGAGGATGGGCACACGACGAGCGAGCGTCGCGGCGCGTATTGACAGCATGGTGGGATGTGAATATATATGCCGTCAGAAGATCGGGATGAGAATCCCCAGGTTCTCTTGAAATTATCCAATGCCGATTGCTTGCGGGCTTGACGAGCAAAGACTTTGTCACGATCAAGGAGTTGTTCGTCTGGTCCAAACTCAAGCCAGCTGTGGCGCTGCGCTGATGCACCGCCACACGTGAAAACGCCCCCCACCATGGCAGCCAGCCACTGTGGGGAGCAATGCTAGGGGCCATCATTAGGCCACCTTCCCTTCCGGAAGTGGGCGATGGGTCGACTCCCTGGATTGACGACACATGTCCCAAAGGAGCCCCCAAACCGTCACTCTCTCTTCTCTTTTAAACTTAACAGGTTGCTTTTTTTTCTGATCTACGTGTGCCAATTGCGATACAGTCATACTCAAGATTCCAACCACTTCCTCGAAACTCGACCTGAGTCTACTCTCTTCCTCAATTTCCAAAGTTTAATCGGCCACGCGCATATATAACTGGGAGCTTTCCCAAGTCCGTGGCATTCCAAACGTCCCTCCTTCAACCGCGACAACACGCCCCACGACCGTCCTTTGTCTTCCGACGTCTCAGCACTTTCTATATTCTCAAAATGGTACGTCAGACAAACACAACACTTGTTTTTCGTTTACCCGTGCTCTGTCGGGCGCGCGAGCGCACGGGGGTCATCACTAAACGTGGCCCGTGAACGCATTTGACGACTGACCTTTGTGTTTCTCGCAGGCGCAAACTGTCGAGCAGCGACGTCGCAACGCCAAGTTCGCCAAGGAGCAGGAGGCCCGCATGGGCAAGTCGGGCGAGCAGATCAAGAAGCGCGAAAAGGTCGTCCAGAAGCCGACCATCTCCCCCTTCTGGGTCGGTACGTGACGCAGCATCCCCCGATCATCATGTGACGAGCCCGAACCCGCACGCAACACCATTGAACAAGATCGGGTGTCGCTGGAAGAATGTGGAATCTCTCTCTATGCTCCTGGCGTGGGCGTCTACCGCTCGAGCCGCCGCATCTCACAATCTTGATCAACTAGAAGGACATGTGTGAAACGCGGCTAACAATATCTTGCCTTAGTACTTCTCGCCTTCGTCGTCTTTGGTGGCCTAGTCTTCGAGGTCCTCGCCCGCTGGTGGGGTCAATAAATTCGAGCGCAACATATTACGAGGGCCACGGCCAGAAAAACACTGATTGCCAGGTGTCGCGTGGGTTGTCGCTGCCCCTGTCGCTGCGAGGAGACCTCGAAGCTATGACCACTTCCCGTGGCTGGCTTGTCGGACGCCGCAACCTGTCCAGGGGAAGATAATCGGATTGCAATGTTGATGGGGAAGACAAGCTCGTATTGTCGGATGAGCTGGTGATTCGCGATGGAAAAAGGAACGGCTTGTAGTCGCAAGCTGGGAAAAAGGTCAATGGTGAAAAGACCATACTGTCAGCATGTATTACTGGGAATATCCGGCGCTGTAGAGCTGAAGCGACATGACTTGAAAATTTATCGATTTATTTGTTTGATCTTGTCCGAAACGCTCGTATCAGGCACGCGATGTATACCTGACACGGCCCTCATAAAACTGATCTGGTAGACACAGAAAAGAAACAAAAAAAGTGCACAAAATTAATCTTGCACCTTGGTATATCTGTTACAAATGCACCCACCCCTCAGCCACCCAGGCCTAGACCCCGCCGCCCGCCGCCACCCTCGTTCTTCATCCGCATGCCCTCCTCGAACTGCCGCTGGATGTCCGCCTCCGCGCGCGCCGCCTCCTCCGCGCTCTTCCCGGTGCCACCACTGGTCGGCATGCTCACGCCCTGCTTCTTGCCGCCCAGGAGCCGCAGGAACTTGCTCTGCCTGGCCGCGCCGCCGTCGAGGTTGGCGACGTGCCAACTCTCCGCTGCAGGCTTGTCGTCGTCCTGGCCGTCCGTGGCCACCTTCTTCTTCTGCTTCTTCTTCTGCTTCTTCTTATCCTTGGGCGTGCTGCTATTTTTGGCGGTGGCCTTCTTCTTCTTCTTCTTTTTTTTGCGGTCGCCCTCGCTATCCTCCGAGGAGTCACTGCTGCTGCTGCTGCTGCTGCCGGTGTCGTCGTCGTCGGAAGAAGGGGATGAAGAAGGTGAGGACGATTCGCGGCGTCGCTTGCGCTCGGGGACTGCTTTGGCCTTGCGCTTGGGAACGGGGACGCCGCCGCTGTCGTCGGAGCTCGAGTCGGAGGATGAGCTGGTGGAGTCGTCTGAAGAGGACGAGGGGGTGTCGCGGTCCGAGTCGCTCTGCCATACATGTCAGCGGGAACCTTGACTGCCGGACCAGACAGAAGTGCATACCTCGGATGATGTGTCATCCTCCTCCTCCTCTAGCGACTTGCCCAGCTTCGCGTACTTGTCGGCGGCCTTCTTGGCCTCGGCGAGCAGCTTGTGCGCCTCCTTCTCCAGCTGCTGTGAGCGCGCCAGCAGCTTCGCGCGCTTCTCGCGCAGCTTGGCGGTGTCGGCCTTGCGGATGCTGCTGGTCGGCTTGGTCGCCACGCTCTTCTTCTTCGACGACGCCTTCTTGGCGGACTTGGGCTTGGAACCGGCCATGGTTTCTCCTTTCAAGTTCTTGCGGTCCGAGGTTCCCCCAAGCCACAACCGTCGAGATGGCTTATGTACGCCGATAGATCTAAACTCGTAAGAAACCCGTTAGATATAAATGCACCGCCTAGAGAGGCAGGAGGGTACTGCATACTTCCTTTTAACAGGTGTCCGTCGCACAGTGATGTGGCGAGCTCGGGGTGACGTGGAAGTGCAGCGCGCCAATGGATCACCCGCCACTGATCTAGTGGAACGCTGCGACTAGAGGAAAAGACTGAAGAAGAGGAGAGCCGCAGCAAGGCCGGCACGCAGAGCAATGATATAATGAGAATGCCGTATGATGTCAATTCAAGCGGTTCGATACTTTTTTTCTGCCCAACGACGTAACTGTGGGGCCGACTTTCGGAAGCCCGTTCTGCCTAGGCGGTGGGCAGCCACGGCCACGCGAGCAACAGCCAAAGAAGGAAGGAAAATGTGGAAAAAAAAAATTGTATTTTAATATCCAGAGTGCAAAAAGCTTCATTTTGAGAGTATAAAATAATTTCGTACCAGCTGTAACATCAGCCTTGGTGGTTTGAATTGCCCGTGGATTCGGCCTCTCGCCGACCGCGTGTAAGTCAATGCGAACTTGGAGGCAAAGTAAACGCCGCGATTAAACGAGAGCTTCCGATGTTTAATAATAGCGAATAAACGTATCGATTTCAATGCTACTATGCGTTTTCCCTGACATTACGTCGACGGAATGAAGCCCCGCCTTGGCCGCGCGCGTCATGGAGGCGCTCGCTGGGTAGGAAAGGCGCTGGAGCGGAATGAGTACTTTCTCGCTTACGAGGGCAACGCCGAGGAGTGCCTGGTCGAATTTCGGCGCATCATCAAGCAGAGTCCACCAAACTGGGCAGACGAAGAAAGGAAGCCATCATCAACAATTGTAGTAAAATAGAACAGAGGTATAATATAAGATATGCCATGTCTCACCCATCCAACCCATTCTAAGCCATCCATGTTCTACCAAAGAAAACAAAAACTTTCGCCGCCCATGCCATCTACACGAACCGCACCTCGTCGAACAACCCCGCGCGGACCTGCATCAGACTCGCCAACTCCATCAAGAAACTCTGAAAGATGATGACGTTCGTCAGCACATGCGACACCGACACGTTCGCGTACGCCCCGTCGTCCAGCACGCTGCCCGTCTCCGACTCGTCCGGCGCAATCACCCCATCATCATCATCCTCGTCCCCGTCCCCGAAACAGCCATCGTCATCCTCGTCCTCGTCGTCCGAGTTTGACTCCGGCGGCGGCCGGTACGTCAGGTCCAGCGGGATCGGCTTCACCGACGCGTCCGGCGGCAGGCCCACGCGCTTCGCCAGGATGCTCTGGTCCATCGCCGCGTAGTCGGCCGTCTGGCTGGCGCTGATGCCCTCACGGTCCGCAAGCGGGGTACGCGCCCCGATCCCGCCGTTGCTCGGCGAGATGCTGCGCTCCAGAGTCGCCGCTGCGTACGGCGACGGATAGTCTCTAGGCGGTGGAGGTGGCGGTGGGCGCACGGCGCGCGGCACGGCGAGCTGGTCCCCGCTGACGGAGCCACCGCCGGGCGTACTAGTACCCGACGGCGAGCCTCGGCCGGGATGGTCCTTCTTCGCCGCGCGCGGACTTGCGGATCGACTCGGCGTGCCCAGCTCTGAGAGTAGCCGCTGCGCCAGTCCCTCCAGGGTGGACGGCTTCGACGGCGAGTTGCTGCGGATAATCTCGTCCAGGTTGCCGGGACGATCGGGAGTCATCGGCACGGGCGAGCCTTTGCGAATAGGTGGAGGTGGCACGGTAGATGGTGGTGGTGGTGGCGGCGGCGGCGCTGGGGTGTCCAGGATCGAGTCGGCGGTGTGGAACGCGTCGCGGCGCTGCTGGAGCAGCTCGTTGAAGCGTGGAATGCTCGTCTTGTAGTTGCTGACCTGGTCGCACAGCCGTTTGAGCATGTTGAGGATGCGCGGCAACGACTCGCTGTTCCAGACTGGGCGCTTCCGGCATCGCTCCATGGCCTTGAGGAGCTTGGCCTCCTCTGACGACTCAAAGGAGCCTGAAGTTTCCTTCGCGTCGGGTTCTCCGGAAGACTCACGCTGGGCGCCCCCGATCTCGCTCGCAGTTGTGGACGTGAAGTCGGCGGTCGTGTTGCCGTCATCTTCGTCGTCGTCTCCGTAGTCGTATGTTGATGGACTACGGGCCAGCCAGCCCTCGATACTCATGTATCCACAGACTGCCAAGTCAACAATCGTCTCAGTCACGGAGAGATTCGTCTCAACGGGGTTCATGAAGAAGCTATCCAGCAGATCCAGTACAGAATTCAGCAGCGGGTCGTCCATGCGCAGCGTGTGCTCGCGGACGTCGCGCGGCGCTCCGGGCAGGCTGTCCGGTATGGCCGGCAGCCTGTGGTTATTGGTCGAGACCTTGGGCGCCACGAGCTTCAGCGAGCACGGGTGGCTCTCGAGGCGCACCATGGTGTCTCGCAGCACGTTCTCGTACGTGTCATCAAAGTCGCCGTAGCCACCGATCGCGCTCGCCAGGTCCATCAGGTACTCAATCTCCTGCTCGTGCGCGCCGACGGTCCGGTTCACCGTCCTGCTCGGCAGCACCTCCGTCTTGAGCAGCGTGATGATGGCGTAGCGGTGGTGCCGCTTCAGGATCGCCGACACCAGCTGCAGCGTGACGTGGATCGTCTGCTGGTTGCACGAGCGCAGACACGCGAGGATGAGGTCGACCAGGTTGAAGAGGATCGGCGTCACCGTCAGGTCCGTCTTGGACGCCATCATGGTGGCCAGGTCCATCGACTTGCGGCGCCGCGCCGCGCTTACTTTTGGCCCCAGTGGCGTGGTCCTAGCCGATCCGCTGTTGTCAGGCAGAGCTAAAAGGTAATGGAGGATGAGGTTGATCATGTCGGGGTGGTCGAGAGACTCGAGGATGCGGCGCAGATACGTCAGCACCGCAACCGATGAGCCGCCGTCAATATCCGACGACTCCAGTAGTGAGGGGTATCTGTCTCGTCAGCTTTCGAGACCTCAACGGTCCAGGTCAATCCACGTACAATAGTTGCTGCAGGAAAATAACCTGAAAGTGCTCCAGCAGCGTCGACTTGACCTCGACCGACCTGCAGTGGTTCAGGACATCCTGCCAGAAGAGCAAGTGCGACAGGAAGGTCTCGATGTGTGACTGGAACTCGGGCGCGCACGAGCTCACAATCTCGTAGTTGGACGTCGGGTGCTCGTAGTCGGAGAGGGCGAGGATCGGGGGCAAGTCGTGCGGCAGATGGTCAATCACCAGCTTCCGGCTGAGCTGGCTGTACAGCGCGCCCAGCCCCGTCGCCATCAGCGTCGACAGGTCGCTCTCCACGATCCACTGCTCCAGCGCCGCCGAGTGCGACGCGGCCTCGATGATGTACAGCAGTCCCGTGCGCGCAAAGTCGCCCACCTTGCCCTCGTGGTGTATGTAGTCCATCAGGATGTAGAACAGCGGGAAGTCGGCGCGCTGCGAGCGGCCCGCGAACCGGTCCTGCACGTCCTGCCCGCGCTCGCTCGCGAACTGCGCCGCCGCCTGGCCGGCCTTGAACCACGCCGGCAGCACGTCCGGGTCCAGGCGGATCTTGGTCGTGATGTTGAAGGCCAGCTCGACCACGCGCGACTCCGTGTCCAGCCCCAGCCGCACGCTGTTGACCCCCGTGATGCGCACCAGCAGGTTCGTCAGGCTCGCCGAAAAGGCCGGGTTCTCGACGAACGCCTCCTCCTCGCTCTCGATCAGCGTCGCGAAGAAGAGCACCGCCTCCTTGATGATCCACTCGTTGTACGACGTCGTCGCGATCTTGCCGATCGGCACGTATATTTGACGCATCGACGCGTACTGGATGCACGGGTGTGGCAGCGGTCGCCGTGACTCGTCGCTGAGGATGTTGGTCAGCTCTTGTAGTCGGATCTCGAGCGTCTCGGCGGCGTCGCTATCGCGAACGAGGTTGGGCGAGCTTCGCCATGTGGCCTGCGAATGTTAGCATGCTCCCTGTACTGGTGCCATCAGGCTTTGACAAGAAATGGCCTTACCAGCAGAGTCCCATATTCCTTCTCGAAGCGATGCAGTCGTTTTGCAGGGTCCTTGGCCTGGTCCTGCCGAGACGACCCCGACGACAAGGGGCTTAACAGTCGCGACCACTTTCCGATAGGCCATCTCGTTAGCAAAGCTGGCCAGTCTCCAAACGTTGAATATCCTCTCTCCTCCTCATCCTCCTCCCCCGCCTCCGTCGTAGCCGCGTGCCGTGCAGCACTCTCCAACTTGTAGTGTTTCGTCTTGTGCGGGGGATCCGGAGGCGGAAACGTGTTTCTTCGACCCTTTTCTTCCGTCATGTCTAGCCGTTTGCGTTTGTGTTTGGTCCCACGTAAAAAACAACAGACGAAAAAGAAATGATCGAAAAACTTACAAAGTCCATGTCTGCCGTCACGTCATCTCTCAAGGGGGCGGGTTTGATGCGGCCACGCGAGCCAAGCTCTCTTGTTGTAGCTCGTCTCCTCGAGTGTCGCAGGTTTGTGTCGTGTTTGGTCTCGTTTGGAACCTTTGTCGGCGGGCGGCTTTCCTTGGGGGCGGCCGCGGAAATGGGAGGTAATAATAAGCACGAGTCGAGCAAATTAGCTAGCCTGACCGTCCGGTCCCTGGTAAAGCGTGGTGATTTGGGAAAATACAGGGATGGTCTTGGAGGTAGGTGCCTTGGTGTTTGGCCTAGCTTGGTGAGGTCTGGGCTATGCAGGTACATTGGCTGGTGGAGCAAGAATCCGTGGAGTACCTATTCGTACTCGGCCAATATTCCGCCCAGAACACTCGTACAAGCTGTAGTTTATTACTGCATTTACAGTGTTCACACTTCATTTTAGACTCGTATTCACATGTTTGCTCATGTTCCCAAACCAGTGTGGGAATAAGGTAAAACACTCTGTTAAGACTACACCTAACCGCCGTTATTCCAACTGCAGAGCACTGCAAACGCTATCTCGTCCGCTCATGGACCATTCGCATAGCCTCACAAGTCAAATTGGGCTACCATCACTGCCGCTTCCATTGCTTCTGTTGGCACCAAAGCCACGATGGCCTAGTACCGCCTTTCCAATCGGCTGCTGCTGCTGGTACGCAAAAAAGGGCGAGGTCCGAGGACTACCATCGCTGGAGCCGGTGAAGCCGCTGAGGTCGCTTAGCATGCTAGAACTGCGCATCCTCGTTGTGGCGTTCCCATTGACTGTCATCATGGCATCCGGCCACATCGCCGTGGGCGGGTGAAGCGCGGGGCCAGACAGAGCAGGCTGCATGTCGGCCGACGTAGCAGGCCAGAGGCCACCAGAAAGACCAGCTGCTCCAGCATTCGGGTTCCACGAGGTCATCATGGCGTCATTGTGATTGGAAAGAATCTCGAGCTGTTCCTGCAAGGCGATAACCTGGCTGCTGTGATCTCCATTCTTGGCTTGTACACCGAGGACGCGTTCCTCCCACGACCTGAGCATGTTCTCGTACTTGTTGCGACGCACATGACGCTGCTGGATGCGCCGTTCAGCCTCATTCATCCCTCGGCTGGTGGCATCAGTGAGGTGGGCGAGCTCATTGTCCACCTTGGCGATGCGGGTTGCAATCTTGTTACGGCGGGTAGTGAGATTGGATCGCTCCACATCCTTGGCCTTGACTTCGCTTTCCAACCCGGAGCGGTGCTTGGTAAACTCCTTTTGGGCAGCCTCGAAGGTCCGCTTTTCGGCCGTAAAGGTACGCTCAGCCTTCTTCTTACTGTCGGCGAGTTCCGAGGTCGAATCGGAGCGCTTAACATCCGCGAGCTCCTCAACTTCGCGCACTGCTTGCAGCCGCCCAATTTCGTTCTGGCGAATCTTTTGTTTGAGCTTCTCATCGCCGTTTCCAGCCGTGGCGAGCTGGTTATCGGTACCTTCGTTTTCCTTCTTGTAGGCGTTGATGCGTATCTTGCATTCTTTGCGCAGGTTCTTCAAGCCAGTCTTTTCGTGCGAGAGCTTCTCCTGGGCGGCTTCGATTGATGTCTTGAGCGTCGTCACGGGCGAATCAGGGCGCAGCGACTGGGACCCATCGGAAACTACGGGTGACGAGCCATCCTTGGATTGCACCACTTCCTTAATGGTGCGAAGACTGCTGGAAAAGATAACAACTCCGGTGCGGCTGTCGACAAACTCGCAGACATACTTGGATGCCGGGCGCAAGCCGTAAATGTCTCCAGCCCACCGGGTCGCATCACCCGGCGCGCCATCGCCCTCCTTGACAGGATTGATGCGAGTGGGTTGCCACAGGGCATTGTTCACCTTGACGTAGAATGGCTTGGTGATGTCGATACCGGGCGGGGTCGGTTCGGCGGAAGGCGGAGGGGAGCCAAAATCGGTATGGAGAAAGTAGCTCGTGTTGAAGTGAATATCATCGGTACCGACGTTGGTGATCCAAATTTTTCTCGGCTCGCGGCCAAAGGGGTTATTGCCCAAGTTTCCAACATCGGTGGCGTTGGCGCCAGCAGACTCGGACGGTGCGCGACTTAACTCATATTCCTTGACGACAACGATCTTGGTGCTAGCCAGAGCAGCCCAAAGTGGCTGCTTGAGGCGGACCTGGGTACTTTGTTTCCTCCTCTTCTTAGCCGTGGATAGCTGGGGCGGCGGCGGCGGCGGCGGCGGCAACGCGGGGTTGGCTATCACGGCATCGGGGTCGTTTAAGTTTGCGCTGGCTTCCACGGTAGAGTCGGGAAGTGCAAGCTGGGAGGCATGCTGTTTCGCGAACTCGGCATCGGATAGGGTAGTGCTGGAAGCGCCCTTCTCGCGGCGCAGATACCATTCTCGTATAAAACGCATAAGGCTTTGGGTTAGAATATGGATGGCGAGAATGCTTCTAACCCATGCATAGGGACTTGACTTGTCGTAGAGCTTGCTATAATAACCTATAGGCGTCTCCTCGGAGAGAACCTTTCTCCAGGCGGCGGGCATGTTGGGGACAAGATGCCCCCATTGAGACTGGGTGCCACGTATTATGTGGTAGAGAAATACCCAGGTAAAGCCGGTACGTATGCCTCGAAAGGAGGGATCGTTGCGGGTGGCGCCGCCGAGGGTAATGGCAATGACGGGCTTGGCGAGGTCGAGGACGGCGTCCTGGATCGGAGCCCATAGAAAGAGCCATACGAGCAAGAAGAAAGAGTCCATACAGAGGACGGTCACGAGGGATGGGGTGGTGGAGTTGCCGTCAAACATTTCGGCAAGATTGAGGTTCATGCCGGAGTTCGTCTTGACGGGAGGAACAAAAGTGATGCAGGCGAAGGCGCCATAGATGAGGAGGAGGGAGATGGTCGGGACATGCATGAGAAGGATGAGAATGGCGAGAGTGTCCTGCATAGGGAGAGCGCGGAGGACGGTGGTAGCCATGTCGAGGATGCCCGACTCGCGATGGACGTCTGCGACTTTGAGACAATTCACGTCAATCTGTCGGTGGGCGGCATCGAGGTGGGCATGGTTGGCGTGGCCATTGGAGACGTGGGTGGCGGCGTTGTGGAAGACATCGGAGGAGGACTCGGATTCGGCTCCTAGCGACGTTCTCCTGGCAGCGTCGGGGGCAGCGGCGGCAGTAGCGGCGGTGGCGGTCTTGTCGTCCATGGCTCGAGGAGAGTCGGAGGCATCGAGGGGCGACTTGGTAGTAGCGGCGTCGACGGCGTCGGCAGGAGCGGTAGCGTGGCCGTTGGCGTGGCCGTTGTGAAGCGACGAGGTTGGCACAGAAGCGGCAGCAGCGGTAGTGGCGGCACCGTTTTCGAGGGGCTTCGCGGCGCCGCTGGCGACATGACCTGCCTGGCTCTTTCTGGACGCCCGTTTACCGGAGGCTAGAGAGCCATTCTCGTGCCTGGAGTCGCGATGACCGCCGCCGGATTGTCGCTTGCCAGAGCCTGACGCACGAGGCATGCGAAAGCACGGGGGCTCCCACTTCTCTGCGAGGTCCCAGGACCTTGGAGGAAGGTCGGGACCAAACAGTAGGGGAGTACGAGGGGACTGAATCTGTCGGGGGTTGGGTGCGAGGTTGAGGGTGGGCGGGTTCCCGGCGATGGTTGCCCGTGCCTGCGCTTGCGTGGCCAAGGCAGGGGGGGCAAGGGCAGGATCGGTTTAGAGTCGTTTCGGCATACGTTCGAGGATCGAATTGCAATGAGCAATGGGGATTTGCTGAGTGGCGTGGTTGTGGCGCCGAGGGAAGGGTGGTTGATCTGGCGATGGGCGACGACGGTCGCGTGGGCGAGATGGGAAAGGAGCAACCGATAGCCGGAGGAGGGTGGCCGGAGGGATTGAAAGGGCTCCGGCGCAGAGGGTTGTGTCGGCGAGGCAGGCTGCGATGGCTGGTGGGATGGTGATTCGATGATGGGTGGTTGTGAAGAAAAGAAAAAAGCAGGCCCTGGCAGCTGTGGAGAGAGGAGATGTTGTGAGATTTTCGGCTTGGACGGGCTGTTTTGCGGTAGGTTTGGCGAATGGGAGGCCAGGAAGGTATGGAGGAGTTAGTACGAATGGGTGATGGTTTGGCTGGCGGCTGGCTGGCTTTGGTGCTGGCGGCAGGCTGGATGGGGGCGATGAGCCAATCTTGGCAGGTGACCAAGCTCTTTTGCAGGCCGTTGGAGCAGCTTTTAGTGCATCTGCAGGTGGTCTTCTAGCGGGTAGGTCGCTGTATTAAAACGCGATGAAAACTGCTCAACGTCGGTGTAGCCATCCAGTCTACGAATACGGACGTTTATATCTTGAAAAACCCGCGAGCCTTGCAGCTGTCAGACGCACTTCTCGAGTTCAGGAATATATAGTGTTATGTCGAAAAAAAAAATAAGAGAGGTGACAGCGCTTGAGGCTCTGTTACACCTGACACTCCACAGCCATTGCAATAGCAGGGCCACCACTGTAAAACCCCCCTTCAGTGGATTTAATTTACCGCCTACAGGGGCCCCCTAGCACGCCGCCCCTTGGATCTGCAGTCCTAGATCGCAGCCGACATGTACCGAGGACCAAAGGATATCCGTATGACTCGGAAAAAAAGCAGCAAAAAATAAGGCGTATTACAACGGCCGCCGCTCCATCCATCTTCCGAGTTACTTCCTCAGTCATGTGTAACGCAATAAAATAAATACGATGGTTGCAGGCGTTTATCGTGTCTCTTCGCAGTCTCCTTTTTTCTTTTCTTTTTATTTATTTATTTATTTATTTATTTATTTGTGTTTCCCTTTCCTCTTCCTTGTACTTGCTTGCCCTCACAATGGCGACTTCACTGGTAAACAAGTTGACTGGATCCCTCGCTTCCGCGGATGCAGGGGATCGACAGGCCCGACGCAGCGTAACATACAACACACTATGTATGTACATACATATTTACTTCGTAACTCTAGTAGGCCGCCACGCCCGCTGGCCATCGGCAGATTGCCAGCGTATTATTCTTTGTTCTGTTTCGTTCGCTGCAATTCACAGCTTATCGAACATGACGCAAGAGAATCTTTACATTCCTGGCTTCTGTGGCTGCAAGGGATGGACGGCTACGCCCGACTCGGGGACGAAGGAGAATATCGAATAGTAATAAAATCATAACTAAGCGCCAAGTGCGCTCCAGCCACCGCCGATTCGAGATGAAGTTTTTTTTTACTGCCGGCGGCGGTGTGGGGGCTGATGGCCCTACCTGGTGGTATCATTCCGCTGCTGGGCGCTCTGTACACCTTATCGACCATGTTATTATATTATTAGTTAACATTACATCCGTACCCGACGACCATGACCGGTCCGACACCAATGATTGCTGTAATCTCCAGTTTGCCTGGTGCATGATTCAACTCGTTTAGTCATGCCGTCTGCGGTACTACTACCCATCGGGTGGTTCTCTTGTAACGCGCTTCCCGTGGTGGTATGCCGTGCGAGACAACCCCCCCGCCGACTGTCGCGTGCTTTGCTGCGATGGTATAACATGTCTAGAACATTCATCGATATCCCTATAGTTGGAGCATTGCTTAATCTGGCTGCCTAGCTGACGTGTCTGCCTCGTCACAGCGCGCTCCGTCTGGCCTCGAGCAAGCTCGGCTGCCTTGAACAATAGCGTTTGCCTTGCAAGGTATTTCTCTCATACTTTCTTCTTTCTTCTTCGTCAAGTGGAGTTGTCACGATTAGACAAAAACGTTGCGAGCGGGGAAGCTGCAGCAGCGCAACCACCACAAATCGCAGCATCACCAACTCGCAGCCAATCAGTCCAATCGCCTGCGGTTTCCTTTTCGTTTGTCGTCTCTTCGGGGACTTGACCCCGCAGTCACGGCAAGTCTATTCGCATGTTTTCCTCTCAAAGTTGAGCTTTTTTTTCTCTCCTGTTCTCTTGCAGCTTATTTGTCTGGGGAAGCACATGACGCGTCTGTATCCGCACCATGCCCTTGTGGTCTTGATCGACAAATGGTCCAGAAAACTCTTGTCTCGTCTCCTCGTCTGCCATCCATTCTCGCAGTGACCCTTTGTGCATAACAAGTCATCACTCCATCCCCGCGACTTGTGGGCAGAGACATGCATCTCTAGCGCAGACAAGCCAGCCGGAAGCAAACCACTGGAGAAGCGACACGATAGCAAGGCTGCCAGGATGTTTTCACTCTTCTTTTGTCTATTTTCCCTTCCTTCCTGTCTCCTTTGCCGTGCATGTTATTCCCATCGGCAAGCAAGAATTAGCGCAGTCCTACCCAGCCAAGCATTTTTTGATGATCCCTCCGCCCCGCAGATCGCTGCAGACGAAACGGAGCCAGCGTCCACGCTGAGCCCTTTTAGACGTGTATCCGAAGGTCCGTCAGACTTCCACCGCCTTTTCCACCAGCTGAATTTATCTCTCTATGGAGATTTTTTTTTCTCTTTCTTGCTTTTCGGTTTGTGGCATATAATGAAAGTATTATAGCTTCCTATTCGGTTCATTGGCCCGGTCGAATGATGAGCATCGGCTCTTTGCCAACAGCTCCACAACCCTCCTGCTTGTATGTCGAAGACTGTTCACCAATTCCAGTGGCTTCGAGATTGCCACCCAGCTAGCGTCCTGTTCTTTCTGCGAATCGGGCTTTTTTCCTCCTGCTAAGCTTTTTGGAGGCGTTCAAATGTGGGTTTGGGCTGCTCTGGTAGCACACAGCCAGACAGCGTTTTGCTGCTGCTACCCTGTAGCAGAGCCTTGGACCGCACAACTGCCCCGAGGAGCGTCTTTTGGCGTCTTTTCCTCTTTTAATTAGTGAGGGTGTGTAATTCGAGGGATCTTGTGCTCTGGGGAAAGTATATTGATTAAAGAAGTGTATAATTCCTCACATACTCTCTGTATGGCGCGGGGTTGGCATCTAACGCCTGGTATTCTCATCGCCAAAGACCATAGAAGCGCTGGATGTGTCAATGTGAGAGTCTGTTAAATCCCGAATTGATGGTGATTTTGCATGCATAAGTAGCTGATGCCAGGTTGGCTACGGTATAACGAGTATGACGTCTCCATTGCTCCTGTCTTGTGTATGCTGGCCACCTCTGATATTGTACATTACCATCTCCATCACGGCTGGGCTCTCCATCATTAATCGACCCCCTCTATCCTCATATCTACCCTCATCTCTACCGTCATAATCGAACTATCCAACCCTCAAATGCATGCCAACTACTCCTGGCTCTCCTCCTCCTTCAGCCTCGGCCCCCAGGTCTCCTCCTCCAGCCGCCACAGCTCCGGGAACAGCTCAAACGCCTCGAGCGCGCTCTCCTCCGGCACCCTCACACCTCCCGTCTCCGTCCTCGTCGCCCCGAGCGCCACCGCCCGCGCCAGGATGACGCCCAGCCTCCGCGCCTGCCCGTACGAGCATCCGTCAAACGCCACGACGCCGAGGTCGTGGTACAGCGTCGCCGCATTGTCCCGCACGCACGCGCGCTTCTCCTCATCCGTGACGCTGCTGCGCCGCCCAGGACCGCCAATCGGGTACGGATGCGCGCCGGGGCGCGTACGGAGGCCCCATCTAAGCAGGATCGGAAACGTGCGCACCGCGGCGCCGGCGGTCTTGGGGTTGGCCATGGGGGTAGTGTGGTGTGCCTTTCGTGGAGTTGGCCGGCTGCGAGCTGGGCGGGGGCTGAAGACTGTAGATGGCTGACAGGAAGAGCAAGAATGAGGAAAAAGAGACGGTTTAGTGCAACGGATGCTGGCCGCGCTGAAGAGTTGTAAGCTGCTGTCGCTTTTGATGAGAAATATTGTCAAGGTGATGGCGATGGCGTGATGCGACGTCTTGGCCGGCGTGTCCACTTCACCGCCACATCCAATGGACGTATCGTGAGTACCGCATCACGGAGAGCCAGGAATCGAAGAGAAAAGTATTATTAAAATAAAAGGAAACGGGTTCAAATTCTCTCTAAGAAACATTGAGTCAATTAAAGCATGATGGAGCGTGAAAGTCTGCTGCAGAGGCCAGTTGTAGATTCTCAGTTTAAGCCACATTGGCCAAGAAAGAAATTCCAACCAGCTGGCTTTTTTTCCTTCGTCTGTTCGGGTGCCATTGTTGCCAGAGGGGGCAGGGGAACTCCGTTGTAGCTTATGTTTTTTTTCCCTAGAAAGAACAATCTACTTAGGTGCGTGAAGAAGCCTCCAGTTTGTCTTGTCCACCAGTCTCTCAGTCCGGCGCACTGGTGGTGCATCGCCTCGGGGTAGCAAAGTCGGAAAGAAGCCACCGATAATGTTTGTTGGATAGCAGCTTCCAGAATTGCTCTTGGATAATTGATAAGCTCACCTGCCCTCGGTTTGAGGTCATCAGCAACAGATGATGCTCTGCGACCTCTCACTGAACACTCGCTGGCATGCGCTTGCTCCGAGTAACCACACAGAAGAAAACTCTATACGGGCATGCTTCGGCCTTGATTTATGACTCCTCATCTTGTATCAGTGGAATAAGGATTGCCAGTCCCAGTTGGTATGGACTCAGTTTGGCCAACATGCCAAGCCAAGCCGCGAATCGACCGCCAGCTAACGAGAGGCTGTATTTCTACTCACCAGCAATCTGCATCCTGCAAACTGTAAAGCCATCACTAAAAATTGACGGGAAAATCCTGACCAGATCATCTCCGCCCGATAGAGTTCTATTTTTTCATCCATTGTTGCCTGAACCCAGATTGTGCACCCCGGGGCTCGGCGGCGGGGAAGCCGGGCCTGTCTCGGCGATCCCGGGCGTGCCCTCATCGACGGTCGTGTGCGAGGTAGTAAATCTGGCCAGCAGCATGCCTATCTGGCCCGCGTTCCGGGCAGATTAATGTCTCTGACATGCATAACGCATCAGTGGCGCTTTCATCGCGCGACCGACGGTGTTGGACTGACAAGAAGGCGTCAGCGTAGCATTCGAGAGTAGAGACGACGGGCCGTGGATTCAACGAGGACACCTTGACATCCAAATACCGCCCGAGACTCGAGAATCGCGCCAAACAGTTTGGTGTACTGGGGCGTTGTTTAGTCGCCTCGCCCCTGCATCATAGGGCCAGTAGTCTGGAAACTACTGCGCCGTGGCGTCTTTCCAGTTAAGCGACGAGACGAGATTCGAGAATGTCGTCTTATTCTTCGTGCAATTGTTGTCCGAAAATCTGACGATGCTTTCCTTGGACTTTCGAGTAAGAACATAGTTGTGTTCCTCTCTGTTCGACCACGACCTAGACGGACAAGAGAATTCCTCCGCGTCCTGACGACACGCGAACCAATCAACCACTTGAGCCCAGCGCTACTGGCTCGTCATCGGAGGGAGATCCAAAAATGCGCGTCCAGGTAATCAATCTATGACTCCGCTTCGATCATCTGCTTGTTTCTGTTGGGCTCGCCCTCTTCCGCTCTTGGCTCCGACTGCCACATGCCGAAACCAACCTGCAACTAATAACAAACTAATTGAAATATTGAATAGCTTATGAGCAACCGTCGCAACCACGTCATAAAATGGGCTAGACAAGGAGGAGCGGTTTTCGCAAGAAGACGCCAGATTGGTTCTCTTTTGTTAACTGATGGGCCCAGATCTTTGCCCCCATGTTATTGCCAATTAACTTAGTTATTACATGTCCGAGCCCTGCCCATCACATGCCAGCCAGGTGATGACGCAGACTTTCCCAGAGGAAACCTGCCCCTGGCTCCTTATTACTTCTCTTTATTCCTCCGCTGTTCCGTTCAATTTCTGGGGCTCTCTCCACCCTCTGAGTTGTCTGTCCTCTCACATTACAAGACGCCTTGACAAAAAAATAAAAAAAAGTTCATGCAAAAAGACACAATCACATGCGAGATCCATAGGCTCACAGACTGCGGCGTGCCCGTCCTTTTGCCACGACAAACAAGGTTTAGTTAGCAAGGTTTAGTGTAGCCCTTGAGGCAAGGCGGCTGAGTCGGCGCTCCCCATTTTCCTAGTAGCCTGACCAACTAACTAACTATTCACCTAACCCCTTCCCCGCACCTGTTATTCCCTTGTCACAGTTTCCCCGGCTCTCCGGTCCCAGCGCGGCAGTATGTGCAGGGGCTCTCGCGCGGGGTTGCGGCCGCTGGTCCTCGGCTGTCTGACACAGTGTAAGCCGGGGGGAGTCTATATTTACTCTGGGACAGCCGCCTAGGTTCAGATACACTTTATAACCCTGTGAACCCGACCCTTTATCTCCAACTTGGTCTTTTCTGTTTGTCTCTTTGTATTAGAAAAAAGAAAAAAAAGAAACAAAAACAAAAACAGGACGCTCCGGCTAAGACAACACCGCCAACATGGGGCTTGCTCAGGAGCACAACCCTCACAACATGAAGGCCGACTGGCAGACCAAGGACCCTTCAACGTGGAACGTCTTCCAAAAGTTCATGACCGCCATCGACATCTCGCCCGTCATCCCCGGCAAGCCGCTGCCCGTCTTCCCCAAGACCGCCAAGATGCCCTTCATGGCGCAGTGGTCGCAGCACCTCTTCATCCTCGTCTACGCCGCCATCCCGCTGCTGCTGCACCAGGCCTACGTCTCCTACACGGGCGCGCCCCTCGGCAAGCTCGCCGTCATCCTGCTCTACAACACCGCCTACGTGCTGACCGCCGTCCGCGAGGTCCGCATGCTCCGCCGGCTGACCTACCTCCACGGCTGCCTGGACGGCGACGTCGCCGACCGTGACGGCATCCCCAACACGGGCGCCGGCAAGATCATCGGCGAGATGCACAAGACGGCCGGCTTCCGCCTCATCATGGCCACCTGGATCGCCTACGAGCCGGGCCTCTCTCCCTTCGACTTCTTCTCCGGCGGCGGCGCCTCCGTCTGGGCGCCGCTCCTCCTCAAGCTCGCCCTCTACGGGCCCGTCCTCGACTTCTTCTTCTACACCTACCACCGCGCCTGCCACGAGGTGCCCTGGCTGTGGAAGTACCACCGCACGCACCACCTCAACAAGCACCCGACCGCGCTGCACTCGGGCTTCGCCGACGACGAGCAGGAGATCATCGAGATCGTCATCGTGCCGTTCCTCACCTACGCCACGCTCTGGGCGCTCGGGCTCAAGCTCAACTTTTACGAGTGGTGGGTGTGCTTCGAGTACGTCACCTACTCGGAGATCTTTGGCCACAGCGGGCTGCGCGTCTACGGCACGGTGCCGTCGCCGGTCACGCCGCTGCTCACCTGGCTCGACATGGAGCTGCTGCTCGAGGACCACGACCTGCATCATCGTCGTGGCTGGAAGAAGAGCTTCAACTACGGCAAGCAGACGCGCGTCTGGGACCGCATCTTCGGGACCTGCACGGACCGCATCGAGGCCACGGCGGACAATGTCGAGTTTTCCAAAACGGTCAACATGCCGCTGTTTTGAGTTTTTCTGGCGGCGCCGGCGACTCGGGCCTATGAAGTAATGACACTGGACATCGGTTTCGATGTCTGTTTAGCGATACCACACATTTAGATATAGAAGTTTACTACCGTGTTCAATTCTTGGAAATAACAAGCTTATTTACATATAATTTCTATTCTTGTTCCTCTTACACTGCTTCATTTATATTCAGTACAATAACTAGCGTGTGCGATGCGAAACGTCTCGCTCTCCATGCTTGTCTGTCTTTCTCCCATGACCAACCACCCCGATAAGCGTAATTGGTGTTTTGATGGCGTTGAGCCGATTTTTTTTAATGCGTTTATAACTAGTTGTAGACTGTTGCCAACTCAGGTTTGCTAAAGAAACATGCTTTTGTTCCCGAGGCCTTATAAATTGCCTGCATAATCGGAAGAACCCGCCTGCTACTAGCCAGATTAGACTCAAACGTAAAGGATGGTCGTTTGGGGAAATGTTTAGCCATAATGCTGACCAGCTCTTGCACTGGCATATTTCTGGAAAAAGAAAAGCGAGTTAGTTAAAACGTGGGAACGCCAGAGAAATACTTCTGCTCGATGCACTCACCGTGGAAAATCGTCGTCGCGAGGGGCTGGCCCTGTCATTGGAAACCAGAGGTGCTTCAAGTTGGGAAAGAGAGATTCTTCCCGCGATTCGAGCTGGAGCGCCGACAGGTTCACCTCGGCCGGCCACTGGCACTCTTGAAGCAGAGGACAATGCTTGCCCAGCTCGATCAGCGCCGCATCGTAGCTGCCCGGCGGCACCCGGACGTCGAGCCAAAGGCGTTCCAGTCGCGGAAAGTGGGAGACCCAAGCTGCAAACTGACCAGGCGAAACTTGGAGAATAGCATGTCCATCCTTTTGATGGACCTTGTGCCGGTTGACCATTCCGAGGCGCTTGAGCGCAGGTAGGGAGCATAGCGACATGAGTGCGGATTCGGGCACGGTGTGGTCGCAGGGGACGCAGATTCTCACATCTTCCAGGGTCCGGATCTGCGAGAACCACGTCAAGGTCGCCCATATCTGGTCATCGCGACCCGAGCCCTGCGAGCCGAAGCCGTCATCCCGGATGACCCAAGGCACGACCACCCGCATCTTCCGCAACGACCGGAACGGGCGCGACACCCGCGCGTCCATCATCCCCAACGCCTTGCTCGGCACCTCGCCGTTGAACGGAAGCATGAGCTCGCGCAGGTGCGGCAGGCGTGCGCACTCCACCATGACCTCCGGGCCGATCGAGAAACTCCACGGCGCCGCGTCTGGCTCGGTCGCGAGGCTCGCCGGCCTGCCCCTGCGGAACATGAGGGCCTCGACCACCTCGAGCCGCGGACAGGCGGCCACGAACCGCGCCAGCGCCGGCTCGTCCGCCGGCAGCGGGTAGTCCAGCCGGAGCTCGCGCAGGCGGCCGCAGCGCTCGCCCAGCACGCCGTCGAGCAGGCCCGCGTCGGCGACGCTCAGGTCGAGGCTGCGGATCGTGTCCGGTGGCACGTGGCGCCGGAGCAGCGCGCGGCCGGTCTCGCCGGCGGACGTCGCGCCGCCCTCGTAGCGGAGCAGAAGCAGGTGGCGCAGGTGGTCGAGCGCGAGCGGGGGGCGGCGAAAGGCCCAGTCGTACGTGTCGCGCCGGCGGCAGTCGACGATGAGGCTGCGCAGCTTGGAGGCGTACAGCTGCCGGTGGAGAGGGTCCGTCACGCTGCGTTGCAGATGCCACAGCAAGGAGCGGACCCGGGGAGCGTCCTCGCCCCAGATGCATCTCGTTGCGTACTCGAAGAAGCGCCGGTCGACTTGGGCGGCGCTGCAGAGGCTGCTCCGAGGCAGATACTCGCAGATGGCCTCCACAACGTGCGGTATGGCGAGCGCCCGCGTGGTTGCACTGATATCTTGATCCATGAGGGGACTCTTCAAGGTTTGTCTGAATGGGTTGTAAGTGTAGGCGCAAGTCTTGAACGACACAAGACGGCGAGGAATCGGCTGTGCTGTTGGTTGTCAGGTGTTGGTTATGTGTTGGTTGGTCCGGCGTGTTACAGTTGGCGAATGGAGGAGATTGCGGCCGCATCATTTATAGAAGATAGAAAATATGAAGTAAATTAAAGAATACCGGCCCGCTATCAGCACGTTAATATAAAGTTCGGAGCGGCGAAGAATACAAACTTGGGATCCAAATGTCTTCACGAGGCGACATGTACACTAGACTAACGCAAGGTTGGTACAACGGGTCGAGAAGCAGGCCCTAAGTTTTAGAACACGTTTTAATTTTCAAGAACCTCAAGGAAAGGTTCCTGAATATGGAAATTCTATCTGAATTATGAAACGAAAAAGCAGCTGCAGCGGAATACCGTTTCTGACTGACTGGCTCTACGTGTGACGTAAAGCAACCTCTACGCGACATGTTTCCAGGGGTTGCCCCAGAAAAGATCCGACTAGGATGGTATTTGAAGTTGTTTAAAGACTTTTAGACTTTAGTCAGTTATTTAGGGCTGTAAAGCATGGTACTTTGTTTGGTGTCTGGGGATAAACCGAGGCCATTAGATACATGCCAAGCTGTGATGAGCAGAGCCGAGCTATATTAAGGTTTTTGCGTATCTAAATACAATCTCGATTTGACTGAGATTTCGAACAAATATTATCTTTTTCTTCTCTGCGACGCATCTTGGAATAATCTCATTGTATATTTAATACCGGCAGCCACCCAACATCTCCTGCATGGCCAACACAGTCTTTACAGCCCACAACACCTAACCGGCATGCTCTGTATCCCCCAAATCCTTCAACAGCGATTTAATAGCTTCTCATGAATCCGAACCCCGACGCGGTATCGCGGGCCTTTTCCCTGCCGCACGTCATGGAGTCCATCATCAACCGCCTGCCCTGGAGAGACGTCACCTCGGCCGCCCAGGTCAGCCAGCACTTCAGCCACCACGCCACGAACCGGATCTGGGCCGAGCTTCCCTGGAGCGACACGGAGCCGTGGGGGCTGGACATGGACACCGTGCACCCGTCGCGCCGCCAGGTGTACGCCTCCAAGGTGCGCAGCCTCGTGCTCTCCTCCTCGCGCCGCCCGGCGGCCCCCGGCCACCACGGCCTCCGCTTCCACAACCTGCGGCACCTGCGGCTGTGCGAGTACGGGCTGGACGCGCACTCCCGGCCGCCGCTCGCGCCGTACCTGGCCTCGGACCGGCTCTGGAACGTCACGCTGGAGGACTGCGCCGTCGACGCCGCGCTGCTCGGCACCCTGGCCCCGCGGTGCCGCCGCCTGCGCGAGCTCTGCCTGGAGCGCGACCACTGGCCGGCCGCGGCGCCGCGCGAGCCGCGCCACCCGAACTGGCGCGGCGACGGCGTCTTCGTCTTCCCGGCCATGCTGCGGAGGCTCGAGCTTCGCGCCGACACGGCGGCGCTGACCGAGGCGTTTGAGCGGCTCGCCCCGTTGACGCCGGACTCCTCACAGCTCGTCGAGGCGGTCTTGTCCCCGACGACCGTGTCGCTGCTCTCCAGCCTTGACACCACCAGCCCTGGCCGCGTCGTCTTGAATGTCCCGCGTTGGCCGTCCTGGGTGATTATGGAACCGCTTCTGCTATTCAAGCACCTCACGCACTTATTTCTCGAGTTCAACGGCAGCAACGTCTCTCTCCGCGCACCCCAGATGATGTTGCTGTGCGAGTTGCCCGCCCTCACCAACATTGGCATTCGGCGTTGCCCCTTCATCGCTGCTACCGCCGACGACATTCGTCTGGAGCTTTCCGTCGCCCAGTTCACCGCCTGGATTTCTCACTTTCCCGCGCTGCGCACCTTGAAACTCGGCGCGCGCGCGCCCGACCCCTACGATGAGGCCCTGATTGCGCTGGGCACAGTCTGTCGCCAGCTCGTGAACTGCCAGTGGCCTGGGCTGATCAACTTTTCGTCGCTCCAGCTGGATTCGCGCGAGGATTGCCTCTTTCCGAACCTGTGGACATTTTGCTGTCCTCACGGTGCGAGGACTTCTTCCCTCCCGAACAGATTTCCACGAAATATCTCACACATCACAGAGCTGGCCATCATCTTGTTTAGACACTTTCCTATATTAATGCACTTTGAAATTGAAAACGTGGGACAGGATGAAGGGGTGAATGCGGTTGAGCACGCATTCAACGCTATTACCGGAGATAGATAACAGAAAATTACTCACCTCTGTATTTAAAAGGCGTGTCTCCATATCCAACCAAGTTTTCCTATCTGTCCTATCTTTCCTATCTTTCCTGTGTTTATTATTTTTATTATTTCTAGCTTCTTTTTGTCTTTCTGTCGTCTCTACTTTTTTATTATACTATTTTTGCCCTTGATCTTGGTCTCATATGTTTTATATTTACATCTCATATTTTATATTTTCTGTATATGTTTCTTGTATATAGGTCCTAGATCCATCTTCCTCAGGAGCGTCATCGCGTGTAGTAGATACAACCTTTGGAAGGAACATTTGTAGCTTCTTTGAAATACCGTCTTACAGTGGCTTATTTGTGATGCCTTTATCCTCTGCGTTGGCTGCTAAAATTATCCCCTTTAGCCGCTTTGTGGTACCTATTGGCACTGCTTCATTGTGACGGTTTCTTACCGTGCTTGGCGTCTATATGATACGTATCTGCTCCAGCCGCCCTGTGAGACTCATTGAGTGACTCTTGTACTCTGTTCAAAATAAATATTCCCTCTAACATCTTTGTGACTACCGACATCTATAGATGACCTCCAACCTACACCTGCACACACATGACCTGCAATGACCATCAACAAAATGGAGCCTCGCTCGCCGGAAGCACTTAAAATTCCCGAGTTGATCATCATTATACTAAAGCTCGTGGACAAAAGAACACTCATGGAAGCCCTGGTTGTCAATAAGCGTTGGTTCGAGTGCGCAATATTGCTGCTGTGGCGAAAAGCGAACCTGGGAGATCTGGCGCTCATCCAGGCCGCGGACCGACGACAAAGCTGCGCCGAGAAAATACGAATCCTCCGCTTTCCGGACGGCAAGGCCTTCAACGACGATAAAACCCGGGACCTGGCCTTTCCCCGGTTGAGGTCTCTGAGATTCAAGCGGCTCAGCGACGTCCAGCTCCTGGCCTACCTCAAGCCGTGCGTCAAGAGGCTGAAGCTGATGGATGTTTTATGGTCGGACGACGACTTCTCCGCAGCGGCCAAGCTGGCCGGCAACCTCAAGTACATCCGACTCCGAAACATGACTGAACGCGCGTCGAGCGCGGCGCTTGCCAACTTTCTCGGAAGCTGCGTGTCCGCCGAGCGGATTGAGGTCTTCGAGCGTGAAAGCTTCGAGCATCACGAGGGAGTCAACGAGTACCATCTGCGCCTCGCCGAGCTCCGGCACCTCAAGACCCTCGACCAGCTGGGGGAAAACCTGACCGCCGCGACCGTGGGCCGGATCGCCGAGACCGTGGATGGGCCCTTTGCGTCGCTCCGGCTGCTGAGTACCCGCGCCGAGGCCGCCACGCTTCCGAAGCTGTGCCGCATTCTCCCCGTGGACAGCCTGAGGGGGCTGTCGCTGGATACCACCCATCGCGACGACGGACGGCCCGGGCCGCCGCCGCCGCGGCGGCGCGTGAACCTGAAGGACATGGCCAGACTGACCGGCCTGCAAGGGCTGCACCTAACCTTCCGCCACGACACGGTCGACACGGCGCCGCTGTCCGAGCTGTGGAACATGCGAAATCTGGGGCTGCACTGCCACTGGGGAGGGCCCAAGGACGTCAAGTTCTTGTCAGGCATGGCCAGGTTGCAGGACCTGCATCTGACTTTCTGGACAAACTTCGACATGGCGCCGCTGTCCAGGCTTGTCAACCTGCAAAGGCTTCAGCTGCGCACCACAAACCGTCAGAAGTCCCTGGACGTGCGCTTCCTTGCCGACCTGCACAACCTGCAGGATCTGCATCTGACCTTCTCGACAAGCTTCCACACGGCGCCGCTGTCCGGACTTGTCAGCCTGCGAAGGCTCCAGCTGAACGCCCTCAGCCATCCAGAGACTCCGTCCCACAGCCGCCCGGGGATCCTGGACATGCGCTTCCTGGCCAACCTACGCAGCCTGCAGGAGCTGATGATGACTGGCGTGCACGACTTCGACGTGGTGCCGCTGTCCGGGCTGCTCAGCCTGCGGAAGCTGCAGTTGGGCTACGCACATCCGGGGCCCTTGCACGCGCGGCTCCCCTCCGGCCTACCCGACTTGCGGGAGCTGCGGATCTCTCCCGTCCACATGGAAGAGCAGCCCGTGGACGCGACGCCGCTGCCCGTGCCCGCCAACCTGCGAAAGCTGGACCTGGTCGTCACGTGCAGGTCGACAGACCTGTGCCTAAAGCCGCTGGCCAGGTTCACCAGCCTGCGTGTCCTGAAGCTGCGCATTCAAGGAATTCAGCAGGCCCGAGCCGCGGAGCCGCTGTATCGTATCATCACCATAGACACGGAGCCGCTGTCCCGGCTCATCAATCTGCGCACCCTGGACGTGACCTGCAACTGGTACTCGAGTCTGTTCTACATGAACACGGGGCCGCTGTCCAGGCTCACCAACCTGCGAGTCCTGCGGGTGCATTTCCGGGAAAAGGTGCATCTGGACATTGAGCCTCTGTCGCAGCTGACCAAACTGCGAAAGCTGCGTCTGGAGTGTGCCTTCCGCTGGCGGCAGCTGCGCCACCTCTCGTCGCTCCGCCGCTTGGAGAGCCTCAACCTCGAAAACGACGCTCTTTTGGCCGACTTGGCATGGGGAGGGGGGGAGGGGCACGATGCCATCACGAAGCTCCTGGCCCCGTTATCACGCTTGCGGAGGCTGCGCCTGTGGACTGGGTGCGACGAACTCCGCGTCCCCGTCCATGTGCTGTCTGCGCTGGGCCGACACTGCCCAACCATCGTTGACTGCGAGATCGCTCATCTCCTTGTGACGCGCCGAGACCTGGAGCGATGCGAGGCGCAAAAACCGAGCCGCGGGTTTTGCGAGAAGCTGTTCATCCGAGGCTTTCTCGCCGATTACTCCAGACGGCCCGGCAGCGAATTGGCCGCAAGGTGCGTACAAGACGGGCGTCGTGACCGAGACTTTGACTAATCACCGCTGAATAACATAGGCTGTCCTATATAAGCCTGTTTCGCAAAAAGTTTCCTGCGGTAAAGAGGGTAGATGTTTGGGGTTGTGGTAATGAGTTTGAGAAGAAGATTACTGCTGGGCTCCGGTTCACTCCTAGAGATAATCCCTCGAGGGATGACTCCGGTGTCGAAGAACCCGAAATCAAAGAATCTGATGGTGAAGAATGGGATATCGAAGAATACGATACCGAAGCAACCAATGCCCACGAATCCGATACCGAAGTTTCCGAAGCCGAAGAATATTATTAATACGCCCATCGTTTATTGCGATTGCCACCTTTACTATTTTTTTTTTCACTAATTAAAACTTAAATATAATTTCTACAAGTAACACGTCGAGATCAACTTTCGCGATGTAGTCATAGTGTGAGGACTTTACTTGGCAGCTCATCCTCATTCAGGGCACTGATGAAGAAACGCCTCACCACAGCAGCTGGTATAGCGTGACTGAACAATGTATTTTATAAGCCGCTAATTCCAAGACCCCTCCGATAATGTAAAAAAAATATTCTGGATATAATTTTTACCATTGTAAAATCTACAAGATGGTGTCGAGGTAGTTGCATAACTACGTTAGTTGGTAGTTGCCAAGTGCCAGCCAACAAACGCCACAGTGAGTGTACATAAATAGCGTGTAGCCTCTAACTAACTAACTAACTAGAACCTCAACAACGCGTCTGCCGCCCCTCTCCGTCTCTCCCCAACTCTGCTCTCTCACAGCTGCGGGCACATGGCTTCAAACTCGGAAAGCTCGACTGCGCCGAGGCCTCGGAAGAAGCGAATACCGGTAAATTGATGAATGCCATTTTCCACGCATTGCGCGGCTAACTAACAGAGTGTAGACGGCCTGCGGTGCTTGTCGGGCGTCCAAGGTCAGTACAGCCTCAGCACTCACTGGCTGCTGCTGTAGGCGGTTGACTGACCCTTGCTATGTATGTACGTAGGTGCGATGCAACGGTGGAAATCCATGCACTAGGTAAGCAATTTGCGTCCCTTTCTATTTCTTCTTTATTCTTTGATTTTACGAGTATTTCTTTCTCCCACTCACCTGTCAAGTAGCTCAATGCTAACATCTCAGATGCCGCTCCCTGAAAAAGACGTGCAACTTTACTGAGCGGCCCAAAGACCCCTACCAAGAGTATGTACATACGTCCAAGTCCTTCCATCACAAAGGAAAACCCAGCTAATGCATTTGGAATTACAGAAAAATCGACGCGCTGAGTGATCAAGTATCGGCTCTGAAAAGACAGCTGGACAGCACCACCACCACCACCGCCAACTCTCACCAAAATTGCCTCAGCACCGGACCAGGCATCTCCAACCCTCCCAGCCAATACCCGGCTCACGGCCCTCCCATCATCCCCGATGCCGTGTCTTCCAGCACATCCACCCAATCCCCCGAAACCACCACCGGCAGCCTCCTCCCCCGCCGCCGGGGCCGCCGGTCCCACTTCATCGCCTCCCCCGGCCCTCTGCCGGACCTCCTCTCCGCCGGCCTCCTCACCCCCTCCCAGGCCGCCCTCTACCACGCCACCTTCTTCTCCGGCTGCGACCGCTACGTGCCCGTCTTCTCCCCCGCCACCCACGACACCCTCGCCTCCCTCCGCCAGCGCTCCCCGCTCCTCCTCGCCGCCGTCTGCACCGTCGGCTGCCGCGTCGCCTGCGGCACCGACTCCCACCAGTGGCGCCTCCTCAACTTTCACCTCTCCCGCATGCTCTCCCACGTCACCTCCTCCTCCTCCTCCTCCTCCTCCTCCTCCTCGGGCCTCGCTTCGCTCGAGACGGTCCAGGCGTTCCTCGTCCGCGCGTGCTACTCGGCCGAGCGCTCGCTGCTGGTCGCCAGCGCCACCCGGCTCGCCGTCGAGATGGGCCTGCCGGACGCCTTTGACGAGCTCATGGCGGGCGGCCCCGGCGCGGAGGAGGACGAGGCGAGGCTGGTGCGGTGCGCGCGCACCTGGCTGCACGTGCTGGTGCTCAGCCACATCCTGCACGTCGACGCCGGCGACGCGCTGCCCTTCCGCTTCTCCGGGGATCCGCGGCGCGCGCGGGGCGTCCTGCTCAACTCGCCGCACGCCACCCCGCTCGACCGCTTCCTGCTCGCGCAGGTCGAGCTCAACGTGCTGCGGGCGCGGCTCCTCCCCGCCCGGCCCTTCCAGGACGACGACGAGATGCAGTGCTTCGTGCGCGAGGCCACGCTCGACATCGACCTGTGGCACGACGACTGGGAGCGCATCCTGCTCGCCGCCGAGGACGGGGAGGCGTCGCCGTGGATGCTGGTCAACCTCGCGGTGCAGCGGTGCTGGGCGACCACCACCGCGCTGTGCCGCGCCGTGCGCGCCGCTGCCGGCGGCGTCGACGACGTCGACGCCATGACCCCCGCGCAGCGCGCCGTGCTCGTCGCCGCGCGCGGAGCCCTCCGGGGCCACCTGCGCGCGCTCCTGGCCGAGCCGCGGCGGTACCTGCGCGACCTACGCTACGCCATGGACTTTGTCTGGGCCAAGTGCGCCTTCTGCTACCTGCTGCTGCTGAAGCTGTGCATACTCCTACCAGGGGGCGGCGGCGGCGGCGGCGGCGACGACGACGACCTGGACGAGGAGGGGCTGGTCGCGTGCGGCGCGGTGCTGGCCGCGGAGCTGGGCGACGCCGGCGTCACGCAGGTGGCCAACAGCACGGCGCGCATGTACCTGCAGCTGCTGCAGACGGGCACCGAGACCTTTGCGCGGGCGCTGCAGCGCCGTCGGGAGCTGCCCGGCGGCGGGGACCAGGACGAGGCGGCAGCGGGCGGCTATCATCCCGAGGCCGCGGCGACGGCGGCCGACGAGCTCGACGCGTTCGTGCCGGACCAGTTCGTCTTTGAATGGGACTTTCCGGGGCTGACGCTGTTTTCCTCCTCGACGACGGGCATTGGCTGGCTCGACGACATCCTGCTCGGCGCGCTCAACGGCGGCGGTGACTTTTACGGCTTCATGGCGCCGGCCGCCGAGTTTGGCGACCCGGCTGGCTGACTGTATTTTTCATCCTTCATGTAAAACGTGCATAATGTGCAAATCTCTGTAATTCTATGACAACTCGAATCTTCTACGCCCCAGCTCATCGCGACCCAAGTCCGAGACCGCCCTCCCGTCCGCGCCCTGCACTTCCCGGACGTCTCCCACCGGCAGCACCACCACCAGCGTCCTCCACGGCGCCGTGAACCCCGAGTCCTCGTCCCTGCTAAACTTGACCTTGACCGCGTCCTCCGTCGCGCTGTACGAGATGGTGTACGAGGAGATCCTGTTCCTCGCCACCGGTGACACGCCGTCGTCCTCGTGCCACGTCGTCTCGTACCACCCATCGCCGGAGCTGCTGCCCGCCTGCGGAGGGAAGATCTCCACGGCGCGCAGGTCGTCCAGCGGCAGCCCGGCCACGTTGTCCTTCTCGCCCGGCGACAGCACCTGCACGTCGCGGCCCGTCGGGATCGCCGCGCCGACCTTTGCCATCACCGCGATGCCCGCGCCGTGCCACGCCGCGTCCACCGTCGCCCACTCGCCCGCCTTCAAGTACTGATACGGCGCGTTCATGTTCACGTACCCCCCATCCTCCCCGTCGCCTCCCTTCTTCGGTAGGTACACTTTCACCTGCGTCGCGCCCGGCTCAAACACGCCGCCGACCACCATCGCGTCGCCGAACCAGTACTGCGTCTCGCCGTCCGTCAGCGGCCGCCGCCAGACCTCCGGGTCCGCCTCGCAGCCCCAGCCGATCCAGCGCTGCGGCGGCGTCGCCGCACGGTGGCTGTCGATCATGGCCGAGTAGATGTACGGGATCAGCGCGTAGCGGCGCTTGATCGCCCTGCGCACCAGGTGCGTCGCCCCCGGGTGCATCCACGGCTCGATCACATCACCCACGCTGTTCTCCTTCAGGGTCTTGAAGCAGTTTATGGCGAAGCGCGGCGAGTAGACGCCCAGCTGCACCCACCGCACCAGCAGCTCCGGCGACGGCTGCGGGCCCTCGAAGCCGCCGATGTCGTGCCCGTAGCAGTGCAGCAGCGACACCCCCGCGTTGAGACCCAGCGCCGTGGAGCCGCGCATGCTCGCCCAGCTGGTCGTGTTGTCGCCGCTCCACGAGCTGCACGCGTACCGCATCGTGCCGGCCGTCGCGCCGCGCGTCAGCACGAACGGCCGACCGTCCGGGTCTGCGTCGACGAGCGCGTCGTGCGACGCCCGCCCGTGCAGCTCCGTGTGCATGCTGCGGCCCCAGAGGCCAATCTGCGGCCGCTCCCGCAGCGCCTCGGGGATCTCCCGCAGCGCCTCGGGGATCTCCCGCAGCGACGGGAGGGTGAGCGCGCACTCCCAGCTGTCGTCGGTGACGACGTACTCGTTGTTGTCGTTCCAGATGCAGTCGATGCCCTGCTGGCGCAGCTTCTTCACGCCCTCGTACCACCACTGGAAGCCCGCCTCGGAGGTAAAGTCAATGTGCCCGCCCTCGCCGCTCTCGCCGCCGCCGGCGCTCCAGAGACGCGCCACGCCGGGCTGCTTGGTGCTGGGGTCGGTGAAGAAGGCGTTGGCGGCCTTCAACTTCTCGTACTCCGGGTGGCTGGCCAGCACGTACGGCTTGACGTTGGCGATGAGCCGCATGCCGAGCTTGTGGTACTCGGCGATCCAGCCCTCCGGGTCGGCGAAGCGGTGGCGGTTCCACGTGAAGACATTGCGCGTCTTGGGCTCCGTCTCGGCCACCGTGTACCCGGACGACATCTGGTACGCCGAGCAGGGGATGTCGTGCTCCTTCATCTTGCGCGCGAGCTCCAGGAGCGCCTCCGACGCCGGCGGGTCGTCGAGCATCGAGTACTTCATGCCGCCGGACAGGTAGCCAAACGCCCATCGCGGGACCAGAAGCGGGAACCCGACCAGCTCGGCGTACGTCCGCACAATGTCCTTGAGCGTCCGGCCCACGATGGTGTACTCCTCCAGGCCGCCGTAGTCTTGCCGATAGACCTTGTACCGCCCCCACATGCCGTCCATCTCGGAGCCGATGGAGTAGAGGCCCCGGGTGTGGCTGGTCGAGAAGGTCGCGACACAGCCGCTAGGCGTGGCGTTGATGAGGAGGGGGATGTTCTTGTACAGCGGGTCGGTACGGTAGACGTCGTACCCGAAGCTGTCCGTGGCGGAAATCTCAAACTTTCGCCCCGACAGGTCCATGGGTGCGGCCTTTTCGCCCAACCCGACGTGAAGCGTGTCGCGGTTGTAGCGCGTGTAATGCGCCACGCCCGGTCCGTCGACGGCGTATCCGCGAAAGGGTAGATCCTGCAAGATAGGACTGTCTTTGCTCTCAGTATACGCTACAGAGAGCAGGGGGGACGACTCGGTCCAGTCCAGCTTGATGAGGACCTCGCCAATCTCAATGTTCTTGGTAGTAGCCGTCGGCGATGAGACCGACAGCTTGACCCCGTCCAGGTCCGCCTTCATGGGCGGCGCACTGGGATGAGGAGGCAGAGGGTGCGACTTGGAAGTGAAGCGGGTTCGAAAGACATTGGTCCGAAGAGTCTCGAATGAAAACTCAAAGGCATCTTCCGATTTGCTGTCACTTGAAAGCAGCACTCGCGGGTCATTCTCCCCCGCGGTGTTAGTCTCCCCTGTCGTCCACCCGCATGGGACTCGTTCTTTTTGCTGCGGCATTTTGTGATCGGGGAATGTATAATAGCAAGGAACTTGAGAATCAAATAAAGGAGTAGTATGAAGCAGGCTCGCTTTATAACTCACTCCAAGCAGCTCTTTATACTCGTTCCGATCCACCGATGACACGGCGTGAAGCTGCTCGGCCCCGCGCAAGAGAACCACCACTGGTAACACCTCATTTGCCGAGCTAACAGCATCCGTTTAATGTTGGTGGGGGAGTAAATGAGCGCCATTCAGTGTTAGCGGGGAGCAAATGAGCGCCATTCAGCAGCCCACGAGGCTGTTGCTGCAAGAACGGAGAAATGTCCCGATCCCCGACCGGAGAAATCCCCCGCGTGCCGACGCCACCACGCCACCTACGCGCTTTCAATTGCCGACCCCAGACTTTGCGAATCTCTTCCCCAGTTCTTTTTCGAGTTTGTAGTCTTCCCCACGGGGAAAGCTCATACCCGGTGAAAGAAGCGCCCGATGATGGTGTCGACTAACCGTCAAGGAGGGCAACACTAGCGGCAACGGACGCGGCTCTTTGCATCCGAGTATATATATAACTTCCCATCAGACCCCAGGTCGCACCGTCCTCCTCTCCATCCCCATGTGCGGGAACCCTTCGCTCCATCTTCATCCTTCTTGCCCGTCCTCCCTAAACTTATTCAAATTCTCAGCATGAACGCCAAGGTCAGCATCAACGTCGACCACCTCGAGGCCGGCCGCGACGCCGCCGCCGCCGCCGAGCCGCCCAGCAAGCCGGTCGCCGCCGTCCAGGGACAGGACAAGGCGGCGCTGTTCCTGCAGCAGGCCGGCCGCCCCGTCGTCGTCACGCCCGCCGACGACGCGCGCGTGCTGCGGCGCATCGACCTGCACCTGCTGCCCATCATCCTGTTCGTCTACTGCCTGCAGTCGCTCGACAAGACCACCCTGTCGTACGCGTCCGTCTTCGGCCTCATCGCCGACACCAACCTGCAGGGCGACCAGTTCTCGTGGCTCGGCTCCGTCGTCTACGTCGCCCAGCTCGTCTTCCAGCCCCTCGTCGCGTACAGCCTGGTGCGCTTCCCGCTCGGCAAGTTTATTTCCGTCATGGTGTTTTGCTGGGGCGCCGTGCTGTGCGGCATGACGGCGGCGCACGACTTTGGCGGGCTGATGGCGTCGAGGCTGCTCCTCGGCGCGTTCGAGGCGTCGGTCGGTAAGTGAACGAATAGACTATCTCAGTGATGCTGGCAGACTAACATTGACAGCACCGACATTCATCGCCGTCGTGCAGATGTGGTATCGTCGCCGCGAACAGACCACCCGAAACGCCGCTTGGTACGCCATGCTCGGCGTCGTCAACATGGTGAGAACACCGCAGAGGGAACTCGTATCCCAAATCTTGACTAACTCGTCGCAGCTCGGTAGCTTGTTGACATACGGACTCGGCCACATCAGCTCCCACCTCCACTCGTACCAAATCATCTTCCTCTTCTGTGGATGCATCACGGTAGCCTTCTCCATCGTCATGCTGTTCTTTATGCCCGACTCTCCGATGCAAGCCAAGTTCCTCAAGTACGAGGACAAGCTCATCGCCATTGAGCGACTGCGGATGAACCAGATGGGCATTGGCTCCGGTGTCTGGAAGTGGGATCACGTCCTGGAAGCATTTCTGGATCCGAAGACGTATCTCTGGTTCTCCCTGATGCTCGTCATCTCGTAAGTACCCCTCCATCTTGCCGCCGTACACACCCTCTAACTTCATCCAGTATCCCGAGCGGTGGCATTTCCACCTTTGGTCCCCTCATCATCGAGTCCTTTGGCTATAGCAAGTTCACCACCATCCTGTTCAACATGCCCTTTGGCGCCGTGCAGATGATCTCCACGCTCGGCGGCGCCTGGCTCTCCAACCGCCTCGGCATGAAGTCCGTCGTCCTCCTCCTGCTGTGCCTGCCGCCCGTCGCCGGCTGCGCGATCCTGCTCGTCGTCGGCCGCGCGCCCAGCAACCGCGCCGTGCTCCTCGTCGGCTACTACCTCATCTCCGTCTACCCGGGCATCTCGCCGCTCATCTACTCGTGGTCCGGCCAGAACACCGGCGGCGACACCAAGCGCAAGGTCACCACCGCCATGCTCTTCGTCGGCGCCAGCGTCGGCAACATCGTCGGCCCGCTGCTCTTCCGCCCGAGCGAGAAGCCGCGCTACACGCGGGGCCTGCGCGTCAACCTGGCGCTCTTCATCGTCCTGGCGACGCTGGTCGTCGCCGGCATGCTGCTCATCCGCGTCCTCAACATACGTCAGGCAAGAAGGCGAGTCGCGCTGAACAAGTCTGAGCATATCACGGATAAGAGTATGATGAGCCACGGTAAGAGCGATGATTCGGATGAGGCGCTTAACCAAATCGAGGGCAATGTCGGCGAGCATGCCTTTGAGGACGTCACGGACTTGAAGAATGAAGACTTCATCTATGTGTATTAGCTCTTTACTTCGTGTATATGGATTCAATACATTTTAGCGTGTGATTGCGTCTTTCTATTTGAATTTCTTCTCCTGTGTCGACGAGGCTCTCTCAGTCGCTGGCATTGGTATCGGACCACCAGGCGACTCTGGGAGGCGAGCAGTCAATACCTCGGCGCCATCGTCCGTTACGAGTAAAGTATGCTCTATAGTTTATTAGCATGTGTATTCCGCGCGCTCAGTAGGCTGTCCTCACCAAACTGGGCAGTTCGCTTGCCATCCACGGTCGCATTTGTCCATTTATCCGGCCAGTACATCTCCCTTGGCTTCCCTAGCGCCAGGATTGGCTCGATAGTAAAGGCCATACCAGCTTTGCATACCCCGACTGCCTTGTTCTTGGCGTAGTGGGGGATCCATGGCGGTGGATGAAAGTTGGTGTTGATGCCGTGGCCGCCCCAAGTGGTCACGACGCTGCAACCGCGTTCGTTGGCCATCTTCTCAATCACCTCACCGAATTGGCGGATAGGTGTGCCCGGTTTGACAATCTGAATGGCGGCGTCGAGGCAATCGCGGGTCGCCTCGATGAGGCGCACATTGTCTGGGTCGGCTTTTGCTTTGTCACCGACATAGTAGGTCTCGTTCAAGTCTGCGTGGTAGCCCTCGTGGTAGATGGAAATGTCGAGGTTCAGAATGTCGCCGTCTAGCAAGACTCTCTGGTCAGGGATGCCATGGCAGACAATCTCATTAGGGGAAGTGCAAAGCGACTTGGGAAAGTTTCTGTAGTTAAGTGGCGAGGGATAAGACTTGCCAGTTAGTTTGACGGTGTTGATTCGCTCCAGCGCGGGGACTTACATTTCTCTCCAAGCACGCCTTGTGGCAGACTTCATCCAGGTAGTCTGTGGTGACGCCTGGTCGTACCTCGGCAGCGACAATATCCAAGACTTCTCGGGACAATTTGCAGACCTTTCGCATCGCCTGCTGTGCCGCGCTGTCGAGGATGTCTACTTTGGCTCGGTTAAGCATGCGCTCACTTGTGGGCACGCCAGTGTCTGCATAGTCGGGCTTCCCAATTGACTTGGGGACGGTACGTCTTGGCGAGAGCGGATAAATGGGCCGTACCGAGCCGGTGAATGGGAAATCTGGAAATGGATTGTGCAGGCCAGAAGCTGTCGATTTCATTAATTTGACATCACGAGTCCCGGGGTGCGGTGCGGTACCGACCAGTAAGGGTGGTATCCTGGACCGACTTGTGCAGCGCTTTGTGCTCATTCTATTGGCGGCGTAGATTGTTAGTAGGATCTAACCAGTGCCATCCCGCAAATATGAGATATACCAACCCAATTACTTTTGAAACAGTCTTGAGAGCAAAAATAGCTGTTCTTGATGCTTAGCTTTAGGCATGTCGGGCACTGAAGGGCAGTGGCCTGTTTGTCGCAGCCCAGGCAGCCGAGATTGGGACGAGTGGCCTGCGCAGTCTCGGCCATGGCGGACTTGAATAGCGTATAGAAGGCCCTATGAGAGAGTTGAAAGGTCTGGTATTTATTCCCTGGGGTTCATGTGACTCTCTACGCGTTTGCCCTGGTCTGTTAGAATTGGAGATGTTTGGTGGAGAATGGACGTTTGTATGAGCGAGCTGTAGGCGTCTCTGGTAGCACGCAGATAGATGGCCCACCTCTGTACGCTTACTGTTCCAGCGCGATAAAGATCGAGATTGCTCTTTTTCTCTTAACATAAAAGGTAAATGTCATTTTCGAACTACCTATACACGATTCTTTGGCGAGATACTTCTTACTTGAAGCTGCAGAAATAAACAGTGCCACGTAATATGTTGGATCAGGGAATCGAAAGCTTGGTCGTCTTCCTTGCGGCCCTGCCTCCAAAGCCCCAGCCGATTTGATGAGCCAGATTTATCGTCACGCCCAAGTCATCAGCCCACGACCATACCAGCCCCGGGTTCTTCAGGAACATCCGCCCAGCCGCAATCAGGTCCAACGGCGTATCGTCCGCATCCTTGCCGCCCTCGATGATCTCCTGCGCGACACTGCCCGTCTTGATGCTCCCCACCGAGCTCACCAGCAGCGAGTCCCCGACCGCCGCCTTGATCGCCTTCGCGAACGGCGCCTGGTAGCCCGGACCGCCGACCACCTTCTGCTGCGCGTGGTTGCCGCCGCTGGAGACGTCCAGCACGTCCACCCCGCGCCGGGCGAGGATCTTGGCGAACTCGACGCTCTCCTCGACCGTCCAGCTCGGAGCGCCGCTCCATTCCGGGTTCGTGTCCAGCCAGTCCGTGGCGCTGATGCGGACAAACAGGGGCATCTCCTTGGGCATGATCTCCCTGGTCGCGTCGACAATCTCGAGCGCCAACCGGGTGCGGTTCTCGAAGCCCCCTCCGTAGCTGTCGGTGCGCTTGTTGACGGCCGGGGAGAGAAAGCTCGAGACCAGGTAGCCATGGGCAAAGTGCAGCTCGATGACGTCGAAGCCGGCCCGCAGCGCGCGACGCACAGCGTTGAGGTGGTCGCGCTTCAGCTCTGCAATCTCGGCCGAGCTCAACGCGCGCGGCGTAGGGTAGTGCTCGCTGAAAGCGTCGCTGCTCGGCCCCACGACGTCGGCAGGCCAGCCGCCGACTTGTTCGGTCGCTGTCGCGCCGGAGCTGAGCCACGGCGCCACCGTGGAGGCCTTCCGTCCAGCATGTGCCAGCTGGATTCCGATGAGGGCGCCCTGGCTGTGGGCAAAGTCGACATGCTTCTTCAAAGTGTCGACGTGAGCGTCGAGCCAGATTCCCGAGTCCTCCGGAGTGATGCGGCCGTTTGCCTGCACAGCAGTCGCCTCAATCATCATAAGGCCTGGCTAAATTGAAGCGTTTAGCAGTTGTCATAAAACTCGGCAATACGTAGGGGGAGCTCACACCGCGCAGTGCCATGCCACCGTAATGGGTGATGTGCCAAGGCGTGTGAAATCCTTCGTGTGCGCTGTACTGGCACATGGGGCTCACCCAGATCCGATTCGGCAGCTCGATGCCGCGAATCTTGAGCGGCGTGAAGAGCTTCGGAACGGGGTTGCCCGATGCTTGCACCGCGGTGGCGCTGCCGGCCACAGGGTCCTGCGCAGGCGTGAAGAAGGATACTTTCTTGGCACCGACGTTCTCGATGGGAGCCGCGCATTTCGCCGCCTTCTCGGGGGCTGGTGTCCCGGCTCGCGAAACGGTGATGCCGTGGTGAGGGTGAGAGATGCGCTGGGTGAGGTATGCTGCCATTGGGGGCGGATTGATGGGCTTCGAGAATGGAGACGAAGTTAGTGAGCTTCTATAGTCGTGATACTTGGCTTGCGGATTGAGTGAAAAGGTAACTAGAGTATGTGGCATGCCATGGCCATTTAAATAGTTCATTGACACTGTACTAGCCCAGTCGCTAATAAAGCAAGCTACCGCAGTATTGAGTTTTAAAAAAATCTTTGATTTCTCAGCGGAAGAACTCTGATTAGATGACTAAAGTTAAAGTCTCTGAAGCAAATGTTAGTGTAATTATAAATCAACCGCTGATGACCGCAAACATCACCCTGCATCCAACTCCACACATTCCGAGATATCGGCGCCGAACCAACGAGCATAGACCAGTCGGAGGAATTCAAGCTTGGCAGCGTCTCTCCAGAAATAAGCCAACTGGGCCCTGGTTCCGGCCGTCTAATTTCCGCCTTTGAAGAGCACGGATCGTCGCAGTTCTACTGTAGCTATTTCGGTAATGGGTTCTGCCCATTGCGCTCCGAGCGGTTATGCGTTAGCCCGCGGCGGTGTTACTCTTCCGGCCCGTATACTCGACCGTCAGACCGTCTCAATTTATATTTACCTAAGGTTACTCAGGGTTAAAACCGAGATCCTGATACTACAAGATGCTATTTTTGCTATCTTAAAAAATCATATTCAAGAGCTTCCTAGTGTAATGTACATACTGTAGGTGTGTAGCAAGTGTGTTATCCGCCCTTGAACACCAACGGATGCAGCGTCTGCTCTACAAGACATACTGTACATACATACATACCAGCCAGCCAGCGTCGCTTTTTGACTCTAGAGACGAGATATGCATGCGCCCTTATTAGAGTCTATGCCCAAGATTAGTCGAAAATATCATGTAAAATCATGATTTACAAATAATATTTTTAGCTATGGTGTGATGGCGCCGAGTTGTTCGGGCCGAATCACCGCATGCTCAGCGTCTTCTTCCGAGTTCTTGCAATGTAGCAACTTTTATCGGTCAAAAACCAAGCTCACCATATACATGATTTGTCATCAACACCCTCGAGCCACAGCCATCAATTTATGCTGGCGAGACGGAGATGGGCGCCATGTTTTGGAGGTACCCGAGTCTTGTTGCAACACACACACACATGTGTCAGGTGTCTTGCCATTTCTATAAAGTTGAGTGGTTTTCTTTACATATTACATGTGCCCCGTATCCAAATTCTGCTTCCTAGTGATTTTTCGTCATCTTTCAAGAGTTCCCTTACACCTTATTGATGGCCCCCGTCTTGACGTCGTAGATGTAGGTCGTGATGGGAACGTCCAGCACAAACTCCGACTTCTGCAGCAGCGCCTTGTCATCCGCCAAGCTCCGCCGCAAGTCCCGAATCGGCAGAAACGCGAAATGGTCCGCACTCTGGTTGAGCTCCGTCCGAATCTTGCTGCGCAGCCCTTCCTCGCTGAATGTCATCATGCCACAGTCCGTCTACCTCTTCATCAGTACACGTTTCACTAAAAGATACCGGGGAAAACGTACGTGGTGGATGAGGACGATTTCACGGGTGCCGAGGAGTTGCTGGGAAATAATCACGGATCGGAGGGCGTCGGCGACGCGCCCGCCGCCGTTGCGGATGACGTGCGCATCGCCCTCCGACAGGCCCAGCATGCGGGCAGGGTCGAGGCGTGCGTCCATGCAAGTAAGGATGAGTACTTTTCTGGAAATTTCTTTAGCTTCTTTGTCCGTTTTTCTTTTCTCTTTCTTCTTTGTGTCTCGCCGCGCTCGAGGTTTGGAGGGATTCATCCAAGGATAGCTTTTGCGGCACATTGTTCACCACCACCACCACATCGTGGAAGAAGGCACGTACCGGCCCGGGGGCATGGGAAGATCGGCTTTGGTGAATTGCGCAGCGTATTGCTGGTTTGCGGCTTCAAAATCGGCGGTAACAGACATGTTGCTAAATATGGATGAGTATGCGGTGCTTTCCTGATGTTCAATAGATGTGATGCAGAGAAGGGAATGCAAGCACCTGTACCAGCCAGCCCATCGCACATACATATATATACATGATTCTTTTCACAAACATATTCATCTAGTATCATCTGTCCACCGAGAAGTCGTCATTTAAGCACATGCCGTCACGTCTGCTGCCTCCAGCCTCACAAAGCTTCAGCCTCTTTGAGATTTCTAAGCATCGAGAGTCTGGAAGCTCCCAAAGGAGCTCCTTTCCTCCAATTGTGGCTATATTACGGAGCATACTATGACATACTATGACTCACGGGCCTATCACGGGTATAATTACGAGTCAGAAGGTCCAGAGAGTCTTCTAGCATGCAGTTTAATCGGCGAATACAATGAGACGGCTTTATGAGCCAACATTATGCGACAGAACAGAATATGCCAAAGAATCCCGTCTCTATCGTGGACTTGGAGCTGGGAGATGGAGTGTCAATCCGTGGCGTGATTTCACACATCCCGCCGCCGAGTTCCGGGTGGAGCCAACTCCGGTAGAAACGCCGGGATACCCGGGGACAGATAGAAGTATTGTTGCTAGAATTGTCGGATGCCGCCAGTTTCCATCCGTGATTGAATCTCGGTCTGCGGACTGCCCTTGATACCGAAATGATTCGAGAAGTCCGGAGCTGATGACGTGCTCTGCTGCTAAGACGCACCTTCGCCAGGTGACCAGGGCTATGTTGCCCACGGGATTATCTACTTATACATCAACTTTGCAGCCTCTTCTAATTGCCAAATAGATATCCCAATCTACATTCATCTCCATTCATCTAATTTCAATCAACAGCTACAATGTTCGTGACTCGAAAGTACAAGGCGGCTGCCGTGCAAGCCGAGCCTGGCTGGTTTGATCTTGAAAAGTCCGTTCAGAAAACCATCAGGCTCATCCAAGAGGCTGGGGAGAAGGGCTGCAAGCTCATTGCCTTTTCTGAATTATGTGAGTGTTTATGAAATACAAGGTGGAAATAGGACTGACAAACTTTAGGGATTCCAGGGTAACTATTGTAACTACAGAGTTCCCTTCAGCACTAACATCTCCAGATACCCCTACTTTCTATGGCGTGTCAAGTATCAGGATTCCTTGCCACTTCTCAAGGAATACCACCAGAACAGTTTACGACCTGATTCGAACGAGATGCGGCGAATCCGCGCTGCTGCGAAGACTGCCCAAATTTTTGTATCTTTAGGCTACTCGGAGGTCGAAGGCCATACTCTATATATGGCGCAGGTCATCATTGACCCAACAGGCACCATCATCAACCACCGCCGCAAAATCAAGCCCACACACGTGGAAAGACTTGGCTTCGGGGAAGGCACAGGCGACTCACTCAACACAGTGGTTCAGACCGAAATCGGCAGGCTTGGTCATCTGAACTGCTGGGAAAGCGTAGGTGACCAATGCACTGGGTCGAGAATGCTGGCTGACCTAGACAGATGAACCCATTCCTAAAAGCCCTCAACTGCGCCCAACATGAAGAGATTCACGTCACAGCATGGCCAGCCTCCGCCTCTGCCTCAACCCTCGAGTACCCAGCCCCTTATTTCAACACATCAGAGGCGCTATCAGAGCTGGTGACCCCCGCCTACGCCTACGAGACAGGTACCTGGACGTTGGCGCCGACGCAGGTTGTCACTCGCGAGGGTGCGCGACTGAACCTGCCGAAGCATCTGCAAGATGACGAAAAAGCTGTCGATGCGGAATTGGACATCATCGGCAATGGATTCACTCGGATCTATCGCCCTGACGGATCCCGGGCGGTGGAGGCTCCGCCAAAGACGTTCGAGGGCCTTGTCGTGGCTGATGTCGACCTGGACGAGAACCTGCTCACGAAGCACCTGGCTGATTTTGTACGCCGCACTACTTGAAAATATGACAAACATGCACTAATCGGCATTTAATAGGGGGGACATTATATGCGCCCGGATCTGATCCGATTGCTTGTTGACAAGTCGCCCAAGACTCTCATTGTTGATGCTCATAGCACGGAAGCGAAGCCGCATACTATTATGCGGGACGTCGGAGATGCATGAGGCGGTGCTGCAGCTGTCCCCTTTACTGGCCCGGCCAACTTGTTAGGACGTATGTATAGCCTCACGTACATGGCATATTATCCATGTTCCTTTGTCCAAGGAGCAAGACCTTGTGAAGCTCTCACCACGCCGTTGTGAAAGGGGGAGGGAAGATGGGCGAAATGAAGAAGAAATATGCACAATTAAAAACGAAGACGAATGTAGAATACAATCCTGTTTGTACTGTAGCTTGGCAGTACCCTAGAGCCCTGTAGGTACTCGATAACCCGAACACCAAAAGTAGAAATGAAGAAGTAGAAAAAAAGTAAATACAAATAAAGTTATTTACCATGAGATCATCTTGACTTATTTTTTTTGTCAACGAAAAACCTACCCAGCTTATCCGGGCATCGTCATCAATACTGTGCACATTGGGTATCCTTGCAGAAGCATCCCATTCTACAGTACATACATACATAGCAATGTTGTGTTCACTGTTCAGGGGCGAGCGCCGTTGTGCTCCGCCACTACATCCGTCATCAGCCCATGTTTTGCAAGACAAGGGAGGGCCAATACAGAAATCAGGCCGGGTTCGGCCCTGTGGCATTTTTTCTCCTGCGAGTATCCGCACAGCGGCTCAATACCAAGACAACCCACTGCCATTTTGCTGGGCACCAAAATAGGTGTCACGGGCGGCACGAGACACTGCAGGGACCTATGTATGTACACCCCTGGCTCTGTCCGGCAAGGTAAAGAAAAAGTAAAAAAAGAACAACAGGTAGGCATCACAAAATTACAGACAAAGGCAACATCAGACGGCGGCAAGACAACAACACGACACGGTCTGCTCGTTCAAACCCCCCACTGCGGCTGACAATGCAATGGTGCATGGTTGCGGGGAAATGAAGCGACTCAGATCTGTTACACGGGATTGGTCAATATCCTAACTATTTGGTTACCCAGTTTTATTTCCCCTTGCTCCAATATCTCACATACCAGGGATGACATGGGAATCCGAGCTTTTCGGGTGAA